GGTAAGAACTAAGCTTATAAGAAGCTCTAAACACTCTCCGTCGATTTCTCATTCATTCGCAAATAAAAGATAAAAATAATAATAATAATAATTTAATCAATATGCTCCCCCTAGGTCTACATTTATTCTTTTCCTCTATCCAACAATTTGACATTCTCGTAATCATTCCTTCTTGATTCTTTTTTATCCTATATCCATATACCACTAAGAATAAAATTCTTAACATTTCATCATGGAACTTCATCTCCATGATCCTCCTCCTACGGCGCACACTATGTACTCGGGTCTCCCTGGGTTTTCAGGCTTAGCGTATGTCTTCACTCTTTGATCCCTAGACCCACCTCTTTTCACCTTGGACTATATCTTCTGGCCATGATATTTTTAATATGGCAAATCATTACTTGTAATGGAAAAGTATAAGATTAATGGGCTAAATTAATTGAATGATTACTTAAGTTTGGCTTTTTTTATCTACAAATTGTAATCCTTAACACCTTGGAGTGAAGATCAATCTGAAGAGAAAGGAAGGTATAATCAACCTGCTTCTCTTTAATTGGCAGCATACATTGGCTTTATGCTGGCGTGAATTTCTAGAATATTGAATTTTATAAAAGGTAAATAATAGTCCAAATTAAGTGGCCATAGTAAAAATTTTAGATCTGTCAGTTCTCTCCAGATGGCCCTAAGTATTAGCATCTTGTTGTGTAGATACCTCTATCAGTTTATGGGATGTTAGAACAGGGCTACGAAAAGCAAATTAGATAGTCATACTGATCATGTTAGTTTAGTCTGTTTCTCTTGATTTTTATCTTATGATAATCAAGATAAATGGATGTTAAGACAGATTATTAACGAGTAAGTTAGAATTTTAAGGTGATGTTTCTTCCTATATGTATTCTTATTTTGATGTTTCCATTTTCCAATTTAATCACAATATATACAGTAAAATTCAACTAAATAGTAGCGCATCTCTTCTACCATCCTTATTTAAATAAAGTCCTACTCTTCTTCTAAAATTCCGTACCATCTATTTATGGAAGATTCATATTAATTGAAATAGAAATTCCTTATCATTAGGATAGCTAAAATCTTTTTAAAATCAAATTAAGTATTCTTGTGGAAATTAATACTCTTAAACTTATGCTCCATAAGACTCATGAACTTATTTGGTTAATTATAGGTTCAAAAGTAATTCTTTTAGGTCAAATCTAATATTTTAATCACTAGCTACAGAAAAGGCTATTAAAATAAATTAAAGAAATAAAATCTTTGATCAGAAATAGCCTATTTGATATTAGGTTGTAATAATAAATTAATATGTCAATCTTTATTGTTTGCTAGTTTGGGTTTCATTTAATTTTATAAATTTTTATATTTAGATATTAAATTTTAGACATAAAGCAAAATATTTGATGCAGTTTAAAATATAAATATTTTAAATATAATGAACTCTCTTGTTAACTACTTAAAATCTGTTGATTTTTTTGGTGCCACCTTTAATCAAAATATTGATAAAAAGCAGCAAAGCTATAAAAGTGTATTTGGAGGAATTATGACATTGATGATTTTTTCAGCAAGTCTAGCGTATGCTCTTTGGGTGTTTTTTAAATGGTAAACTAATTAATATAGCCCTAAAATTACTAATTTTGTTAATATTTCGAACTTTGAGCTATTGGATTTTGATTATGATATTATCAAGATTAGTTATTAAGGATATAAAGAAGGAATGATAGATCCATTTAAGGAGAAGGTTTTGATACCACTTTTAATTTATACAGAAAATTTTGAATATGGTAATTCTACAGTATTGAGATTATCCAATTAAACTTCGTATTATGGCAATAATTACTTAATACCTAAAATGAAATTGGGATTTTCAACAGTGAATGGCAATTTAATGACTACATCGGAAATGTATGTATAAATCGTTAAATGCACACCAGAATTGTTGGACAAGGATGAAAATTGTGCTTCTGAGGAAACAATTTAGAAATTTTTCAGTTAGCCATTAAATTATCTGGCTTTACAAATAAAAGGAAAATAACTGAACTCAAATGATGGTTAAGTTTAAACAAGTATGTAGGAATTTTATATTCAAATTGAAGAAATAAGTTGCTATACCTTTAACATTTTTCTTCAAAGCAATTTTTATGAGGTTAAAGATTCACTTTTGTTTGGATTGTCTAAATAGAATGAATTTATAAATGGAGCATTAGTGCAATCATAAACCAATTCAGCATAGTATTGTTACCAAGCTTATGGCAATGTTACTTATGCTTCTTTTTATATAGCTATGAAAGGAGATCAAATAAAAACCATATTTGAATATCCAAGTGCAGGAGATTTACTGGCTAATATTGGTTCAATAGTCTCAGTATTGTTCATGATCAGATTCATGATATTCTTTTTAAACGATTACTATTTGAATGAAAAAATAATAAATGATTTAATCGCATTTTATTATCCATAATTTCACCAAGTTAGGTTTAAAAGANTAAAATTCCGTACCATCTATTTATGGAAGATTCATATTAATTGAAATAGAAATTCCTTATCATTAGGATAGCTAAAATCTTTTTAAAATCAAATTAAGTATTCTTGTGGAAATTAATACTCTTAAACTTATGCTCCATAAGACTCATGAACTTATTTGGTTAATTATAGGTTCAAAAGTAATTCTTTTAGGTCAAATCTAATATTTTAATCACTAGCTACAGAAAAGGCTATTAAAATAAATTAAAGAAATAAAATCTTTGATCAGAAATAGCCTATTTGATATTAGGTTGTAATAATAAATTAATATGTCAATCTTTATTGTTTGCTAGTTTGGGTTTCATTTAATTTTATAAATTTTTATATTTAGATATTAAATTTTAGACATAAAGCAAAATATTTGATGCAGTTTAAAATATAAATATTTTAAATATAATGAACTCTCTTGTTAACTACTTAAAATCTGTTGATTTTTTTGGTGCCACCTTTAATCAAAATATTGATAAAAAGCAGCAAAGCTATAAAAGTGTATTTGGAGGAATTATGACATTGATGATTTTTTCAGCAAGTCTAGCGTATGCTCTTTGGGTGTTTTTTAAATGGTAAACTAATTAATATAGCCCTAAAATTACTAATTTTGTTAATATTTCGAACTTTGAGCTATTGGATTTTGATTATGATATTATCAAGATTAGTTATTAAGGATATAAAGAAGGAATGATAGATCCATTTAAGGAGAAGGTTTTGATACCACTTTTAATTTATACAGAAAATTTTGAATATGGTAATTCTACAGTATTGAGATTATCCAATTAAACTTCGTATTATGGCAATAATTACTTAATACCTAAAATGAAATTGGGATTTTCAACAGTGAATGGCAATTTAATGACTACATCGGAAATGTATGTATAAATCGTTAAATGCACACCAGAATTGTTGGACAAGGATGAAAATTGTGCTTCTGAGGAAACAATTTAGAAATTTTTCAGTTAGCCATTAAATTATCTGGCTTTACAAATAAAAGGAAAATAACTGAACTCAAATGATGGTTAAGTTTAAACAAGTATGTAGGAATTTTATATTCAAATTGAAGAAATAAGTTGCTATACCTTTAACATTTTTCTTCAAAGCAATTTTTATGAGGTTAAAGATTCACTTTTGTTTGGATTGTCTAAATAGAATGAATTTATAAATGGAGCATTAGTGCAATCATAAACCAATTCAGCATAGTATTGTTACCAAGCTTATGGCAATGTTACTTATGCTTCTTTTTATATAGCTATGAAAGGAGATCAAATAAAAACCATATTTGAATATCCAAGTGCAGGAGATTTACTGGCTAATATTGGTTCAATAGTCTCAGTATTGTTCATGATCAGATTCATGATATTCTTTTTAAACGATTACTATTTGAATGAAAAAATAATAAATGATTTAATCGCATTTTATTATCCATAATTTCACCAAGTTAGGTTTAAAAGAAATTGGAGAAGAGAGATTATAAAAGTTAAATTTCGAAATGAAACCATAGATGTTGATAAATTTAAGAGGTTTTATGAAAAAATAAAAAGTAAAATGGAATAAAAGCTCACTTTTGAGAATCTTATATATGAGATATCTAGAATTTATATTTTAATTAGGGCTAATATGACGAGAGAAGAAATAAAAAAATCTCATCTAGTAGGTTTAAATTTGGACTTTCTGTTTGAAAAGGAAGTTCCTAAAAATTTTATATCGGAATGTGAAGGCGGTATTGCACAGAATGAGAATGACGGTCAAATACTAAATGAGGATGATGTTGCAATTTTGAGCTTGTATGAAAATAAAGTACAACTAAAAACAAGGATTTTTGATGAAAAATCATAAAGAACCTTTTTTGATATAAACAGAATAAGATTGTGATATTAATTATTCTTGTTTGATTAACTATTTAATTGCACATCTATCAAAAGGTTGAATTATTAACTATTTTATTAATTATTTATTTGATTTTTAAACAACAATACAATTGTTTGAGAAATAAACATAATTTCTAATATTTTTGACTATTTAATCATCTATTATTAATATTAGCATATTGTCATTCATATTTAAAGCCTTGAATTAAAGTGTGAGTCAAACAAAAAATCCTTTGACATTTTATTAATTATAAAAATTATAATTCCATGTAATATACATAAAATTCAATTAATTTATTGCATTAAGGGTAAATGTTCCATTCTTTAAGTAGTATATGTGTCCAGGTACTGCTTTAGTACCTTAAAAGAAACCAAAAACATATATCCAAAATTTGTTGAATATTCTAACAAATTATTAGTCAATAATGTTTCGAAAACATTTAGATATAGAGTTTAGGCTTGAGAATGCGGAAAAAGAAATAACTATTATTTCTTATTTAGGTGTGTATTATTATAACTAATTAATTGATTTTTTGAAGAAATTTAGAAAGTAAATCAAAAGCTAAAAGAGCAGTAGGTCTTGAATAGTGGCTATTGCAGGAGGTTTTTTATTTTAGAAATTTAATCAAAGCTGAGTCAAGACAGGCCTATTTGGAAATTTAGAGAAATTTAAATAAGTTGCAAAAAAAGGGAAAAACTATAAGGTTTAAGCTAGCCAAATTTATTGAGGCTTTGACAGTCAATACAAACAAGCAACTGTGGGAGTTTGTAATATTAAGAGCCTATAAATTTGCATCTCAAAGATCATGTTAAATGGACAGTATAGTTGAATTGTTAAGGAATAAAAAATGCAGATTGATAGAAATTGTATATAAATAATACAATAATACTTAAAGATTCTTGTTGAATACGATTCTAAAAGTGTTTAGAGTTCCTTATTTGATATGAAAGTGAGTACAGTAAAGAATGCAAATATGATTCTCAGAAATTTTCAAGAAATATATATTAATGTCCATAAATCTGATGTAAAGTTAGAGGTTAATTTTGCAAAAATATGGTCTAAAATGGTTTAAGTTGTCTAAGTGAAATTTAGAACTTTAAGAGAAAGCTAATTAATTGATAACGCTTTGGTGATTATGCTACAACCGAATAATTTAGGCAGAGTTGAAATGCCTACAAAATTCTCATCTTCAGACATTGGAATTGTATAATGGAGCAATTTATGATTAAAATAACCCTTGAACTGAATAACTAAGATTGAATGAATTATACATATATAATGTTATTTTAGAATAAATAATAACATAATCAGTCATTATAATAATTAAGAAATGTCCAAACTTAAAAAAGGATTATCCAAGGATCTTGAAAAGGAACAAGAAGATCAAGCGATAGCAAAAGAAGAATTGTTCTAAGTATAAGTGATATCACAATAATAAAAAGCCTGTTGTCTAAATTTATCAAGATTACCAATATTTATCTGAAGAATAAATTGATGTTATTGCCAAAATACTTCAGGTTATTGATTTTTTTAAAGAAAATTGTCCTGACACACAAACATTAATGGAATTTACAAAATTATGTTGCCAAAATCTAATCTATGAATTCATACCCAAAGATTCTCCTGTTTTTCATATTGGTAGATTTTGCCATGATATGTAGATGATGCTGGTGATAAATTTTATATTGTTCTAAGTGGGAGGGCAGGAATCTATATAAGAAGACAACCAGCATCTATAGAAGCTGACGAAGCAGCTGCTCAACCAAGAATACTAAAAATGCTTGAAAAATTGCGTTTGGAATCTATTTCTCAATTACAAGGAGAAGAATTGTTGAAATTTTATAGTTAAGTTATTAAAAAGTAGTCTAAACCATAAAAAGTGATTGATTCTGAATTAATATTATTTCGATCAGGAAATTTCGAAAAATATTTCACAAATCAAGGAATTTGTAAGTTTATGTTAGTAGCTTAAAAATACTCTGGTTCAATATTTGGTGAAATGGCATTAACCAATGATAAACCTAGAACTGCTAGTATTTTTGGTTTAACTGATTTGAAATTGGTATCCTTATCAAAAGCTAACTTTAAGGTAATGCTAATAAGTAAACATAGCAAGTTGGAGAAAAAGGAATGAAAGCATTACAATAAAAGATAGACTACTTTTTTAAAATGTTTCCACATATGACCAAGCATAAAATGTCTAAACTTATTTTGTATTTTACATCTGCCAAATTTCCAGCTAACTTTTTCATTTGGAAATAAGGAGATGAAACTGATGGATTCCTCCTATTAAAAGATGGAGAAATGCAATTGTTATAAAATGTTGAATTTCCAAAACCCCCTAGTTAAAATAATGTAGATTTTACCTTAGTTTCTTTATTCTAACATTCTAAACAGGAAGTCAAAGATATTAAAGAAACTATAATTCTAGCCAATCTAACAGGAGGGTGTTTTGTTGGAGAAACAGAAGTTGTTTAAAAAAAAGAAAAAAGAGACTATTCTGTAAAAACATTAACTATTTGTAATTGCTATTGTCTTTCCTTAGAAGTAATATTTTATAGTAATTATTTTGAGAATTATCATATTGTGAGGAAAACATTTCCTGAGTTTTTTTAAGCTTTAAATTCTCTTCAACAACGGAATAGTTATCTTTTTAGAAAGAGAATTGAGGATATTGTGAAAACAAAGAGTTGTAACTTTTATCTTACAAAAAAGGAAGAAGCATTAGCAGTCGAAAGAAGATATGCAAATGAATTTGGTAAGGATCAAGCTAAACCACTTTTGTCTTCTCCTATCCTTCGCTCTACTTTTTAATCAAAACTCTCTAAACAATAGATGGTTGAATAAAATAAATCAATTATTGATCAGCATACTAAACTAGATGAATAATTTGGTGAAAAGTAAGAAGAATTTAATATGCTAAAATTGGCAGGAGACAATTTCTAAAAGTGTCTTCTGATAAGAGTTGAAAAGCAATTTGAATAATTTTAGCCAGCAAAACCAAAGTAAATATTATTGAAATCATATAGATCCAAAACTCCACATTTTAGTAAATAGAATATCACCGTCAAAGATCTCCTATAATCAGTCCGTCGTAGATAATTCCCATCTTTTGCAACGCATAGAGATTAAATATCTTATAGGTAGTCGAACGAAGAAGATTCTTAATAATTGCCTTCAATAAAAGTTGCTAAACAACACGTAAGAGTTGTGAATCCAAATATTTCATCTAAAGTAGACATCATCAAATCAAATTATCAATCATTTATGAAATCTAAATCAATGAGTTCTAGATTAGATAGATTATCAGACAATCAAATATAAGGATTTATGTTGACAGACTCTATTAATACTTATCATCCTTTACATAGCTTTTAAAATAAGGATGATTAAACTAAAAATAAAAAAAGAGTTAAAACATAATCTAAAGTTGAATCTGATTTTTAGAAATCAATATTATGATATATAATTAAATCAAAGTTATATTCACATAAACTCTTTCATTTATAAATTAAATAATCACATCTTAAATTATATTGATTAAGATCAATTTTAACAGACGAAGTGATAAGAAATACTTTGATTTAAAAAGCAAAGTGAATCTCAAAAATATTTCTTAGAAAAATTTACAGTGAGTAATAGTTTTGAATGTGGCACTAACTTTAACTATATATTATTTAAAACTAATTTCATAATTCTATAAATGAAAATTACTATTGTTCATTTATTCATAATTATCTATTTATAGATTTAGATTTTTTAATGTTGTCTAGAGGTGTTAAAAACTTGAAAATATGATTACGTATAAATTATAAGTTAATATTCAACCGAATAATAATCAATAATCAGTTATATAATTATTTGAATATAAATATTAATATTCTGACATTTTATATGCAATTATTAAAATAAATCCATTGAGTATTGAATGGGGATTATTAAAATGAATTTTGCTATTGCTTTCACTGCTTTATGTTTTTAAGCATTAGTCCTGTATCCTTGTCATGACACTATCTCTGAGTAAGTCGACAAGTTGGAGAAAAATATTGTGAGATTGGAATAGATGGAAGTGGAATTAAAAACTCATATGGAGAGAAATTAGGAGTTAATCAAGCATAGAATAATTATGAATGGAAAAAATATATGATGTGATTTTTATTCATTTGTTTTTTTTAAATATAATATAAATAATGATATCCTAAAAATAGTAGCAATAATATAAATAATCTTAAAAAGACAATTTTATGGATGTTATTGCTTACTAATCAAAGATGGAGAAGAAGTGTTTATCAGTTTGATCTAAAAATAGAACTAAACTGAGGATTTCTAGAAATTAATGGAAAAATATCTTACTTCAAAGCATAAAATTGATTGAAGAGAAATTAATAATTAAATTTAACTAAACTTAGCAAAATCATGGTTCTTCCTAAAGTGAATATGCTTGTTGGAATCTGCGCATTAAGCTTTTAAGCTTTTGTGCTTTACCCTTGGCATGATGTGATTTCATAATAAGTTGAAAAATTGGATAAAAACATTAGAATACTAGAGATAATGCAATAATAGCTGGTAAAGGAAGCTGAGCAACTACAAAAATTGAACCCAATTTGATACATATTCATGTATTTCTTTCAATATCACAATACATATATTATATAATCTGCTTTCATTGTTGAAATCTATTTTTAGATGTTATATAATTCAAATTATTTTGGTTGTTAAAATCAATTCCAATAAGTCAATTCTGTAACAATCATTATGTTTAGAGTAAAATAATACTAGGAATGGAGGGATTAGCAAGATTTGAAGCAAACATCAATCTCCAACATTTGTAATTGATTAATAAATGAAATATGCTCAATTTTAATTACATTATGATTATAGAATTAAGAAAAAATAATTTAATACGTATAAATTTAGAATCTTGTTTATTAGTGGAGAAGGAATGAGGCTTAGAAGAGTAAAATTTTGTGGAATTAGATGTATTTAACATATATCACATTTTATAAAAACACAGTTCAAAGGAGGCCTGATCTAATGTAATTCTAATTCTAAATACCTAAAACAAAGACATACCTATAGGAATTTTCTGTTGATCAACAAAGGAAGATTAGCAGTTAAACTGATCCTTAACAATCTATTCAATCATGTTTCCCATTAATTTAGATACTTTCAATATATACTTATTAATATAATCTTCTCCAGTTCATTCTAGACAATATGATTAAAAGTTTGTATAGTAGATATGGATTGCGGTAATCTAAATTGTTATATTTCACTATGAATTCTAAACTCAAAATATTATTAAGAATGGGTTTTCCTCAATATAAATTGATCACAAAAACTAACAAAAAGAAGAGTATTAATGGTTAAATTATTTCTAAAATATAAGTTCTAGATGAGAATTTAAATTAAATAGTACAAAAGCATATATTCAATAAATTTGAACAACGATTATGCTAATTTAAGCAAAATTATGATTGTCTTAATTACCACTATCATTCATCCACTAAGATTAGTGTTTTAGAAATAAAATTTGTAATAAATTAGAGATATTAATTCAATCTATTTATAAATTAATTTTTTTTTTAATGATAATCAACAGTGCCTGTTTTAATTTTATAATATTACATGAGTTTCTAACTATAATAAGATTTCTTTACATTTATCAGACTAAAATATTAAAATCTATAAGTATTATTAAGGTTTTAAAATTTTAGGTTTTATTATTTATAGTTGATAATCAAGAATTAAGTGTCAAAATTCAATTCTATAATCATTTTGAATGGTTCAAATTGCTCCTTAAAGCAATTCTGTGTTAATCTATTAAAATTTTTTCCTAATATCAAGAAAAATATAATAAAATTGTATTTGTCCATTAAAAGAACCATCTCCATATATTATGATGACTTAAAGATAAATTGTTCTGACCGGATTCACAGGATGTGGTAAAACAACCCTTTTTAATTTAATATGCAAAGCAAAATAGCCAGCAGCAGCTGGAGGTAATTCATTAACAAGGTAATAAGCTAATTGATAATAGGTAAACATTCTTAAAAGAAGCTGCCTATGGAAAAGGATTTCGAGTGTTAGATACTCCTGGATACGGATCAAAGTAAGAGAAAATTATTCATGCTGTCGGAGTATTAAATGCTCTTTCTGAAGGTCCTCTTAGGCAAATCTTATTAGTAGTTAAATGGGAAAGATTAGACATTATACAGGACTATTTGAAAAGTATGGTTGTAAAATTTAGAAGATATAAACATCTATTAACTGTTGCTGTGACGCATTGGGACATGGCACAGAAAGAAACCATAAAATAAAATTAAGATTAAATTATCAAGTTAAGCCAACATTTTGGAATAAATTCTGTGATTTTTGTATCTAAATTTGATTCTGGTGAAAAAGTTTGTGCTTAAATTGATTCAATATTAGATCGTAGTTAAGCTGAAAATGTGCAATTAACTGAAACTGAATTTTATACTAATTTTGAATTAATTGAATTGAAAGACAACATTGAATTGGAGTTAGAATTTTCAAAAGAAGATGTAGAACTAATATTTAAAAAAAAAGCAACTTGTATTAGAGAATTTATAAAAAAATTTGATGAGAAAAATCCTTCAATGCATGAAATAATGCACTCACTAACTTTAGAGACAAAAAGAATAGCAGAAAACCTAATCACAGATTTTGAAAGGAAAAACAATGATAAATTTAGTAAGTTGTTTGAATATCATTCAAACCCAAGCCTTGCCTATTTAGTTCATTTTGAATTAAAAAAGGCATTGATGTTAGAGATAGATAGTATTATTTAGCTTGCTCAATAAAAAATGAAGAGTGATAAAAATCATTGTTTTAATTTTATCAAGGCATGTCCACATTGTGGCATTATTTGGTTAAAAGTATCAGGATGTGATGGAAAAACAACTTGTGGAAACTTTCCTGACGCTGATGATGAAATATTTAACAACTATAAAACTCCTTAAAAATACATATTTAATATTACAGAAAAAGAACTAAATTACTCCCTAAACTAAGTGACTTATAAACCTGTTTAGATTGGAAATTATGTTAAACCATAAAGTGGAAAAGGCTGTGGTGAAATTATAAATTGGAAAGAGATTCCAGCACTTACATCTAACTAATTAAAAGAACTGATTGATCCAGGAGTTATGGATTATTTTGCTCGGGAAATTCCAAAAGAAAATATTGATAAAACCTTGATGAAAGCGCAACAATCTGTTAAGGATAAGGTAGAAACTATTAAAAAATCAACCAAAGTAATTAGATTACCAAAATATTGATTTACTATTTAATTAATGTCATCATAATAGTATTTATATTTCACTTTATCATAATTTATTGAGTAGAATTATTTAAATAATTGTACATTAAAGAATTTGCCTCTTTGTCAATATAGTGGTTAAATTGAAACTTTGAACTTTAGTATAAGTCCTCCAAATCTAAACGCTGTTTGCTGTATAAAAATGAGTTAGAATTCTAATCTACTTTTTCTATATGAACCAAATGCTCTGTGATTTAATAAAAAATGATTACATCAAGAATTCTCTTAACTATTTTAGAAAGAATTATATAAAACATATAGATAAATAATCAATAACAATATTATCTTGAGATTATCCATAATTTTTCGAATAACATAACCATACTAAGGAATTTATACTATAGATAATGCAATTTAATCCCAAGCTTGACTACAATAATATTAATTTATTTTGTGTAATTAGATATATTATCTTTTTAAGTATAAAAATAACTATTTTACAAAATTCATTGTCAATTTCTTTTATATGATTTTATGTCATACAGATTATCAATTAATCTTTGGGCTTCTTCATACATAGATTATTTAATAGGCGTGGTTTCTCCAATCTTTCTTTTTGGAGAAGGTTAATAAATACTGGGCAGTTTTTTAGTTTTTAATCGTTCTGATTTAGTGCCTTATCCAAAGATGTTGTACATTTATTTATAATTCTCTAGTTCATTATTAAAATATTTTATAATTTCTGTTGCCTTTGTTAGTTAATATTATAAACCCTCACTTTGAGAAATCTGATTTTCTAAGTGCTTTTACAATTCAACCTTTTTCTTTATAACCTCTTTCGGTTTTTCTAGTTATTTTAAAAGAGTTTGATTTTCTTGTGAACTCTTTTAGATTTATTACTTCATTTACTTTACATTTTCTTTCATCCTTTCTTACATTTACAAAGCCTTTTCCTATAAATCTGTTATACTATGAGCTTGTAGTTGATTTTATTGTTGAAGTGCAGCAATTTGTTCTTTTAGAATAGAGACTTCATCTTTTTATTAGAGTTAGAATTCATCCTAATCACTTTACAATATTTAAAGACTAAATTGATGTTAATTTCTAGAACTGTTATCTAGCATGGTAGATGCTATTTGATTTTTTTTATTTGGTGAAAAATAGTAACTATTCGACCGTTCTTATGGATGTGTATTAACAGTTTTCTAATTTTCATTTATAATCAAGTACTCTAATAAACAATCTTCAGTTTAACAGGAAATGTCTTATGTTTGAATTTCCTGATTGATCTCTTACTCTTGAATTTGATTATTAGAAAAGTTAATCTGTAATTTACTTCTTCTTCTAAGATTTGAATGATGAGTTGCAAAGGCTTAAGTGAAGTTGACACTAGCAAATTTAGAATGCGGTGTTTCTTCGCTTTACTTTGGAGATGGTCCAGAAATTAATTCTTTTGGAGTCAACACACTATTGGTATGAATGTGATAATAGAATTGGTCCTCTCTATTCTTAGACCTTTGATTTCGTTTCTTTCTGAGTTTTTTCATTAAATTAGTTTATTTTTTTGATTCTTTTACTTCATCTAAATCTAAATTGGTGACTTTCTCTTCACTCTGTTTACAATTAGAAATAGGGGAGATTTGAGTCGTTTATTAATCAGCATGTTTTAAATTCAATTTGAATGCATTGTTTGGTGAGAATGAACTCACATCTTAAGCTCCCAAGGTAGGTGATGTTTATTGTTATTGATGTTCAGTATCTTATTAATATTGTGTCTGAGTTGAAAAGTGATTAGTAGCATTAGTCAAATAAAAGTTTTCTAATGATTGCTGGATTTTTTGTTCCGATTACATTTGTTCTTCATTGAGTACAATATTATTATTTTTCTTGAGATTAGCTATCATAGCTTAAGTTTAATGAAGATACAAGGCCTACTAATGCATATCAGCTCTTAATTATTGAGTTTAGGATTGCTGCTATTACAATTGAATTTATTGATTTTTGATTATGACCAGTTATTGCTCATTTTTTTAAATTTCTTATTCATACTTATTTCTTACTTATTCTAATTCTTTGTTGGCTCTAATAGATGCTTTGTTTGCTTCTGAAATTCTGAATTCACTATCTTTAATCAATTTGTCCATGCGTTTTTCATATGTGTTTCTCAATTCACCCAAGGCAAATTCGTATTGATCTTATTTGATGGCCACTTAGGTGTGATGTTCCTCCTATTATTGTTGCAGCATTTGAGTATATTTAATCTTCATTTATGCCTACTTGTCTATTTCTTCATTAATTTGATTGGTAAGTTCTTCCAACTTCTCATTATAAGAGTCTACAAGTTCAAAATGTGAGTGTTGATTCTTCTTAATTTTTTTGTTCTCATCCTCGATCAATTAATTTAATTAAAATATGGTTTAATCTTTTTATTTAATTAGCTCATCTTATCGAGTGATAATATGTTATTGTTCTATTGATTACTTTGAGACCTCCATCTTGAGTTGTTCATAATTAGAATTACGTTCCTCATTTAAAAATAGCAACTCGCTAGCTTATTGCGTCAATATTTGTGATTCTATATTACGTATTAGAGTTTGAAATACATTTCCTAAGTGTTTCTTACATGGATTTCATATCCTCCTACAAAATTGAAATCAACGTTGGAAAATCTGCTATTCTCTTCACTAGTTATCTACTCTCAGTTTCTCTGATAATTAGTGATAGATTCTCTCTTTATTACTACATTACTATGTGATAATACCTCCAAATAAGTTTAAGTAGCTAGTATAGTATTTTTAAGTTCAACATTTTCTTCCCTCAAAGGTTGTAATTACTAGATTACATGAACGATATTCTCCTCCACCTTCTGATTGAACAACATACTTGGTTAGGTGAGAAGACTTTTCACATCATTAGATGTTTTGTCTCTTTTTTTATTGCTTCTTTCGTTGTTCATTATTTATGTATACAAAAATTTTATAAAAAATTTATTCCTACAAACTATTTCATTGATAGGTTGATCAGTCAGTTTGTAAATCTTTACTAATTAAGTACTTGTAAATAGGAGGGAGTGAAGCAATCACATCAATTCAAAAGAACATAAAAAAGGATCAATGGAAAATAAGTTGCTAATATATATTAATATTATTTCGAGGCTTCCTATTAGATATAATGATAATGGATCTACAGTGGATCAATAGCGAGATTCTCCAAAGTTTTTGTTTTATTTATTGATTCACCAAGAGCATTCAAAGAGTAGATTTTGAACTGAATAAAGAAATTTTTAGGAAAGGCAGATGGTTAATCATAAATGTAAATAAATTAAGATAGGGTTGATAAGAATTATAATGCAAAAATAATTAACTTGGGGAAGTACCAAAGGGTAATGTAATTTTAATGAGTGTGGAAGAGTAGACTTATATCTATCTTTTTATGAATGAAGCTAATTAAGTCTATGACAGATGAAATACTAGAGTATTATATTACTTAATGGACTAAAATAGAAGTTAAAAAAGTGAAAACAGAAATTTCAATAGAAAATAATAATTTAATTGTTTTGTAGTTATTTACATTGTAAATTCTTTTTATTCTATTAGTTTCTAGGATCTGATCATAAATGTATACTGTAATGTTGTTGTTTAAATTAATAAAAATTCAATATCATATGCAATTCGTATGGAGTTAGCGTATAAGTTAAATATAAGTTATATAAAATTCGTCTATGATGCAACTATTTTTTTAATAAATAACAATATAGAAATTTCATTAATTTATTTCATCCTTAATTAAATTAAAAGAACCAATGAAATTGGTAAGTTTTTCAAGTGGATTAATCTGTTCTTGTGATGATTTATCAAATTGTAGATTGGTCTACATAACTAGTGTGCAATTCTTAGGTCTCGTTACAAGGGTTTAACTTTGCTCTCTAGTAGTCAATGCTTTGTCTCTGGTGATTGATTGCATGAAGGGATTTTTGGAAAAGGTTGGCATAGCTGATTTTTTAAGTCTTGATAATGTGAATCAATGATTTACATAGCCATATTAACTTATTTTGGATAATCTATTTCATTTTCAATTTGATCATCAGATGGTACAAAGAATTTATGTTTAAGTAATTCTGTTGCCTTCCATCTATGATTTGGATTTTTGGCCAGCATTTTGGACATCAGATCCCTTTCCACATCATCCAATTAATCTTATGAGAATCTTTAGAAATTAATTTCACATCTTCTATTTAATTCCAATTATTCTCTTCTATCTTTCTTTTCAAATAATGGTTCTCCAACTAATCTAAATTTGCATAATTTAATACAAAACGTAAAGGATGACACCAGCACTGAAGATGTCACAAACAGTAGAATATCTAGCAAACTCTGAGTCTGATTCCAGGATCTCTGGAGCTACAAACCCAGGCGTACCACATTTAGGGTAAGTGTAAGGATGTTAATCACATGACTATGCCAATCCAAAGTCAGCAATCTTGAGAGATTCCAGATCTCTTGACATGAATAAAATATTCTCTGGTTTTAAATCTCTATGCATAATATTGAATGAATGTATGAATTCCAGCCCTTCTAGTAGTTACCTCATGATTATTCTAATGTCATTTCTACTAAACAAGGTAGATCTCTTTTTCATCAGTGATAACAGAGACCCCCCTTTGGCTAGTTCCATAACTAAGTAGTAGTTCTGATTCCCTATGTACAATTCATGCAATTGAAGAATGTTCTGGTGTTTGTGTTCAGAGAGGATGCGCATGGTTTCCACTTCTTGCAATAGTTGACGATACCCATTTTTTTTTTCATTTATTTTTTATTAATCTATGCATTTGGCCGCATATTATTGATTGTTGTACAAATTAGTGAGTTCGAGCACAGTGGCATAAGAACCCTTGCCTAAAACGGATTCAGCCTAATATTCATCCTGTATTTTCATTTGAAATGCATACAAAGCAAACTTATATTTGATTTCTCTTAATTATTCATTGCTTCCAAAGTATTCATATGAATTATTTCCTACTTAAAAGGTTATAGACTTGAGCTTATTTTTCGAGTATTGCCACTGAATCCGAGTGTCTGTATTAATTACGAATTATCTCTCAGGAATTTGCACCTTCGGAGACTGTTTTCATATAAATAATATCCATACTTTTGCAATACAGATGTGATTCTTAAATAAGTAGATATACCTTGGACTCTTACCAATAAACTTTTTCTTTGTGAGTATACACTAGTATATGCACTCGTTGTAATCGACGCTTTATAGGGTATTTTATATTCCTTCGTGGACTGTGCGAGACTTTTGTCTCATTTGTAAAATAATAATAATAATATATACAATAATATTGGAATAAACCAGAAACTAATGCTTTTTTTATAATAATCAAAAAGATTTAAGACATGAACTAATTATAATATTAATTTAATACGAGAAAATAATTTCGATATATATATAAAAAATATAATTCAATCAATCTCAATATTGTCGTCAAAAATTTCATTCGCCAACTCTTGAATATAAAGTAAATCCTCAGGAATTAGATCAGCTGCTATTTTACTTAAGTAAAGTGCCTTAGTATCGGCGTCTAAGATTCTATACGAAATCCAATAGCTTTCTTTTAATTCCTTGTTTTTCAAAGCCTACCACTATTAAAACTTCAAATTACTTGATCCAACTTTTGAATTATACTCTGATAGTAATCGCCTTCATTTGGCTCACTCAGATTTATCCTGCTCATCAATAACGATTAAATATTTAACCAATTCTCCTTCAGATCATTCAAATTCTTAATTGGATCATTAGAATCAACGTTCTTTGAGAATTTCTAATATGCTATAGCAGTTAAATAATACTGAAAACTTTTCTTCAGAAAATATATTGTTTTCTAAAGAGAATGTAACAAATCTATCGAAGGACATAGCTTTTTCCCCACTCTCATTTGAAACAGTGTCGCATCTTTCCATAAACTGAGTTCTAATCATCTTTTTATTTGATTTAGTTCCTTGATTAATTTCAAAATGTAAGTATAATTTTTGAAACTCTTGAAACTCTATCATCCCATCCATATCCATGTCAGCTGAATAAAATACTTCTTCAAAGTGAGCTTAATGTGTCAGTTTGTACTAATGATAACCATTCAATAATTTGCTTATAAAGAAATCTACGTCCACACATATTTTGTTCTTCCTCTCATAAGTGTTGGAACGAATATCCCTCATAATTCGTTCCTTGATTTCCACTCCCAAGCATTAATGTTGGATATCCAATGAGGCTATAGCTTTTTCTAGTGTTACTAGTACTCCTTTTTCATTTACAACTGATGCCATATGAAGTGCAATTTCATTTTCGTCAAGAATTCTCAAAGATTAAATGTAAATATCCAAATCATCCAATGTTAGTGGACTTAGTAATTCCAGAAATCTTTAATCAATAATAGCTTTACCTTCCAAAGAGGTTGATTCTGAAATTCTCTCTATAAAAGTATACAGATTGGTAGAAATTAGTTAACTTTTACTCAGCCATGCTCTTGAATCCATAAGTATTGACAAAATGCTCATAACATATTTGATGTAGTGGAGTGTTTTTGTTCTGATATTGCTTGATCTTCTCACAGTAGAATTATGAAATGAATTTCAAAACATTTATCCTCTGCATCTTGGGTGTGGCTAGCTTTGGATTCTTAGCAAAACGCTCAGCCAAAAAAGTAACCAAATATTTTGATCTCTAGAAATTGAGTTGAGATGTGGATTCAGCATTATTTCTATTTTGAAACTCTTAAAATGTTCAACAATTAATTACTTGGGGCTTGTGTTTAAGTGATTTGTCTTTTCTTTTGTTGCCTATCTGATTTTCTTTTGGAATAAGCCTCCATTTTGGATGAAAATGATGAATCAATACTTGAAGCCTCACTGTTATCTAATTCCTCATTCAGAAATTTTCTTAAAGTGTCCGAGATCACCTTAACACTTTCATTATTCAGATTATTTGGAATACTCTTCTTTGCTGATTTTAGTGCTTATCTATTGTTTCCATTATTCGCCTTCAATTGCTACAAATAATCAATATTGAAATTACATTAATTCCGGGAGATTTAGCTTGCACCTGAAGTTGTGATGATCTTCGATTAGATGCAAAGCTGCGTTATGAAATGGCATCCTATTTAATTAATCATATGAATGTACATCTTAAACTATTGAAATACTTTATTAGAATGTAATCTAGGATTATGATAGGTCACTCTCATTGTCAGATTCCTTTTCTTACTCCTCAGTATTTGTTATTTAAATATTCCATTTCTTTTTCGGTGCACTCATTTCCTAGCCTGATGCCTCCTACCTTATGATTCCATTAGGTGAACCTTCTGGTTTATTTTATTTCCTACTAGATTATGGACCCAATTGTTATTATCTTCTAGGCGATGAAGTAACAAGGTATTGCTATTGATTTGAGGGATTACTAGATAAGAACTATTATTATTAAAAATTTTAGGATATTTCTATAGCTGATGGCAATTAACTCTATGATTAGGAGGAGGTAGGTTATTTCATCTAGCCAAAACTGCTTATTCTCTTCTCTTACACTTTCTTTTTCATTATATTGGTGAACTTTTGGGTTTTCGTCAATTGATTGATTAAATTAGTGGTTTTTTCGATAAGTTGTTATTTCTTGTCTTTTATTTTATTGTACTTTCTCTCCAATTTAGCATTGATCTATGATAGTTAAAGAATGTTTACCTATTCTTACAATTCTAAATGACTCTCCAATTCTATGATTTCATTTTTGGCAGATTCCAAATTTTACTAAAGATTCTCATTAGTAATTTTCTAATTAATTATTTAATTAAGGATTATACCAATAATTGTAATTCGTTAACTTTTCTTTAATTATCGTCCTTCTATGCACTATTAACAAGCAATAGGCTGGTTCTATATTCCCTTGAGTGTTGAATTGCTTATTTCATTTTAGATGAAGCATCACCTAGGCTTAATAATAGAGATGACATTTAGTTAAGATCAGGACTATCTATTTGCTCTCCTTCCATAAGTAGTTTATAATTTTCTTAAGTCTTAATGAGTTGCTCTTGGAATTGAAATAGTTGATCTTCTTCGCTTTTAATATCCTCAAGAATCTCTGTGGGTAATTCGGTTTGCACTTCTTTTTCGATTGCATTGCTCATACTAGAATCTGTCTGGACAACATTATGTCTAAAGTCAGGTAGAAGGATTGATCTATATTAGGTAGAGAGTTACTTAGGTTCAGGTTGTGCATTTGATGCAAATGTTTAAGTGAATTGCTCTTTGTATAGGTTCATTACTGCAATTAGATCAGTGGTGTCAGTGGCCTAATTCATGAGCATATCTTCGAAATTGGATAGATTTGTGTCTGAATCGCTTTTTAAGGCATTTTTCAATTGTTCTTCAATTTCAATATTGAATGATTAATGTGCACCTGCTGAGATTATTTTCAATTGCTATGGGAATTAAAGAGGGGAGTGTTCACTTGCATTGGGAGAGGAGGCTCTGTAATTGATTTGGGAGGAATACTAGAAGTTGTGGATGTCAATTTCATTTTCTTTGATTTGTTATTTCAGATTTTCGACTTCATTTAGCAAATACTTATTGGAGGTAGTGTAATCGTTTAATTGGAATTTGAGTTCTCTGATTGTGTTTTATAGGTTTCTGTTGGTTTTCTTGAGGTATTTGGCATTGTCTTTTAATTTGATTAACTTTTCTGTAAGCTTGGATTACTCTTCTTTCTGATTTGAAATTATTAATTAAAAATTATCAATTTCGTATTGATACAATTAATGTGTTTTCATTATTTATTTGAGATTTTGTTTTTCGTTTTCCTTCTTCTCATTGACCACTTGATTGATGACAGTCGAATTGATTTCTACGTATTGTGTCCAAATCTTTTCCAGCAACACACTAAATACATTTGTAAATCTACATCACCTCCTTTCAATGCAATCGATGCTGATTTGTCTTATCAATTCTTTTAAACAGAGAGTGAGAACATTTTGCACTTCCTCGTAGAAATCAAATTGCTTTTGATCACTGTACTTCTCTATGATCTATTGCACCATTAGGTCAACCCAAATGGCAAGGGATTTAATGTCGTGCCTTCATTAATAATTAAGATTACTTCTATGGAATACCTCTGTGAATTTTATCTCTTGGGTTGTGCTTAGAGAGATTACTGCTAAAATTACCTAATGACAGATGGGGTTCTCTTAATTCGTTGGGAATGTGCACTTCCACAGTAGCTTCAATATTAATCAAAGGAATTACGCTCTCTTAGTGATTTAGGGGAGAGATACAAGTCTGATAGACGTGTAGGATATTGATAAGGATCAATACTTTTCAGTTGGCCATAGAAATCATTACGGGCTTGGCATTTCATCTTATCTATGATTTCTAACTAATTTTGTGCAAGCAATGGAGATCCATAAAATACCTATGGATTTATCATTCGAATACTCCTTGAGATAGTGGTTTATGCTTTTAGGCCTGTCTGTAGGAGATGTTGGAATACGGTTACGAACCTTTTAAATTTGGGAGTGAATCTCGCTCTAACCTAGTCAGTCTCTCATTCGAAGAATCAGATCTTTGAGTTGGCCATGTGGGTTAGTACTGTTACGTTGGTTAAATGGTTTTAAGAATGCGAAATTTAGTCTATTCGCTCATTTTCGATTGTGGATAAATTAATTATATAAATATATCATTACACTAGAATTGACAATTTCTTCTTCAGGGCCTTTACTATCTTCAAACAAATGCTACTTAAATGACTTTATCATTCTTGAAGAATGGAGATATATAGTGAAATTAATGCATGTTTCTTACCTATTTAACTAGTTTACATAAACTGTATTGAGTATATAAGTTTACTTCTTTATTAAATCGATATCTCTTTTCCATTTTACAGTTCTGTAAAAAAGTTATCCCTTAACTGAGTTTAATTATCATACTTGTTGTTAATGAAGTTTATGTATATTATTATAATTATTTTGATGATGATCAACAAAATCAAGATTTTATATTTTTTTTTACTTTTATCCGCCAATAGTAATGAATTAATTTTGTAAAACAGCACACAAACTATCAGCTTATTGAAAATCTACAACTTTGACTCAGCGTATATTTGATACAATTAAATAAATAAATAAATTAAGCTACCATTTAATTATCCTTAAAATTAAGAAGGGTATCAAAAGTAATATAATATCATAATAAAAACAATTATTACTAATCAGAATACCATTGAACAATCTCTTTCTATTGTTCCCTTATGAGTCGACAGATTTCCTGGTAATCTTGCATGATCCATTTTAAATCCTTAATCTTTCTATTGAATAGTTGATCAGTCATTTCAGCGACTGTGTTTTGGTAATTTCGTCTTTTTTTGAAGAATTGCTTCAACTTAGCCAGACACTCCTTTGCCCTCCCATTCGTAAATGGGTTGATGGGATATTTGGTTAGATAATAAAATTACTCACCAATGGCTTAGGTTAACACAAGCATCTCATGGGAGACCTGCAACTTAGCAAGTAAGACATAGGCATTGAATTGATTAGAGGCCATGTAGAAGCGTTTGGCAATGGCAGCAATTAGCAAGGAGGTGGTGGCAAAACCGGAGTATTGGGTGAATGATAATACGATTTTTCCATACACAGTGTATGGTTCGTACTCCTCATATGAGTATCTGATCAGAGCCAGAGTGGTCTCATAGAAGGAGTGTTTCAACAACAACATGGTGTTGGAGTTGTCCTCTCTCATGTATGGACGTTCTACTATCCACAATGCCAAAGTGAGATAACAAACTTATATAGTAAAAATGGTAGAAATTACTAGAACTGGTTCTTTGTCTACTAAAGATTTGAAAGTGAAACTCCATTTCACTTTGAACCCAAAATATAATGATAACCTATGCACCTAACTGTTGTACAGGTGACTCAATCGCAATAGGATGAACATCAAGGTTATGCTTCTGAAGCAGGTCCACAAAAAGAGCAAGTCATTCAAGGTGAAGTAAAATACGCCATCAACTCTATAGAGTGTGAATTCGAACTGAATATCTAGGTAATGACTTAATTTACTTTTGGAGAATACATTGGGTATTGGCAAATACACCAAAAATTCTAACAGAAAAGGATTAAAAATATCGCTTTTATGAAATGCAAGGTTGAGTGGGATCAATTGAGTGGCCTTAAAGTAATTGAATTTGGCATGATATGTTAGGTAGGTACAGAGCAAGAGGATGCAATTCAAAGCGAAGACAAGCCATAGGATTGTATTATCGTGCCAATCGGATATGAAATATTAGTCATCAAACTATATAATAATTCTCATACCTCTATGATGAGTAGGATTGTAATCACTAACAGTAATTGCAATCTGACGTGTTCAATCAAGCGATGGGTCTCAAATAACAACTTGGTGACTCTGGAATCTTCAACACCATTCTGATCATCCTTCTTGATGCTGGCGTACTCTGCCATTCCAGATTGGGATGCATGGTTTCTGTCGTATTCCAGTTCCTGAATGGTGTCGTCCAGATGTTGTGGCATGACATTGTTTTCACGAAATCGTTTTTAATTCATAATATTTTCACATATAAATATATAATGTAGTCAAACATGAAACTCCATCACAAGTAGATCAGATTCTTCCTGCTCTGATTCTTAATAAATGGGTTCATCTTTGCTCTGTTTATCACATGTTTACAAGTGATGTGAGTGTTGTTTCTAACTGCAACTAGCTTGTGACTCACACACATAGTGGTAATTGATGGTGTTAATCAATTGCAGACGTTTAAATTCCTTCAGTAAGAGGTAGTACTCTTGGAACATGAAATTGATGTCCTTGAACTTTCGTTTCGCTTTTGACATGGAGTCTTCGCCATCAATATTCCTGTATTACCTCTTCATCTACTTGAGAGCATTGATAGAGTCCTGAATAAGGTGTATGTTATTATGTTGTAATTTTTTAATTTTCATCTTTTGGATCCTCACAATCAAATCCTGACTGAATTATTTCATGACGTTGGTGACGCTGGTCTTTTCCAACAAGGCCCAGACCATCTCCTCACAATTCATCCTCTCGAACATTGAATCCAGCATTGCTGTAAAGAGGGAAGTGTACGACACTCCCCAGAACACACAGATGGCCATCGAGATACGACCCAAATCAGTAGTCGGATAGAACTCGCCATATCCGACAGTGGCAATGGTGGTGAGAGTGACCCACATAGAGGTCATTACACTGTACACACTATGTTGTTGCACCTCGTTCCTTTATAGAGATCTCTCAGCGATCTCCATGCTGTAGCCAAAGAGAAGCATTCCAGTGATGAACAACCCCATGAGTGTGTAACCAGGGAGATCCTTCATGCACAACTTGAACACCAAGTGAGTGTCAAAATCAGTAGAGTAGAGACGACTAAATATTAGAATAAATATTTGAACCACAATCTGCCAATTTGACTGCTGTAAAAGGACGAAAATTTAAGTGTAATATTTATCAACAGAATAACTCTGAAGGTGAGGATATAGGTTAATATTTCATTCAAGTAGTAAAATCGTAGCTCACCTGTGTATCGCTGATTGAAGTCTACTCGAATCATTTGGGTGAAGGGAGTTGGAGTGGGTAAGATCAGAAGTATTTCAATGGCTAAACCCTGCACCAAATTTGAGTCGAAGAGACCTGCTTGAGGTGTGATTACCATTGCTTTCTTCTTATAGGTTAAGAGAACTTGGTAGGAAATGAGAGTCAGCAAAACTAGACGATAGCAAGGGGAAAGCATGTACTTGCAGCAGCAGTCATCAAAAATATGATGTACAATAATGTTAAGGTCTCCTTCTCCAATTCTTTTGCAAATTGATCCGAAAACGAACACTCGTACTATGTTGTCCTTCATAAACACTCATACTTCCATTATCGCTATGATTTGAGTCCCGAATATCACACAAAACCTCGTCATCTCCACTATTCGATACTGTTCAAACAATAGTAATGTGATCCTGCTGTCCTCAAATGTACTCTGTGAGTCTGACAAAATTGACCCTTGTCTTTTAACTCTCCATTTTTTGCTCAAAGAGGGAGTCTTCTGTTTTGTTATCTCTACATCCTGAGACATTATTAATATTTATAATCCCCCATGAAAAAAGTAACTTAATCTACTGCCTCCACCTTCAAACCCAAGCGATTGCTGGCCAAAGCCAAAAGTCAAAACCAATTCGAAGAAACAGACCCAGCTCAAAGAGGTAATTCATGCATAATATGAAGNAAGAGGTAGTACTCTTGGAACATGAAATTGATGTCCTTGAACTTTCGTTTCGCTTTTGACATGGAGTCTTCGCCATCAATATTCCTGTATTACCTCTTCATCTACTTGAGAGCATTGATAGAGTCCTGAATAAGGTGTATGTTATTATGTTGTAATTTTTTAATTTTCATCTTTTGGATCCTCACAATCAAATCCTGACTGAATTATTTCATGACGTTGGTGACGCTGGTCTTTTCCAACAAGGCCCAGACCATCTCCTCACAATTCATCCTCTCGAACATTGAATCCAGCATTGCTGTAAAGAGGGAAGTGTACGACACTCCCCAGAACACACAGATGGCCATCGAGATACGACCCAAATCAGTAGTCGGATAGAACTCGCCATATCCGACAGTGGCAATGGTGGTGAGAGTGACCCACATAGAGGTCATTACACTGTACACACTATGTTGTTGCACCTCGTTCCTTTATAGAGATCTCTCAGCGATCTCCATGCTGTAGCCAAAGAGAAGCATTCCAGTGATGAACAACCCCATGAGTGTGTAACCAGGGAGATCCTTCATGCACAACTTGAACACCAAGTGAGTGTCAAAATCAGTAGAGTAGAGACGACTAAATATTAGAATAAATATTTGAACCACAATCTGCCAATTTGACTGCTGTAAAAGGACGAAAATTTAAGTGTAATATTTATCAACAGAATAACTCTGAAGGTGAGGATATAGGTTAATATTTCATTCAAGTAGTAAAATCGTAGCTCACCTGTGTATCGCTGATTGAAGTCTACTCGAATCATTTGGGTGAAGGGAGTTGGAGTGGGTAAGATCAGAAGTATTTCAATGGCTAAACCCTGCACCAAATTTGAGTCGAAGAGACCTGCTTGAGGTGTGATTACCATTGCTTTCTTCTTATAGGTTAAGAGAACTTGGTAGGAAATGAGAGTCAGCAAAACTAGACGATAGCAAGGGGAAAGCATGTACTTGCAGCAGCAGTCATCAAAAATATGATGTACAATAATGTTAAGGTCTCCTTCTCCAATTCTTTTGCAAATTGATCCGAAAACGAACACTCGTACTATGTTGTCCTTCATAAACACTCATACTTCCATTATCGCTATGATTTGAGTCCCGAATATCACACAAAACCTCGTCATCTCCACTATTCGATACTGTTCAAACAATAGTAATGTGATCCTGCTGTCCTCAAATGTACTCTGTGAGTCTGACAAAATTGACCCTTGTCTTTTAACTCTCCATTTTTTGCTCAAAGAGGGAGTCTTCTGTTTTGTTATCTCTACATCCTGAGACATTATTAATATTTATAATCCCCCATGAAAAAAGTAACTTAATCTACTGCCTCCACCTTCAAACCCAAGCGATTGCTGGCCAAAGCCAAAAGTCAAAACCAATTCGAAGAAACAGACCCAGCTCAAAGAGGTAATTCATGCATAATATGAAGACAGGAAAATAATCAGAATGAGGAATGTTGTTGATTTGGGAGATGCCTAGGAAGACAATAAAAAAAATCAAAAGAAGAATGGTAATTCTCTCAATTCTCATTGTTAGAAAACCAAAACGATCCTCTCCTTGAACAACTTGATCAATGGCATGAAAATATTATGTCCAAGAAAAAGTCCTATGCATTTGAACAAGTCAAGCAAAGTGACAACAACAACAACAACAAAGTCATCGAGAACGAATTCAACTTGGATCATGGACCCTAAATCAACTCCAACATCATCAATCAAATCATGAAACCAATTGAATTGCCGAACTTTAAAACTGAAGATAACAATGACGATGTCTAAGTCCAATTCCAAATGCTCAGAGCCAACAAAGAATCTGGCAATGTTTTAAAGACACTCGACCAAGTAAGAATCGAAATGAATAAACAAATCCTCAATAGTCTTCTCCTGCAAAAGGTCACCAAAAAACTGGATGAAATGAACATCAATAGAAAACATAAAACCAATTGGAACATACAACGAATGGACGAAGAAATCACCCAAGTATTCCGAGATCAATCTCACGCCTTGAAACAAAGAACATTAAATAACTTCAAAGGCCTAACCGAGTACTTTAGCAATCCTGCATAATACATAGATTACGAAGTGGTCCTATCCAAGGCCAAATATCATTCCAATCGACCACCTACCTCATTTCCTACCACCCAAATCCCCCAATAACAACAAAACTCTACCTCTGCTAAATCCTTGATGGAGAGTTATCAACTATTTCAATAGTAGATTAAAGAACATAAAAGTATACTGTTTCAAATGAGAATCGAAAACAATACATTAGTTTAAGATTTGAATCATTATGAGGAAGAAGTTCAGGACATTAGGAGGAAGTTCTTTATCAAGGAGGAGAAGGCAAGACAAGGGTGGATACCAGAATAGCAGAATGATGGAGTACCTAATAAAAAACGAAACCTTATGGATATAATCGAGAAAATCAGAAATCAAAGGGATGTGGAGATCAGACAAAGAACAAAGGAAATACAATCATTAAGAAAACAGATGCAATAAAACAGTGAAAAATAACAACAGATTTAGAAGGAACTCGATGAAATGAGACAAAAGAAAAGGAGATGTAAAATGTTGCTTAAAGATATCTTCCTCAAACAATTCTAAGATTCCAATAACTCTCTCGTTCCCGAAGGCTTGGTCAGCATTATTAAGAATATGAGAAAGATCAATGAAAGTGCTAAACCTGAGTATTTCCCGAAATTCTTAGATGATATTTCCAAGAATTATCTCCTATAGGCTGCTCAATTGGAGATCGATATAGAAGAGACAAGGATATTGTCTTAAAAATACAATCAATAATAATTACTACAACGTGCAACTAGTGCAAGATAGCAGATAACCACACAAAGACAATAGATGAATGTTTCTGAGATCAAGAATTAAGTGAAGATGATGTTAAAGAAGAGCAAGGTCTCTATCAAGAAACCTGTGTTTGTGTAAGGCATCGATCCCATCAATCCAAGTTCATTTGCTCATGTAATTAAGTGGGAACATTAAGATTTAGAAAACTAATAGATAACTGAACCAATTGAAAACAACTTCAAGAATTAAAACATCTCATCGGAGCGTAATAATACTATAAAGGATTACAATCAGAAGCTAGTTTAATTACAATAATAATTAGAATAAGTCACCAATGAAGAATGCTAACGTATATTAAAATCATATTCCAACAAAAAATTATTATCAGACATACAAGAATTGAAGATGGTCATGTATGCACTATTTGGTTAGACACTTGGAGATTAACAGTGGATCCAATTTGTTGTTGAATGGACTGAATAAAAATAATTAAATCCCCTTTATGTTTTGAAACAGGAAGAACAATCCAAATAGAATGATACGCGCAAGGATTAACATTCCATACCAGAAAGGATGAAGAAAAAAGTGTCTTAAACATTAAAAAAATTAACAGAAGTTACTAATGTTGATTATAATTTTGAATTATGTTTTTGATTCATTTTTATGTTTATGTCGAAGATATATTTATATTATATTGAGAAATAAAATTTCTCTCATTTTTTATGAATATAATATAATCTCATAGTTTCTTCATGTCAGTATAGATACAATAGACTTTGCCAAAGACAACTACAATAACTGAAAAGATATCGCCGATTATATTTATCCATTTATTCTGTGATTTTTCTGCAGCTTACAAATTCTAAGTTTAACCTACACTTGTTTATTGCTATACTCTTTAAACTTAATCGGTCATTTCTGGTTGAGAGTTTGAATTTTATGATAAATAATCAATAACACTATTGAATCTTGTAACTTCTCCTTATTCATAAACACTCATACAAGAAAAACATGATAAGTGTTGTTAATAAGGCAAAAAATATTTATAGATCTTCTTAAAATTATGAAATTCATCATCTTCATTTAATCCAGTTGTCTCTTTGGTAATCATATAGCTATATAATGTATACAATCCTGCAATAGTTTTTGGTACTCTTGAATTAGGATTGGTTTCTTCTTGTTTACTTGGGATGAGTGAAAATTTATGCTTTTTTTGTATCATCGCAATTATTTGTTGAGACATTTCTGTAAGTCTCTTAAAATAGAATGTGCTCTTTTACATTAAATAGCTATTGACAATCTCACAACTTGATAATTAGGATACAGTTTAATTCTGCAGAGTAATCGATTCAGATTCATTCAAATTTAGGATCAAACTCTTTCTTGCCTATTCTGAGAATACATTCTGAATCATTTCGTTGTTTTTTATTTTATGTATTATTTAAATCTTCTTGAGCATTCCTTATTTGAATTCAGGTCTTCCTTCCAATTGTTCTTTAATTCTTTTAATTTGTACATCATCAGCATCATCCTCTAAGTATTTATTAATGATCAGAAAAATGTTTTATATATTTAGTGGATTCTGCCCAATTTATTAATTGATGAATTGAATCAAATCCTTTCCTCTATTATGCAACTCTCTTTATGGACTGTCTAAAACATACACTATTTTAGTTTAGAATGATGTTGTTATTTTCTGAAAGAGCACATCAATAAATAATTTATGATATTCGTCAATTGTGCTTTCGAATCCAGGTAAATCAATAAGGACATGACCCAGTTCTTCAATAAAATCATAAATCGAAGTTTAAGTAACTGATGTTGAACATTTTCCCATTTTCGAAATATACATTTAGTCATTGGTATGAATAGGTTCCAACTAACTTAATCCATCCTTTTCTACTGTCTTAAAGCCAGCTCCTAAAAGCCAATTATAGATGGTGCTCTTTCCAGCCCCAGTATTTCCACATAACAAAATTACCTTTTTGTTTTTTTAATTCTTCATGAACTTTTCGAATTTAGTGAAGTTGCTCTTAACCCTCTAAATCACTTCAGATATTATCAATTCACCTTTCTCATTCAATTCTTCCATCTATTGTGTTTGTTACATTGTTTTTAATATTTAAATTTCTAAACCTTTAATTCTATTAAACTATTAATAACTTGGGTAGTATTTATCATCTTTCTCCTTGTATTGCTTATAAAATTAATTGATATATCCTCATTTAGGTAAACATAATATTACAATCAGTGCAAGGTAAACATAATATTACAATCAATGCAAGGTAATCTATATGTTCTAAGAAGAGTTAACAAATATTTTTAAAAGAATTCCTTTTGAAAATATTTTTTTAGAATTATCAACACTCTAATTAATTCTAAACTATTTAATAGTCTGGAATTTTTAATTATTAAACCCAGATGATTAATATAGAATGAAATAATATCTTTTCAAATGATTTAAATTACTATTCTTTAGTAATAGAAATTAGAATAATTCAATTAATTGATATATTTAATAGTAATTCTATTAAAAAGTTCTAATGGTTAAGGATGATAAATTTTATGCATGTCTTAAATACATCAAGGAAAGCGAAGGAGGAGATGTAAATCATAAGAGCGACAGAGGTGGAGCAACAAGACAAGGAGTGAGCTAAAATGCTTATAATCTTCAACAAAAAGAGTTGGGTAATAAAGGTCCCTACAAGTCAGTATTTGATTTGAAAGCTTCAGAAATAGAGGATTTTTATTATTATTAGTATAAAAGATACAACGTTGATAAAATTGACGACATCAATTCTAGGTACCTTTACTATGACGCATTGATCCTTTAAGGACCTGGGAAAGCAGCTAAAATGGCATAAAGTGTTTGTAATATAAAGGTTGATGGTTGTTTTGGCAAAAACTCAATTGCCAGTGTAAATTCTATGAATTAGAAAGATTTTTAACTCAAATTCACAAATTAAAGAAGAGAGCATTTTAATAATATTGTAAAAAACAATCCTACATAAAAAGTATTTTTTAAAGGATGGATCAATCGAGTGGATAGGATTCTATCATAAATCCAAAATGGAACCATTTAATAATAATACAATACAATCTAAAATCAAAGACCATTATAATAGGATAAATTCAATCAATCGGCTTAAAATCCTAAAGGAATAGACTGCAGTGTAGATGTCAGTGTGTTAAATCGAATAAAAGGAGTAAATAGGATGTCAGCAAGATTTATAATTGAGAGTTAGGAGAACATAATCATGTCAGACCTAGCTACTGTATTAAGTGTTCTACATGATCCTAGCCTACAGAATTAATATAAAAGTATATAATTTAGTTTAGATCCTATAATTTTACCAAATCAAGAGGAGTTTTAATAACAATAAAAAGTGTGCTGGCCTGATGCATATGTTGATAGAAATATTGTATAAGATACCGAATTGGCTACCATCCTATTTGATGCCGATTACTTATTAAAATTGATGAGTCTGGGTGTTGAAGCAGATGGAAAGACTCCTTTCAATTATCCGTAGGAATTGCAATAACTGGGATTAAAATCTTGTTCACAAATGGGATAACAAAAGTAGCAACGATTGTTATGCAGATTTTGGCTTGTTCCATAACAATGTTTTTATTCTTAAATTAACAACAAATACTTAATAGATGATATTAAGGTTGCCTGCTAAGCTAGGTAGATGGAAAGAGTAGGTAATAACTTACAAGATAAAATATGCCAAGATGTTAATGATTCAGCTTACTAATTTGCAGCTAAATTTACTTAGATATATGATACAATAGCTAAATACTATCCAATTTTTAATAGGTTGAAGTAGTTATTCAAGGCAGTAGCTTTGGGGAGATGGATGTATGAAAATAATATCAAGGCTAATTATTAAGAGATACTAAGATTTTGTAAGAAAGCCAATAATTCTCCAAAAGCAATACCAATTCTAAAGTATGAAAAATTGGGAGAGGAAAATAAAACTCCTATTTATTTCACTCAGGCTGAAAAATTATAGGTGGCAAAGGATTATCTAAAAGAAAAGGGTCATCCAACAACTTAAAACTACATCGATTAAATTGTTAAACAGATACCAGATTTGAAGGGATATTCGGTATCTTCGTCAGTGCAATATAGTTAAGGAGGAGTGAATACCCATTGTTAAAATATGATTGAATCTAAATCTGATCCTAAAGTGGATAAATTTATAAATTTGGAAGAAGTTGAAATTCCCTTCTTCCCTTCAAAAAAGTGTAGTGCATGCAATAGAATGATTGAAAACCATTTGTCGAATTTAAATCAAAATCAATGTTCTATTCACAATGACTACACTTGCTATTTGTGTCTTGAGTTGATCACAAATTAGGATTCTAATCCAAAAAGTTGTGTTATCAATAATTACAGATACATTTTTCATTAGTCTTGTTATAATTAATATGAAACCATTATAAATAGTAATTAGAATGATGAAGATTGGAATTGATAATTACAAATATTATAAAACAAATTATTAGATTTTATAATATATAAGTATATGTATGGATATAATATCCAATAGATTGTTACAATAACATATTATTTCTAAGATTTGTTCAATTTTAAAATGACCTAAATTATATTATCATTCTGGTTTGACTTTGTTTACTTTTTTGGCTGCGCAATTGGATGATGACCATAAGAATAATCCTCCAACCAAGGCTAAGGTTTTCAAAAATTCGATTTAAGTAGCCTAATCATTGTTAATTAATGGATTGGCTGTTATAGCAGCTTACAAGAGGAGTCCTAACACTGGTAAGATGGCGAAACTAGAGGATTAAATGAATTGGATTTACCATCCGCATAAGAACATCAAAAAAGAACTTGCAATAAGTCCTGAAATAACCTATCTGGCTAATACTGCTGGCAATAATTTAAAATAATCAGAGGGTATGTACTTAAATAAGAATGGGAAATTACCGATTTGACATGATGATTCTTCTAAAATTCAGAGTATTTAGCTTCAAACTGTTTTCCCAATTGGACATCAGTGAATAAAAGGAAACTGTAACCAGCTAGAGCTGCAAACAATAGGACTTTCCCAAAAAATGCCATAAATAAATAGTTTATTTTATTTAGACACATGTGTGAATTTGATTAATCAGAAACGAAGATTATATTGAATATTAAATAATATATGATATGTGTTATAATTCATTTATTATTTTTCTTCTCCCTAAATTACACTCTTAATGAATATATTTTTTTATCCTTATCCCAAACGGGTTGAAATTTGCCATCCTAAAATTGAAAACCCAACATATACTTGTGTCTCTATCTCCTGATTGGGAATTTTAAAGCTAATATTTTCGTATGGCTCCCCTGCGAAGATCAAATACTGATAATTCTTGTCTGGCTGCTCGATCTTCTGTTCGAAGGCTGACATAACTCTGTGTTTTGGAATGAATCCTGGTTGAATGTCTTCATAATAAAGCTCAAAATATAGCACTTTAGAAGTGTTCTCGACAGTCCTAGTGACCTTGTATCCTGGACGTCCTATCTTGATTGTTTTGTGTTTCTGTGGTTTCGGTTGATTCTACTTTGCCATGTGCATCATCGCATTGAGATCCTTTCCCTCCCTGGCTTTTCTGCGCAACAGATTCTACTGATGTTTCTTTCCTTGGGTGTGTGCCAAATACGATCCTTCATTGGTATGGAGAGTCAAACACAATCTGTGGGATCATTATATGTATACTTGCATTCATAAGTACCAAGATGATTAATCATGAAATAAGGGTCCTTTTGAAGGTCTATGATTTCCATGGCCAGCTATTTGAGACGTTCTCTTCTTTCGACGTTGGCATCTGCAGCTGATGCCATAGGACCCGAACCGGTCCTACCTCCTGGTCGATTTTACATGTCCATTAATTTAATTAATGCTATCAAACCCTCACTTAAGCAACTATATCAGGTTTTTCTAGATTATCTCAGACATGGAACAGGAATGTCTGATTACATAGAAAGAGAAGCACCAATTAAAAGTGAATTTAACTCTCAAGGACATGCAATTGGTAAACATGATTGCTCTCAATACAGGTAGTGAAGGATTACAATTATTCATAAGATGCCGATGACGAAGAGTTCAAATACAGTATAATCAACATTTTGAGGAAGCAAAACCAATCTCCTCGTCAAAGGTAGGGGTAGAAGATCAGATGCAAATCAACTGGAATAGAAATGAGTCCGATACGTTTGATTAGACGAAATTCAGTTAGCAAAGAAGCCAAAGTAACTGAGGAACAATTGATCCAACAAATAGATGATTTGAATGACTCACTTGTAATGATTCTATAGAATGAAAACAAAAGCGTAATTTTAGTCCTTTTAATGGTTTCATCTAGATACTTACGCCGATTGTAACTGAAAAATTGAAGAGCATCCTGGAAGTAATACAAAAGACAACCATCTCATCACCTTCTACGACTACTACAAAAATCTTGTAAGCTGAGGACACAGAGAATTGTAAAATCGTGGATAAATTTACTTCACTCTATTCAGACATGAAGGTATTCATCATCATCATTCCAAATAGAAACATTACACTGATTATTTGAACTGTCATCTCTTATTAATGGATAATAATCTATCCTATGAGAATCTAGTACAAAGTGTCAAAAATTTCGTTAAAAAATTAATCGATGCTGATTAAATCACTTATTTACACATAAGAGAAGATCAATCACAACAAACCTATTACTCTGCTGATGACTCATACCTAATTACAAACGACAAGTAGATCTACAATGAAACCTAATTGATTCAACCTAACAAAGTGCTCCTCCTAGATGAGTGCAACTTCTACCCTGCTTTGAGTGAATAATTCAAGATTAAACTGTACAAACGCAATTATTTGATCAAATTGAACAATCAGGATGTTTTCGTCTGTTTCCACATTAGTGATCAAACATCCATCATCAGTGAGTTTCTTGCTTTGGCTGATGAATTCGATATCTTCGAGGATCTCAATTAATTGTCCTCATTCTTGATTGAAACAATCAAACAAGCCAAGGTCCAAGTATTTAATCCACTGCAACTCTCACACATGATCTAAGGAATCGGCATAGCGTTCATCAGAAGTTCTAAGTACTTATTCATCAAGAAGTGTATCCATATCTTGCAATCCAAATACTAGGTTGAGATGTAATTATCGCCATATATAATATGCTTAGTCACATCAATTCTGGAGATGGCATGTCAGTGATCAGTAGTCCCAGTTTCTTTTATGGCGCTTAGAAATAAGTGGATTTTGATTTCAAAGATGAATTGAATGTGTCAATTACAATAAATGGCATGGATCTAAATAAGAAGGCTGACCTTATGATTTATAAGCAGCTGACTCAGAGTTTTAATAAGTATCTCAAATTCATACGACAATGTTATGATCGAACAACCTTTTATAAGTTCTTCGTGAAATCATAAGAGACTCTCATTTTCGAATTCGATAAGTTAGGCAAATTGATATTCTTGTCTCGTCCCATCCCTTAAGAAATAAAGAGGGAATTCAACATTGATTTCGACCCCAAGAAAAACAAAGTGACCTATTCCCAATTGTTTTAAAATGAGGAGTTGCTCAAATACATTGAAAATTTCCTGCAAGAACACAACGTCCTCAGAGACAGCGATCAACAGTATCAAGTGTTCATGAAAATGGAAGAACGCAACTTCAAAGGATTCTTTATCATCTTTTAGCAAGGTTGGCTCAAATACGATCAGAAGAAATTCAATCTCAATGACCCTTCATTGTAGAAGGAACTGCAGAAATAAATTATCCAGCAAGAGACTATGAGATTCATTGATAAACTGGAATAAAACAATCCTTAGATTTTGAATTCGGTTGTCCAGATGTTCAAGCCGAGATCCACTCAAAGATAAACTGTGCATTACAGGAATTCCATTCTGTAATTTGAGCCTGCAAAACTCGGAGTTCAACACAAATGCTCATTGCGAATGGAGGATTTAAATACGTAATGCACAGTTCCCAATATTGACAATTTCAACTTCAACGTCTTGGCAGTGGATGAAATGGTGTAAAAGTAATTGGCGGTGGTTGAAATACTGAAGTATCACAACCTAATCAAAGAATATGATATACCTTTAGATACACTCTGTCAATTCCTAAGCGAAGTGGAGTATAAGTATAACAAGAAGAAGAATGTATTCCACAATTATGATCACGGTGTCTCAGTGATGCAGAATGTTCATGCTATCCTCTTGTAGTTGCACTAGACGAGCAATGCTGCTATCTTATCAACCTTCAATCAGTTTGCCTTATTGTTATCTGGATTGTGTCACGATGTGTCTCACACAGGCAGAACAAACACCTTTGAAATCAACAGTCTATCTAATTTGGCTATAAGATATCATGACAGGAGTGTTTTAGAATAGCATCACGCAGCTAAGTCGCTTAAGTTGCTTTGTGTGCCAGCTACAAATATATTACAGAGTTTAAAAGGGGAAGAGTTCCGCAAATTCAGGAGGATGTTCATTTCCAATATTTTGTATACGGATATCACAGAGCACTTTAATTTGATTAAGAATTTTGAGTCAAAAGTTTCAGAATCCAATTTCGGATAGCAGGATGAGGACATCAAATTGTTGAGTGGCATGATTATTCACACATCAGATTTCACCGGAGGAGCCAAACAATTCGAGTTGTCCAAGCAATGGTCATTTAAAGTCAACAAAGAATTTGAATAGCAGTATGAATTGGAAGGGAAGTTGGGTTATCCGCAATTACCTTACATGAAGGATTTGCACAAGGTAACTATTCATCAATTAAATGATTTTAGTTGCCTGTGATGGCTAAGTAAGAGGCTGGCTTTTTTAAGTTTATAGTGAGACCGTTGTGGCAATCGATGTCCAAATATTTGGATAATCGACTATAGGAGTAGGTTGATTACCTTGATGAGACAATCTAGAAGTGGGAATAAATTGCTAATTCTGAATGATATTAATAATTAATGATTACATTTACATAATCAAAGAGTCGATTCTCTCTTTATTATTTGGAGGAGAGTGAGAAGTATTTGTAAGATCTTTCTGCCAAGGTAAGGCAAGTCAACATGATGAAAGGTGATGAGCGGTATAATCATTCTTAATAGTTGAATAGATTGGAAAGGGGAAAGGTGCACATTTGTTCACGTACATTGATATTCGAGCCAGAGAGGTAGGAGTTGCCCATTCAGAAATTGTTCTATAAAATGATAACAACCCCTTTGAGGCAATCGAATTGTATCAGCTTTCGAATTAAACGCATAATTGAGATTCACACGCAAGGACCACCCTCTCCTTATGTTTATTTGGATGACATCGATATGGAGATCTAAATTGAGCCTCTGTTTGACAACATCAAGATCGTGTTTGAGTTGATAGAGAGGATCTTGCAAATAAATCAGCAGAAACATGATGTTGAAGGGGAAGTTGAAAAATTGGATTCAGAGAAATTGCAAAAAATTAGATTCAACATGAGTTTTGTAGAATCAGTCAGTGAGAAACCCCTGATTCAAAAGGAGATGTTGGTGCGCAAAATTATGCCATTGATTCAAACCAAAGGTAACACTTTATTGTGCATCATCTTAGGCATTTTGTACATAACCAATAAGATCATCTATTTCCAGCCGTTCTTCAAGGTTACATTGAAACCATGCAAGAAGATCCCCATCGAAGAGATCAAGATCCTATACAAGAGAAGATTCGAATTGATGGACATTGGTTTGGAAATCATTTTGAATAGCGGCAAAACCATCTATTTTGCATTTGAAAATCAAGAAAGAATGGAGGAAGTCTATAAAGTGCTCATAGGTATCCATCAATTACATCCTCTTAGGAAAAGTAACCATTGAGGCTGAAACCAGTTTGGAAAAGATGCAATACTTATGGTAAAGTGGGCAAATCTCAAATTTCGAATACTTGATGCGATTGAATCAAGCAGGCAATAGAAGCACAAGTGATCTAACTCAATATCCTGTTTTCCCCTTGATCATTATTGATTACGAATCCACAACATTGGATTTGAATAATCCATCCACGTATCGTGATTTGAAAAAACCTATCGGAGCTTTGAACGAAAAGAGATTGAAGGAATTCCTGAATCGATATTAAGAGATGCCTACACCTAAATTTCTATATGGAACTCACTATTCCACTCCAGGATACGTCATTGGTTATTTGGTGAGACAGAAACCACAATACATGTTGAAGTTGCAATCAGGAAAATTTGATAAACCTGACAGATTGTTCAAAAGTATCAAGGGAGATTTCAAAAATATCATGAACAATCCTACTTCGCTAAAAGAATTGATTCCTGAATTCTTCCTTGATGATGACTCCTTTTTGGTAAACAAATTTAATTTGGATCTTGGAATCAGACAAAATCAAAAGAAGGTTGGTGATGTTAAATTACCTAAATGGGCTAGTAATGCTAAAGAATATTTGAGATTGAATCGAATGGCCTTGGAAAGTGAATATGTCAGCAATTAGCTACACAATTGGATTGATTTAATCTTTGGGTACAAATAAAGGGGACCTAATGCTGTCGAAGCAAACAATAGTAATTATTCTATTCTATTTTAGTATTTCACTATCTAACTTACGAGGGCACTGTTTAGATCAATAGTTTGACAGATCCCATTGAAAGACAAGCTTTCGCATGTTAGATCAATGAATTCGGATAGTGTCCTAAATAATTGTTTAAGATTGAGCATCCACCTAAGTATGCTTTGAGAAGTGGGCAAATGATCTACAAATCTGTTGAACAAATTAAACAATAAAAGGAAGAGGAGGTTCCAATCAATGTAGAAGGATTACTTTGGGAAAACTTGGATAAGAAGGATCAATTCTCAAACAAGGTCATTTCCAAGGCACATAAAACGTATTTACTTATATATAAAAAGTAATATCACTGATATGGTAGTGTTAGAAAAGAAAGGTCTCTTAGTGACCATAGGCTAGGATGGTTTCTTAAAAGTTATTGATTTAAAAGAATTCACTGTCTTGAAGTCCTTTAAAGTAGATGAATTCTGTTTAAGTGTGATAGTTGTATTGAAGCCAGATGAAATATTTGCTATTGGAAGTTGGGGTTCATAAATACATGTGTTTAATATCAATTATGGAAGCAAGGTGTAAGTTGTTTAAAGGTTCAATAATTCTGTCAGTTCCTTAGTGTACTTGTAAAAGAAGAAAATATTGATAACTGGATCATGGGATTGTTCATTGAAGAAGTTTGAGTGTTCAGAAAATCAAATTAAGTAAGATACTGAAGAAATGATTGATGATTGGGAGGCTTAAATAACTCATATTGCTGCCACTGAAGATGAATCAATGATTGCAGTCGGAGATGTCGATGGTAAAGTGATTACAATAAGTACCAGCAATTGGACACAACAGAATCAGTTTGAAATCAATGGGGAGAAAATAGTAAAATTACTATTTTTTAAAACAAGTTTGCTTGTAGTAGGTGATACTTAAATTAAGATGTTCAACAATACTAGTTAATTATTGGATTTCAAGATTGATAAAAACAATGGAATTGTAACAGATGTATTGATCGATCGTGAGAAGTATCTTGTTGTATGTAATAATGTCTTGCTATTAAACAAGCTACCAAAAAGGGATACGTAGCTGTATTCTCTATGTTGTTGGAGAGCAAATTAGGATACCTATTTACTGATTATTAGACCTAGCCAGATTTGATTGTAAATTAAGATTAGCAATTTACAAAGATGTCCTTGTAAGACAAAGCCCTGGTGTTGGCAAGTCAGAATGGTAGTGTCAACATATTACAATATTGATATAATATATTGATATAATATATATATATAAAATAGTACAAGCGAATTTCACATTTATCTTCCCAGAAATCTGTATGACATTTCAGAACAACAATAAATAAGTTATGATTCTTATATGAATATATGTATATATTTATGCAATCATTTATAAGCATCTTGCACCTTCCTGAAGGAATCGATTAGATGATTTGTGCATTTTTCTAGCAATAGAATAGAAGAATTACCAAGACATTAATGATTTTCTTTTGTCAAAACATCATCTTTGGAAGACAATACTCCGCATCTAACTTGGCAGATACTTGTAAATCTCAAAAACAAACCTAGTGTTTCTCTTTATTAAATATTGTCCATAATAATATAATTCAAAAGTGTGAATGAACTAAAATTAAAATAAACCAGAAAAGCTCTCAATTTAAAGTTAATGACTTGTTGGACAATGATATGAATCATAAAAGACAAGCAGTGGCAGTAACAAAATGTAGTTGAGCTAGAGGGAAGAGTAAAAAGTAGAAGTTAATATNCAATTATGGAAGCAAGGTGTAAGTTGTTTAAAGGTTCAATAATTCTGTCAGTTCCTTAGTGTACTTGTAAAAGAAGAAAATATTGATAACTGGATCATGGGATTGTTCATTGAAGAAGTTTGAGTGTTCAGAAAATCAAATTAAGTAAGATACTGAAGAAATGATTGATGATTGGGAGGCTTAAATAACTCATATTGCTGCCACTGAAGATGAATCAATGATTGCAGTCGGAGATGTCGATGGTAAAGTGATTACAATAAGTACCAGCAATTGGACACAACAGAATCAGTTTGAAATCAATGGGGAGAAAATAGTAAAATTACTATTTTTTAAAACAAGTTTGCTTGTAGTAGGTGATACTTAAATTAAGATGTTCAACAATACTAGTTAATTATTGGATTTCAAGATTGATAAAAACAATGGAATTGTAACAGATGTATTGATCGATCGTGAGAAGTATCTTGTTGTATGTAATAATGTCTTGCTATTAAACAAGCTACCAAAAAGGGATACGTAGCTGTATTCTCTATGTTGTTGGAGAGCAAATTAGGATACCTATTTACTGATTATTAGACCTAGCCAGATTTGATTGTAAATTAAGATTAGCAATTTACAAAGATGTCCTTGTAAGACAAAGCCCTGGTGTTGGCAAGTCAGAATGGTAGTGTCAACATATTACAATATTGATATAATATATTGATATAATATATATATATAAAATAGTACAAGCGAATTTCACATTTATCTTCCCAGAAATCTGTATGACATTTCAGAACAACAATAAATAAGTTATGATTCTTATATGAATATATGTATATATTTATGCAATCATTTATAAGCATCTTGCACCTTCCTGAAGGAATCGATTAGATGATTTGTGCATTTTTCTAGCAATAGAATAGAAGAATTACCAAGACATTAATGATTTTCTTTTGTCAAAACATCATCTTTGGAAGACAATACTCCGCATCTAACTTGGCAGATACTTGTAAATCTCAAAAACAAACCTAGTGTTTCTCTTTATTAAATATTGTCCATAATAATATAATTCAAAAGTGTGAATGAACTAAAATTAAAATAAACCAGAAAAGCTCTCAATTTAAAGTTAATGACTTGTTGGACAATGATATGAATCATAAAAGACAAGCAGTGGCAGTAACAAAATGTAGTTGAGCTAGAGGGAAGAGTAAAAAGTAGAAGTTAATATAGTTTTTGACAAAATAATTTTGGAGAATGGTATTGATAAATTTAATTATTATATTAATGGTTTCAGTTTTAGGGGTTATTTAATTATCTTTAAATTTCAATAAAATATATTGTTATTTTTAAATAATTTAATAAATTGTAAATTTCATGGCTTCAAGGGTAAAGTATAATAGGCCCAAACAGTTACATATTATATTCACGAGCATTAATTTAGGATTAAGTCATTAAATGATGTAATTTGATTATTGCCTATATAAATAATTTGGTATCAACTATTTATATCTAATTGACTCTTAAATTTTGCTATCCTAAGATGAGAGGAGTAACCTTTTAAGTTGAGGGAGCATTGATCTCTTCATTAAATTTTATAGATCGAAAAAATGAAGATATACCTAAAAGGAACAATGGTCATGAATTTCTAAATGTCAATTCTTTTGCATGAATGATATAAGGAATTAATTATTCTTAGTTGAAAAATAATAATACTATAATATTTTAGCTCTACCTGTTTATTATATCACTATAAAAAAAAGTTCTATGTCAACACTATAGTAAGAGTTATTCAAATATAAAACATTAAAGACTTCATTTGCTAGACTATTAGATATGATATCTTCTTAGTTTTCTATAGCAGGAGATACATTCTATTAATTGAGAATCATATAGACATCAAAAAGAGATACATGAATCGAATTTTTGGTATTTCTCTAAAGATCATGTGATTGTTGGAAAGAGCAAAATCGAATGATTTAAATTAGAATGCTAATGAGGGTAACAGCTTTTATCTGGATCATATGATTTATTAGGAATTTATAGCTTTACAGGGGATATTCTCTTAAAATAGTTCAATGATTTAGATAAATTGGTAGCAATCATAAGTTAATTAATTTTCTGACTTTTTTCATGATTGTGCTTAATCAATTGCTATGAAAAGGTTACGGAATAGTTAACATAGGGTCTTTCCTTTTAAATGATATCATTTTCTACAAAAATATTAGGTAGAAGACATGTTCCCTAATTACTTACTGAATTAGGTGGAGTAGTAAATTGCTTTTCTACATATAATATAAAAAAGAAATGATAAATTTATTGTCATTTAATCATCCATTATAAGAGACTCTCTCACAAATCTTAATAATTCGTTGCCAAAAATCTTATTGTTTATAATTGCTATCTATTCTAAATAAAAAATATATCCATCACTTCTGTAATTATGAATTTATATGTCCTTATAGAAATAGACAAGCTTCTCCCTACCATTATCAACTATGGATACTTTGAAGCTCCTAAAGGAAAGAACGAGGTACTCTAGAATTTTAGATTTTTATAATATATTTCGAGAAAGTATTTTATATAATACTTATTGTTTGAATTTGTTATTAATAGTCGATTGTTAGAAAAAGCGAAATGAATGTTGTTATAACGACTTACCCCTGTTACACAAAGATTATACACCGCTGATTTCAGTTTCACCTCAGTTTAAAAAAATGTCTTCCGGTACTCTTTTAAGAATATCTCAGCCTCTTGATAACTCACTTCAAGTTGTTTACATGAGTCTTTCAGTTGAACTCCATAATTTTGAAGGCATTCAAATCTTATTGTTATTTCAAAATTAAAGTTCCCAGCATATTATTAATTAAAAGAGTTCTCTTTCAATTTATTTTATATCACCCTAATACATTTCATGATTTCTTCTAATCTATTTCTAATGTAGAATTATTACTTTATTGTTATTTCATACTGTAAACAATAGATTAAATAAACAATGACTTAAAATATCAATAATTTTGGGATAATCTAAAACATTATTTTCCTAAATTAAAAAAGTATACTCAAAATTTGATTGATTTTTTAAAGGATATAGATTTAGTGTTTGAATCAATAATAATAAAATATTTTCAAAATTTTTTGTTAACGACTCTTATTTTATATATAAAAGATGTAAAAACAATTTCACTATCAAAACCAAGTTTTATTTTTTTTAATTTTTTTTCAATGACCGAAGACTAAATAATAGATCTAATTAAGAAAAAAGAGGATGAAGAAGAATGCCTTTTTAACAGTCAATTCTATAATCCTCCTCCAGAGTTGAAAAAATATGATTCTGACAATGAAAGCCAATCAGAATATCATTAACAGAATTGTAAGAGGGCAAACGTTACTACAAAGGATGGAGGGGAAGTAAAAATATATATAACCTGTAGTCTTCTATTGAACCTTTTTCATTTCAGAACAATGGATAATATGAGAATGATGGGATGCCGATTGAAGAAATAGAATACCAACACTAACAAGAAGATTAGCACTCTAATTAGGAGAGTTTAATAAATATTGAAAATTCTGGAGAAATTCTTTAAAAAAGAGTAAAGTTGATATCAGGCTAAGAAGAGTTCTAGGACGAAGAAGACAAATAATTCTAATTCGGAGAGTTCTAAAATATCAAAAAAAAAGAGCTCAAATAGGAAGAATGTAATTAAAACTAGTTGTAGGCTGCTTACTATATATCCAAAGAAAATGAAAAGGATTAGAATTTCAGGATTAAAATTGTTAAAGTCTAGCCGTAATCTATTGAATAGAAGTAAAATGTAGGATTAGCTCTATAGACATCTTTATAATAAGAACATATTTAGAATGTAATAAGTTTATTTAACATATAGTCTTCCTTGTTAAATCTTTAACCAAAGAAAGCTGACTAAAATAATGAGGTTATTGAAGCTGGAGCGCAGATGAAAATATAAAAATAAACATTGTAAATTTCAAAAATTTTATAACAAATCTAAAAAAATGAAACTAAGGAGAAACCATAACTTTTAAGTAAGAGAATGTATGAGAATTTTGAGAGATTCATAAAAAAAAAATCCAAATGGAAATGCTTTCTTAAATACTCTCCTAATGTATTGGTTCATCTCATTTGTTAATATGCTGGTTCCCTGAAATAACTTGAAAAAGTTATTATTATATATGATAGGTTGGTAGCACATTTTTAAAAAATGGATGAAGATTGGATTATCAGTTTTAACCTAAACTTATAGATAAAAATTTAAAGTGACTAAATAGATAAGAGTAAAATCGATAAGGAATGGATTATTAAAGAAAATGCTAATTTTTATTTACTCTGCAATTTTAAAAAATTATGCTAAGGGATAGCAATAGATTTTAAAAAGACTGAATACTTCATTGATGTTAACAAAAAACTTAATAATCAATTGGAGAAAAATGTATCTCCAAAAGAATAAGAACAGATTAATNCTCAAAATTTGATTGATTTTTTAAAGGATATAGATTTAGTGTTTGAATCAATAATAATAAAATATTTTCAAAATTTTTTGTTAACGACTCTTATTTTATATATAAAAGATGTAAAAACAATTTCACTATCAAAACCAAGTTTTATTTTTTTTAATTTTTTTTCAATGACCGAAGACTAAATAATAGATCTAATTAAGAAAAAAGAGGATGAAGAAGAATGCCTTTTTAACAGTCAATTCTATAATCCTCCTCCAGAGTTGAAAAAATATGATTCTGACAATGAAAGCCAATCAGAATATCATTAACAGAATTGTAAGAGGGCAAACGTTACTACAAAGGATGGAGGGGAAGTAAAAATATATATAACCTGTAGTCTTCTATTGAACCTTTTTCATTTCAGAACAATGGATAATATGAGAATGATGGGATGCCGATTGAAGAAATAGAATACCAACACTAACAAGAAGATTAGCACTCTAATTAGGAGAGTTTAATAAATATTGAAAATTCTGGAGAAATTCTTTAAAAAAGAGTAAAGTTGATATCAGGCTAAGAAGAGTTCTAGGACGAAGAAGACAAATAATTCTAATTCGGAGAGTTCTAAAATATCAAAAAAAAAGAGCTCAAATAGGAAGAATGTAATTAAAACTAGTTGTAGGCTGCTTACTATATATCCAAAGAAAATGAAAAGGATTAGAATTTCAGGATTAAAATTGTTAAAGTCTAGCCGTAATCTATTGAATAGAAGTAAAATGTAGGATTAGCTCTATAGACATCTTTATAATAAGAACATATTTAGAATGTAATAAGTTTATTTAACATATAGTCTTCCTTGTTAAATCTTTAACCAAAGAAAGCTGACTAAAATAATGAGGTTATTGAAGCTGGAGCGCAGATGAAAATATAAAAATAAACATTGTAAATTTCAAAAATTTTATAACAAATCTAAAAAAATGAAACTAAGGAGAAACCATAACTTTTAAGTAAGAGAATGTATGAGAATTTTGAGAGATTCATAAAAAAAAAATCCAAATGGAAATGCTTTCTTAAATACTCTCCTAATGTATTGGTTCATCTCATTTGTTAATATGCTGGTTCCCTGAAATAACTTGAAAAAGTTATTATTATATATGATAGGTTGGTAGCACATTTTTAAAAAATGGATGAAGATTGGATTATCAGTTTTAACCTAAACTTATAGATAAAAATTTAAAGTGACTAAATAGATAAGAGTAAAATCGATAAGGAATGGATTATTAAAGAAAATGCTAATTTTTATTTACTCTGCAATTTTAAAAAATTATGCTAAGGGATAGCAATAGATTTTAAAAAGACTGAATACTTCATTGATGTTAACAAAAAACTTAATAATCAATTGGAGAAAAATGTATCTCCAAAAGAATAAGAACAGATTAATAAATTAAAATACGTAGTTACAAGAATTGAATATCTTAAATACAATAAATTAATGAAAAAAATTGTAGATTTTGATCAAAGTGACATCAAAGAGTTATATAAAGTTCCCGAGATTAAAGAGTAAGTTGATAATATCTATTAAAAAATCGTAACATCGCCTTAAAGTTTTTCTGAATATAATAGTATTACTGGTTATGATACTTAGAAGAGTAACCCCAAAAAGACCAATACTTATTATTTATAAAGCTTAATCGAAAAAATAAATAAGGCTTAATAAGAAAATAAATGAATATCAATAAAATACATAATTCAAAATTATTATTTTTATTTTATATTATATTAATAAATTTTATATAATATCAGATCATTATGGATGAATTATTAGGTGCTGTAATGTAAAGAAAATCAAAGATAAATGAAGTAAATGAAACAATTCTCAAAGTTAAAGTTAAAAGTAATAATTTGAATTAACGATTATAGATGCTATAAATTAATCTGATAGGTCAACAATATATGCCATCATCCGTAAACTTAAAGAAGAAGAAAAAAATAGAACAGAAAAAGAAAATTGGATAGTCACTATAATGAGGAATACTAAATAATACAATGAAGAATAGATGAAGTATAAGCTTATATCTAAAGTTAGTCATATATTTGTTAAAACCAACGATATCATGAAATTAATTAGTGCAACTTTTATTGAATTTCCTTATTCCCCTCCCAATAGTCTCAATCAATTTTTAGAGTAATACTACAATTTACACCAAGGATTCTTTCAACAAATGAATTAAGAATACCAATTAAAAATATAGCATAAATAAGCCATCAAATAAGGAAATGTAAATGATCATTAATATCTAATAATAGATAAATTTGATAACTGATCTAATCAAAGCATTGCTAACATCTTCACGAAAAATTCTTAAAGATAATATTGATGATTTGGCTTATTTAGTAAACAAAGAACTATCACCTGAGAAGCAAAAGATTATTAAAAAAATTGTACCAGACGCATTGATTGAGCACTTAAAAACGAGATCATCGACATAAAATGGAAAAAAAGATGGAGCAGTTATTAGTATGACCAATGGCTTAATTTAAAACGAAGAGCCTATCAGGTATAGCGATAAGAAGGAATACCAATTTATCAAAGAGAAATTGAAATTACAGTAAAGAAGATTTGTTTTATAACCGAAAATAGCTAATCAAGAGATAATATTGATAGATTCACCAGTCTATTAATTAAAGTTGAAATACTAACAATATTATAATAGCACCATCGAAAAAAGTTAATTTGCCTCTTTATTTAATAATGTGAATCTTGATGATTTGGATGATCAAAACATTTGTGTTTTGGATTATCAAACTATTAAAAGATAATAATAAAATTTTGAGGAATTTAAACTTAATTTCGAAAGTCTTTATGATAAAATCAAGCTGAGAAATTCAAACATACAATAATCAGTAATTGATTATAACTAATACATATCTAAAAAGTATGAATTTATATAATATTGATAGATGCATTAATTCAACAATGATGGTAAGTAGTTAGTGCAATAATAATTTAGAAAATGAGTTTTTTAACATTATCAAAGATAAGTACGAAGAGCTAACCAACTTGAACCCAGATTTCTAATAAAATATGTGGCATTATCATTTTTGTAGAATCTATCTCAAACCCCATATAAATTCAAGTTGTGCTTGTTCCAACACTTCTAGCAATAAATATGAATTAAATTCGAATCCCATTAAGAATAAAATAGTAATCAGAAAGTCTGTTTAGAGTATGAAAAAGTCAGCACCTATTCAATAAAATTAAAATTCATTTACTTCAAAGAACCTTATAGATTAATTAAAGAAAGAAAGGACTTTTCATCAATCTATCATCTTAGAAGATACCAGTTATCAAGACAATTAGAAATACAATAATAATAGTAGTGGAATAAGTCCTTTAAATAATTCGATACTTTAGATAAGGAAATTTGATTAATCTCAAAATGTAAATGGAAGTGTTTAATATAACTTATATACTCATAAATTCTCAAGTGAATTTTAAACATTCAAATAATCTTCATTACACCATAGAGCCTAATCAGCTCATGGAGATTAATTCAGTATTCCTCCTCTCAACCTAAGGAATTGTGCTGAGTGACATCAGAAAATAGATAAAATGATACAATTAAAATATTATTTTCAACTCTCATATGTATTCTAATGTCTTTATTTGTTATAACTTAATGACTTTTCTGAGCTAACCTTGTACCCTTGACTAAACTTTCTAAAATTCAGTTCAAACTTTTTGTTGGGTAAAATAATCATTTGAGGACGACGATATTTATAATTGCTAGTCTGTGATACACAATCATCAGATATAAATGATTCTTCATTAGATATTTGTAATAGCTATCCAAATAACTATTTATTGTTTTTATTTTCGAGATATTCCTAGATGATATCAATCATTCTTTGATCTTATTAAATTACAAGATCTAAAATAAAATAGCCTCTATAATTACCTTTCAAATGACTTTTTTGCTTAATACTCAATTATTGGCTTTTAGATAACATATAGATTGCACATAATAACTTTCCTGGAATGGAATCTATTTGTTCCATTTAAAGTCTTATCTAATTTTATTACTATTTATAATTAATTATATTTTGAAAATATCTTGGATGATTTTTAATTAATAAAATTTTATATCTTAACTTTTTATTAATTAAGATCGATTATATAACCTTTTAATGGTTAAAATCACATAATACAACTAAAAAAAGAGTAGATATTAATTGATTTAATTGTTATTAAAATGCTAATTAAAATATTCTTAAATTAAACTGGATGCAATCAAATATAAATAGTTTATAACGGACGTATTGCAAAAGACAAATCTTATAATTAAATCCATTAATTTATGAAAATGGAGAAAAGAAATCTATATTATGAGAAATTTAACATAATAAAATAAATTGTTATAAATAATATCATTTTAATTCCTAATAATTCTCAAAATTATTGATAAATTATATAATTTATTATAGAATATTTTAGGTTCAATTCAAGTTTGTAAAATGTTTTTGTATTTAAATTAAAAAGTATGAGATGGAAATTATTGATCATCTAAACCTAAGCATAATCAACAACTATTAATACACCTGTAGATGAAATATAGGTTAAAGTAGGGACTGAGAACCTCTAATAACAATTGATGAAAACAAAGATGCTCTGTAAAGAACCTAATTATGATTCAAATTAATTTAATACATCTTTGTAAGAAGTACAAAAACTATTTTTTCTCATAACTTGTTTGGTTTCATTTGTCCAGGAATACTTTGATTATAAATCTTTTCTCCAGCCCTGTTGGTTATTAGGAGATGAATTTGATAAGAAGCATGTAGTTCTGTTGATTTTTTGATAAATATTGAAACAATATATATTTTTAGTTAAATATTTCAATAATTTTAATGCTATAAACAGCTTTATTAGATTTTAATGTTGAAAAAATCATTTATGAATCAGCATTTCATTCTAAAACTGTAAGCAAGAATGATTTATAATTTATTTCAATTATAAATAATAATAAAATAATTATAATATTTTATTGCTGATAGACTTAATTAAGCATGGTTATAATCTGTGTTACCTGATCCAGAAATCAATTAAGTCGAAAAACGATCAAATTATAATTATTATTTTTTTGGCATTTATTGTTTTGAACAAACCCTCTTAATTTTTTAATTTAAATATTTTTCATGAATAAAGTGTAATAAGGATTAATGATTCCTTAAACATAAATTTGATTTTTTTTATAGTGATTATTTACATGAGTTCACTTTCTCAATAGAAAAAGGCAATTATTTTTTTAATATATTTTAGAATGAAAAAAATTACAACTCAAACGTTTGATTTATTTGAACTTATTTTCTCGATTGTGAATCACTTGTATTAATGTTTTTGTGGAAAGGATGAGAAAGAGAAGCCCTCTCAATAAGCACTTATAGACTATGATTTTGTATTCGGATAAATAGGAAAATTATTGTTATTTATAATACAAATAATATACTATTTAGATTACCATAAATTAGATCCTGTGTAGACATATTTGCTGATTTATGGATACTATTTTTTTGCGATTTTTATTGTTTTGGTTGAATAAAGATACATTTATAAAGGATATTCTTACACATATCATAGAATAGTTGCTTATAGAATTATGAATATAGTTGTGAATTTAATTACTTTGTGGGGACTCCATATAACTTAGTCCTTGCTTCAAAATTGGGAGAATATCAAGAAGAAAGAATTTGGAACTGCAGAGGTTATACTAATTGGACTTGTGTATTTTACAGTAATGGAATTCTTACAATTGTTATTTCAACTAAGCACAAGAGCATTTTCTTGTATGAAAAAACATGACAATACATAGGAATATGATTCCAAAGGAGGTAGTGGTTATTTATGTTTTGGTTAATTGATAGGAATGGTTGTTATGGGAGGAAGTATTATACTAACTTATTATGAGAAGAAGATCCCACTTTCAAATCTATACTAGGATCTTAGAATTATTGTTTTGGAAGGTTCAGTAGCCTTAGAATTTTTATTCTCATGGATTTTTTACTGCAAGAGTAACAAGATAAAGGGAATTCCAAGATCTAAAAAGGTGCTTTGCTTTGGATATGGGTTTTGTATTGGAGGAATGGGTATAATATCAGGTCCAGCGATCTTGGTAATCGTAATAATTTATGGGTGTTTACGGACCTTCCTTTGTTGTTGCTTAAAATTGGATTTTGATTTACTTATTTGTTGCTGGTGCGTGTATTAGGATAAAGGCCATAAATATAAAGCATCAAGTGTGCCAATTCAAACGAATGATGAATAAAATGCAACAAATGAGAGATAAATTTTACAACAATGATTTTATGTGTATTTTTATTAATAAGAAAACTCTCTCAATTGGTTTTTGATAGAATCAAACCTTTTATTTCAATTAAAAAGATGTTATTATTTGTTAATTCCTTTAGAATTTATTAAATGACCTGAAATTTAACGATATTTTAATTTACAATAATATTCTAAATTTTATTACAAATATTTGAAGTTAAATATTGAAATTTATTATTTGGTTTCTGGAGGAGTTAAAGGTTTACAATTTGTATTTGGTTTAAATTAAATAACAATTTCAATTGGTCTAAAATATATCACAGCATTATTATGACTAACAACATTTATCAAAAATGCTTAATAATCAGATATTTAACCTATATATATATGTTTTGAGATTAACATAATTTAATGGAAATATAATAATATATGTGTGATGATAAATAATATTGGGTTAAACATTAAAATAAGTTAAGAAGCATTGAGTGTGTGTATTTCTTGCAATTAAATTGAGGGTTAGAAGTGTGCTCAATATAGGTTTGATTTGATGCAGATGCAGGAATTAAGTTAATTTTGAATAGGAAGTGAGAAGTGTAAAATATTTTATTGATTAATAAATAAAAATGTTATCAGTAAAATAATAATAATTTTTGATTTTGAAAAGTGGATAAATAGTTGACTCATATATTAAATATAAATAATATGAGATTAATAAATTAAATAAAATAATTGCTTAAATCATAGGGATGGATAATATATACAAATTCAAGGCGAGCTCTTCAGTGGGACATCTGAAGAATTTGAATAACGACAAATAGTTTTATTCTGAAGAGGAAACCAGCAAAAAGGAGGAGGAGGAGAAACAGCTGAAAAAAGTTAGCAAACCCCCTAGTAAAATGTCTCAATTCAGCAAAAACGCTACAGGGTACTAAACTGATGATTCTGACAAAGAGACGCCTCGAAATAATAAAGTAGGACCCTCAAGTAAAATAATCGTGAAAAATGTTAGATCAGAAGGTCTCTAAATTTCGTAATCTTGTGAATGCAAAAAAAATTGAGGGAGACAACGACGATCCCAATTATGACGATGATGATGACAAGCCAACAACCATCCAATAGTAAATGCAACATGTGCAATAATAAAATGAGGATCAATACGATATAGAGCAGTAAGCAAAATAGATGCAGTAAAAATATGCAAAAGTAGATAAACCAAAGGAGAGCAAGATGAAGTACATCATATTTATGAAGTTACATCTAGACACTCTAACACTCAGTAAGCAATGGATGTGAATTCTGATGTTGAACAGATGAAAAACAAATAACACCAGGAGGGTAAATTGAAGAATCATCCCTTTCGACATTTGATATACGGTCCAAGTATTGGTGAGAATTCGTTTAGCAAATTTTTATAACTCACTCAACGAGGTTTAGTATATGCCAAGAAATGTCTCAAGGGTCCTTCTGATAAGTTTATAAAGTCAAAAATGGTATAATTGCCAGAATGTGTTATTGTGAAGCCAAAGACTTTGTTGTTGGATTTGGATGAAACCTTGATCCACAGTTGTTCTCAAAGGGAAAATCCACAAGTCACAGTAACTGCATTTGGAGACTATGGTGAAGAAGCCAAAGTAATATTTATTAGTTATTTAGATCCATTTCAATATTAGACCATTTTGTGCTTGGTTCTTGCAATAAATGAGTCAATTGTACACCATCTATGTCTTTACTGCCTCCTCATCTGCCTATGCCAATGCAATAGTGAATTATTTGGATCCCAAACGACAATGGATTTTAGGAATTCTCTCTCGTGGAAATTGTATGGAAACAAAGAATGGGTTCTTTATTAAAGATTTGAGAATTGTTGGCAATAAACAATTGAAGGATATGGTGATTGTTGACAATCTGGCTCATTCCTTCGGATTCCAAATTGAAAATGGTATTCCCATCTTAGAATGGCACAACGATTAAAATGATTAAGAACTTAAATACTTGGCCACCTATTTGATGGAAGCAGCTGATTAAGAAGACATCAGAGTGTTCAATACATAGAGGTTAAAATTGGATCAACTTATCGAATATAGTTTAGAATGATCTTATTATCATTAATAAATAAATTCAATATAAATAATAGCTTATCACAAAATGGGATCTTGCTGTTCAAGTAATAAGGTGGTCAAGGAAACTTATGATTACCCAGATGGAGGAGTGTATGTAGGAGATATGGAAAACAATGTGCCAGTACCTATTTTAATATTGTTGTAAGCATGGAAGAGGCACAATTAAGTGGGACAATGGTTCATTATTTGAGGGACAATTTGTGGAAGGACAGAAAAATGGAAGAGGTTTGTTCAGATGGAATGATGGCTAATACTATGATGGCAATTTCAAAGATGAAAAATTTGATGGTTATGGTGAATATTTTTGGACTGACGGAAAAATTTATAAAGGCAACTGGATGGATGGTGAAATGAGTGGATAAGGCGAAATGTTTTATCCAGATGGGAGAGTTTATTAAGGTTCCAAATTAATTTAATCTTAAGGCAGTTTCAAAGCAGACAAAAAAGATGGAGATGGCGAAATGACTTGGCCTAATGGAAACAAGTATATTGGGGCTTGGAAGAAAGGGAAATAACACGGAAAAGGTGTACTGATAGATCGAACAGGGAACAAAACAGAAGGCACCTGGAATAAAGGAAAAAAATAATGAAAATTATGTATGAGCATCGTGAATCTTGTATTAATTAAAAATATTTAATCCTCTAATTCTTAATTTCTTAATCCCATATATTTATTGAAATATTGCATCGTTTATCGCTATCTAAGTTTTCAACTCAAATGAAAAGTAGTATAAAATTATTAGAAAATTAAAAGTTAAACAATCAAACTTCTCTTTTAGAATTATCTTAATATATCTCTTGTTTGTGTAATGAAAATATATCTTAAATCTGATAAATTAAAGTAAGATCAACTACTCTATAATTATCTTTTTTTGACTTAAAGAATCTATATTGGCTTTAATTTAATACAATAAATAGAAAGCTTTATTATAATGTAGTTATAATAGCATTACTCTTTGATAATCAGTTTAAATTGTTGTCAGTACAATTTTATATGATATTAATTTAGTGAAATTATCTTATTAGATATTCAAATTTTTATAAACCTACTTTTAATATTAGTATTTAGAATTTATTACTTTCAACGATTATTTTAAGCATATTCTAGTGATATCTACTAAATTTTGGTATAAGAAATATACTACCTCATTAAAGATTGTTAATTTGTTTATTCAGCAAATTAATTTACTTACTTTAGTGCTTACTATAGCTTAACTAGTTCATCTCAATAAGAAATAAATATGATATTCATTTAAATTATTTTATGAATAAAATCAAAATATCAGCTAGTTTGTATGAATATTATTTTTATATGATCAAACTTTCTTATTTTATACGAATGGTTTTTAAGATGAAAAGCTAGATCTGTAAAAGAATGACTTAATTTTCTAATTCTTCATTGATTTCATTTTTTTTAAATGTGCTTACAATATTTGAATATAAGATCTTTTTTTTTTTATCAATTAATTTTAATGAGTGTTTAAGTATTAGTTTAATAGTTTATTTAAGCAATAAAAAAATCGAACTTTTTGTTTCTGATTCTTAATAATTAAATTATTTAGAATGATACTTGAATTTCTTTTAGTGGCAATTACCCAAGGAATAATCACAAAGAGCAAAGGAGAACTAACTGAATTTACTTACACAACATCAGGATTTGTATGTTAAAATGGATATTCAACATCCAAAACAATAGCCTTTCCGGATTCCTTTGCAAATGTTCCCAAAGTCATTTTTGTGCCAACAATATTAGACTTTGCATCCTTTAGCTCAAGTCAGTTTACAGTTAAATTAGAGATTTTAAGTGTCAGCTTAACAAGTTATAGTTTATTAATTTATTTAGATTTTCAAATAAAAATTACATGTCCAAGCAAAAAAGTGAATACTTATCGATTGAGTTGGTATGCGATTGACGATAGTCGTTTAGAAGTGATCAATGAGTCGATAAATGACATAAATTTAAATCCTGTTGGATCCAAATAATATTCAATCTAAAATCCTAATATAAAAAAAGCGACCGCGATGATTCATTCTTATGGAATTAATGGGGCACTTAGTATAACTCTGACTGTATAATCTAATTTTATGCTAGATTTCAGAATTAACAACAACATATGTTAAAGTGAACATCAATGCAAACAGTAATACGCTTTATCTTGGTTATCAAGTAGTATTGGGAACAGATGAAGTAATCAGTTTTATTGATGAAATTGCAGCGTCAAATACATACCAAAGTCAACATTACCCCATTATATCTGATAGCTATTTTGTGGCTTCATTTAGACGTTTAACAAACTCTGGCACTAATGCTTTCCGATTATAATACTTCATTACTACAACTAGTACTTAGATATATTATGACTGCTCGACATGTAAGCCATATTATTAATAAATAAGGGGGTGGTGCTTATCCATCAAATACAATGAACGTATTTTGGTTGGGAACAACTCTAAATTAAGAATTTTTGCCCATGGAATGTTTCACTGTAAGGGTTAGCAAGCTATATGACAGATATGCAGATTTAAAGCCAGCATTTTAGTTGGAACTTTTGGAGATCAATAAAGTACTTAATACAATTGGATCAGAATCTATAGTTCTTAATGAATCTATTTAATTATTAACTATCCATATTTATTATAAGTGCCCATCAAACAATACAAAGGTGCATAGTTAGTTGAATAGATGCAATAGTTGTACTGGATCCAATAATATCTATAACTTAAATCATTATTGTCATGGATCAATGAATACAATCAATATTTATGCTAAATACTAAGCTTAGGCCAATTATAAAGAATTGACCTTAACTAGAGCTAGCAATGGCGTAACTATTGTTTAAACCTTAAGAAATAGAAGTGTCTCCTAAAAAACGGTTTTAAAAGTGGAATTTTTAGATATTTGAAATTATTAAATTTACAATTTTAGATTGTTGGAATAATCAATTTTTTCTAAAGTCCTTTGAGTTAAATAATAAAATTTTATTCAACATAACAACTGTGTTTCTGTTTTCATTAATAAATTAATTTTGGTTCTATCAAACTGTCATCTATCCATAATTATAAAATAAATATGACATAAAGATTGAAAGCATTAAGGGATAGATGTAATATAAATAATAAACTATAATCAATTCAATAGATATATTCTTTGAAAAATTGAAATTTTTGAAATCCTAAGACACTTAACAATTTCAAACTTAATTTAATTATATTTGCTCCAATAAATAATAAAACGAACTCAATTATATATTATAAATAAATTGTAAAATAATATTAATATCGGAATAGTTAATTCTATATATATAGTTTTTCTTAAATTGATAAAAAATGATGCTTTAATATGTTTATAAATAAATTTTTTTTGAAGTTTTTTTAATGTTATTATATTATTGAGCCTTGATTATTACTCTTTTTCTTTTAAATGATTAGATCAATAGTATGGTTTTCTTCCTATTTAGATTAATAATAAAAATGATGTTCGTGCCTTGAACCTATTAAAATTTAGCAACAATTGAAATTAAACTAATGAAATATGGAATTTCATAATACTCATAGACATAATTTATAAATATTATATAAATTAAATGAATTAGAAATGCTTTAGCTTTGGTCATAACCAAAGATAGATTGAATTCGTTTGTATACAAGCAAAAGAAATGCTATGGGGTTGCTCCAAGTGTTTTGAGTAAAATAAAGTCCAATATAACTTTAAGCCTATTGTTTAGATCTAGAAAATTTTAAACTAAGCAATTCAAGAAATCAAAAATAGTAATTGTCTCTAAGAAATTTAAAACCAAAAAAGTCTATTTGATTAAGCTATAGATTAAACAAATAAAATTTTCATTCAAAATATAAACCTTTTAAAATAATCCTTTGAACTTCAATATAAGGAAGTGTTTGATTTTCTAACTTTTGTGAATAATTTTTCAGCAGATAACTTAGACTCTGTGAGTAATGAAAACTCAAAATACCTCCTAATTGTAATGAATTAAAAAAAAACTATTTATGACAAATTTGAAGTTTAAGCAGCATTAACAATTAAGAAACTAGAGGCAATTAAAAATGTTATTAAGAAAAATATCAATGAAGTTTTTGATTAGGGATGCCAATATATACTAGATGGCTTGAATTATAAATATGACATGCCAATTGAATTTAGATAGTAAATCTAAAACCTTAAAATTCCACTAGAATATAATGTCTATGATCATCCTGATCTCACATATTCTATGGATTATAAATTGGATAATGAAGTCTACTATTCTGGTCAATTTTGCAATAACTAGATATAGGGAATTGGAGTATTAGAATTGAAAAATTAAAATATCATTTATTATGGAGCATTTATTGAAGGTCATTTCTCATATGGAATAAAGATCAAACTAGCCCAGAATCAATTATTTTAGGGACATTTCTGTTAAGGATAAAATCAATTTGATTATTGTATTGATTAATGTGGAATAATGATTTTGGCTAATGTAGAGAGGTATAAGATTATCGTTATTCAGATATGATGGGAGCTTCAAAAATGAATAGTAGGAAGGATATGGAATAACTGACAAAAAGAATAAAGATTCGTATTAATTTATAATTAATAAATAGGTATTGTGGTTTTTGGAAGAATGGTAAGTACGAAGGACAAGGGTGCCTGATTAGTGAGGAATATGGATAGTAATAAATTATTAAATTATCGATAGAGTTGAAGGGATATTCAAGGATGGCAAGCTCAATGGGAAAGCAATTTTTAAGAATGCTTAAGAGAGGTAAGAAAATTAATCATAATTGATATGAGGGCGAATTTAAAGATAACCAAAAGGATGGATTTGGGACCTTAGAGAATTTCGTGGAAAACACTATATATTATGGATAATTTAGGAACGGAAAGAAAAATGGATAAGGAACTCTCAAAGTTTCAGATGAAAAATAGTACTTTTAATTAATAGGTAGATTCGATGGTACTTTCAAAGATGATAAACTTTGTGGAAAGTGCACTGAAACAACGAAAGTAATGGTAGTAGTAGATCTAAAATAGAAGTTATCAGAAACTATAGAAGAAGGTGAATTTAAGGATGGAGTTAAAGTAGGAGTTTTTACTTCAATAACCACTTGCAATAAAATAAAGACAGAGTAAAAAATTAAATGATTGATAGGAAAACAAAATACTATGAAGATGGCAACTTGATATATGAGGATGAACATGAACATGAGACTTGATTATATTAGTGATAATTATATTAAATTGGATAATAAAAGAATGAATATTTGAATAGAATAATTAATCCATATATTATTTTGTTGTATAAATTATTACTTACTTCCTGATAATGATTGTTGTAAGCGGTCTTCCTGAGGTAATTCCTTAATATATGCAAGAATATTAATGAGGAAATGTTGTATGAGACATTTAGAATCTATGGCAAAATGCTTGAAGTCAAGATCAAGAAGGAATATTATGAATAACAGAGTGCAATTATAGAATTTGCAGATTCGATATCAGTTCATTAAATTTAACTAGAACAGAAAGAACTTAAAATTGATAATAACATCCTCAAAATTTCACTTCATGATGATTAAAATTAAAATGAGTTTAGAACTAATAATTTATTTGTAAATAATATCCCTTCAAATATTACATAAGAGCAGTTGTCCTTATTTTTTGAGTAATTTGGACAAGTCTTCAATTGTAAAATAAAGAAATCGAATTATTTGAACCACAAGCCTTCATTGTAAATTAGCACCTTTAAAGTAGTTCCGGCTTTGTGGAGTACAAGAACCCCTAGACTACTTTAGATTTGATGGAAATATACTTGAGGTAACCATTAAAAGTCAATGGAAAGATATTAATCATTCAACCTTGTAAAGACAAGACTCAGCCAAGAGTGTCGATATAAATGATAATATAGGGTTTTTGTAGAAAGGTGAATTAGGCAGAATCACAGATTTTTGGAATAGAAAGATTTGTTGAATTAATATGGGAACTATTAATAGTAGAGTATTTTAATTCAAGAAAATTGTAAATGAAAAATTGTTTTGTCAAAATGAAAAATGATTAACCATACATAATTTTGGTATTCCCAACCTTAAGTGATACCATTAAATTTATGAAATTAGCAGATCAAATTAAAGGGCATCCTTGCTTTTAGCATGACTCTGATTGTATCCCAACAATACTTAAAAAATATTCAGTTGATTCATCTCTATCTTAAACATTTCAATAGTTTCACTAATAAAATTTGGTGATAAATGAATAATTTTAATATAGAGCAACTCAAGATTATTTTAGTGGGAATTTCTCATATTTCAGTTGCAGATACCATTTTAACAATTAAGATTACTATGATGATAGAATACTGGTAATTCCAAATTTGAAATGCTCAGTTACTATTGGATAATTGAAGGAGTATTTCCAATAAGTCGGTTTGATAAAATCAGTAATCCTGAGAAATGAATAAAAGGAAAAAGCTACTAAGGTATGTTTTGCCTTAGCACTCACTTCTTTTGATGCCTAATTGATATTGTAGGAATACGAAAATCAACAACTTGGATTGGATTGTAATTTTTCAGATTCTCCAATCAAGATCTAAAAGCTTCACTATAAGCATTCTGAATTTGAGAAGATATTGAGCGAGTTATACGAAGAAGCATTCTATAAAAAAGAAATTTAAACTCCCGAAACATAACCTTGCATTTTAAAAGATAAAGAGTATTTCTAGAGTTTTAATCAAATAATTGAAGAATTAGATCGTTTCCAATAACTCAGTCTATAGGATTAAAAAGATATCGGGTAGTAATTAATTGATTAAGTTGTTGCTAATTAATCTTATTTAGAATTGGCAGATTAAAAAAGAATATCATGTATTTAAAAAATAATAATAAATTTAGGTAAAATAATAAACAAACATCAGAAATTAGAAGATATAATAGAACTTTACAAAGATCCAATTAAATGTTGCTTGGAAATTGAAGAAGCTGAGAACAATATTATTGAGGAATTGCATTCAGAAACTATATAGTAATATTCTACATTGGATGAAATTATGAATAACTTTGAAGCATTTTATTCGTTAAAGGATGATCTAAAAATTAATATTATAAAGTTTCTATTGAAATAACATATTGTTACAGTATTGCAAATGGATGATAATTAGGCAAGCAAAATCTCTAAATAAATAATGAAAAAGTTAAATTATAAAATACAGGATTTGCTTTGCATATTGGAGGATAATACTGAATTTTTAAATGCACTTAACAAAAATGATTGACATAGATATAATATTTATTTATTGTAATAATTATTATGAATATAATGAAAAATAATTTCAATTTTCAGAGTATTGTGTCTGACTTAAATCAAAATGTTTAAGATAAATAAATAATAAACGAAATAATCATTTAATCCTATCTAATGAGATCCCTCTAATCTTTGTTTCAGTATTATTTGAAGATCCAAAATCCTTTTCCCTGATATTTTTTGTTGATGAACATAAATGGCCAAATTCTTTCTTGATCAAAATACTCCTAGATTGTACTTTCTTTTTTGAGCTTCCAGATAAAGATCTCTTGAATTTGTAAGGCAATTCAGTCTAATGATTATTTTTTGAAATATATACTTCTCTCAATTCTTGATCTTCTTCCTCAAATTTCTGCTTTTGTTTCTCATTCAATGATAATACTTTTTTAATTGAATTACGAGCCTAATCTAATGATTAATCATAAGACATTGGTATTATAGTATCTTATTTCTAGGATTTATGCACTTTATCCTGCATGAAATTTAAAAGTGCTATTCTAGACTATTTTTAAGTTGATTTTCTTTTATCATAGGTTTTTTTTAAAAGCTTCTCTGCTTATTCCGCTATCTATTGTGCTTATTCAATTTATTTAATTTCTTCTTAATCAATGAAATTTAGTTTTTTCTTAGGAATGAAATTATCAGAGAACAAATTCTATTATGCAATTCGAACCTGTTTGTTTTCTTATTAAGCCTTTAAGTTGGTAACTGCCAAATCTTTATTGGTTTAAACAAAATCAAAATATTCTATCACATTGAATTCAAGTAATTTATTGAATTCATGTTCTGCTTATTTATCCTTAACCATAACACCTTAAGGACAGGTCATTTTTCTGGCTTGTAANGATTAAGTTGTTGCTAATTAATCTTATTTAGAATTGGCAGATTAAAAAAGAATATCATGTATTTAAAAAATAATAATAAATTTAGGTAAAATAATAAACAAACATCAGAAATTAGAAGATATAATAGAACTTTACAAAGATCCAATTAAATGTTGCTTGGAAATTGAAGAAGCTGAGAACAATATTATTGAGGAATTGCATTCAGAAACTATATAGTAATATTCTACATTGGATGAAATTATGAATAACTTTGAAGCATTTTATTCGTTAAAGGATGATCTAAAAATTAATATTATAAAGTTTCTATTGAAATAACATATTGTTACAGTATTGCAAATGGATGATAATTAGGCAAGCAAAATCTCTAAATAAATAATGAAAAAGTTAAATTATAAAATACAGGATTTGCTTTGCATATTGGAGGATAATACTGAATTTTTAAATGCACTTAACAAAAATGATTGACATAGATATAATATTTATTTATTGTAATAATTATTATGAATATAATGAAAAATAATTTCAATTTTCAGAGTATTGTGTCTGACTTAAATCAAAATGTTTAAGATAAATAAATAATAAACGAAATAATCATTTAATCCTATCTAATGAGATCCCTCTAATCTTTGTTTCAGTATTATTTGAAGATCCAAAATCCTTTTCCCTGATATTTTTTGTTGATGAACATAAATGGCCAAATTCTTTCTTGATCAAAATACTCCTAGATTGTACTTTCTTTTTTGAGCTTCCAGATAAAGATCTCTTGAATTTGTAAGGCAATTCAGTCTAATGATTATTTTTTGAAATATATACTTCTCTCAATTCTTGATCTTCTTCCTCAAATTTCTGCTTTTGTTTCTCATTCAATGATAATACTTTTTTAATTGAATTACGAGCCTAATCTAATGATTAATCATAAGACATTGGTATTATAGTATCTTATTTCTAGGATTTATGCACTTTATCCTGCATGAAATTTAAAAGTGCTATTCTAGACTATTTTTAAGTTGATTTTCTTTTATCATAGGTTTTTTTTAAAAGCTTCTCTGCTTATTCCGCTATCTATTGTGCTTATTCAATTTATTTAATTTCTTCTTAATCAATGAAATTTAGTTTTTTCTTAGGAATGAAATTATCAGAGAACAAATTCTATTATGCAATTCGAACCTGTTTGTTTTCTTATTAAGCCTTTAAGTTGGTAACTGCCAAATCTTTATTGGTTTAAACAAAATCAAAATATTCTATCACATTGAATTCAAGTAATTTATTGAATTCATGTTCTGCTTATTTATCCTTAACCATAACACCTTAAGGACAGGTCATTTTTCTGGCTTGTAATAAACTTTTTGTGATAGGTACTTCTTTGTGAACTTCAGCTTCAGCTTAGCAGATTTATTTTGCATTCTGCTTTACTTCATCTAGTGATTGGCATTTTTAATAGCTCACAAGATTTTAATTTATATATGACTTAACAACTTAATCCAATGGCTAGTAGGCATCTAAATATATTGAATATATAGTAACTTTTATTGCTGATTTTGAATAGTAATTCCTTCTACTACCTATAGTTCTTTTCAATTTCGCTTTCAACCTATTTTTCTTTTTCGTCCGATTTAGACCCTTGATTTCTTAAATGAATTAATTCACTTAGGAAGCTCTATCTATGATTAGAATTGACTTTTAAGGTCTTATTCAATTGGGTTTTGATTGATGAATTATGGGATGTATCAATTTAAGTTAAATGACTCTAATCATTCTTATTATTTGACAATTGCAATTGACTATCATTATAATTTGTTGAAGGCTGTTCAATTGAATGTTAGGAACTGTTATGCTTAAGTTTGAATATTTTGATTGATTAATTCTTAACAAAGTATTGGGATTGCTATTACTATTACAGGATATTGTCTAAAATCAATTATTTTGGCACTTCTCTACTTTTGATAAAAAAGGTTTAGTTATTTTGTGAATATTGGTACTTCTCAAAGATCTTTTGTTCGTACTGCTCGACTTGGCTTAATTATTGAAGATCAATTGAAGATTTGCTATTTTTTAGATGTTCTTTTAAGGAGATTTGGAATACATGAGAAAGCAGCCTACTTATTTCATTCATTTCATCAACGTGATCCTTGTAGTTCTCCTTAATTTCTGCACTCCTTGTCTCAAATTGGGAAGTAACTTCCTTACAAATTTTGAAGTGTTCTAGTATCTTATTGAAATACACAGCGAGTTAGACGATTTCTAAGCAGCGATCATAACTATATTAAAATTCATTTACTACTTTTCCATTTGTTGATTAACCAAAGATTGCAATTCAAAATTAACTAAAATCTAACTGATTAATTTGGCTAATTGAACCTTGACCACATTAAGATCAATATTGCTTTTCATTTTTTCAATCTCACCCAGGATGATTCTAACAGCCTCCATTGTTTATTCAATCGCTTGGATGTAATACCAATCAGCCTTATTGTACTCATCTTAATTAAAATGTAATTAATACACAATTCAAAGTATGCATTTCCTATCAACGTTTGTAATTCCCCTCTAAATAAGGATTGTCTATTGTTGGTTATTGTAACATTCTCAACGACTTGAGTGATTAGGTTAAGGGTTAAGGCGGCGTAAGGAGTTCGATTATATTTGTGAAAGCGATAAGTGTTGAAGAGGGTTTCCATTAATAAAAAGTAGCAGTTCTGGCACTGGGAATGAAACCAGATATTGGATTTCGGAACGTAATTGCTCACGATGTCTTGGGAAAAGAACATTTCCATTTTGTGAGCAAGACTTATCTACTCTGCGTAGAGTTCTTTAAAAAGTTATTTTTTTTTCATTGTTGGAGAGGGAGATGCAGCTGGCGAAGCATCTGTTTGAATACTTTCTTTTGCATAGATCTCTAGGAAATCAATGTAAAAGAGACTCAATTCGATGGTGCGATTAAGTAACGATTGAACTTTGTGAGACTTCTCTGAAAACTTTTGGAAATATCTAGAATTGTTATGGCATAGTGATACTTCTTGAGGATTTTGTTACAACAATGCAATAGTCTTCTGCATAGCTAAATTTGCAATTATAAAAATTATGGCTAACCCTTGGCCAATTGAGGATCAAAGACCAATCGGTTGATCTTCTGTATGCATTGTCTATACTGTCCCTTTTTGATTAGGTCATGCGTATCGAAGACCAAGTATTCTCCTGAGATTATTGATTGTTGTCTTATCATAAATTTTATTTATTTCCAGATTATACATAAAAACTTGCATTGGATAGTTATAGTTTTCTAAATAATAATGCTACTCAAAATCATAAAAACAAAGTGACACCCCGACTTTACAACGAAATCTATCTCTTCTTCAATTGGTTTAAGTTACTGAGTTTGCAATTTGAAAGGTAGATGGTCTTCCCATGCAATTGCTGTATCCTTCTTTCTATCAAATCGATTGACTTCTCAGTGCATTCGTTATTGGATAAGTTGAGAGTGTGTATGTCACTGCGTTTAAGCAGTAGAGTGAGCAAATGGCTGAATCCATTATCAGTGATTCTATTCTTGGTTAATTTAAGAATTTCAATCTATGAAGCAGACCTTTGGATCAGTTTAAGAAGATCTAGGAGATCTAAATCATTCAAATCTAGAGATCAAATATAGTAGTTTTACTTTGATTGGTTAAATCCAATTTCTCGATAGGCAATCCTTTAAATAGCAGATCTTGGATGCGAGCGATGCCAGTGGCTTCATATAGTTTACTGGATGACAAACTTCTTGAATTTTTGGAATCACGAGATTTGCTATGTTAGCTTTTGCCTCCGAAGGTTAGTTCCCTTGGATTCAATCTCTAATAAGGAGGTTCTTCTAAATGATGGGCATTTTTTGAATATTAAAAGGGTTTTGCTGAGGAGTTATCATGGCCCTTTGGTTTTGGACTGTTATCCGAGAGGGATTAGTTAGAATGGGCATAGGTATAATCATTTGAATCGGTCAATGTTTTGGCTCTCCTTTGTTATGATTGGTTCCTATTATCGCATTTGTATTTTTTGAGTGTACAAAATGTAGGCAAGTAATCATAGACTGATAGATCGAATTTGAGTTGCATTTCTTTGGTGATGATATGTTAAATATTGAAGGAGGGTTGTTTGTTTAAGTGATTGATAACTAATTCAGTCTTGTGAGTGAGGTTATTGACTAAATCTGCTTTAGTGTTTAGATTCTCATCAGAGAGGAGTAGCAACTACTCGATTCTAACTATTCATAAATGTGGGGTTTACCTTTCTTGTATTTATTTGATTTCTGCGATTGCTTTTTTGTCGGTTACAATATGCATCTACCTGATATCATCCTCTAGTTTCAAGGCAACGATGTTAAGTTCATTAAGGAGTTGACTTTCGATGTTGCTGAGTTTGATTTGTAATTCTGAGAAGTTCTATTGTATTAGTTCTATTAGGCTGCGTTTCTATTGAAGGATCATTCTGAAGGCTTCGTTGAAATTGGTTTACTGGTTCAATTCAAATTATTGATGCGATTCTTGTAGTAGTTAATGGGATTGTTGCAATTGTTCTCTATTCCAAGGGATTTGATCTTGTTGATGAGGGGAGAGGGGTTTTTTGATGGTTACTGAATTGTCAGGGAGGTTGGTGTATAGACGAGTGGTGGATTGGGTGATATTCTCTGAGGAGATGTCTTATTGGGAGTGTGGAGTTATTTGGAGTTGGGGATGCAGTAATTCTTGGTTGGTGGGTAGTTAATTGAGTGAGTCAACTCTGAAGGATTTCCTTGGGGGAGAATATGGAGGATATTGGTTACATGTCATCTGGACAAATTATTTGATTGTTCTTGAGGAGACGTTGGAGACATTTAAAGCAAAAGGAGTGTCCACAAGCGAGGAGTTTGGGAAGACATTAATTTTAGTCCCAAACGTTGTAACACGATGTGCAATAGTATCGATTGTATGTATTCATTGTATTTAATAAATTAATGTTGGTAGAGAGGGAATATGATTATATTATGATTATGATTGTACATTGATTACATAATTATTAAATAAAATAATTAAATATATGAGCTTGTTCTTGAGAAGTAAGAATTCAAATTTGAAAGTCGTTAGCGATAAGAAAGATGGATATCTTTGGGTAGCCAATAAACCTCAATCTTGATCTGAGATCCAAGTACCAGACTTTCTTGGGAGGATTGGTTTCGATGTTCATAGTCTTTCTGTTGATTGGCTACAGTGTGAATGAGATCATTGGGTACACGATCCAGAGAGGCATACAGATCACTTAGGAAGTAGTATTTTCGATTTATAGGGGGGGATAGACAAAATTCAATTATGATCCAGATGTGCTGGTATTAAACAATTAGAATTTCATTTTTGCCATCAGAGTAGAGCAAGACAGTTTCTACCAGTCCCCTTAATTCGACATTCAGGTTAGATAGCATCAGAACAGCAACGAAGTTTCATTGGAGTTGTAATAATGCACTTTCCAGCAATTCGTGAGTGTGTTGAATTCGAGTTAGGTGCTGGACTTCTTGGAGGCAAATCAAGTGAACACTTGGTTGTGTCCCAAGTCCGAGTTCTCGATTGAATTGGAGGGGACAGCGTTTTGTAAGTTTTGATGTAGCTAGGAGGACAGCTTCAATATTTTCGAGTCTGGTGATAGAGATTAGTGAATGTAAATCAAGGAGTTCTTGGGGTAGTGAATGTCAGAGCAGAACACAGAAGGACAGTTATAAGGTGTAGATGATAACGAAGAATACAGTATTAATATTGAGTGATGTAAGTTCATTAATCCATTCAACAATGAATTCGTGGCTGAGGATTACTTGGACAATTCGATGAGTTTGTACTTCTAGCCAGGAGATCTGCAGAGGATAGATTACCAATTCCATAAGCACATCACTAAGGATTACCAGGGACAAATCAAAATAGAGTAGAGATCCCAATAATATTAGAGGATTGCTGGATGAGTAAGAGTGGAGTATCTTCTCGACCAATTCATTTAAACAGATCTACGAAGGCAAGAACACTGCAGTCTGGTCTCGTATTGTGTTTACGCGCAGTAACTTCTCAACCAGTTATAACCGAGAATATCAGACGGTGACTGATTTGTTATCCAAAATAGGAGGCTTGTCTTAATCCGTGATTTCTATTGTAGGAGTAATAATTACTTATTATAATAGAGCACAATGTAATTAATAAGTACTATTTAGTTTATTTGGATATATCCAACCGTCTTTACGATTACGATTTCAATAGCGAGCATGATCAAGGCACCAAAGGTTCTGGTTTGGTGGACCCTCTGCAATACAGTGTCCAACTGCATTAGGAATCGTCTCAACCACTCAAGAAGAAGCGGAAGACTCAGGACAAAACAGATGCTATCAAACAGCCAGAAGAGGATTCCATGGAAGACGACCCACAATTCAAGGAGCGAGTGATGAGAGTGGTGGAGGAGCAGAAACAAATCATGGATAAATATTAGTTTAAGAGTAGGAAACACTTCCTATTGGCAACCTTCCAACAAACCATATTGATGAAGAAGTCGATCTAACTTAGTCTCAAGTACTTCTTCTACAAGCTGTTCTGTCAGAAATCAGATCCCAAAGAAGATCCTCATTTGTTCGTTCTGTAGAAGGCGTTAACTTCAGTGCGACAAGAATTAGATGTGTTCTCGATTCTAAATCGAATTCATCAACTGGAGAAGTTGAAGAAAATCCTATTGGACAGAGATCAACTGATTCTGTTTAATTATTCCCCGAAACCTGTCATTGCCGTTTATGAGAAGGACAAGGAAACCGATTTCCTACACTACTCCAAACAACAATCTCTGAAGTAAATGACCCTGATAGAGGTGGCAGAAGACATTAAGAAGCGACTGAAGACAACTTTCTTATCCAAAGAGCATCTCAGCATCGAAAATGTGTTCAACTCATACAAAGCAATAGCTTCCAAGAACAGGAAGTCGAATCGCTATTATTACAAGATCAACAGGAAGTTGAAGTAGTTTCTGGGAGATCAAGTCAAGGCCATCATCAAGGCCTCCAAAATATTAAAGTTTCCTGAAGACGATCACATACCAGACATGGGTGTGCTGGAGATTATGTCAGTGGGAGGAGAGACTGCAGCTCAATACCCATTGAGTATGCGTCCATCTGTGAATATAAATCATCAATACTAATGATATTTAATATATATTAACGAATTAACATGTCTGTTATTTTCGAAGACATCGAGGTATTTATACACTACTACTACTAACTTAGAATTTACACTATCTCCAATTTCAATTCACCCAAGCCTTACGCATAGCCAAACTCATCTACTATATAGGTACTCTCCTCTCCTTTAGTTTAGAGAACTCTCTCCTTCGCAAGGTCACTGTCATCGATAACACTTGCTCCGATAGTGTCATCGTCCAAGCCGAAGTCTCCATGATTTGCACTGACGGCAAACTCGTATACTCCTTGCTCGGTAACCTCAATTATGTAACAACCTTAGAGAACGGCGACATCTACTAAATCGAACAACCACCTCGTCTACTCAAAAGTGGAACTCATTACAAGTGGATCTCTCCTATCGCAGCCATCGATCAATCTCACAGAGGTTTCATCTGGAAAACCAATAAGCAAATTTATAGTCATTGCAAACACATCTCCTCTTACTAGAATCGCATCACTCTCATCACCATCGGCGGCAAAATCTTCAACGTTGTCGACAATAACACTCTCCCCATACCATAACTCAATGGATTGAAATTGAACACCTACTTTAAGAAGTCCATCCTCTTCTCTTTCGGAGGAGTAGCCATAACAGAAAGTGGAGAATTCTATCTCTTCAATCAAAAGATGATCAGAGTCAAAATCAAAGGCATCCAAGACATTTTCTCCACTGATAAGTACCTCTTCGCTATCCAAAATAACAACACCATTCTACAATACTCCATTGAAGACATCCAAACCCATCAATTCTTTACCAACCAGTAGATCTTTCAAAAAATGCATTACTGCAATGACCTCGAATTCAAGTACAAACAGAAACAATTTCAACACATTTCCATCCTTCAATCAGAATACTCCTTATGTTCATTCGCCTATATCAAAGAGAACAAGATCCTAGACACCAGTCTCAATCTAACTGACCACAAGACCAACCAAACCCACAATAAGAGCAATGTGCTCATACTGAAGCAATCCTTATTTGAGGATTGGGACTGCAAAAAGAAAACCATGGATTCCAGAAGATCTACTACCATTGATAAACCACTCCAAATAGAACCAGAAGGATTAACTTTAGCCTAAAAACTAGCAACCATAAGGGAAAGCTTAAATTTTGAAAAACCCACTCAACTCCAAGATAATAAAGATCGCTGCAGATAAAAAAGTCTCATCCAATTCCATCAAAGCTAAGTGGAAGATCTACCTTATAATCCTACTCCAATCAAATTAGACAATCTGCTTAATAAAATTCATGTCAACAAACCAGATAAACCTATTGATCAATTATTGCTGAGTCAAAACAAATAAGAATTACAAGATTCCTTACCCACCTTCTAAAATGATAATCAATTCACTAAGAATAATGACACTCTGAACAAGAAGAAGTCTAAATAAAACAATGGCAATTCAAGATCCAATAAAAGATTAGATAGTATGTCCGCATAATCTGGTATTGATTTACAAAATAATAGTGGATTCATCTAATAATAAGATAGCTTTGTTGATATCTTGGATACTGATTCCAACAAAAAGGATTTCCCTCTATAATTACAACCCTTTGATAAACCTAATAAATATAAGAAGAATACTTTGGAGACTATCCAATCCTATGAAAATGAATAAGATCCTAAAACTACTAATCGCTTGTCACACAAAAAGGATTAAGTACTGCAATAGAGCAATCGATCACCAAACACGAAAACCCTTAAAGATCCTCTCCTGACTGAAAGAAGTTCCACCAAAAGAAACATAGAATAAGCTAAGTAAGATTTAGAAACCTTGGTTAATATGATTAATAAACAAAAAGAAAACACTGAAACTCAAAAATCTGTTACTACTGTCAAATCAAGTATAAGGATGATGTCTCCTCCAATCTAAGTAGGATCTGCACTGAGTCGACCAGAAAGTAAAATTACTCCACTAAAAAATAGGAGATCATCTGTTATTAGTGAAACCTCTCAATAAGAATCTTTTAAGTTGCCTCAGAGAATCTCAAAATAAAGTCTATCTTAAAAATTAATCACTCAATAATCATTCAACTCGTCAAGTTAAAATTCTTAATTCTAATTCGATTCTAACAACTTTCGGCAATTGAACACCTTATAGGACCAAGAATCATAATTAGACTTCAAAAGTGCCAACAAACTATTTGATTAATCAATCACACAACAACTCAAAAAAATTGATCAAATTAAAGGACTTAAAAAGGTTCAATGCTCATCATAAGTCAACATACTTCGCAATAATAGCTTGAGTAGAAAGTCAACCATAATTGTTAATAATCAACAAACAGCTAAAATGAATTTGAGAAGGTAAGAAGCGATCTTAAAGAAACTATTCTTCCGATTGGATGTTAGATTAAAACTGTAATAATTAGAGTTTGTAAATAACTTAAAATGTTTGCTATGAATCATACTTTTTCATATTTTTATTAATTATAATAATATGATAATCTATAAAATTAATAATCAATTAGATAAATACGAAATTGAAAACAATATTAATAATTTAATTCAATTTTTTTAATTTTGAAAAATCTATTGATATTTTGTTTAGCTATATTAAATTGATAAAGAACTTCATCATAATAATATATATAAGATTTCAAAAATAGGGAAAATTCTTTTTTATCCAGTATATGCAATCTATTAGAATGGGAAAATATATTTTTTATTGCCATAAATGTGCTAATTCTTATCCAAATATAATACTTTACCCTAATTCTAAATTATTGTACAAGTAATTTTAGTTGCTAATAGAATAACAAATGGTTTTGAATGATAATTTATTGGGTAGAGATATGGATCTTTTTGTGAGATCAACTTATGTTGAATAAATTCAGCTCAATTTGTCAATATATAGTTAGAAAGAAGGTAATCGATTTTTAGGAGCAGTATAACTGTTATATAATTTGGTTAGAGCGTTATTGATATGTTAGAAAGAAAACATTATCAATGTTATTTGCGTCATTGGTAACAATCTTAATAATTTGAATTAAAATATTTTGTTATGCAATGATTAAGGGTAGGGTTTGAATAAAGCAGGAGAAATCATAAATATAGTGCGATAGGCTCGGTATTGAAGATAAATTTCTACCTATAATTTATTTATAATTAATGTGTTATATTTAATTATTTTTAACGGGGTAGTTAATTCTCATTTTTAAATAATATTATTAAAATGATCAAAAAGATACTTGTTCTTATATTACTTATGGTGGTTGTTACTTCCAAGGTAGATATCGAGAGAGTTTAGACTGTTATTCGAGATGCCAGAGAAATCTGTTGGAATGAATTAACAGATAATGAGTGGGTCTATCCCACTTACTTGGGCACTCTCTTTTTGAGTGAGTATTATTTTGAACTCAAGGCACTTGGAATATAGAATTCTTAATTTCAAGAATCCAAATTCACTTAAATTCTACTTGATTCTCAACTTCCCGATGGGTCTTGGGTGTAAGTGGAAGATGCTTACATTTAGACTGGGTAATTGGATGCCACCATATTTAATTATTGGTATTTGAAGGCTGTTGGGATTGACATTCACACTGATACAATGAAGAAGGCATAGGAATGGATTAAGGCAAATGGAGGGATAGAGAAAGCTCAAACTATGACTAAATTTAAGTTGGCGATGTTTGGATAGTACCCATGGAAGAAATTGTTCAAAATTCCATTAATATTATTTTATAAAAAGTTCAATCCCCTCTATATCAAGGACATCACAGCTCAATGGGTGTATCCTCATATGACTGCTTTGGCCTATTTGTAGAATCAGAGGATCATTTTCAATGTGGCTGTCAGCATAAGTGAGTTGTACAAGGGTAAAGCACCAAAGATTAAGAATCATCAGAAAAAGGGTAGACCTTCATTCTTTATCAACAATCTTGTTTAAGAAATGTTGAAGTTAAGATAACCCATGGGTAGCTTTGGAGGGTACACAGTATCTACACTGTTATCGATGTTGGCTCTGCATGATTACACTGGAAGAACGAATAAGCATAAGAGTGAGATTAGCGATGCTTTAAGGGTTGGATTTGACTTTGTCGAATTCAATTATTTCAATTTTAGACAGGCTTATCATGGTAGTTTGGATGATGGAAGATGGTGGGATACTATTTTGATTTCTTGGGCTATGTTGGAGTCTGGAGAAGACAAAGAAAAGGTGAGACCAATCGTTGAGAATATGTTGTAAAAGGGTGTCTAGCCAAATGGAGGAATAGAGTATGGCTATGATTTTGGTTATGCTCCTGATGCTGATGATACTGGTCTCTTATTGTAAGTGTTATCATATTATGGGGATGAATATACAAGTGCCATGGATAAGGGAGCTGAATTTGTTTATAGTGTTTAGAATATCGATGGTGGATTCCCTGCTTTCGATAAGGACAAGATGGGAAAAAATCCTTTATATAAATATGCATTCAAAATAGCTGGAATAGCAGATTCAGCTGAAATATTTGATCCATCTTCACCGGATGTCACTGCTCATATTTTAGAAGGTTTAATAAGTTCTGGTCGAAGTAATTATGATGTGATTGCTAAATCTTTGAAATATTTTATGGAGACCCAAGAAAAGTTTGGATCTTGGGAAGGTAGGTGGGGCATCAATTACATATATGCTGCAGGTGCCGTATTGCCAGCATTAAAGAAGATGAAGTACTCTTTGACAGAGTAATGGGTGGGCAAGGCTGTTAAATGGTTGGTTGGTAAGTAAAATGCAGATGGAGGATTTGGAGAGACTACTTTGAGTTACCGTGACTCTAAGAAGTATAATGGGGTTGGAGTGTCGACAGTCACTTAGACGTCTTGGGGATTGTTGGGATTATTGGCAGTGGAAGATCATTACGATGTGAAGGAGGCAATTGAGAAAGCAGTGGAATTTTTGTTAGACTCGTTTGAGAGAGATGGTGAATTCAAGGATATTTCAGTAGTGGGTACTGGTCATAGAGGATTACTGTATTTGCAATATCCAAGCTATGCTCGTTCCTTTCCAATCATTAGTTTGGGTCGCTTCGTAGAATAATAGAGATGATGTTATATTTAATATAAAATTTTAATTTATGGAAATTTAATAAGGGGATCAATTGAGAGTGGCTGCTAAGCATCACATTGAAAGTTTTAATTACTTGTACACTCATGGTTTGATTGAGATATGTCGACATCTAAGTCCAATAGAGGTTTGTGTGCCTGGGAATCGAGACATTAGGTTGCCATTCAAGAATATGAAAATCTGGATTGAGGAACTATAGATAGGGATGCCAACATAACAAGGGATGTTGGGAGACAATAGAGTTCTGCCAACTCAATGTAGGTAGATGAAGAAGAGTTACACAGCTCCAATGTTAGCAACAATATGCAGAGAGATTGATGATAATCCAAAGGAGACAGTTCGTTTGTCTTTGGGAGAGATACCAATATTGGTGAAGAGTCAGAAATGTCATTTGAATGGGCTGAGTGCAGAAGGTATTTGTGATTTGGCTAAAAGAAAGAATTGGTGTAATAGCAGGAAGATTGCAATGAATTCGGAGGTTACTTTATAATCAATGGTAATGAGAAGATTATAAGAATGCTGATCATTTAGAAAAGGAACTACCCAATCGCATTCAAGAGACCTGGTTACAAGAACAAGGGATTCAACTTCTCTCCATATGCAGTTTAGATGAAGTGTGTGAGATCAGATCAATATGCAAGAACAATTACTCTACATTACTTGATGGATGGCAATGTGTACTTGCGTATCATCTTGAAAAAGAAGGAATTGCAAATGCCTGTAATAATATTATTAAGAGCATTAACAGACATGAATGATTATCAAATTTATTAATAGATAGTGCGTTCATAAGCAGAGAAGTCAGATATTTCTGATAGAGTTGAAGTCATGATCGCAGATGCTAAATCAAGAGGAATCAATACTCAAAAAGATGCCCTTGAATATATTGGTAGATTGCTTAGAGTAGAACTCAACATCTTTAATCCAGAGACCACTGATCTCTAAGTTGGACGGATATTCTTGAGAGAACACATCTGTGTACATCTTGACAATGATCAAGACAAAGCCTCAATTCTCTTATTGTGCATTGAAAAGTTGTATGCTCTTTTCATAGATGAAATCAATCCTGACAATCTGGACTCCTTAGTCAATCAGGAAGTTCTCTTATCTGGTCATCTCTATACTGCATATTTGAGAGAAAAATTGGAAGATTTATTAGTTGGAGTCAGAGAGAAAATATTGAAAGATGCATCTAAGGAATAATCAAAATTAAAAGACTTGGCTTATTTTAAAAGATGCTTTGATTTATAAACTACCGTAGGTGAAAAATTGGAAAATTTCTTAGCCACTGGTAATTTGAGATCGCAAACTGGATTAGATTTAATGGAAGCAAGTGGATTTACTATCATTGCTGATAAATTAAACAATATGAGATTTCTATCTCATTTTAGATCTGTTCATAGAGGATCTTATTTTGCATAAATGAAAACTACAACTGTTCGTAAATTACTTCCTGATGTTTGGGGATTCGTCTGTCCTGTCCATACTCCAGATGGAGGACCTTGTGGTTTACTCAATCATATTACAATGAGTTGTGTGCCCTTAACACATCCAGATGAACAAGACATTGAAGAATTGCTATTTCCTTTAGGAGTGCAATCTCAACGTTTGATCTACTCTAAAACTGATCTTCCAGTAGTATTGAATGGTAAATTAATTGGTTACTTAAATTCCTCTTTGTTACCAACCTTTGAACATACTCTTAGAGTTTACAAATCCAATGGCACAATCAAGGAAACAACGGAAGTTGCTTGTCTTCCAAGATAGGAGAATAAGTCTCCTTTGTTTCCTGGAATTTATATCAATACTACTGTGGCCAGATTAATGAGACCAGTAATTAATCTGAAGTTGAATACAATTGAATGGATCAGTCCTTTGGAATAGATTAATATGAGTATAGCTTGTACTTAGGCTGACATTCGTACTGACACCTAATATCAAGAAATAGATCCAGCATATATTCTAAGTGTTTTGGCTGCTAATGTTCCATTCTTAAATTATAATCAAAGTCCTAGGAATATGTATTAATGTCAAATGGCTAAACAAACTATGGGATCTCCCTGTCACAATTACCCATATAGGTTTGATAACAAAATGTATCGAATTTTATTCCCTTAAAAACCAGTTGTCAGATGCTTCGGTTATGATGATTACTAATTCGCTGATTATGCCAGTGGAACTAATGCAATAGTGGCAGTCATCAGTTATACAGGATACGATATGGAAGATGCCATGATCTTATGTAAATCAAGTTATGAGAGAGGATTCGGTCATGGCATTATTTATAAATCCTCTGAGTATTCCTTGAATGATGACAAAGAAGTCAAATATTGTAGATGAATAATTTTGGAGCATTAATTTTTAGTCTCCACTTTGTTTAAGACACATAATTTAGAGAAAACTCTAACTAGTAGTAAATATTAATTGCAACAATACAAGTTACTTAGTCAAATACCTGTATAATTATACAACCAAATTTAAGCTCAAGTTCCAGTAAATTTGTTACCTTATGGGTTGCCTGAATAATCTTAAGTTGTTACAAAAGGCACTGCTGTATTAGCTCTCTATGACAGCCAATTGTAATAGGTCAAAGTTTACCATTCAAAAGACAGTGAGACTGCTAGAATTGAGTAGGTGGCTGTAGTGAATAAATCTGAAAATGATGTATCAGTCATGATCAAATATAGAATCAATCGTAATCCTATTATAGGTGATAAATTTTCATCTCGTCATGGTTAGAAGGGTGTGATGTCCTTATTGTGGCCATAAATTGATATGCCCTTCTCAGAATCTGGTATGGTACCTGATATCATTATTAATCCTCATGCTTTCCCATCTAGAATGACCATTGGTATGTTAATAGAGAGTATGGCTGCTAAGGCAAATGTATTATAGGGAGAGATGTTTGAAACTCATCCATTTTAAAATTATGAGAATGATAATGTTGTTGACTACTTTGGTAAACAATTAATTAAACATGGTTTCAACTATCATGGAAACGAGACCTTGTATTCTGGTATTTACGGAACTCCTCTTAAAGTTGACATCTATTTCGGAGTGGTCTATTATTAAAGATTGAGACATATGGTATCAGACAAATCTCAAGCCAGAAGCATGGGACCTGTTGATGTACTTACTCAATAACCAATCAAAGGTAGAAAGAAGGGAGGAGGTATCAGACTTGGTGAGATGGAAAGAGATGCTCTGATTGCTCATGGTGTTGCTTATTGTATCAATGATCGTCTACTCAAATGTTCAGATTACTCCGAAAGTATTACATTATGTATTAATCATAGCCTACATTTGTGATAAATGTGGTAACATGCTAGCCACTTATCAATTTGTACAACTATTGTCCTTGGAGAATATACAATCTGTATAGAGTTCTCATCCCTATTGTGTGAGATGCAAACAATCAAAATGTTCTAAGGTAGCCATACCATTTGTACTCCGATATCTTGTAAATGAGTTGGCTGCCATGAATGTTAAATTAGAATTTTCTGTTGCTAGATGAGTTTCAACATTATTTTATGTTTATATATTAATTATTATCTTTATGCATACATTTATTTTCAATATCATGACCATATATATATAATTCATTCATCTTATCATTAATGCAATATCTAAATTATTTCACATTCATTGATATTTGGCTAGTTCTGACTTCCGAATACCAATTGCGGTTATCCTGGTTGGATATCGTTTGAATAGGTGGTACCTAAATTAATGGTGCCTCCCTGAAAATCTGCATTGATATTCAAATCGCCTCCAAAATTTGGACCTTAGGACGAATTCAGGATGATGGCTGGTTTATTTTCTCTTTTGATTGGAAAGAACTTCAAATCTTCCCCATTCTAGCAAAACAGAAATGAAATTGAGTTATCATCATAAATTCCTTATTGAAGTGGAGTTGATAGTTTTTTCCATTGACAAGGTGTATAGCCACCAAAAATAGCTTTGTTTTTGGATTTAAATATCATCAAGAGATTACTCTTATTGTTCACACTATTCCAAAAGGATTCTGAATTGATTCCTAATTATTAAGCTTGATAGATCAAATTAATTGTGTATCTTTTTTGATTGGTAATTCTCTCGAGCAATTTCTCAAAGTTCCTCTAAGACAGAATCTTTGATGATTGTTATATTGGAAACTGTGGTAATTGTGGATGGATGTCAGGATTACATTTTTATGAGTATTTATTAACAGTTGTTTGATAATCATTCATTTCTTAGGTTATAAAGCTCAGTCTATCTGTGATTGAAGGTATTTGTGTACTTATAAGTAATGATTGAAAATGAATACTTTTTAATTTTTTCTTTGTAGACATTGATAAGATTGAGAATGTCTGTTTTTTTTTAACCAGTTACTCCACTTTCTAATTCTTTTATATAATTTACAATTTAAATCTCTTTATTGGCTTATTAATCATCTTAAATCAATTGCTCAAATCGACTAAAGTTCACAATCTAGTAATAGAATATTAATTCGTACTGTAACCAATCCTCTTCTAAAGTCTTCTAGTTCTTTTTTTAGTTAATCAAAGTACGTTTCTGTCTCATTTATAAGTTTATCAAGAATTTATTTAATTGTTTATAAACGATCATTCCATTTTCTTTTGGTATTTTTGAGATCGTCTTCAGTTGCCTTCAGAAGTTTGGACAAGAACACTTTGACAGTGTTATCTAAATTAATTTTACTGAGTAATTCTTCTGGTTGTTTTTTAACCTTCATCTATGAAACAAGAGTACTTTTTATAGTAACACCAATTAGTCAAATTTAGTTGTAAGTCCTTTGTCTTCAATGCATTCTTCACAAAGCAATTGAACTGCTTGAGAATCAGGTTGTAAATATATTCTAGTAATCTCTTAATTGTGAAAACATTACTATTGCATTTAATATTTATTAATGAATCAAAAAACAAAAATCAACTAAATTTATATTCATATATGTCTACTAAAATCATTACATCTATAATCGAATTTAATTCTAATTCAGATAGACAAAACATACCTGCATATTTTCCATCTTTAATAATGTTGTTAAGAGAGGTTTGGTATATATATATCAGTATACACTCAAATAATGATATTATCTTCACTAATTTTTATTATATTTATCAATTGTTAATTCATAACTATATTATTATTAAATTGCTCTATTATGCAATCCAGGCTCAATCCCTGAATACAATTGCTTCATTTCCCTTCTTGCAACTCCATACACATTTACGGTCAGAAAGATCATTATTGATGGCAAAAAGTTATCAATCAAAATCTATAATTTGTAATCTCCATCTGATTTGAGAGTCAAACCTACTCCAACCACATAACTTAAATATCCCAACTAAAATAATATGGAATGTGATCTCGTCTGTCTTCTAAAGTATCTTGTGTAAGTTAACAAAGAGCAGGGCAACATTAATTGCAACAAAGTAATACCTGAACATGTCAACTTGGGATTCTCAAGGAAAAACGTGTTTGGAAAATGCAATTTCGGCAATTCAATCCCAAATTAATACTAAATAACATACGATAGCCCAAAAATAACACCATATACTGATAGTAATTGTTGTAGATTGTAAAACTTCATGAACTATATTATTGAATAATTGTGATACTCGTATTAATTAAAATAACAAGCAAATCGAACTGAAACTTCTCAACACCCAATTGTCTGTCAGAACTAAAAAGAAAGTGTACACAAATTGCAATAGATAAGTGAATAAGTTTATCAACTTTACTCTTCCATATAATGGTAGTTTTATGTACGGCGAGATGGAGGATGATACTATATATATCAAGAGATCTGTCGTGGCTATTTGAACACAAACAAAATAGACCCCGTATATTGGAATCTCCAGTAGGCTAATCTGCCCCCATAAGAACAATCCAATCAACAATCCAATAACAAAGAACAAGTACAACACTATTCTCAGGGTTAGATTGGTCTCTTTCCCTTTTCTAGATATTATCTAAGCAGAGTCTGGCGTTGTTTGAAATTCCCCCATTTTGATTATTTACTCTGGTTGAGAATATTAGGGGGAGTATATTTGTCTCGCCTTATAAAAGGAATCACATGACTCTAACTCATCGATTTGTTGTTCTGCTTATGCAGGTTTCAATTTAAATCTCTTTTATCCATAAATTGCCCCGATGTATGTGATTATCAAGGCGATTACTGCCAATATTAAATCAGGGTAATCGTGGTAATAGAGTTTGTCCTCACAAATCTTAATATATCTAAAATTCAGAATAGTCTTCCCATATCGAACATGCAACTCAACAAAGGCCCAATTCTAATAACATTCATAAAATATAGTGTATGCTGATGTTGAACTTTCCTCAATTGTTATTTCTTATTATTCGACTTAATTGGGCACATTGATCAATTGCATATCTCGAGGTCTCAATGATATAGGTATGATGCTTAGATTTAAGGCTTTGGATTCCAAATTTTAAATATAAAATATTCGACTACCCTATTTCTAATCCTCTTCGAATAAGTCCGATGGATGGCATTGATACTATTCGTGCACGCTAAATTAGTGATTCTGCACTTAATTTTCATAAATTGAAATATTTTTCCCTCCAATTGTGGTTAATATATTAAATTGAGCATAGCATTAATAGATGATAAATAAAATAAACATTATATAAAAATCCATTCATAATATAAACATTATTTAAATAAGTTTTGACGTTTAATTTGAAATTGACCTAGCAACAAAATAATAAAGTCAGATTCGTTATAGATTCTGTGACTAATTATCCAATTTTACAAATATCAATATTCTTAAAAATCTAAGTATGCCATTTATTAAATCCTCCTAAATATGTGTATGGTTTTAAATCCTATTTTATGTGCATTTTATACATGATTCATAAAATGAGACTTCTTGAATTGAAAGGTAGATATATTCTAATTAAATATTAATGGATATGATTAAAAATGAAAAGAATATAACTTCATTTTTAATCATCTAATTTCTTAAGCAATTAAGTTGTAAAACCCTTCTCTAATGTAATTTCAATCTCTTATTTGATTTAGTCTTAATTTTAACAACCACCGTGTTTTGTTGCCTAAATAGAATATCTTTTACTTGGCAATAATCTTGATAACTAGTGAGAATTTCAAATAGTTTTTTCATATGCATATCTAATTGCTCTTCTTATTCTTTCAAAAAGAATCTAGGATTAGGATTGTATTTAATTAAAAGCATGATGAGCATAGTTATAATTTCCAAATCTTTCTCATCATGCAAGACTATTTTACCTTTGAGCAAAGTTTTATTGTTGAGGAGCTAAGACATTTATGTTTCAATCAAGTATTCCTTTTGAGAACTATAGTGTTCTACAAAGGTGGATATGTTTTCAACCTAATTTATTGTCAATACAAATGAGTATTCGATTTCAAATTCATTTATTTCTTTTACATCGTCAATTAACTGTTAAATATAACTTTCATTTGGTAATTTTTGTGTTTCTTCACTGTACTAATGTTCATATTAATGAATGAATGTGAGATACGGTTCCTCACGGAATAGAGGGTTCTAATCCACATCGAAATCTTGGGTGATGTTCTAATTATCATGGAAATGATTATTCAAATCCACATCGAAATCTTGGGTGATGTTCTAATTATCATGAAAATGATTATTATTCAAATCCACATCAAAATCTTGGGTGATGTTCTATTTATCATGGAATGGATTATTATTCAAATCCTCATCAAAATCTTGGATGATGTTCTAATTATCAGAACCATTCCAACTTTCCTAATTAGTGTCACCAATTTAATCAATAAGTTCTTAAATTTCTTAAGATTCTTCCAAATTTTATATATTCATATTTAATAATTATAATATAAATGAGCAATCAAGATAGTTAAGACAAGTCGTACGAGTTCAAGATTGATTCTGATCTGCCGAAATTTTAAAATTTGCCGATGAACGAATATTATCAAATGGAATTCAAATAGGCGTTACAGAGTGGATTGAGGGAGATTGCAATTTAAAAGTATGGATATTAAGTGAATATGTTAAGGCCATAAAATGCAGTTAGATTTTTGGGCGAGTATCTTCTGTCGTACAAAAGTAAGAAGTGAGAAAATAATTTATATGTATATTTCTTCCCTGCAATAATTGTATTATGTATGTTTATATTTTTTATCGAAGTCATTATTTTAATTAATGGACGAGCGAGCATCCTCTAGAAGGTAAGACACACGTGATTATCATAGCTTTTCATCGGCATCATCGTCGGTCTCGAATCTGAGTAAGGACCGAAGTAGAAGTAATTCAAAAAAAAGAAATTTTAGAAATAAGAAGAAGCCAACTAAACGAGTCAAACACACCTTAGATTTTCCTCCTCTGGATTAATCGTTGCTCAGCTTCGACTAATTCTAGGAATTATATGTAAGAGTTGCATGTGACTGAAAATTAGGTGAGCAATGAAATCCCCATTGAGAAATTACGACTTCTTTATTAGACCTACGAGAGGAAATGGGAAAACAAACAGAAAGAGTTGTTCTTTGATCAACATAAGGACGAGCCTTGGATTTAAGACAAATACAATCCCGTGAACAGGAGAGAGTTCCAAGAAGAACGCAATCAATTGGCATAGAATCGCTTCAATGAATTTTTGAAGCAATACAACATGGGAGGTTTCAACAACATCAACCTTACCTTGTCAGAAATGCAATTGATGGACTTCTTTGAATTGAATGATCACTTCNTACAAAGGTGGATATGTTTTCAACCTAATTTATTGTCAATACAAATGAGTATTCGATTTCAAATTCATTTATTTCTTTTACATCGTCAATTAACTGTTAAATATAACTTTCATTTGGTAATTTTTGTGTTTCTTCACTGTACTAATGTTCATATTAATGAATGAATGTGAGATACGGTTCCTCACGGAATAGAGGGTTCTAATCCACATCGAAATCTTGGGTGATGTTCTAATTATCATGGAAATGATTATTCAAATCCACATCGAAATCTTGGGTGATGTTCTAATTATCATGAAAATGATTATTATTCAAATCCACATCAAAATCTTGGGTGATGTTCTATTTATCATGGAATGGATTATTATTCAAATCCTCATCAAAATCTTGGATGATGTTCTAATTATCAGAACCATTCCAACTTTCCTAATTAGTGTCACCAATTTAATCAATAAGTTCTTAAATTTCTTAAGATTCTTCCAAATTTTATATATTCATATTTAATAATTATAATATAAATGAGCAATCAAGATAGTTAAGACAAGTCGTACGAGTTCAAGATTGATTCTGATCTGCCGAAATTTTAAAATTTGCCGATGAACGAATATTATCAAATGGAATTCAAATAGGCGTTACAGAGTGGATTGAGGGAGATTGCAATTTAAAAGTATGGATATTAAGTGAATATGTTAAGGCCATAAAATGCAGTTAGATTTTTGGGCGAGTATCTTCTGTCGTACAAAAGTAAGAAGTGAGAAAATAATTTATATGTATATTTCTTCCCTGCAATAATTGTATTATGTATGTTTATATTTTTTATCGAAGTCATTATTTTAATTAATGGACGAGCGAGCATCCTCTAGAAGGTAAGACACACGTGATTATCATAGCTTTTCATCGGCATCATCGTCGGTCTCGAATCTGAGTAAGGACCGAAGTAGAAGTAATTCAAAAAAAAGAAATTTTAGAAATAAGAAGAAGCCAACTAAACGAGTCAAACACACCTTAGATTTTCCTCCTCTGGATTAATCGTTGCTCAGCTTCGACTAATTCTAGGAATTATATGTAAGAGTTGCATGTGACTGAAAATTAGGTGAGCAATGAAATCCCCATTGAGAAATTACGACTTCTTTATTAGACCTACGAGAGGAAATGGGAAAACAAACAGAAAGAGTTGTTCTTTGATCAACATAAGGACGAGCCTTGGATTTAAGACAAATACAATCCCGTGAACAGGAGAGAGTTCCAAGAAGAACGCAATCAATTGGCATAGAATCGCTTCAATGAATTTTTGAAGCAATACAACATGGGAGGTTTCAACAACATCAACCTTACCTTGTCAGAAATGCAATTGATGGACTTCTTTGAATTGAATGATCACTTCTACAATGATGATCCAGATGTTCCTTTCTGGGAATTTTAACTCAAAGGTAAGCCAAAGCCAAAATAATATTAGAATCTATTGACATAACCAAAGCTCCCTTTTTTGGTTCAGATCCCAACCAAAACAGTGTATTCATCAAGAACGTGCCCTTGCCTCTCTCCAGAGCAGATGTAGTCAAGGCACTCTCTTCATTGCCTGGCTATGTGAGTCTAACCCTGTCTGAGCCAAACAAGTTATAAAATTACACTAGGATTGGATGGGTCAGCTTTGATGGAGAGGAGTATTGTAATCGATGTGTGAATGATGAGAGCATCACCATCAAGGGACATTCACTCCAATTCCAAAAACAACAAGAGAAGAGGTAAGGTGTCATTCATTACATTTTCTTAGGAAATTCGTGAGAGTCTTCAAGTCAGTCGAATATAATAAATTATTGAAGGACTTGCAACAATAGAGAGAACTCATCAAAGTCTTGGATAAAGAAAAAGGAATCAGTGGTAATCCACTCATCGAGGGACCACTCAAAGATAGAGATGACCCAACATTCAATAGACAATTGGATATTCAGACCTTGTATTTGAGAAGAATACACAACTATTGCTATTGGAGTGGAGCTGAATTCTCAGACTATAGATTACTTGTCTCTAAAGTAGGCTATGTAAGTGGATTCATTAATAAATTAAGCATTTCTTCAGATTAGACTAAAAAAAGAAGTGTAATCTAGAGTGGTAGGACATCATTCAAGCTCTATGCAATCGTCGTAGAGAAGAAAGCAGTGATGAATTGCCCCTAAATGAATTGATTGACAATGAAATCATTTCAATGGGATTGAAACAAAGAAATACTCGCTAGAAAGATGCTTATCCTTGTATATTCTGTGAAAAGCAATTCCAAGGAGGAACCTTCTTGATCAAACACATTTCTCTTAAGCATGAGAAATAGTATTGGGAACATTAGCAATCCTTAAGATAACAAGTTATTGATCAATAAATGGCCAATAATCATAAAATAGAGAGAAGCAGCAAGGCCACCATCTAGAGACAGATCTTTGTCAAAGGACTCATCGATGAAGCCTAATTATAAGAAAATAAGTATATAAACACATTTCATTCTAGAATCCAATTGCCAATCAACTTTGCTCCCAGAGTCCAACAGAGACAATACAAAGATCTTGATTCAATAGCATAAGATAAAACCTAACCAGCTATAATGTTTTAAATACGTGAAACAAAAGTGAATTATAATGATATATGAATTAAATAAATTATTCAAAAGGTATTCAAATTACAGAATAAATTTAATCTCATTACATATCGATCCCAATCTAGTTGATGTATATTAAGTTTGATTCCTCTCTTGAGACTATTAATAGATCCAATTTTGGAGGCCAAATTTCGAGTCGAACAATATCTTGATAGACACTTCTAAATTATTAAATTTCCGGTAGAGGATACTAGGCTATATGATTAAGAATAAAAATAAAAGGAATAGCTAAATCTTCAATAAATTTAGACTCTCAAAGAATTAGATATGGAATTATTAACGAATTGTTTAAAGAGATTCTTGAAAAATTGGAACTATTTTGAATCAAATCTAGCAATAATATATTAAACAACTCATTGATATATATTTATTTGTATATAGATGTATTTATAAATCTGATTAAAAACCTTAATTAATTTTCTTAATGGATCGGGTAATTGAATTATTGAACTCAAAAAAAGTATAGGAATCTCCTGAGAACAGAAGAATACTTTTTAACAATCCTACGTATAAGCCTTACTTATTATTAACTTACAATGAATTTAGATAGTTGTTTAAAGTGGATGAGAATAATGTTACTCGATTCAATAAAATGATCATCTACACAGAGATGGATTACTACAACTATGTATATAATCAAAGTTGGACATATAAATGGTATCCATTGCTATTCAAATTTGGTTTGAATTGTGTTCGAAGAAGACCAACAAGCATCATCTTTTCCTTGATGTACTTGTACAGTGTTGAAGTATTCTTAGAAAAATTGTGTCTCTTTCAATATGTGGATGACAAATTAATAGATCCCTCTGAGTATTTCACTGCAGCTCTATCCAAAGAAAAAAGTAATCCTCATCAATAGCATAGATCTGTAAAAGCAAAATGAACTATTTCTAAAGTACAAGGACATCCTCCTACAGGATTACAAAGAGAAACATTATGTGGAGGAATACAAACCGAGAGATTGGATCCTCATGGGCAATAAATTTAATATCCATAACCCATACATACATTGGACAGAATCGAAAGATGAGAATGCCAATAAGATTATGAAAGAATTCTTTGTAAAGAACTTCCAATTGCTCCTCTTCTTCGATAGAATATAGCGATTTGCGAAATTGATAAAAAATGAGGGATACACAGGATTGCAAAGAGAAACGAGAGCTTGCGTTTAGAATTTGATTAGACAAAGTAAACGATTGATATTGGAGTTCCCAGTCTATAAGGAATACGTCCCTTATTTGAATTCATACTATAAGATAGAGGAATTGCTTTCAGTTCCTTATATTGATTAAAGAAAACGATTCATATAAATGGATCACTACAAATTAATAGGGAGCAAGATAATAAATTTGTTCATTTATCTGGTTTATGGAAGATGCGAGTTTGTCAGATATGAATTCAAATGGTTCGATCCTAATATATCTGCGAAAAAGCCCATGTTAAGTAAAATCAATTGTAAATATGAAAATAGGAGCTGAATCAGTATGGTATGATATTGTACCATATGTGGTGTTACTGGTGTTACCAACTAAAGTAATGGGAATTAGAAGAGCAATGGGAAATGCTAAAAAATATGCTGACTATGCATCAACCTTGGGTTCGAAAGCTAAATAATAGACATCGGTTTGATGATAATATTCAAAGTAGTTTCTTTTTTATTCATAATTTAATATATCAATGTGTTATCTATTAATTGGATCTCAAAATCTAAAACCCTTAAATTTAGATATTTAAAGAGTTTATAATATAAATTATTAACAAAGTATATTGATTAATTGTTTATTGTTTGTTCACAAAACATAAAAACCATTCATTAGAATTTAGCAATGTAACTTTCGTGCCATTATTGGAATATCTTCATCTTTGCTAAGAGTTTCTCTTCAGGTAATATCAAGATTGTCATTCTGAAATGATAGGTTCCTGGGTATTGCAAGAATCCAGAACCTGGTACAACAACTAATCCAGTTTCTTTGAGAAGGTCTAAACAATATAAAACATCTGGTTCATAGCCTAATTTTCTAGCATGTTACACGTATTTATCTAATATGGAGATGCAGAATACCTGATAAGAAGATTCTTGGGAAAGCATACATAGCACCTTCAATTGGTTAACAAGATACACCCTTAGTCTGGTTAAGATATTGAGTAACAATGCCAGCTCTTCTTTATAAACTAGTGAATAGAGCCTTGCATTCTTCATTATACTATGAAACTGTGGGTTCGGAGCATCCTTCATCGGTAGTTGGTGGAGTTACCATCAATCCTGTCATCAATTATCCAACTGTGTTTGAGCATAACATAATTGCTATGGGGAATAGTAATAACAAATATACTTTTGGATTTGTGAATTTGGAAATGAACTTCAGAATCAATTTTGGATGTGATTTCCATATATCCTCCTCTCAAACCACATTCTCCAGTGATACCCTTAGAAATTGAATGGAAGGAATAGATTTCAACATCCAAATTGAGTTCATTGGCTACTTTTCTAAATGAAATGAACTTCTTCTTTGGATCATAGATATTTTCTTAATAGACTTCATCTGCAAAGATAGTTATTTTCTTATCTGCAGCAAACCTAAAATAAATCAACTATAATACTTGATCATTTCCACAATGCTCTATTTGTCAAACACTTAGCCTGTAGGATTACCTGGATTGATGCATACCAATATTCTTGGATTAATTCCATTTCTTTTGGCCTTGGAATATTATTCTGTATTATAATGTTAGAGATAGTACCTTCCAATTATTTTTGTTCAGCAGACCAATTCTTATCCTCCACCAGATAATATGGTATTTATTAGGCTCCACATTGTGCAATGACAGCAGAATAGAGGGGATATTGGGGAATTGGAATCATGACGCCATCATTTTTATCTTTGAGCAATAAGTTGAACATTAAGGTTATGCCTGATGATGCACCATCGGTTAGAATGATATCATTAATGGAGGGTCTGTTTTTGGTGGCATCTCTTTTCTAGATGAAGCTTTAAGAGAAGGTTAAATTATTAGACATACTTTGCAACAGCTTCTCTAATTACTGGATATCCTGGAGATTGACTGTATGCACCCACTTGGAATCCGATCTTGTCATTGTAAAATTTGACTCTTCTTTGGACATCTCCAGATTGATATTTCAAGATGTTTGGATCCAACATAGAAGCAAGAACACTCCTGTTGAATGTAATGGGTTTTTGACCAAATGTTTAAGGATTGCCAATATTCAACTCAGTAATTGAGTCAAATGGATATTTTTTGCCAGCATTAATCTCCTCTTGAATAGTGGCTGCCATCGATGGGACCTATCCTCTTACAGCATATTAGGCTTCCACAAAGAGTGGATTGATGTCCTTGATTGTATTCCAATAGGCATATCTTATTGATTTTGATAATTATTTCATATTTTAATTAATCATTTGTATTCATAAATGCTCTTAAAGTACTAAAGTTTTTTCAATTTTCTCCCTATTCTTTATGAATATGCGCTTAGTCTATATTCAACAATCAAGTTATTGTAGCGTTTTCTAAACTCCTTCTCCAATTTCTTATGGTCATGAGAATTTAAATGAGCATTCAATTCATATTCATTTTTACCAAATTGACGATCACAGAGTGAGCAACTATAGCATTCAACATCACTTTCCATCTCTTATTGCACGTACATCTGATTCCATTCAAAGAAGTCTTCGTCTTCCTCTTTACTACGCAGATTTGCTGTTATTCTCTTATACATCCTTAATTAATTATAAATAAAAAACAACTCATTAAAAATTATTAAAACTATGTTTGAACTTCAAATTCATTTCTGCTCTTGCAATCTGATGATCTTTCTCAACACATTACAAAAAAGGATGACTAAGTGCCTGCTTGATATTAATTCTGTATTAAGTGCTATTCAAAAGACTTTTCAGAAAGTTAGTACCATGGGATGCAATTTCTGGATAAATTCCATTTGCAAAATCCACTGTATTTGGACTCAGACCATTTAAATACAGAACTACTTTGTGTAGATCGAACATATCCAATCCATCCACTTAATCTAATATTTTAGCTTCACTAAATTTAATTAATTTGACCACATTCCCCTTATCAAACATGAAACTTCTTTGGCTAATTTAACCATGAACTATGAATTTATTATTCAAATCGTCCAAAATATTTAAAATCTCCTTGAAATATTCACTATTATATATACTTTTATTATAATTTAATTTTCTTCATGAGTATAATATTATTCCAGTTTATGTTTCAAATATTCCATTATCATATAATAATTATGTTATGATTCATACACTTCCAATATCTTGACTACATTTTTATTCTCTCTCAACATTCTCAAGATTTTTACCTCATTTAAAAATTTTTTCTCGTTTTCTTTAACTTCTTTTTTATATACCTTACAAAAATACTTCTATCCATTCAAGATTGATTTCACTATCATAGCCTATTATATATATCAAAGATTATGATTACTTTTCGTTATTCATCTTCTTTAATCAATAAATATTATTCATACATTTCTGCTGCACCTAAATACATAACTTTACAATCCAAAATGGATTTCAATTTTTCCAAGTTTTCAGCAGAACCCACCAAAGAACAATTCTAAAATCGAACTTCGTGAATTTAACTTTCGAAATAAATCCATTAGAAATGAAGCTTCAGTGAGATGAGAAACCTAAGATTTTCAGTTTTTGTTTTCACTTCCAAACAATATTGATCACACGACAATTATGCAGACTTGTTATTGAAAAAACACTCAAAGTTGACATTAGAATTCATTGTTTTACACTTTATTTAATTTACTAAAATACATTTTACAACTTCTAGACGGTAATAAAGATTGATATTATAATATATTAAGAAAAAATATTTAATAATTTAATCATTATTCTAATAAGTAAGATCCCCCTCAAATGAATAATTCAACAATTTCTTTTAAATCGTTTTTTAGCCATAACAATTATGCTTAATCTACTAATTAGACTCACATTATCTATTCTTTAATCAGCAATTGGAGAACTGATAAAAGATTATTATTTACACAATAGTCAATTTTATTCTAAATCAAAAATTGAATTCATCTTTTCTGTATATATGTAAGTAATTTGTTATATTTTTTTCTCTATTTTTGATTCTTAAATTTGAATACGAGTATATGGAAACCCAATCTATTAATGAAACTCAAATATATATTTGAGAAATCAAATAACAATCTATTTAAGTTAATGTTTATTTCACTATCAGATTAGGAGTTCTATCTTTGTATCATATTGATTATGTGAATAATAGATTAACATCCATTTATTGAGAGTAAGAACTACTTTGATGTTTTCTTTCGAAAAACATTTTACAGCTTTGAAAGATTTTAAAGCCTCAAATTTTAGCTCTTTCATGTCATCTTCATTTTTCCATATATTTAATCTATAATATGTTGAGACAGTATCCTTAGCCTAATTTGTAGTGTCTGTTGTGAATAACCATAATTTCTTAGCGGATTATAGGATTTTGATTCATTTAAGTAGTAATACTGAAGAGATTTAAGAAGTACATTTGTGAATGTAAAGAGATAAATTAATAATGGGGTAGGATCAAACAAGATTGTTATTAATGTTTGAAAATCAAATAAGTGAATATTCCAAAATATTTCTGATTAACCACCTAAGGAATGATCTAATACCTGATTAGATTTATTAGATTGTAATAAAAGATATTAGGATAATTAGTAAAATAGATTATAATAAAGAGTAGAATTCTATTTAGATTGGATAATTCCATTTAGGGAATGTTCTAAATTCTAGTTCTAAATTTGATGAGGAATCTTATTAAATAATATAAGTTAAGAATGGATAAATGAAAGGTGAAATAGAACTGTGTAAAAGAGTAGGAACTTTAGAGTATAATGGTTAAATTGGATCTGTGCAATTAACACTATATATTGATACAGATATTGACTGATTATATGATCATTAGGGTTACTTCTTAAGTGAGGCAGCGAATTCACGTGCTTTCTTTAAGTATTCTTGGCGGTTGTTTCTAGGGATGAAATGAAGTAGAAGTACTTGTACTGATTGCATGGTTCATATTGAGCAGGACTTTCAATGTTGGGTTCATCCTTGAGTAGCTTCTGAATACCAAGTAAGATTTGTTTGACGGTAATACTAGATTTCCAGTCTTCTTCTTCGTTGAGAATGGATAGACAGACAGTTCCGGAAGGGTAGACATTTGGATGTGGTAAGACAGGTTTGAATTAACATTTGGGTGGTTTCATAGGGTAATCATGCGAAAAATCCATATGTAAAGTGTAGGTACCCTCTTCCCAAGGACACTAATTGTAAAGGGGATTATACTCCTTGTGGTCCTGGTATTTCACATACCCATTTAAGTAGATCAACTGTTCCGTCTTCTTTGGTGGTAGGTTTGGCAACAAATCCATGAGGATGATCAGTCCGCCAGGCTCTGCGTTCTGCTTTTAACCTTGTGATAACCAATTCGCTAACTTCCTTAGACATTTATTTCAAGTGATTTTTATTAATGTAAAATAAATAATTGGTTTATGCATTTTTTGGCTTCAAAATTGTATATAATATTTGTTTGCTAAAATTATTATTCTAGAAAATCACTAGTAACTATGTAAGAACTTTTTGAGCCTCTCATTAGAAACAGATTAGCGAATGTAATTCAATTCGTTAACGAAGAGTCTTTTCTCCACTGGTGTGAGTCTTTGTCGTTTGTCATTGATGACACTACATTTATAATAATGAATGTATACAAGGCCTTGATATTGTGTCTGTTGGGTGGTTGAATATAGGAGTCATTCAAGGTGGGTAATCGTAACCCTTGGTTGAATCCTTTCCTAGATTGTTTCTCCTTCTGTATTTTGTTAAAGAGTTGTTTCTTGTATTTTTCCCATCGACCCTTTTCAATGATCATTTCCTTCAATTCCGATTGTTCTGGATAGGTCTATAGCTTAACTAGGTATTAATCTAATAGTTCTGGAGGCACAATCTATTTGATGTCAAATAGACTTAGAGTGATTATCTCAGATTGAATTGCAGTCATATAAGTATATTTAGACTTCTCTTGTTTCAACATGGCCAAGTCTCCGAAGATCTCTCCTTCTCCCAATTCAGTTAATTCGAAGTACTCATTCAAGGGAAATCCATACTCTGCTTATGGAGTGTAATCAGACTTGACTCCTGGCAACTTCTAAATCACTGTAACACATCCTGATTTGATAATAAACAGTTTATTCGGAACCGTGCCTGCCTTCAATAATATTGTCTAATGTTTATGTCTATTTTGTATGCATTTGGTACTTAGACTCACCATAATCTTATTGCTGAATCCTTAGAAGATGTCTAGTTATTCCAGGAACTTAATAGTCTCTTTGACTCTCTCGGTCTGCATATGATCAGCCAACATGAATTATTAGAATGCCTCATTTTCTAGGATGATCAAATCGGTTATCTCATTTGTAATGATGGTGGCAGTTCTTTTTAAATTAAACTACAATGCCATCTCTCCGAAGAATTCCCCCTTCTTCAATTAGGCCACCTCTTTCTTGATCATCACGTCCTTCAAGGTGGTGGCTTAATCGATCAACACCCTAACACTTCCATTCAGAATCACATAAAATTTATCACCTTCATCTCCCTATTTGAAAATGCATGAATTAGGTTCGAATGTCTGCATGTAAAGGTGTTTGCACAAAGCAGTGAAGTAAGGTCTATCCTTATATTTACTCAAGAAACCTATTTGCTAGGATTCGTTGTAAATGGTACTTTTGCTATCGATGCAATCTCTGCCAGAATGTTAGCATCTCTTTGATCCTTTTGAATCTACAATAGTTTCTTTAACTTTTCCGTTTGCAGTATGAATAACAGAACATTAGTCGCCTCCTCTTCCTGAATCTTTATTTGCTCCTTACTCACTGAAGCCATCGACTCTCGACGTTTACTCCCAAAACTTCGTATATTATTATAATTCATAAGTAATTTTATTCAAATTATTTCATCCTCTTAGGAGAAATCTAATTCCTTAAAGATTCAATTTCCCTCGGGAACAACTGTTTATGCTAAGGAGTCCTGCAACTCTGTCTCAATACACTACAACATAAATCACCACATTTACAATGTCCTCTGGAAAATCTACTGATCAGGAGCATCCATCAATTTGTAACGTAATTCAGGTAACCGCATCCTCTTATCGAATCCTCTGCTATTCATCTTATCATTCAACACATTTTGGACTAACTACTTCTTGTACTCCTTCCACTGTAGATCTTCTGCTTGCATTTGACAGAGAGTCTCTGGCTCTGGATAGAAACGAATAGACTCGACATACTTATTTAAGCTCTCTTATGAAACATATTGTTTTAAATCGAAACCGTTAAGATGAATTAACTCACTTGGCATCGAAGTGATATAGGTGTACTCAGATGCACTATTAGTCAGACAAGCATGATCTCCAAAAACAGACCCTTGTTCCAATTCATCTAATTCATAATACTGAGTGCCAACCTCGATCTTCTTCATTACACGAACTCTCCCACTTTTAATTATGTATAATGATTTAGGTACAACACCTTATTTTAAAATAATTGTTTATTATTTGAGAGTTGATTTACGACATTTCGTACTTATCTACGTAATTTCCTCGGGACTAAAAAATGAGAATTGTTAGACTTTTTTAAGGAAATGTCTAACATCCTTCAAATTAGTTGATTACAAATCGAATGCATCCAAATCCCCTTATATATATTTTTAAAACACATCTCTATCCAACATTAATAAATCACATTCCGATTCTGCTATCACAGTTGCAGTTCTCTAAGACCCAAAAAACAACGCAATTTCGCCAAAACAATTACCCTTCCCCAATACAGCTACTTCTCTCTTTTTGAATTCTCCAGGAAAACAAGTAGGCTCATTAGCATATATTTTCACTATCCCACTCAAGATAACATAGAAACATGTTCCTTTATCTCCTTACTTGAAAATTGTTTTTCTTTATTGGAATGTCTTTACATATAAATTACGACACAATTCATTGTAATAAGGCTTCTCACGATATCGAGATAAAAATTTGACTCCCTAAGTGGAAATTAAATGTGGTTTTTTTACAAACCTGCACTAAAACACTAATTTCTCTAATGTGATCATCCGTTCTTTACTTTGGAGGTATTGTAAGCAACACTTTCAGCTTTTGACTTTGTCTCAAGAAAATGCTCATGTCAGCCTGATTGATGATCATATCCTAAAGGTTTTGGATGACTGCCTGATTCCAATTCTATGGCTACATTAAATTAATGATATAATATCATTTATTATTTTCATTTCAAGAAGCTAGGAACATAGAAGACTGAATTATTTAGATATCCTCTTATAGTTTGCTAAATCATTTACAAAATATCAAGTTCAAAATATTTATCAACAAATGGAATTGAATTTAATTTTAATTCTTTCTTTATCCAAAACATTGTAATCAACTACTAGTTTTTGACAATCTTAAATCAAAGACCCAACGACCTTAAAATCACTCATCAATTTCCAACAAGGCTGCCCCTCTGTAATGTAAAATATTTTAGAATAACGAATAATTTATATAATGCACATCTATAAGCATGAATTTTACACAATTTAGAATATTATTTTGCCTTTCTAAAATATCTTATAAATATATTAAAAATCTTATTATATTTAAATAAATTACTATCTTATCTACTTGTCAAACTAAGTTTCTAGAATGGTTTCTATTTACACAATAACTTATGAGTTTACACCAACTTTGGAATTATACACTCTTTATAGGTTTAGAGTCATTTTAACTAAACTTGTCTTCACTAGTTCCTAAGCGTATACAAATGATGTGATTTTGAAAATAAAGTGATTCATATGAATTGGTATCAGATGAATTTTATAGAAAATAAAAATTTGTAAAATCTTAAAAGTTGAAAAAAGAGAAACAAATTTTTAGATTTTTTAGTTTGCTTCTGACATTAATATGGCAATTTAAGAGGAACGATGATGAGGACTAATACAAACAATATATACTAGAGATTTCTGTTTAAATGTACTTCATTGGTTGAATTAAAAAATGAGAATAAATAATATTAATAATTGAGCACAAATTATGGTTCATTGAAATAGTTTAGATTTTATATCCTAAAACTACTAAAGCTTAAACATTTTTTTCTATTCTTTTTTTGTATTGTGTTGTTATCTTAATGAAAATGACCTATTTTTATTAAATGATTGGGTCTTGGGTTCCGTTTTCATTCTCTGTTGATAGATCTTGTCCAATTGTTCTTTTGCCTCAGAGGCATATTATTGTTTTAAGACTTTATCTAATGGAGTTTAGGGTCTAATAATTAAGTTGTATGTATTAATACTTATATCTGATCCCGTGGGTCATTAAGGTAATGTCTGAATTCTAGACTCTATGATTTCTTCGCATGAATGATGAGATTTCATTTCCACAATCTAAAGTAGAAAATTACATTTAAATAGGATCTCGCTTACTTGATTTCCCATATCTAAAAGTATCATCTGGAAGATTTCGAGTGCTTGGCTTAGGTTTTCCAATATCATCTTTTAGTAATAGAATGTTCTTGCTCTTTGGTATTAAAATAGGTAAAACAGTTGACATAATAAATAATAAATGTATAAAATGATTTAAGTTAGGATTAGATCATAGATGTATTTTTTTTTATTAAGTGTCCTGTTGAGGTGAATCTTCTTCTTTGACTTCAGTTTCGAACTCTTCATCAAAAATTTTCCAGAGATTAGATATACTCATTTCTTTTTAGAATTTGTTCTATGATAATTGGATTTAAATGGCATACTTTTTCAAGGCCAATGAGAAAAGTGGCAATTTGAGTGGGAGTAAGAATGCCCCTGAGTTCATCTATGAAATTCTCAAGCTGGTGAGTTTTCGATTACAAATTATCTTTAACAGTTTAGAATTATTTGATTAATCTATATGATAAATATGTTGAAATACTATTCCAGTTTGTCTTTGTCTGATTGAATTCTTTTGTATTGTTTTTTTAAGGATTTGTTTTAGACTTCAGTGAGATTGATTTCCTTAGATAAATTAGTAAACCAAGTGGGTTCTTGGCTCTCAGAACTGGCTGCCCACAACATGTATCTTACATGAATAGGGAAACAGATTTCCATAATTTATTAAAAGAAATAGTTGGAAGCACTCACTCTTTCTTTGCCTCCTCCCCCAACTCTAAATCGCATCGAATCTAAGAGAAGATTAATTTCATTGTTATCTGTTCGGTTTTTAATGGCATTTTCAAGCTTCTCAAACAATTGTTACCTACCCAAAAAAAAGTTTTATAACTTAGGTATTCAATGAAAATGTACCTATTGATTTGAACCTAATTGCTATTAGCAACTGGCTTGTCCTTTGATTATTCTTTTACATTTCTCGAGTTCTTCGTTTAAAGAGTTAACTCTAGTCTCTAATAATTCGATGTAGATCTTCTTTCTCTTTCTTGAATTTCTAGCACACTCTCTATTGCGAATGAGTTTGGCTTAGGCTGAATCTTCTGTGTAAATAGACGCCTTCCTTTCATATTTGGGAGCCACGTTTGATTTTGTCTCTTAAATTAAATTGGTGATCTTATTTATATAAGTATTCTTGAGGTTGTTTTTGTTATTGAGCATTGTTTCATCGATTTTCTTTTTTTTCTATTGTTTCTTACTCAGATTCTGTGCTTGATGTTAATTGGCTCCCAGGAATTCTTATTAAGGTGGACCCTCATAATCCATTATTGGATAATGGATATTGGAATCACTCTCAACATGAGGAAAATTGTTTCTTGATATAAATGTAAAGAGTACTGAGGTTAATCCATCAAAAAATTAACAAATAGGTCATCACCAACCAGTTCAAAATGATTATTATACATAATTATTTAATATATCATCATTAAAGCTAATTAATTCTAAAATACTATCTCATTATCTGATTACTTTTCTTAGTTTCTAACTAAAGTTGGACTGCGAAAATAATACATACAATATTATGATTTTTGAATGCCAACTAAATATTGTGATTCAAATTTAAATAGATATTAATTACAAATTAGACAGATAATTAATAAATTTTGGGAATGAATATTTTAAATAATCATTAAAACTTTCTCCTTGATAAATGAGGAGTAATATTAAAAATGGCAATATTGGTTTCCTCATCTGCCAATTAATCTAGATCATCAAAATCTCTATAATCATTATCTATATCCTATAATGCTTATTGACGTTCGGCTTTAGTTGATGTTTACTTTAAGAAGTTCTTTTATGTCTACTCTTTTTTTTCAATCGAAAAATAAGATTGCTCTCGTTTTTCAAAAGCAAACTTTCTAAAATTCTCTTTCTAACTTTAGTAATGATAATTGTTGATTTAACTAGTACCCATGCTAGATATATTCTAACTACATCTCTAGATTTAATAATACTGTTATCCTTACTCTGCTTTGTTTATTTTTTTCAGGGGAAAGCTATTATTATTACTCATTTTCTTAGACAGGCACATTTAGAAAAGAACTTCCTCTTTATTCAGGTTTTTCATCGTAACTTTTCTTAATGTCCAATTCAGGCTTAACTTCAGTTTATTTTTCTTATACAATTAGAAACACGTACCTAGTTTTTATTTCAAAAGATTTGCTATAACCCTTTGTTTTCGTTTTTTGAGTTCAGGTAACCGCTCCCACTCGAAATCCAATGGAACATGGTTCTATGAGGATTATACCTCAATTTAATATTATTTCTAAAATTGATCTTTTAGAAACGAATATTCTGGTTCTCCTTAAAAATCAAGGCCACGTGCATAGATAAATAGATTCAAGAAACACTTATATGATGAATATGACGTTAAACTTTCGGCAATCCTTCACATAACTTCTCTAAAGTGATTTATTGTTTAAATTCTTTAATTTTTTAATACTTCTCTGACTTTGTTGAAGTGTTTAGATTCATCCATGGAAGACGACCTTTAGCCAGATAGACTAATACATATCCCAGACTCTCAATATCATCTTTTCGAGATTGCTCCTTTCCTTCAAATTAGAATTCATAATTCACCTAAATGTGCTGTTAGACTTGCATATCTAGCTGTCCCAATCATTCCCCTTCTCTCATTTTAGGGTATATGATCACCCTAGGAATTTCTATAGTACTTGGCCAAACCAAAATCGATTAAATATATCTAATCGATATCATCATACCCTATACACATATTATCAGGCTTTAAATCTCTATGAATTAGGTTTTTTGAATGCAACATCTTAAGTCTCTCAATTAATATAATTCCAATCCTTAAAACAGTCTAAATGCTAAATTTGTAATTGCATCTCTTTAATAATTATTCCAAATTGTATCCCAGATACGTTTGCATGAAATAATTATATTGTTCATCCCTTCCATAAAATACAATCTAAGGAAATCCTATCAAATTTATTATATCATTATACCCTCAAAATCTTGCACCTCAATCAATACCTTTATTTCCCTCACTAACAAACTAACTGCCCCATTTGAATTTTCTTCTCTCTTCTCAAATTTAGTCGCAAATATTTCCCCAGTCTCCGTATTCTCTGTCTTAAAAATCATTCCAAAACTGCCTTAACCTACTTTATCTATCAATCTAAATTTTGTTGCCACAATCGACCCACTTGATAATTTATTACTATTCTCCCCTGAATCTTTTTTTATTGATTTGTGATTCGTTTATATTTGAGATTAATTCATTATAATAAAATAATATATATCATAAAGACTTTGTAAGTTATTGCAATTAGAAAAGATCGAAACTAAATATATAAATGGGTTGTGGTTAAATCGTAACATATAAATAAATAATATCTTCAGGTGTAGAATAAATATTATTAACTTCACACAATTTTAATTTTCATAATTATTAATAATTTAGAATGTAAATGTATTAATTTTTGTTTAAAAGAAGAGAAAAATAGGTTAGCACTCAAAAATAATATAATAATTATTATAATGAAATCAACACTTTTTGTTTCCAGTTTATAATGAAAGGGGATTTAAATATGCTTAACTTCTAGGAGACTCATTTGTTCGAGTCAGAGATAACAATTTAGTGAAATTGATTGGCCTATCTTTTTATTTGGTTGAATTGGGATTCTTAGCTACCGTTGGAGTACTAATAAAATTATGTAAAGTGATTACTGATAAAATTTGTCACTTTTTTCAAAGTCTCTCTAATTTTTATTTAAGTCTGTATTTAATTAATTAATCAAATTATCGTAAATTTCTCTAGCAGAATTAACTTTCTCCTTTTTACTTTCTTAATTCTAAGGCGATTCGCATAATATTTTCCTATAATAAATAAATATAAAAGTTACTCTAATTTTTAAGCGATTTAGATGATTTTAGTAGTTTACAACTCTAAATTCTTGGCTGTTTAATTTTAAATACCCATAGAAACTGCTTATTCAAACAATTAGTTTTTTTCTTACTGTAATTTATAAATATGATCCTTGTATTCTTTTTTTAAGTAAGCGAGTTCCTTTTCATTTTCTTTTGACAATGTTTGAAGCATAGAAGAGTAGGATTGTTCAATTTCATTATTTTTCTCAGTCTGTAAATTGAATAGTGTTTCTTAGAGTGCCAAGATGTCCTATTTGAGTTGATTATTTTCATTTTGTAAGGATTGAATTTGATTGGTAATGTTGTGTTACTCTACAAGTTTCTTTTTTAATAAATTGTTTTGTTGTGAGAGTACTTCAACTTGAAGTTATAGTTTATTATTGGAAATGTGTAATTCATGGTTTAGGAGTATTAAATTATCTTGAATATTCATTGATTAAGATATTATTAAATATAATTTTAGATCATAGGTCTGAATAACGAAATAAATTAGTAAATAACATATAATAACAATTTCAGAATAAAAACTATTCATTTTTTTGATTAATCCATTGATCCCAGCAATTCGAAGTTATACAGGATACTAGTTGTTTGATTTTGGAGGAATCAACTCCCTAAATAGATAGACAATTTCCAAAAATTGTTCCAACAGGATTCTTAGAGAAATCAGAATCTAAACATTTAATAATTACACTATCCGTTTTGACCTATTATCAATAATAGAAATATACCCTTAGACTATCTAATAATTCAGCTTTACAATAATCACAATCGATTGTAAGAATGGATGTAAAAAATAAGAGTAAAATAATCTATTTTAACATGTATTTCTAAAAATATATATATATTAATCATTTTTTTTGATTTTATTAATCCATAGATAGAAAAAGTATTTTTGGATTTTTATTTTTGGCAATCAATTACACAGTTTCAAAATACCTGATCTACATAGCAGCTTTAGAGTCCAACATATCAGCAGCTTCTCTCAATAGTTTGGCAGCAGATACATCACTCTATAAGTATGATATCAAAAATACTTGAGCTGAAATAATTTTGGATTAAGCAAGTCTTTAAGCTTTGGGAGCATTAGATAATGAGCTTTGCAATTCTTCATTCATTAACATATCCTTAATGAAAATATGCTCCAAATATATACCTTAATAATAGGAAATGAATACCCCATTCAGAAACCACATCAAAAATGAATGCTTCAATTTCGTCGGCTATCTTCTATCTATTCTCAATAATGTCCTACAAGGTGTGTTCTCCACAAATGGTACGCAAAGTCTATGGGAATAGAAGGATGCATGATTACAGCATAAGTGATTTCCTTGACTGCTTCAACGATCATTTTAACTCTATATGCAGACTTCATGACATCCACAACTCGATAGTAAACAATAGTATCAATATTGACAGTTATATTATCCTTGGTTAAGACAAGTTATCTTTCTAAATCTATGATACTGAAATATAAATTGATAATTATACAAAGTCTTGGTGCTGACAGGAATCACTCTATCGGTAAATCTAAGGAGGAATAAAGAATAAATAAATTACGGGTTTATTTCATGAAGCCCAGACTCCAAAGTTCTTTGATATTTGCCAAATTTCTGTAATAATCCTTTCTATCCTTGTGTTATGAGATAATATGGATAAGGACAACAACAAAAACAGCAAGGCATCCATGCTCTTAGAGTCCCAAAACATGAACCAAGACAATTGAGAGTACTTTCGTAGCATGTCATTTTCTAATTTTCATTTTCTTCTCTGAAGTTAGAAATAGATTTAATACATAATGTCATCAAATTTAGATCTCTCTTTTCTAGACTCTCTCTTTTTTTTGATTTCCAGTTCTTTTTCAAAGGAAATGGAGTCACTTATCATAAATTAAGAAAATATTAATAATATAGAATATACTCAATAATATTAATCTTATTTTTTAGTAGAGGCTTTTGGTATTTCAAAACTTTGGATTTGAGCTTGGATGATGTCGTTTTCTTGGAGTAGTTTTTCAATGGATTGATTATTTTTGTGTTGAGAATTTTGATACTACAATAAATAAAAGGGAAATTACACTAACAGTTCTGGAGATGTGATTGCTCTATTTATCTGTAGAATAACTGCATAATTGATTGTTTTTATTCTAATAAGTTTGGAATTCATCGTATTCTTAACAACTTAATTCAAATACATAATTACATTGAATGAATTTAATTATTAAATTACTCCAACTATTTGTTAATAAGGTAATCTTAATAGGCTTTGTCAAAGCTTTCAATGAAGAGTTTCTGATTTTCATTAACAGTTTTGATCTCTATAAATAGTCCAGTATTTACATTTTAATTCTTCATTGATCTCATGCAATTTCCCATTATTAAATTAGCTTCTTTCAATAGCCTGTTTTAATTAGTCGAAACATTATTCATTCAAAACCGAAGACTGTTGTCTATATAAGGTTCCATTCTTTGAACTCTCTTTGACAAGCATATAGTACTCCTTGACTTTCTAAGCGTTGAAATAGTGTAACTTAGGGAACTCTACTCCATTCTGTTTCAATCTGGAATATCTAAGCCATAGATCTCTCCATACATTTGACTGATCACTGGATTATGTGGATGCCATAAATTCCAAACAAATATGCTTTCCAATGATAATCTCACTAGAGTATTCCCTAAAACCATCAATTATTAATCTAATTTTCTACATTAAACTACCTGGATTCTCACTAAAATAGTACTTCCCTCTCTCTCTCTTCTTCTAATCCCCTTTGATGATATCCTCAATCAAATATACTACATTCCTTGTGACTCCATCCAATACACACTCATGATGAAGATCCATTAGTTCTTTTATTAACTGCTCAGCTAAATCATACTAACAGACTTACTCTCATCCCTAAAACCATCTCTATAGGCTCTGATTATTTACAATAAAATATCTCTTCAATGGTCTCCAACACATATTTCAAAGTAGCCCTACGCCCATTAATAATTTACTTACTCATCTTCGATATTATCCTTATATTCCTTTGTTTCCCTATAAGCTTATTCTGATTATAAACAGCTTCTTAAATTCTTCATTATTAATATATATTTATAAAACTGAATCACTTTTTCTTCCTCTCCTCTTCCCACTTCTTAGTTATTTCCAGTAACTCCTTACTCTTAGCATCCTTTGGAAGATAAGGTAACTTAAGTTAAGAATCTGTCATTGATTTCTTCTCTTGTCCTTGCTTACCATGTGTTCCTGGCTCTGACCATTTACTGTTCTTCTTTACCTATGGACTTTCTGGCAATCCCTATCTCTTTTTCAATGATTGCATGTCTAATCAACCTTAATTTAAATATCTACCAACGGATTAATGTTTTGGCTTTGTCTCCTCTATAATGTCATCTCCTTCGATCGATCTCAATTTACCTGCAAACAGATCCTTATTCTATGGGATATCCAAGTATGCCAAACAGGCTGCTAAAGTGAAGCTAGTAGTCTTATTCATATTGTCCTCCAGCATTTCAACATATTTGTGTTTAATTTTAGGTTTTTTAGTTTATTTCTCCTTATATATGATAAGTTATTATAAATTATCATCCAGTTTCTTACCACTCTAAATTGCATTGAAGTATTCCTAACCCATAATGGCTATTTTCAATAACACATACTCAAATTCAAAATATGTTAACCCTATTTCATCTTAATATTTTAAGTTCTTTTAGACTGCTTCTCTATGAGCAACATAGTTCTTTTGTTTCAATGTATTCGTAAACACCTTTATTAATTATTCTTCACTGAACACCTACATTAAATTGAAAGCATTTGCAAAATCTAGCCATCCCTACAAAACTATCTTTTTACCACTATAATTCCAAGCATCAGAATACTTAAGATAATGATTAAATGCCTCAATATATAATTTTAATTAATACCACACTACCAGATGATCTAAAATGTTTAAATTCTGCTTAGACTTTTGGATCTTTATAAAAGTTCTAGAATTTCTCATTCAATCTTTCCTTCTTCTCTAACGATGTTTTATAATGAGCTGCCATTTCAGCTGTTCTAGCTTTAAATCTTTGTTCGGCCTTGTCTTCTTTTATTGGTTTCTTCTCTGATGGTTAAGGTTAAGGTTAAGATTATTGTTTTTATTTATTATCTTATTAAGGCTATTGCCCTTTTTTCTTTGGAGAATCCTTCCTATCATCTTATTAAGGTAATGAACTTTTAATAACCACCTCAGATTAATTCTTTCTATATTCTTTTTTTAAATTATTCATATAATTAATATGCTTAGGCTTTTACTCTCTCAATTACTCTCCAACTACTTGTGATTCACTAAACCTTATTTCTTCCTTCTTCTCTTTAAATTATTAAATTCTGTCTTATTGTTTATCAAGGTAATCCTTTCTTTTTTGCCATTTTAAATCCTTCAATTCTTTCTTCAAGGCTTCTTCTTGCATCGATACTATCTTTTCAACTATACTCTTGTTGATTATCTTCTCTTCAGACAATTAAGACAAATCTAAGGATCTATTCATAAACTCTTATTTTTCGATAGGCAATAGAGAAAGAGAGTTCTTTAATTGTTCTTATTTCTCAGCCAAAGGGTCTACCTTAAGATCTGAATGGACTCCTTTAGCTGCAATTGGTTTGACTTCATAGATGAGATTGATTTTGAATGTTGGCTCAACTATATTGGTTCTATAATTAAATATTGAATTACTTAAATTTAGATTATATAAGTTCATTGACAATTTCGAAACAAGTTAAATAGGATTTATTTAGATTTTTCATAACATCTCTCATTTAATAATGTAAAGATACTCTTTCAATTTATACCTTCTTTAATCTAGTTTCAGTAGGTACATCTATGTTTGGATTCTACAATAATTAGGCATTCCACTTTTGAATTGTACTTTTATCAGCCACAGTAGTGACACCATCAGGATCATCAAAAATGAGATGATTGTCATTCCTTCTTCTAGCAACAAAGGAGAAATATTTAAAGAATTCAACCAAAACATGACCAGAAGGCATTTTCCTAAAATCTTTAGGAGGTCTACCAAAAATAAGGACAGCAAATTATACAAGAAACTTTTTGAAATTCTCGAAATCTAATTTGTAATTGACTGTTCTAGAGGTAGTGGCTGAAATTGATGATTATTTTTCAGTTTAATTGTCTTATGGAAGTTATCTGATTTGAGAACTCAAGCTGAATAGATTAAATTTATGATTCACAGTTGCGATAAGATTTATGATCTCCTCATATGTACTGAAATTAAAGATTTCATAGTCTTGGAGTATCTTAACAATGTCAGATGATCTCAATTCTAATTGGCTTTGATCCAAACTTCTTAATCTATTCTTAGCAGCCTCTTGAGGAGTGGATGCATATTTATTAAATAAATATCTGAAGGTTTTTGAAAAATGTTTAATTGCAATATTCATTGATTCTCTATCAACATCTTCTTCAAATGAAAAATCAATCAATACAACATCTTAAGGTTTATATGCTAATTCTCCTTCTTCGTAGACACATTAAAATTCATCAAAGTCATAGTTTCTTTTCTTCTTTTTTGTTTATTGAAGATTTTTAGATTCGTTCTTTTCTTCCAATAATAATGATTTGACTAAATCTTCTTCTTTTTCAAATAATTTCTTATTCTTCTAAAGGTATTAATCTTCCAAAGCTTATGATTAACTACCTTCCATTTACTGCATTTTCTTTTCGAGAAATAATTGAGATGTCATCTACTAATCTTTGGTCACATATTCATCAACAATGGTATTTGGATCCCCAAGCATTTACAACAATTACAAGATACCCTTGTTGTCTCTATTTTCAATACTTCTAAGTTCTAGATGTGCTCCCACAAATAATGGTTTAAGCATATTGTTCATCTAGAAACATCTCAATTAGATGATGTATTTAAATAATTATATAGTTTGAGCTCTTCTTTAAGAATTAACAACAGAATCATCTTAATAATTTGTGAGAGTAGTTGTTGTCTTCTTAGATCTGACAGAATTAACATATAAATTTAAACATGTCTGAGCCATCCTATTCATGTATTCTTAAAATTCTGAAAGTTCTATAAACTTTTGAATGATTTGTTATATTGTTGGAAACAAAGCACTCTAAAATAAGACACTACTATTGTAAATCCTAATTAATAATTCTAACATTGTTATTGCTGATTATACTTTCAAATTCTGATGTGCACTTAACACATAATAAATATCACAATCAGATATATTAAGGTGTTGATTCTTAATTAAACCATCAATCAACAATTCTATTGGAATGCTTGGATATTTTTGAATAATATAGGAGAATTATCTTACAATATATTCATTATTCTGACTTTCAATTAGAATTGAAATCAACTTCTTATACACTGAAACAGCTGTGATCACTTTCTTTTGAGCCAGTCCATCCAGTAATTTGAACGCCTATGTAATAGAGTAAGTTTTCAATATTGTTGAATTATCTTTGGCTGTTCTTTAAAGCATAGCCAAAATGGATTATTGATACTACATATTTTATTCTAGAAATGCATTATAATGAATCCATGCATTGCATAGAAATTGGATGGCTACATTCTTTTCATCTCTTGTACTTTGGTTATCACTTAATCTTATAGCTATCTGAATTTGTTATTCTAAATTGTAATTTACAAGCTAAATCAATAGTATTCTAAAATACATCACAATTTAAATAAGGAAGCAAAGCTCCATAAAATTCAATATATGATTTTGGATTTTCAAAATACTTCTATTGTCCAAATACTTGACTATAATCATAATATGCAATTTAAGATAAGGCAGTTGCAAGTGGTTCAGCCAATTAGGGTTATCTTTAAAGTGTTATAATCAGACTAGATAAACCAGAACCTAAATAGATCAATGCTATTAAATACTTAATAACCATTAGAACATATGAAACAGCAAGTCAAATTAAGCTAGATCGTATGCTAATTTACCAAGTAATCGTAATCCCCAATGAACCACTTCTGAGTCTTTAGAGAATATGGAGAGTTTAAGGAATGAAACAAAGAATCCAATTTGATGTTCCTCATCCCTTAAGAGTTCAATTAATCTAGGCATATTATTGTATATTTCTTAGAGTAGTGTTACTAGTTAAATGTACTACCCTTTGACTCCTTTGATAAAGACATGAGTGAGCAATTTGAAATTGTTATTGAGTAATTATTATGATTGTTTTGGTTTCAAGATGAGATTCTAACTCAAGGCTACTATTACAAATTCTAATACGGTTTCACATGAACTGATTGGTTTTGCAGAATTAAGAGTTTCAATATCAAAAGTTTTCTTTTGGTTTTCAATTTTGGAGGTGACTTCTTTGACGAATTTGGATTGTATATCCTTCAAGACTTCAACAATCATTTCTAAATCACCATCAATAATTAATTTCTTGATTTCAGTATCCAATTCCACTTTAATTTAATGTAATCGTTCTGTGATTATATTCCAATTATACAATCTAGCTGTGGGATTAGTTTGTATTTTGATTTGTTAACTGTAGGCACCTGTTAATTTATCTAAAAGTTCTGACATCTTGAAACCGTTGTAGAAGGCTGATGTGGTTTCAGGATCTAATTCCATTCTCCCATTTTATTTTGGAATTCCATTCTAGATTACATTTAATGATTTCAACCATTTAAACATATCTTAAGTGATTTGCATTTCGTGTACAAGTATATTTTATATTATTAATAATCATATTTATTTTTCATTGCTCAATTAATTCAATTTGGTACTCATAGGTATTAATCTTTCACTCAATTGATTCAATGTGATCTTTATTAGAAATGACAAAAAAGTCAAGGCATCCTAAATGCAGATTTGGGATTTTGGATGACATACAAATATTAACAAACTCACGAAATACTAAAAAGTAGCCATGGCATTAAAGATCAAATACAATTTCAAAATACCATAAGATTGACTTGGTATCTAACATCATTATATATATAAATACCCAGATTGATTCAAATAGATTCGATAATATTATAGTGAGTGGATAAGGGAATAAAATTAATTACAAACTCATAATATCTGCCTCTTATTGATCATCAGGAGATTTCAACTGATTATATTTCCCAATGATTAAACTTAAAATGCTCTGTAATAAGAACTATAATATATTAACAATATCTTACATTATCTAATAAAATCAAAATACATATCATAATGATGAGTGTATACTTATCTAAAAAGGTTCGTTTATGAGAAAATGATTGGAATCTGATGTAATCAAATATTCTAATAATGAGATAATAGGTTTTTGAAAAGGAATTGGGTCTTTGACTTTGCTTCTTAGTTATTTATTTGAACTAATGTTTTGTGTGTCCCACTTATTGATGATCCTTTTCAGTACTCTTAGACAAAAACTATTCTCTCAACAATTCCACATCAATTACATCCTCATCATCATAGTTATATTCAATATTTCTGATAGAAAAATCTTCAATATCATTAAAACTAAGTTTCTGGTTTTTCAATTACTAATCAACTTCGGCAGGGTCCTATTCTGTATTAAAGATAAAAACACCAAATTTGACATCTTGTAATTTTTAAAAGATAACATTCTTGTGAAGTTCTCTCATGAACTCTTTGAATTAAGATTCTTATTTCATTTCAATCAATGTGATTGTAGATGATTGATGTTGAGAATCAAATGGAAATTAAGCAACCAATAATTGCAATTTCACATTGTGATTCTGAAAAAACTAATTATTCCACTTCTCTAATAAATCAAATAATCTCTTAAAGTTTGATATGAAACTCTTATCAAGTGCTCCAAAATCTAAAGTCATGGCTACTTTATTGAATTTCTTTAAGAATCTTCTGATTTCTTTTGAGTTTTCTTCTCTTTCATCCTTACAGACTAGATTAGTCAAAATATTTTATCTATTTTAAATAGAATTTTTAGTCTAATTCACAGCAAAAAAGAGAGAGACTAAAAATTAATCTGATTCGCATAGATAAAAAGGTCTTAAGTAATTGCCTTCTCCAGATAGATAAATAATGAAGGGACAAGTTAGATAAATATATTTTAAATCACAGTTTTTGTAATTAAATATATCTATATATAAAAGAGAGTAATCTGCGCTTTTAGTCATTTTAAATCTACCATAAGTTTGATCTGATGACTATTTCCAGAATTTTGGTATTTCATTTTTGTTTAATAAAGCAGATAACAATTTATACTTGTCCTTCTTTATTTTTGTCTACCAACCCCAATATAGTGGATAATATAAGATAGCCAAAATGTTTAAAATAATGTAATTAGTCTTACTCCAAGAAGCAAGTTCATTAAAATTCTTAGCAAACTTTTCATACTCCTCCTTATTGACTGCCTTGTCAATTTCAACTGGTGGTTCAGAATGTAAGAACCATGGATTGAGAAAAGTATTATTGCCTATTACTGGTATTCTATGTGCATGGTACATTAGATCTCCTAAGACAAATTAATCTGTCTCCTATAAACTTTCAGTGATTATCTTATCAGCAATGATTTCTTTTGTAGCATTCTCAAAATTAAAGTTTTTTTCAGTTGTAGAATCTTTCTTCTTATATTACCTTCTTAATATATAACCCATAATGATCAACATCATAAAAACTACCAATTATATTCCAGTATTTCTAAGAATTTTGAAATCTTCAATGCAGCAATCTGAAGTTTAACAAACATGAGCTTAATTGCAAAATGTATTATTCTATGAAAATTTACCCTATTTATAAACAGTAAATATTTACAAATGTATATGGACAAGGTACACATTATGAACTCCACCATAGAGAGTAAAATTGTTACTTCGAAGTATTATGACATGGAACACAAGAGAAATTCTCTACTTTAAAACCAGGAGAACACAAAGGTTCAACTAAGCTGCCATTTTATCCAAGTAAACCTGCACTAAGTCTCTAGTTTCTCACACCTGGACCATTTTTGATGGTTCCTAGAAATTTACTGTTTGAACAATAGGAATTTAAATTGCTGTATTGAAAAGGACTCAATGGACTTGTCAAACACTTAAATTAGACTACTCCTCCTCCACCTTCACCTACTAAACTGTTTTAATCACTGTCTCCTCCCTGCAAAGAAATTAGAGAAGTTTCATCACTGATTAATTAGGTGGAATATATTTTGATAGATCCACCTGCACCTCCTCCAATACTATTATTAGTTGCATTGTCAACATATCCTGGAGATCCATCTGCTGATAAAATTGACTATTCCAAATTAATTGATGAATTCGCATACAGAAATATAGAACCTCCACCAAATCCATATTAGAAATTCTAAGCATAATCTTCTCCAAAATCCTTCACTATTTCTAATAAGTTAACAGAACTGCCACCAGATCCTTAATAAAGATTTGTTATTAGATAACCATATGGGTATAAATCAAACATGAATCTAGTGGAGTTTGTAAGGAATATACAATCACCTAGGTATGAATTACTAGCATTCAATCCAATTCCTCCATATCCAGAATTAGAACCACCATTAGCAAAACATTTTTAGTTGTAATTGATAAACTCAGGACCTCTTGCATTGCTATATATAAATAAACTAATTCAAGTACCCCTAGTTTATATAGCAACCAGATTATGAAGTTGATAAATTACTATTTTGCAAAATTATAGTGCCATTATTTAATATTCCTATTTGACTAGCTTTTACTGAAGTGGAACTTAATTATAGGTAAGAGTTAGTATACACAAAGAAAGTGTAATTAGATACCTGAAAGAAAGCTGTGAAACGAGTTGGTTACTACAAGTAGATAAATTAATTGTGCAATAAATAATCTTCAATAGACTCAAAATTGACATTGAAAATGCTAATCATTCCAGGTAGTATATTCACGTTGTTTGTACAAGTTGAGGTAATCAATTAAAATTATGATGATTCAAAAGTCACTGAATTATTGAAAACAAAAAGAATCTTATTTGATATGACATTCAATCCCATAATTGCATAATTTTAAGTACTATTAAGAAAGAATGCAAGTAAGTAATTCTTCATATTCATTTGTGTATTTGGAATAAATGAAAAGTCTTTTGATGCTATTATTATTATGTATTTGTTCTCAATAAATCCAGCCTTCTTTTGATTGCTATTTATATTACCAATATTGATTGTGGATGTATTGATTTTCACACTATGACAATTTGTTGTAAAATTATTTAAATTCCATATTTATGAAGAATCTACATTCAACTCTACGTAATTATCTTAAGACTAACAATTCAGTTCTAATGAAGTTGGGGGTATACAATATGAATTGTAGTTATAAGTCTACTAATCAACATTAATCGTTGAACTATTCTAACAATCAATATCTAAAGACTTGCAATATTAAAACAATAATATGATAATTAACATATTAAAAATATTATTCAACTTATATCACCTCAGGAACAATCAAACATATTTGAGTACCATTCAACAAATTTAATTCCAATTTATTCTTCTTTTCATTATCCAACTCAATCACGTTCTCCAAAACCATATCTAATAAATTCTCCCATCTATTCTAAAGAAATCATCAAAACTGCGAAGAGTCCCTTCAAATTCCCTTTCACTTTCATTAAATACATACTCTTGATGAAATTACCTATCCATTAATCCTAGACTTTAATAACAATCCTACCTAAAGGAAGAATAGTCATTAATTAGTAAAATTAAAATATATTTATGATTAGAAAGGAATATAATAATGATGCTGACGTATTTTTAATTATTTAAATGATATAATTAAACAGTACGGGTGAAACTCAATTATTTTTGGACCACCTTCTGATTGCCTAGATCGTCGAGAAATAGGCTCATATATAGCAAGTTTTTAAATATAGTGGAAATCTTAGCGAATAAAGTCGTGCTAATAATAATACAATAATCTATCATCTAATTAATTTCAATTCTTAAATTTAAAATGTATGTAAATCATTCTAACAATATCAAATTATATAAGTTCCATAAAATTGAAATGTCAAGTCTCTTTATTGGGTAGCTTTTGTTGATTTCAATGAATCTTTTAGAAAAGATGAAAATAATTTAGATCCTTATTATATTATATTCTGGACTATTTTCATCATCAATATGAACAGACAATGGCATTCAGAAAGGACATAACAATAAATATATTTTATTGGAATACTTCAGTAATAAATCCATTTATAGATGTCCAATTAATTAATGAATCCAAAAGAAATAAATGATAAAAATCACAAAAAAATTAGTTACTTCTCCCATCTAAAATATCAATAGGTTAAATTATGAATATAGACAATCTTATTGAAAGGACAAATATAGACCGAACATTTTATTTGACCATTAATGTTTTTTATGTAGTTGAATTTATTCTTATAACTTTTGCTCTTTCGAAGTTGTTTAATAAATTTAGATCCTCTCTTAGTTTGGAATATTGCTGCCCATAAAAGATTTTAACATTAGCTTTAGAAACTATGCATGATAATAATAATAGAAAAATGAAACTATAGATTAGATTAGATTAGATTAGAATAACCACTGATGACTAGTTATATTAGTATTTTATTTTTTTTCATTTTGTTTGTAAACTTCAGATAATTGTAATCATAGGCCTTTTTATACTATAATTTCTTTATTCTGCTAAATTAAAATAATACAGCCAATTAATGATGATATTATATTATTGTATTTATTATTACTAATCAAGGTTTTGTTAGACCAATAGTGGTAGCTCTTCTGAAAGATCTCCTAGAATCAAGAGGAGGTGGCTGATTTCTAAAGCTGCCTTAATTTCTATCCGTTCCAGGTGGAATTCTAAAGCTGTTTCCTGGAGTAACTTGATATGCTTATGTTTCTGGATTTGGTTAATGATGTACCATTGTAGGTATCAATTATTATAAATTACCATACTTATGCCTCCATGAATCATTTTCCTAAAATATTATAGATAATGTATACATTTAGTAGATCTTATGTGTTTTTATTTAACCTTTCTATTTCATCATTCAATTAATCAATAGTTACTCTTAACATCTCAATTTCAGCTGAATTTGAATTAGCTTTTCTTTTCCATCTTTCAATCTCCAAATCCACTGTACTAAATCTATTTTCCAATTCCACTTTGTCTTCTATAACCTTCTGTAAGTCTTAAGATAATCTCTAAAATTTGCCCTTCCATTCTTCAATTACTTTATCTCTTGTATTCAATGCTAATTCTAAATGTTCAAAATCTAATTTTTGATTATCCNGTGGAAATCTTAGCGAATAAAGTCGTGCTAATAATAATACAATAATCTATCATCTAATTAATTTCAATTCTTAAATTTAAAATGTATGTAAATCATTCTAACAATATCAAATTATATAAGTTCCATAAAATTGAAATGTCAAGTCTCTTTATTGGGTAGCTTTTGTTGATTTCAATGAATCTTTTAGAAAAGATGAAAATAATTTAGATCCTTATTATATTATATTCTGGACTATTTTCATCATCAATATGAACAGACAATGGCATTCAGAAAGGACATAACAATAAATATATTTTATTGGAATACTTCAGTAATAAATCCATTTATAGATGTCCAATTAATTAATGAATCCAAAAGAAATAAATGATAAAAATCACAAAAAAATTAGTTACTTCTCCCATCTAAAATATCAATAGGTTAAATTATGAATATAGACAATCTTATTGAAAGGACAAATATAGACCGAACATTTTATTTGACCATTAATGTTTTTTATGTAGTTGAATTTATTCTTATAACTTTTGCTCTTTCGAAGTTGTTTAATAAATTTAGATCCTCTCTTAGTTTGGAATATTGCTGCCCATAAAAGATTTTAACATTAGCTTTAGAAACTATGCATGATAATAATAATAGAAAAATGAAACTATAGATTAGATTAGATTAGATTAGAATAACCACTGATGACTAGTTATATTAGTATTTTATTTTTTTTCATTTTGTTTGTAAACTTCAGATAATTGTAATCATAGGCCTTTTTATACTATAATTTCTTTATTCTGCTAAATTAAAATAATACAGCCAATTAATGATGATATTATATTATTGTATTTATTATTACTAATCAAGGTTTTGTTAGACCAATAGTGGTAGCTCTTCTGAAAGATCTCCTAGAATCAAGAGGAGGTGGCTGATTTCTAAAGCTGCCTTAATTTCTATCCGTTCCAGGTGGAATTCTAAAGCTGTTTCCTGGAGTAACTTGATATGCTTATGTTTCTGGATTTGGTTAATGATGTACCATTGTAGGTATCAATTATTATAAATTACCATACTTATGCCTCCATGAATCATTTTCCTAAAATATTATAGATAATGTATACATTTAGTAGATCTTATGTGTTTTTATTTAACCTTTCTATTTCATCATTCAATTAATCAATAGTTACTCTTAACATCTCAATTTCAGCTGAATTTGAATTAGCTTTTCTTTTCCATCTTTCAATCTCCAAATCCACTGTACTAAATCTATTTTCCAATTCCACTTTGTCTTCTATAACCTTCTGTAAGTCTTAAGATAATCTCTAAAATTTGCCCTTCCATTCTTCAATTACTTTATCTCTTGTATTCAATGCTAATTCTAAATGTTCAAAATCTAATTTTTGATTATCCAATAATTTAGATTATAATACATGATTTTATTTAGTTAATTGTTCATTTTCAGCATTTTTAGAATTCAATAATTCATTGACATAATTCAATTGATTTGTCAATTTCTCTTTTTCTGCCTATTAATCTATCCACTATTAATCATCCCTTTTAATATCTTTAACTTAATTCTCACTTTATCTTAATAATTATTTGATCTCACTGATTTCATTCTCCTTATGTCTCAATACTTATTCTAATTACTCTAAATCATCTTTTAATTGATTTTCATAACTACTACCATTACTAATAGTTGATTTCAATTCATCAATTTGTTTTTGCAATTATATCGACTGTATTTTCAATTCTTCATTTGATTTTAATACATTATTCAATTCATCAAATAATCTCTTGTTTTCTACAAATACTGGTTGGACCTAATCAATTTGTGATTGATTCTAATGTAAAATAGCTTTATTTCCTTATATTTCTATATTTTTATTTTTAACCATAACAGAAAGTCTCTCAATTTCACTAGACATCATAGCACACTTATTTTCTAATCTCTCTTAATCTCTCTTTGCAGCATCATATTGATTTTATGCAATTTGTAATTTATCTGTAAGATCTGCAATTCTCTATAATTCAATTAATAGATTCTCATTAAGTTTTCTGAAATCAGTTTCAATGGCTGATAATCTCTTGATTTCTATATCTCTTTGATCAACATCTTTATTAAGCAGTTGATTTGCAACAGATATTTCCTTGTTTTAGACATTTAATTTGTTATTCTAGCTTATCAAATCATTAATATCATGTTCTTGTTATTTTAACAATTGCTCTAATTCTTTTTAGTTTTTCAATTAAACTTCAACAGCATCAAATTTCTTTCTCCATTCCTAATTAAGTTTTGATTTGCTATCCTCCAATTCTATAGCTCTTGTTTACCATAAATCTAATTATCTTTATCTCTCATCTAAAATCAATTACAGACTTTCAATCTTTGATTAGAGAGGTCCTAAGCTTTAAAGTTTAACTGATTATAATGTGCATTTTGCAGTCAATTCATCCCTTATTTCATTTGAACTTTGCAATGCCTTCTTTAAATCATCAATCTATTTGGCTTATGTATTCACTTTCTCTTGTAATTCAGGAAACATCTCTAATTTAAATTTATAATCATTGTTCAACTATTATAACGAATTAAGTTTGACTAATAATTCATTTACTTAATTATTTTAATTTTTTGTTCTCTCTCTCAATTTCTCTATATCATTCTTTTATTCTAATCCTAATTAATTTGAAGAATGAATAGCATTTTCTAAATCTCTTTGTTTGAATTCAACTTAATCACTCTACATCTTGATTTTATCATTTTCTTTTTATTTATTTAAGTATGCAATTTTTAATTATTAATAATCTATTTCAATGGCTTACAATAACTATAATTCTATAAGTATGTCCTGCTTCTTTCTATCAGCATTAGATAAATCCTTAATTAATTATGTATTAATTTCAATTTATTTAGTCAATTCCTACCTTAAGACTTGATTTGTTTATTGTAATTCATCAATCTAATCTTCTAGTGTGTCATCAATCTTTGATTCTAGTTCAATATTTTATTGTCTCAGTTTTTCAATTGCATCAGTTTTCTATGCAATACGAATCACAGGGATTTCTGCCAATTTCAATTATCTTGTTAAATCTAATACTTAAGCTTTTAAGAGTGGAATTTATTTATATTGATTTTATATTTCTTAATAATAAGCATCTGCTCTCTACTTGAATTGATCTCTCTCTTAAACTAATACATCCAACTAACTTAGTTGCAAATGTAAATTAAATACTTCAGCTCTGCTCTTTTCCAATTCTAGTGTTAATTATTTCAACTTCTCATTTAGACTTTAAATTATCACTTCCTAGGAGTCATATCTTAGCAATAAAACATTGTATTTTTCATTGATATTCATTAATTTAACATTTTCTTGTTCTGATTTCAAGTATTTTTGCTTCCAAGACTCACTTTCTCCCTTTTTAAGTTGATATTTAGAATTTATTTCATCAATTTAACTTTAATAGGTCTATTATTCAAGTATCTTATTCCTGTAAACAGATTCTAGTTATAATTCTACAGCTACTAAATTATTCTTTAATTTTGTAATTTATGACTCATCTTAAATAATTTGTTTAGTTAATCTTTGGGGAATTGGAAGTGGATCTACTTTGATATCAGGTACTTCAAAGTCATTTTTGAAATTTTTATTTTGCTCATTAAGTAATTATTATCTTTATTGATTAACTTCCAATAATCTCTATAATCTTGTGATTTCAGAACAGCCTTGATTGTATTTCTGTCTCCACTATTCAGATTCAGCAAGTGTTTAAGTCATTTCTTATCTTAATGAAGAATTAGTGTTTTGGAGTGCTTTAATTCTTTATTCTAACTTCTTTAATTAATTGATGACAACTTCAGCATCCATTAAATTGGCTTTAAGTTACTTAATTTATTAATCTTAATTTTCATTTTCAGATTTCAATTCTTCAATCAGATTCTTTGCCTATCTTAGCTCAGGTTATAATTATTTTAATTAATTATTTGAATTTTCAACATCACCAACTCTTCTTTTCAAAGAGATAATCTCTCGCTATTTTGTTTAGATCTGATCTTCAGCAAATGCCAAATTGAACTTAATCTTATCTAAATTCTAAAGTTCAAGAGTTTTTTAATTTAATAAATTCAAAGTAAATTCTTAATCTTACTCCTTTTAGTTCAAAGCATTTAACAAATTTAACTTGTCAATCTTTAATAATTCGATTTCTTCATTTAATGAAACTATTTATCTGACATCTCTCGATAGCTAAAAAATGTTTAGATTAAATATTACATCAGATATTATCTTTTCCTAAGTTTCCAATTTTTATTGCAATTAAGCTAACTCAAACTTATATCTTTCTATCTCAAAGTTGGCTCTCTCTAATTCATTTGTCAATCTGACTTTTTCTTCATCTGCATCCGTTGAAGTAACTTTCACTATTTTTTCAACAGTTTTAATAATAGTTGTAGGTTTAGATTTTTATTATTCAGCCAAGCCTTCAAATTCCTTTAGTTTACCATTAGATAAGTCTAATTATGATTCTAATTAAGATATTTATTCATTTTTGTTCGATAATGTTTCTTGTAACTTATTAAGTTCATGATTAAGTAAACCCAATCTGTGATCTTTTTCTTGAATAGCGTTTTTCATCTGGTTCAATAGGTCGGATTATTCTTATAATTGGGCTTTGAATTTAGCATAATCTTATGCAGGCTATATTGTAGCAACTTATGAAATGTTGATTTCACTCTTTGTGACTTCGATCTTAGAAGTTGTAGACAATTCAGATTTCAGATCTGCAAGCCTCTTTCTTTCAGCTTCTAATTTCATGTTCCTATCTTTATATACATTCAAATCATTCTAAAGGTTGGTTATCTTGTTCTAAAGGTCGAAATTTTCTAATTCAAGTACTTTCTATTCTGAATGCTTTAATTCTAATTGTCCATACTTTTCAGTTAACTTTTACTTAGTAAATAACATTTTACATCTTTTAATTCTTTATCTCTCACTTGCAATTAGTCGTATGCATTTTTATAATCCTATTCTATATCTCTTAATCTCTCTAAATTGGACTCATATTCAAGAATCTTAAATTTTGCAACATCCAACTCTTTCGTCCTTGAACGCAACAAAAGAGTCAACTGTTTGTTTTCGTCATTCAATATTTGATTTCTTTCTTGCAATTAATTGATCTAAAGAAATATTATTTTAATATTTACTGTCTATTCATATGTTACATATAAATCTTATTGTTGCTCTAGCTTAAACACTTACTCACGTTAAGCATCAAGTTCGGCTTACAATTCAGTTATTCTTATCTCACAATATGCAATGTCTGCTGTATTTGGAATTTTTGCTTTTCTGACGTTTTTATAGATTATTTCTTATAATAACAAATAAAAAATACTGTCTCCATCGATTTCTTATCCGAAATACACACTAGCTCTCTCGTCACCTTCAGTTTTTTATTGAATGATATTCTCTGCCATTCCTATTAAATTTTAATAAAAATATCTATTTTTCTTTTATTTAGATATAAATTTCGATGGGAAATATTATATAATTATTCAGATAATGAAATTTTATATTGCATTATTAATTCTAATCGTGTATTCACAATAGGATAACCAATAACTCTCCCCTGAGGATTAAACATTTTTAGAAACATTACAAAAGGATTAGTTTGGTTTAAATGTATTAAATTCACTCCAAACAGAATATTAACGAGATTAAGGTAATTTTAATAATTCATTCTCATATCAGATAAAAAAGCATAATTAAACAGAATTGAGCATTTATTGGACGAAATTGAGTAGTAGATTGCATAAGATTAATAAAATGATTTAGAACTCTAATCAGAAGCTTCTGAATAATGTATTAAAAACGAATTATTATTAAATAGATTATTCATAATTACTTAGTCTAGAGGAATAAATTGCAAAATCTCAATATGATTATAGCACGGTTGGAGCTCAAATTAGATTATATTAAGATGAATCTAATAGGTATGACATATTATTGGATGAAAAAGAAAATATTATTAATGAATATTAATCATTGTCAACATAACTAGATGATATTCGACAATAAGAAGTATCAATCAATCTTAAGATAGCGTGATCATTTCGAAATTGCTCGAGATGATTCCATAACTGTTTGCAATTTATTAAAAAGAGCTAAGTATTTAATCAAGCAACTAATTCCAAAGTCTACAGTGTTAGTTTAACAATCAACTAATATTAATCAAGATTTCGAATAAACTGCAGACTTTATTTAATAAATAAATTAATTATAGCGAGAAGCATAGGAATCACTCTAAAATAACTAACCTTTCCTGAAAATAATTAGTAAATTTACAATATCAAGATAATATTTTAGCTGAATTTGTGAATGTTTCTACATAAACTGAAGCAGTCGTTAACACTAAAAGAGTTAATGCTATAGTCAATCTTCTCTAATAGCTATATGACTAAATAGATAAAACTAGCAGAGTTCAATATAATGCTGAAGATGATAGAGAACAACTTCATTCAAGAGTGAAAAATTAAATTAATGACTAACTTCATTCAATTAATTTATAGGTAATGAGTGATTAGGATTATAGCTTGCAACCTTACAAAATTAATAGGATTCAATCAATGCTTAGATTGTAGCTGAGTAATAGAATCAAAAAGATGAAGAAATGAGGCTAGCAAATTTAAAGTAATAATTATTAGATTTATCTAAATGTTCTGATGATACTAAAGTAACTTATAGTCAAATAATTTAAGGTGAATTATGGAGTTAGATAGAAAGAAAGAAAAGAATAATTAAAATTACTCAGATAAGTAAGATAAGTTATGCTGAATGATTTTGATGCCATTCGATGTTATATAGAAGATTATTTTAACAAAGCTTAACGTTGAAAATTAAGAATTAATATATCATAACAACTATATCTGGAATTCATAAATAATTTTTTAATAACTATTTATAAACTTTATCAACTTCCTCCCTTCTTGATCTATAAGAATTCTGTGAGATTGACCTATAATTATCTTCCAATTTTCCTTTTTTATTCGGAGTTGTGTTAGTGAAATGTGTGCGATAGGAATTGATTGTTTTATATGCAGTTTTGTTACTTCCAATTTTAGTTCTATTGTTCTCTGAAGATGGTCCATTTACACAATCACTCAATTAACCATTGATAACTTTTACCATTTGATTAAATTTCTAAAATTGTCCCTTAAATTAATTTAATTACGATTCTAACATGGCTATTGATTACAATGCCTACTTACATTATTTATCTTTGTAATAATTTTCAGATGATTTCTGCTTCAATAAATTGTTTAATTAGTCCTCTTGATAAACTAAATTATTACATTTAATTGATGAGCTTGCACGAGTGAGGATTCCAATTCTTATTCTAAAATTGTAGGTTTTAATTCCTTTTATTCTAAATCATCTTAAAATTAAACCACATTCGGTTTCCTGTTCCCAACATCATAAGTATATTAGATTAATTTATCTATATCATTCATCTAATTTAAATAGAATTGATAAATCTAATCTATCAATTATTATATAACTGATTCATTTCCTTAAATTTCTTTCTTAATCTCTCTTAAAAATTTCAGCATTTATTACACGAATTAATCAACATATTTAAGCTTTGTTTCTCTAAAAGATGGTAAAGTTGAATCATATGATCCTTATGAAATTATTGTACTTAATTAAGCTTTGTTCTATGGAGTTTCAGATGGATTAATATTACCCAACAAATTTAAAAAAACATCCACTTCCTCTTCAATTTCATTCCTTTTTTAAAATGTTTAACCATTAAACTATTATTTATGCAAAAAATCTTCAACTTAAACAAGCAAGTTTTACCTTTCTTTCTTTTTAACTTCCGATGACATTTTTAATAATAAAATTAATGAAAAAAAAGAAAAATCAGTAACTCAGTATTATATATGAATACATTCAAACACATTCATTTATCATGCTTATATAGGAACACTTTCTCTGTTTAGCTTGATTTTACATTTTTTTGATAAATCCAGAATAAATTGGATCACCACACAAAATACAACGATTAACAATATCGACAACACTGTGGCCATTATAATTCTCTTTGATTAATTATCCTTATTTTGCAGATCTAATTCACTTACATAAATACCTAAAAGATTATAAAATGATGTTCCTTCTAAGTAATCTGCTATTTCTAAAAAGAACACCTAATTTGTTTGAGCCTTCTTTATCTGCTATTCTGACATTGCATCTTCAGACTTTAATTCGAGTGCTTCAATTTAATCATATTCGGTTTTTAAAGGGAGCCTTATGCATCTTACCATTGCTAACAAATATATCAATACAAACATATTATATATTAATAAACGTTTTTCAAAATATTTAATAACTCTCAACATTAAACATGTATAAAAATATTTTCTTATTGATTTATCAAACGTATCTTTATAAATAAATTAAAGTAAGATATCAATTATTTGAATTTTATAACCTATTTTATAAGTTATTCTTAATTGATGTAGTACTTTTTAAATACAATTTAGGAATTATTATATATATTGAAAAAATCTGTTTAAATTTAATAACATGATAACATGATATTATTAATAATTAAAATATGTTCTTTAAGATAATTATTGAAATTAAAATATAAAAATATAAGAGCATACTGCTCTAAACAACTTGTTTCATCGTTCCATAAGTCATTTAAAAGCGAACGTTGAGTACAAGTGCAAATAAAGTTGTCAGACATGTCATTAGAGCTGATTCGATGTAACTAAGAGAAGAAATTATTATCAACTGGATATCTTATCCAATTATTCATAGCAGTTAAAATCATACTATCTTCGAAATTTAGAATATCATTCAGGTCTTAGAGTAAGTGAACAATCCTCCATCTGGGTTATTGTTATTTAAAATTACTAATTTCTTTATTAGGTGGTGGAATATAATATATCTCTTTTGAACACTTGTGTGTTGAAATTTTTGATAATTTGTTAATTTTCGTTAATTTTTGTTAAAAACTTTGCAAACTAATATTATANGGAGTTTCAGATGGATTAATATTACCCAACAAATTTAAAAAAACATCCACTTCCTCTTCAATTTCATTCCTTTTTTAAAATGTTTAACCATTAAACTATTATTTATGCAAAAAATCTTCAACTTAAACAAGCAAGTTTTACCTTTCTTTCTTTTTAACTTCCGATGACATTTTTAATAATAAAATTAATGAAAAAAAAGAAAAATCAGTAACTCAGTATTATATATGAATACATTCAAACACATTCATTTATCATGCTTATATAGGAACACTTTCTCTGTTTAGCTTGATTTTACATTTTTTTGATAAATCCAGAATAAATTGGATCACCACACAAAATACAACGATTAACAATATCGACAACACTGTGGCCATTATAATTCTCTTTGATTAATTATCCTTATTTTGCAGATCTAATTCACTTACATAAATACCTAAAAGATTATAAAATGATGTTCCTTCTAAGTAATCTGCTATTTCTAAAAAGAACACCTAATTTGTTTGAGCCTTCTTTATCTGCTATTCTGACATTGCATCTTCAGACTTTAATTCGAGTGCTTCAATTTAATCATATTCGGTTTTTAAAGGGAGCCTTATGCATCTTACCATTGCTAACAAATATATCAATACAAACATATTATATATTAATAAACGTTTTTCAAAATATTTAATAACTCTCAACATTAAACATGTATAAAAATATTTTCTTATTGATTTATCAAACGTATCTTTATAAATAAATTAAAGTAAGATATCAATTATTTGAATTTTATAACCTATTTTATAAGTTATTCTTAATTGATGTAGTACTTTTTAAATACAATTTAGGAATTATTATATATATTGAAAAAATCTGTTTAAATTTAATAACATGATAACATGATATTATTAATAATTAAAATATGTTCTTTAAGATAATTATTGAAATTAAAATATAAAAATATAAGAGCATACTGCTCTAAACAACTTGTTTCATCGTTCCATAAGTCATTTAAAAGCGAACGTTGAGTACAAGTGCAAATAAAGTTGTCAGACATGTCATTAGAGCTGATTCGATGTAACTAAGAGAAGAAATTATTATCAACTGGATATCTTATCCAATTATTCATAGCAGTTAAAATCATACTATCTTCGAAATTTAGAATATCATTCAGGTCTTAGAGTAAGTGAACAATCCTCCATCTGGGTTATTGTTATTTAAAATTACTAATTTCTTTATTAGGTGGTGGAATATAATATATCTCTTTTGAACACTTGTGTGTTGAAATTTTTGATAATTTGTTAATTTTCGTTAATTTTTGTTAAAAACTTTGCAAACTAATATTATATAATGATACTTTTTCAAAAATATCATTCATTATTTTTAATTATCTAAAACAAAAATTAGCTATTTTATTGAAAAATACAAGAATGATTATTTACAAAAATCTAACCTTTTTTTTTTGATCTTAATCGAACTTTGTATTGAATATACAATTAATAATATAAAAAATATTAAATTTATTTATTAAATGCAGACATTAAATGATTATGAAATAATAGAAAAATTAGGTTCTGGTTCTTATGGGGATGTAATGCTGGCCAAATAGAAAGAAAGCGGATTATTAGTTGCAATTAAAACTTTAGAGAAAAGATTATTAATCAAGGTTAGCTAATTGGTTTATAAAAAGGAAAAAAAATAATATTAGGTTTTTATTGAAAAAGAAGTCTTAACTTAAGTGAAGCATCCTGGGTTGATAAATTTAATTGCTAGTTTTTAGAGTTCATCATAAATTTATCTAGTGTTAGAATTTGTAGAGGGAGGGGATTTTGCAAATTTTCTGAAAATTAATAGTAAAAATGCAGTTTATTATCCTAGAAAATATTTCATAATAAAATATTGTTTTTTATTCAGCAGAAATTGTAAGCATATTAGAATAGTTACATACACATGGAATAGCTCATCGAGATGTAAAGGTAATTATGTTATTATGATAAAAGCCAGAAAACATTATGGTGGCAAATAATTTACATATAAAGATGATTGACTTTGGAACTGCAAATTTTTTTGATGAGCGAGGATTACCCGAGAGTGTAAGAGACAAATTAAATGAATTACGAGAAGTTAGTTAACAGGATGAAAGATCCATGGATGAAATTGACTAATATTAATAAAAACACAAGGCTACATTTGTTGGGACAGCTGAATATGTATCACCAGAATTATTAGAAGATGATATATGTGGTCCTTAAGCAGATTTATGGGCATTGGGGTGCATAATTTATAAAATGTTCACAGGAACAACTCCTTTTTGTGATTAGACTGAATACTTAGTATTTTAGAAGGTCAGGGCTTGTTAGTATTAGAAGAGTAATAAAATTCCTCAGGAAGCAATGGATTTAATAAGCAAATTATTGGTAAGAGATCCATTGAGCAGATTGGGAGGAGGATTACCTAGTATAAATTATTTATATTAAGATTCAAAGAATACCTATAGGGAACTTAAGAGCCATCCCTTCTTTAAGGAGACAAATTGGGATTATTTATGGAGTAGGAAGGGACCAGATGATGTGTAGATTCATTTGAAGAAGTAGACTTCAACATAGGAATTATAGTTAAAGAAACAAAGCTCAGCTTTGAAACCAGAAGTAGTATTGACTGGATTAGTGAATAAGAAGACTGGTTAATGCGATGAATATTATAGGTTGGATGATTTATAAGTTACGTAATATGATTCTATATGATTACGAAATTCCAAAATTGGAATATTTTGACCCAAATACAGGAATGAAGAAAGTAAGTTAAGAATTTATGATTAAAAGGGATAAATTATATTGGATAAGAATGTGATAATAGAATTATTAAAAGGCTAATTCAATATTGATGTGCCTAATAAAAAAAAATATTACTTTAAGGTACACCTATTGATAATTAAGGAATGTGAACATCCAGCATAATTATGGGTTGACAAAATTAAAGATATTATGAAGAAACGACTTAATTATGAATGATTATTTGAATAGTTATGATTCATTAAAAAAAGTCTTTAGGAAATTTATTACCCGCTCTGACTCTAATTTTGATGGGTATTTTTTCTTCTGATTCATTTCTTATGAGTTGGCTCTTCTTGTTAAATTTATTATTTAGTTCTTGAGTGGAGAGTAACAATAATTCGAGAATGTTTTCATTATCTACTTTTTCAAGTTCAATTTTAAGATTGCGAGCCACTTAGAGGTTACTCTTACTGTCGTGTTCAAACCCCATAGAATCGTTGTTTTAAGGAGAGTTAAAGAAATATTTTTTCTTTTGTGTGATGACTCCTTCTCGATCTGGATTGTTATTCAACTTTTATGTATTTATTGAGTTCCTTCTCATCTAAGATAGTATATCTCTAGACTCATTAAGTCTACTTGAGATAGGTTATTTAATACATTATTACTGTTAGGCATTATTCTATAATAGTATATAAAATGTTACAATATGAATGGAGATCTTGGATGATTTGCTTTGTATGTTCTGTTGTTGTTATTTAAGTTTAACTTTCAGTATTTCTTTGCTTGTTATATATGTTTAATAGGATGTTGGTTATTTATTATGTTTAGGGCTTTAATTAAATACATCTATGACTTTGATTCGTTCACTTGATTTACATTTTTCTTCACTACTTTATCGCTTAATTAATTGATTTCTTTGTGTTTATGAAACAGATCTATATTTATATGCTTCATCTCTCTTTGTTATGAGTAGATCCAATCCTTTCTTAGGTGTATTGTCAATGGAAGATTGATTATTATTCTCTATGATGAATTTACTTAATTACTAGACAATATTTATTGTGCATATAGACTTAAATTAGTCTGTTTAGTTTGAGGCTTAATAATTGGAGGATGTTGATTATCAATGGACCCCAAATTGAGTTTAATTTTGGGAGAACTATAATCAATGGTTCTTTAAGTTAAATCTTAATTAATGAATTCTAAGGTGCTACAATAATAATACTTGCTTTAGTGAATCCTTAAAAGTCTAGTTTAGGCTTTAGATTGATTTTCTTGGATCTTATTTATTCGTTAGAATAATACGACGAGAGATATTTTTTGAGCATTATTTTAACTATTTTAATATATAATTATAATAAGTATAATTGTGCAATTCAGTTCTTCAATTAAGTTTAGGAAATCGTCTTAATCTAATCGAACAACATCTTCAACTCTAAATGTTTGCTAGTTAATGATTCATATTCAGCAATGATGTCCTAATTCTGATCTTCCAATGATTCACATTTTTGAATTGCCTCCTTAAATTTCTCCTAATAATAGTCTCTCTCTTCTGTAATTGGATCTACAACTTTCTTAAGTTCAGTCTCAATTTATTATCTAAACCAGTTATCCAAAGATTGCTATAGTTCTGCAAATTGTGCTTGATAATATAATGTCAATTCACTAATTTTTTAGGTATTGGATTCATTCTCCATCTTAGCATTCTACAAATCGTTGTCCTGTTATTCAATCACATACTTCTGATCTTAAATTTATTATTCATAATTTTATTTCTCATTCTCAAATATAGTTTTTAATTAATTAACTTCTTGTTGAGATGATTAATACTATTATTTCAGTGTTTCATTTATGCTACTTAATCTCTTGTATTGATCAAGAATATTCTCTTATTGTTCTTATAACACATTCTTGCTTAATTCTAAATTTTCTATATCTAAGGTAAGCTATTAATTTGTTTTCATGACTTCTTAGGATTACAAAACAGCTTGTTACATATTCTTGATCTCTTATTGTAAGTTCTACAATTCATTAAATAACTTAAGATTGTCTGATTTGAATTTCAAAAGTTGTTCCTATGAAGTTTATAATCTATTTTTAAGATATTGAATTTCAGCATCTTTGCTTTCCAAAGATTTGATAAATCCATCTTAATCATTTTAACATACTTCCACTAGCAATTCAAGTTCCTTTACTTATGTCACTTAGGTCTTGCAATTCGACAATGACTATTATAATTGAGTTAGTTCATTTTTTAATTATTAATTTTCAGTTAATAATCTATTTTATTTCATTTCCACTTCTGCCTTTTACTGTTTTAGCGATTGGATTTGAAACTGTACAACTGAATATTCTTATAATTTCTCTTCATTTAGTAGTAGCTTCTCTCTTAATTATTTTATAGTATGTTAATCTGATTCTGAGTTATTGGATTGATATTATTATTGTAATCTCTATAATTATTAATACTTTAATTAGAGGTCGTTATAGGCTTTCTCTTTCTCTTATAGGAACTTATGTTATAAGTCATATTCCTCTTTTAGCTTATCATATTTGCTTTGTAAATCAGAATTGTTGTAACCATTTTTAGTTGTGTGTTAACTATAAGCGATAGATTGTTGGATGTTTTCATCTCTTACAGATAACCTATTCTATTAAGTCTTGAAATCTTAGTCACTATTTCTGTGTTTATTGAATTTTATCTATTTGAACTGCAATAGATTTGCATCTTGCATTTTTAGTCTATCCTCAACTGTTTGTTAATTAACGAGCTAGAGTGAAAATTCAGATAATTTATCATCCATTCCTCTTTCTGAAACTTGAGTCTTAGAATTATATTGCCCAATTCTAGTTGGTGAATTTGTAGATCTATACAATTCGGGCGCCTTTGGTGGTAAACACTTAATATAAAAATTTGGTTACATTTACGAAGACTTGAGCAGGAGATTGCAAGGACAGTTTCTTATAGTCATTATCAATTTATTATTTTGATATTATGGCTAAGGAACTAAATGGTTGTACAAATCTATTCTTCTAATTTGATTATCTCAAAGGTGATATAGAATTTTGAGTATGCTATGTAACCAAATAATCGTATTTCAGAGGGGATATTGGATGAGAATTCTAAACTGAGTGTTGAAGGGAAGCAGTGGTCGGCCTTCTTTAAGTATGGGTTTCAGTATGTTGAATATCAGCATTGCTCATTAACGTTCAAATTTTAAAATATAATAAAGCATTTTTATATATTATTGTTAGGGATTTAGATTTGATTGAGTATTTGAGTAGACCAGAACTATTTGTTGTATTATTAGAGATTAAGTAGCATTCTTTCTTGTTTTAATGATATTATTCAATATAACTCATAATTTATTAATTATAATATGTTAGATAATAGTGAAGTAATCATTCGAGAATCATTGGAAAGCTATCTTAATTATCAACATGCAGATTGCGTATTAAAAGTAGAGATGAGTAAACCACATCTACGACAGAAGTATTGCGAATGTTTGCAATTGGAATCTTTTGTTGAATTCGTATTGACATGTTTAGAATTAGTAAACACGACTGTGCTCATGAAACAGAATTATTAATTAAGTCATAAGTTGCATTTGCAATATTGGAAGATATTCAATGAACTACCTTAACCAAAAGATGAAATGGTAAGTTTCATCTTAATCGCAGTCTGGTTTTTAATACACAGCACAATATTTAAATTACAAACACAAGAAGAAAGAAACAAAATTGATCAAAGATTCCTTTTCAACTCTTACCATGTTCTATTGTATTATATTAATGGATTCTATGTCTCAGATGAATTCGTTTAATAATAAGTCGATATGTATCTTAATAACAGGTACTTGGATTATAGACTCAATTCATTCTAAAAAAAGAATCTCAAAAAATAGTAGATGCAACAAACTTAAACTAACTTATTCCCTAATGTTAGTATACCAGAATTAACCTAAGTCTAAGGAGCCACTTAATTTCAAAAAGAATTGAGATTTAGAAAGAAGTAGAAGAAATAATAAAGTGAACCCATCCTTGTTGAACAACCCCCTTAGTAATTAACAAGATTGGAAAATAGATCAGATAGAAGCGGTCGATTTCCAAACTCTATTAAATTCAATCTCAACCAATTATCACCATCTATTAATTCACTCTTAAACCTTAGCAATAAAGCTACTCCAAGAGCCAAATTAGTTACACACTAAATTATATCACATAACTTTAATTAAGCTAAAGTATCGAACGTCTTAAAAAGTCTAGATGAACCTAGAACTACCTTAACTTAAATGAAAGAAAGCAGAGATAATGGAAAAGGGTAAAGATTGCTTGATAAATACAGAGTCACCTAACCACCTCTAGAGTATTTTAAGAAACATCCAAAAGTTGATCATCTTTTTAGAGACATGTTAGAAATGAAACTTGTTTTAGAATAGAGTCATTAACACATTTATACATCACCTAGGTTAGTCAAAGAAGATTCAACTGCATTGCGAGAAAAACTAGCTCAATATTTAGAAGAAAGAACATTGAAACAGAATTTAACCCCATAAGATGATCTATTATAATAGAGTCCATAATTTGTATCGAATATGATGATTACATATTAACATGTCAGAACACCTAGTGATGGAGCTAGAATTTAAGAAACACACTCTGTATTTCCATAAGGCCAAATTAGTTCATTCCTTCAAACATAAATTACGTAGTCCCCATAACCAAAATCTAATAATAAATTTCTTTATGAAGACAAAAGAAAGCTATATACTGATAGGTTCAATAAAGCAACTGGTAATTAGACTACGGATGATAAAATATCAAATTTATAACATAACCTACTAGTAAAATAACATATGATTTAATAACACTTAAAAAAATAGCATTGATTTATTAATTTATAATCGGAATCACTTGTTATTTTTATTAAATATATTAAGTTAATTGGTTGATATTCAATATTTACTATTGATGCTACACAGAATAGTTTGAATTATTTCTGTTGATTATTCTATAATTTTTCATAAATAAGGAAATAGATCCCTTTATTCTAGAATTTAAAGAATATGTAGATATAAGCAATTTAGATTCTTGGGATTCAGGATTTTTTATTATTTTACAAATCATCAAAATTCTGATTAAATAATTATTTAATATTTTATTGGAAATGCCTTTTATACCCTGCTTGAAACATGAAGGATCTTATATTCTCTATATCAAAGTAAATTAAGATAAAGCAGAATTTATTTGTGAGGAATGTTGCTTGTAATTATAAGAGTTAAACTTAAATCTGAATATTTAAGAATTAATTCACATAAAGACTGTATAATCTCATAATTTAATCTAAAGGCATATAAGTCTCCTTAATTACTGCTAACACATAAGGATTATTCCTCTTATATTAAACAATCATTGAATGAATATGATAAATTTAATGAAAACTGTATAAGGGGTATCTTCAAAGACATCAACACTTAAATTTCCAAAATATAAAATGCTTTCCAAATAGTCTAAGAAGAATTAGAATATTATACAAAATAATTTCTAAATATGAAATAGAAATTTAAAGATGAATTAACAAAAGTAATTGATATAAAAATAATAGTTAATCAAATTTGAATAATTCAAATAAATAATTGAAAATCTTGAAAATTTAGGAGATTCAATAAGCTCTAAAGTTATGGAAGAGAATGAAAAGATTCTATATTAATATTTGCAAGATCTTAAAAATATGGATCATAAAGAATTACACATTTAATTATTAGATAAAATGAAGCTCTTAAGAATAGAATTTAAAGATCTATATTAAGAATAATATCCATAATTCTCAAAGTTGCAAGACGAATTGAAATCATTTAATATTAGCTATTAAGGGTTTATAAAGTAAATAAAGTTTATAAAGTTTGAATAGTTTAATTTTAATTTTTCTGGAACATAATTATTGTAGGAATGGTTCTAGTATAAGATTCTTAATACTATTGTATCTAAAAATAAGAAAATAATAACAAACATTGAAAAAATATATTTGAGTAATCAAGATGGATTGAATGCATAAGCCTTTTGGAATAAAATAAATTATCGTTCAAATTTATTAATGATATTTAAATCAAAAAGTGGATATATTTTTGGTGCATTTTCTCCTTGTTAATGGATATCAGGGGGTGGTAGTTATGTTTAAGATAATAAATTATCTTCATTTATATTTTCATAGACTCAAGATTAGATATATCCAATTAAAGATGCATAGAAAGGAAACGCCATTTATTGTAATCAATCATATGGACCTATTTTTGGCGGTGGTCATGATTTATATTTTTAACCAGACTTTCAAAATGGTAGTTCTAGTTTAGGACATTCATATTCATGTGATTAATATCAAATTAGTAATAGGAATACACATTTATTTGGTTAATCAAATCCAAATATAGCAGAATGCGAAATATTTATGTTAACATTTTCATGAATTATCTAAATATATATATTCTATTATATTATTTAACTATTCAAGTACATTCTAATAATATATAATCGTAATTACTAACTATATATCACAATTATTTCATTAGTTTAAATTATTCGTTTACTAAATTTTTAAAAGTAACTTTCTATATAAAAGGAGCCCCATTTATTCCCACTAATTATGCTAATAATTATCTCAATAAAAAATAGAAAGAAAAGGAAAGATTCTGCAATTATATTCATTTAGAAGCAAAAATAATTGAATAAATTAAGAATAAGAATTTTAATTCTGTTTAAGTTGAATTATATGTTCCTATCTTTTAGAATAAATTACAAATGATTTAATCCCTAAAAAACACCATAACAACAGTAATTAACTAGTAATTTGATAAACCTTAAAGAATGTGCTTTTTTTTCTTTGTAATATTCTGTATTAAATGTTATAAACTTATTAATTAAGACCGGCTATGATTTGTGGTGATAAAAATCATCAATCAGATTAGTTTTACTTCTTTTCAATACTTAATTAAATGTTGGATTGTTTTGCTACTTCAAAGCAAATTAGATAATCACACACAAATCGACTATCATCACAATTGACAAAACTGTGGCAATCACTATTCTTTAGTTACATTGTCTTTATTTTATAAGTCTAATTCAATAATAAACATAGCATTACTCAGAAAATTAGAGAAAGGCGTTCCTTAAAAATAATCCGCAATTTACAATAAGAATAAAATTTTAGTTTTATTATTTGTCTAGATTGTTAAGGAAGGGAAGTTGACGTGGATCTGCAATTGGGATGGGATGAACAAATGTTAAGAGAAGCTATAAAAACATTAATACTCTAATTTTTTATATATTTTCAAACATCCAATTTAAATTGATGAAGGGAATCAAGGTCTGCTTTTTTGAAGGCTTTTTATTTTGAATTGCTAATGAAGTCTTGAAATACTTTGGAATCACGGACTTAGGGATCTCTAAAAATAGCCTTAATATAGAATATTGGTTTAAAACCTATAGATAGACATCAAGTTATGCTTTTCTAGTTGAGATGAAATCTGGATTAAGATTACCAAAGAGTCGTTTAACTGGGAAAGCGGGCAATTGGGACTTGGTCAATTAGTCAAGTATTTAATGGAGCTCAGATAACATGCTATATCTAGTCCAAAAAGACCATACAACATTATCAACTTTAAGTCTAATGAGGTATTAGGTATGGGAATTGCCTTTAATTTTGTAATCGCGAATTGAAATCCAATCGTTGGTGTCAAGTGAACGACGTTTACGCTTCCTAGATTTACCCAAGAATTGCAAGATTGGAGCCTCTGAGGTATGGGGTTACGATTATCCGACCTATGATGATTTGTATTAGTAAATACATGAAGATGAGCTTATATCATAGTTGTAGGTAGGAAGGGTTTGCACTTTTATTTAAAATAAATATTAATGATAACATAAGTTAATGATCATTAGTCATAATCTTATATGGTGAAATGAAAGGAATCTGATCGCATTTTCAATTTAGATAAAATTAAAGTTGTAACTACAAGTACAAGAGTTATCAAGATTTAATCATGAAAATCTAGTTGATAGTTAACTAATTTAATTTTATATTGTTTTATGCTAAATACTATGTATACTAATTTAATTAATAATAACTAATCAAATAATCAAATAATCAAATTCATTACATTCTAATTAAACAATCTATCCAAAATTCTAATCAAAGAACTTAGATATCTCCTATTTTGTATTCTAATACACTTAAGTGACTCTCACAAAAGTACTCAGATGACCAAAGAACTATCCAGCTATTTCCTATAACTGTTATAATGTGATTAATCCTAATGGTTAGATTGTATTCCACTCCTACAGTACTTCTGGTTTTTTGAATTAGTTGGATAATTGATACATGAGATTCTGAGATTATATAACAATTATCATACTTCCTTTTTTGATAATATGGATCTCAACTCTCCCAGATTACACTGGATGATAAAAGGGTCATTTGGTTATTTGTAAAATATCTATTTCTCTAATAATTTAATAGTTTCAGCCAAGTCCTCGTAATGCTACTTATTCAATGTATTCCAAATCTGCTCTTTATTGACAAGGATCTGACTATATTTCATCAGCAATTGCACTTCATGAGTGTTACCCTTTAGATTCTTTTTGCCTATCTATTTGACCATCCTGGAATTCTCAATTGGAACTTCTAAGAGACATAGTAAATTAGAACAATTGATTAGACACAAAATAATGGTTTTGTACAACTCATACAGAATCTCTAAGTCTTATGTAATATCTTACTTGATTATTAGAGTGGTTGTAATTTGATGAATAAAGCAAAGTACTTCTTAAATTCAGGATCTTCTGTCTGTTTATATTGTTTGATGTATTCAATGTTATCATTAAATTTCTTATTATAAATAAAATGTAAATACCTTATATTGTTCTTCCTTCTATTTGAGTATGATTTAATGGAGATTTACTTCATTGGATAACAATGTCATTTATTGTAAAAGTTGTGTATTCTTCTCTTGTAGATTCAACAACACTTCACATAAAGATTTTTTGATCTTTGTTTGATCGAATTAATGAAATATTGGATGTATATTAGCTCTGATTTGAGTAATCCTTTCATTACCCTAAACAATAAATTATTCACAATAACTCCATTAAACAAAAGATACATGCTCTATGAAAAATTGATTCAATAAAGCAATGGCATTATTAATTAAAGTGCGTGATCTATTTTCTTATTCAAAATGTTTATCTAATTCAATCAGCAACTCAATCATTCTTTTTGCTATATTGAAAAAGCGACCAAATTATTTGAATAAAGAAGCTAAATAACAATCAGCTTTCAAATTAAGTGTCTTTTCCAAAAAATCACTAAACTCATCCACACGTAGAATTTACATCCTTTATTTTATATTAATATTATAGCTGTGAGAAAATTTATAAGAAAATTAAGCAATGCATTTAAGAACTATTAACCTGTTTTATATCTATATAAGGAAGATACAAAATACTCTAAGTTATGATACCATTCTTTCCTTTTTCTCATATAAACATATAATACTTAATTATAAATTATTATTCTAAAGCACAGATAATTAAATTAAGAAATCCTAAAATTGATTAGAGGAACCTTAGATAAGACAATAAATATTAATTTATATTTAATAAATATCTATATCAACACCAATATTTGTAACTAAATATATTTAATCAATAAAAATTTTATCATGAGAAATTGCGTTTAGTAATCATCTTAAGAGATGGAAAATAGACATTTATCACCCTATTATTAGAAGATTTACTTTTATTCTTTTTTAGAGATGTACTACATGATCTTTATTTTTGACATTATTGTTTTTCTTTATACTTGTTGATTAATTTGAGTAGATTATTTTGTTAATAATTTGATTTCTCGATAGATTTAGGAGAATTTTCAATTTTATCACATTTAGTTTCACATGATTCAGAAAATTGAATCGAATCCGAGAACACCAGTTTTTTTATTGAAGATCTTACATGCCAATCTAACCCATACAATCTACAGGAATCCTTAAGAAATCTATTTCTGGTTGTCAATTGTTTTTGAAATATATCTTTGTTTTATATTAACGAATTGTTATTGACATTACTTTAACTGATACTACTATCTTTAATTTATTTATCAATTGATAATAAACTTGGTATGTATTCTGTTCTATCAGATTCTAATCGATTAAGTTTCTTTAATTGCTTAATTATAATCCCATTTAAATTGCTGGGTAGTTTGTTAGAGGAAGGAAGAGAGCATCGATCACTTTTAGGAGACTACTAAGATTTTGATGGAATTAATAGATGCAGAGTCTCTTGAAATTTCTGTTTGATTAGATTTGATGTCATAGTTAATTAAGATTTCTTATTTAAAACGATATTCCTACATTATTTCCATTTTTTGGATGGACTTGATGTACATGGCCGATGTTAATAAGTTAATAAATGTCTCTATTATTCCATTCTTGAAAAATAGATAGGATTTTAATGTCTATTTGTTTTATGCTGTTCTTTTTTCTATTTCTTACTAGTTATACTTCTATCATAGTCTCTAAACCAAAATTCTCTTGGCAATGATTATGCAACAATTAGTGTACCATTAGAATTCTTTCTTTTTGGTTTAATTTCAATAGCAGTTTAAAATAAGTTCTTTTTTGAAAGGTGATTGATTGGTGTCTAAAAATTAAAGAAGGAGTGGCCCTATATTGTATTTAATTTATACATAATTTTTTTAATTGGATTTAAATATAAAATAATTTTAATTTGGTAATAGCTTAGAAATTATAAGTGTTTATCAAGTTTAATTGAACAGGAAATTACCATTGTATCTACATTATTATGATGTATAATTTAATAAGTTTTATGTTATTAGAAATTAATATTTATTTCCAATTTACCAGTCTTATTTGAAAAAGGTAATTTCATTTTATTAATTATCAATATACACGAATAAGCAAAGAGCGTTTATTAAATAGATAAGAAATAAAGATAAAGTGAAATAGCATAATTTTCATAAAAGATATTATTAGTGGGAGATATTAAAAGGATATTATACTTAATTATCATAATGTAATCAACATTATAATTAAGACATAAAAGATCAATAGTATTGATGAATCAAGCCCTTATTTTGATGATAAAATAATAGAAATATTTAGGAAGAAATTATATTTCTGAATGAAGAACTCAAGAAGAATTAATATCAATTTTAATGACCATTCATAAAGGACCACTTATGAAAATGTAAAAATAATAGAATAAAATTTACTAAAGTTGGATACTGCCAAATCTTATTTTAATAAGGTAAATATATAATTAAATAGATACGAATTTTATATTATTTTAATCTTAAAGCTCTCATAAAAGATTAGAGTCAATATTAATTAATATTAATTGAAAATCATGAATTTTTTGATGTATTCATTTTGATGATATTAATTATGATAATAAATTCATAATGTCAAAGCAATTCATAAATTATGAATGATCAAAAAAAGATATTACTTGGAGTCACTGTCAAAAAGTAGTTTACAAATGCTTATCTGTACAATCAAATGAAAGAACTTGGTAGTGCATCTGTATCAATTAAAAGGATAGTAGATTAGGAAAAAAAGATCGTCAGAATAAGTGATTAACAGTAGGATAGAAAGTCGTCACTGGCTAATGCTGAGGATATATAAAAGTATAGTTTTATAAGAATAAATACTCAATTCTTTTATGTTGATAAAGATTTAATTCGATAGATTATCTACTAATCCTAAAATATGATAAGAAAAATCAATAATTGATATTGATGAAGAAAAACTAAATAATGAATGTGCATTATTACTCCTAAATTGATATAGCCAATATAAGTCCCTTTGGAATTCATTCAGTATTTATGTTATTGTTCATTTATAAAAGTTAGCTTTTAATATACTAATCAATAATCAATTGATGATGTAAAATACAAATTGTATTTGATTTGATGAGATTGTTAAATGATGTTATCCAACGGAATCTAGGTTGGATCAAATTCATTTAGCAATAATTAAAGGCATTATGAATACCATCAATCGACAATATTTAATCTTAGTATTCATGATGTTATTTAAAATATATATTTACAAAAGAGATTATTATTATAAATGGGACTGTGTCTCTCAAAGTAGGAAGCAGAACAGCATACAACATTATCGTAGGAAAAATTCTAATAAGAGGATGAACTTGATGGGATTCAGGTTGAACAAATTAGATTAAGTGATGAGGAGAAAGTATCACTTAAGGATTTTGAGTTTCTTAAAGTATGAATTCTCTAGACAAGGTTCTTGGAAGAGGTGGTTATGGAAAGGTAGTCTTAGTTAATCACAAGGGTCAATCTAAATTATATGCTATGAAAATTTTAAGAAAAGATCTTATACAATAAATGAATTCTCGAATTTATATGGAAACGGAGAGAAATATCTTGGCTTTGGTTAAGTGTCCTTTTATAGTGAATTTATATTATGCTTTCCAAACAAAACAGAAATTGTATTTTGTTATAGATTTCATGATAGGAGGTACTGTTTATTATCTTATTCAAAAAGGAGAGCTATTTTACCATTTGAAACGAATAGGCAAAATGGAAGAATCATGGGCCAAATTCTATTGTGCTGAAATCATCCTTGCTATAGAATATCTCCACAGTCAGAATATTATCTATAGAGATTTAAAGCCTGAAAACATATTGTTGGATCAAGCAGGGCACATAAAAATCACTGATTTCGGTCTCTGCAAAGTCGATATAAAAGAGGGAGATTTCACTACAACTATTTGTGGCACCTATGATTACATGGCTCCAGAAATATATTTGAAAAAAGTACATTTACTCATATTGATATTAGGGTCATAACCAAAGTGCTGATTGGTATTCCTTGGGAATCCTGCTGTATGTAATGTTGCAAGGCATCCCACCATTCTATTCACAGAATAAAAGATAAATGATTCGTAGTAGATTGGAGAGACAAATTGAAATCAAGACTCCCATCTCAGAAGAAGCCACAGATCTTATTAAGTAATTACTAAAGAATAATGTAAGTATTTATCAATTAAATTTCAAAGCCCAAAGACAGATTAGGATCAGATGGATCTAATGAGGTGAAATCGCATCCATTCTTCAATGGAATCGATTGGAATGATGTTATGGATAAGAAGGTTGCACCTCCATTCAAACCTAAATTGTTTGGAGATCGAGATCTTAGAAATTTTGACGTTGTATCATTTATTCAATTTATGAATTTTACATCTAGACATTTACATAAGAGGTTGTGTAAGACACTCCTATGCAATCTATGATGCAAGAAGAGAATTACGACAAGTTTTCTTATNGAATACCATCAATCGACAATATTTAATCTTAGTATTCATGATGTTATTTAAAATATATATTTACAAAAGAGATTATTATTATAAATGGGACTGTGTCTCTCAAAGTAGGAAGCAGAACAGCATACAACATTATCGTAGGAAAAATTCTAATAAGAGGATGAACTTGATGGGATTCAGGTTGAACAAATTAGATTAAGTGATGAGGAGAAAGTATCACTTAAGGATTTTGAGTTTCTTAAAGTATGAATTCTCTAGACAAGGTTCTTGGAAGAGGTGGTTATGGAAAGGTAGTCTTAGTTAATCACAAGGGTCAATCTAAATTATATGCTATGAAAATTTTAAGAAAAGATCTTATACAATAAATGAATTCTCGAATTTATATGGAAACGGAGAGAAATATCTTGGCTTTGGTTAAGTGTCCTTTTATAGTGAATTTATATTATGCTTTCCAAACAAAACAGAAATTGTATTTTGTTATAGATTTCATGATAGGAGGTACTGTTTATTATCTTATTCAAAAAGGAGAGCTATTTTACCATTTGAAACGAATAGGCAAAATGGAAGAATCATGGGCCAAATTCTATTGTGCTGAAATCATCCTTGCTATAGAATATCTCCACAGTCAGAATATTATCTATAGAGATTTAAAGCCTGAAAACATATTGTTGGATCAAGCAGGGCACATAAAAATCACTGATTTCGGTCTCTGCAAAGTCGATATAAAAGAGGGAGATTTCACTACAACTATTTGTGGCACCTATGATTACATGGCTCCAGAAATATATTTGAAAAAAGTACATTTACTCATATTGATATTAGGGTCATAACCAAAGTGCTGATTGGTATTCCTTGGGAATCCTGCTGTATGTAATGTTGCAAGGCATCCCACCATTCTATTCACAGAATAAAAGATAAATGATTCGTAGTAGATTGGAGAGACAAATTGAAATCAAGACTCCCATCTCAGAAGAAGCCACAGATCTTATTAAGTAATTACTAAAGAATAATGTAAGTATTTATCAATTAAATTTCAAAGCCCAAAGACAGATTAGGATCAGATGGATCTAATGAGGTGAAATCGCATCCATTCTTCAATGGAATCGATTGGAATGATGTTATGGATAAGAAGGTTGCACCTCCATTCAAACCTAAATTGTTTGGAGATCGAGATCTTAGAAATTTTGACGTTGTATCATTTATTCAATTTATGAATTTTACATCTAGACATTTACATAAGAGGTTGTGTAAGACACTCCTATGCAATCTATGATGCAAGAAGAGAATTACGACAAGTTTTCTTATCAAGAACCAGAATTGTTTGTGACTATGAATGAAGGTTTCTCGCTTAATAAATGATAATAAATATTGTATATTTCAATAAGAAATCATTATAGTATTAGTTAATCAATAATAAAATTGATTAAATGATTAGAATTTAACATAATTTATTTATCATTTTAAGACTATTCAATATTTCAAGTAAAAAACAAGAGAAAAATCAAAGCAAAAAGCGTTCCAAAAAGTATTAGAATTGTACAGATCTGACTTTATTCTAGAATTGCATATTGACTTATTTATACCATTAGTTTTTAGTAAATGACTCAATTTTGTTTAAATGAAACTCAGCTTTTTTTCAGTTTTACCTATTTCTACATCTAACTTGTTAATCTTACTAAATATAATTGAGGTTGCACTTACTTTCCTTATTCGTTAATTTGAACCTTAATATCGACAGCAATATTTTATAATCTATTAGCAGTATCATTTATATCACTTATAATAACATCTTGGTCCTTCAAAATATGTTATTACATTTATAATAAAATGAACATATATGTGTTCTTATTGTTTAAAATGATTCAACTTCTGTTTAATACTGTACTCATTTATTTTAAATATTGAATATAAAATAATAATCAGTGCTTTTTCTTCGTAAAAGCAGCAATAATTTCTTTTAATATTTAAATTTTAGCGTTTTGAGGCAAAGATTTAATTTACAAATCATCTCCTAATTCTAATTTTCGTAAAGATTCCAGAAAGAAATCTTCAATTTATGTTCTTTGATCTAAGATAACTTACGCAAGCTCTTTCATTTGATTAATTTCTTTTTATTTGATGCTTAGTTGCTCTTGAAATGACTAATGTTTTTTTGAGATGGTTTCTTCTAATTTGGCATTCTGGTCTTACAATTATTGTAATTGAATTTTAAGCATTTTATTTTCATCTTTAAGTTTATTGTTCTCTTTTTCAGATTGCAATTTATGGACTAGAGTTGTCTGATCATTAGATGATTTTCTATTAGATTATTACATTTAGGATTATAATTCCTCTTTTTATTTAGTGAGTTATTTCAATTCCTGTTGCAATTTGATAATTTAATTATCTTTCATTTGTATAGCTATATCATGTTCCTCTTATTATTCTAAATGATTAAAATGAATAATTACTATTCTTGGCAATTTGAAATCTCTCACTCATTTAAACTATTTCAGACTCATAATCTGATTGGATTTTGTCAATTTAAGATCTCAGATCAACAATTTATTTTAGATAATTATTTTTCTCCATCTGCCATTGTTCTTGGGGTTAAGATTAAATGCTTAATAAATCTTTATTGACAAGTGTTAAATTGGAGACCACTTTATCAACAAAATCACATTGCAACTAAAGAGCCTATTCGATTTCTTCATATTGATGCTATTACTATGTCTAATTAAATGATTAATTATTCATTTTATAAAATTCAGATTTTATGTACTACTATATTCCCAATTAGTCAATTTAGGTACAGAAAATCGACAATACTGTCTCAGATTTTGCTTCCATCCACTGCTAAAGGGTGATCCCAACTATTATGGAAAATCTTTAAGGTATGAAATCCTTCTCCAGCTCTTATATTCCCAAGTGGTCATATTCTTACAAGTCAACAAAGAATGGAATAAAAATAAACTCAGAACCATCAATCCCATTGATATTGTTATCAATAGACTGATCACTACTAATACTGAAAATGCTCCACTATACAAAGAGAAGTCAAGGTGTGAAAAAACCTAAATAGGATGAATAATACTTACTTTCCTCATTACATATACGATTTCTTGGATCTAGAAAAGTAGAAACCAATAAAATACACATCTATTCCTTTCTCCTATGCAATTGCTAGTCTTTTAAATATATTGATGCATATTAATACCCATGGACAATGATGATCATACAATGCTACACATCTATTACATCTTCGACAATGTTTGGATCTGATGATTTGATCTTAATTGCAGATGGGACAATATCTCTTTTCAATGAACATGCTATTCCCATGATGGACACTTTGATCAATGTTCTTCTCATTATTCGCAGATTTTGGCGATTATTGATGTTCAATTTATTCAACCATAATTTCCTATTAAAAATGAGATTGAGGATCAGTCTGTGTATTAGCATTATTATTATTAATGTCAGGCTTTGTACTCCCTTGTGAAAGCACTTATGAGGTTGGAACATTATTTGAATGAGGACATTCCAATTATGAAACACCTTTAGAAGGAGTCATAGATTTCTTCGGGGTTCTCTCGTTATCTACATCATTATTCTCAATATTTTGTATTTCGTTATCAGGGATATTTTATTCATCAATTGAAGCCTCACAGACAATTTCAAAATCTTCTTTATTCCTATTAGAATAATATGAATTTCCATTACTTTGGATTTTGTTTAGCTTATTCAACAACCTTAAAATCAATTCGTTCTTCTGCCACTTGCTCCTTTGTTCTCAATTAATAATTGCCTGGAAGTGGATGGAATTATTATTTCTTCTTTTAATATGGATTCGAACTATCTGTGTATTAATAATCATTAATGGTAACAAATCCTGGCTTATCATATTATTATTCTTTACATCCTTGAAAGCAGTGAACCCATAGAAGATTATAGTAAGCATTATCATCAAATACAAATAATAAGTGCCTAATTTCTAACTTTAGAATAGGCTATCATCTACAATACTAAAAATGCTTAGTAAATAGAGTTGCATAAATCCATAGAATATTGGTGCTCAAAGATTCAATTAAATCATACCTAATTTAAACATCAATTTACTTTATTATTAATTATTATAATAACCTTTTTTATATTTCTTATTGTTAAATTAAATTATAAATAAATAGTATAATAATAATAATAATAATAATAATAATAATAATAAATAAAAAAAAGGGTTGTCAACACGAGGACTTCCCAAGCGGTCCCCCACCTTAGTACTAACCTCGCCTTAAGCCGCTTAACTTCGGAGTTCGAATGGGATCCGGTGCTTTAGGCTTAGTATGGCCGACAACGATATTTACTACATGGTTTGGTATTTATATGGTTGGTTTTATTATGTTATAATAATATATACTCATTTTTGATCTTTGAATTAGGTTTCAGTTTTACACTTTTAATATTTGCTAATATTCGCATGTATTTTAACGTTGGGTGTTGATTCATTGATTGAATCATTTTACATTGGATTTATAGATTCTTTATGAACAATAACAGTATTCTCTGGATGGTTCAGCAATTAGAATGTTTCATTCACAGGTGCTAAATGGATTTTCATCATCAGATTCATTTATTCTATGTTTTTTCTTAGTGTTATATTATCCAATTTAACTTGTTGCACAGACTTCAATAAATTATGATATTTAATCATTTATTTCTGCTGAAATTGTAAATCCTATATGATCATGATTAATACCAGAAATCCAATCTTCTATTGAGATCTCAATAACTGATTTTCCTGTTTTAATTCTTGTATGGTCTACTCCATTTTTTTGATCTATTGTATGAGGTAGTAAACATAGGATGTTTCCGATTAGGTTTGTTGTGGTTTGTTTGTTAATGGTTTGGAAAAGGAGAGAGAGGTTGATAGATGGTTGGGAGATCCATGTTGTTCTAGTTATTTGCGATGGGACTTTATAGGAGATGGTTCTTGTTTGAAGAAGGTGTGCTAGAAGTGATGGACACTTTTGGTTTGATTTAATAAGTAGGGTTTTAGATCGCTCATTATTTGTAAATAAATTTATTATATAATTATACTCTCGATGAAAGCAGAAAAAAATACAAAAATTGTAAATTCAAAATTGATCCAAATCCAGCACCAAAAGGCTCGATTTAACTATTGGATCGATTTGGTTTTCTAGTAATTCATCAACACTTTCAATTGGTTCTTCGTAATGGATGAGAACCAATGTTCGAAAACCTCGAAATGATTGCTTTGAGGATTTTCTATGCGGGAACTTATTGCATCGGTTGCCTGGATAATTGTTCATTGGATTTACATTGATTTCGGAACGAGAAGTTTAAGTTTTTACATACACCGCAGATCCAATCACCAACTCTTTGTCTTCTCTTTACTATGTAGGGGGAACTATTCATATATTTTATTATTTGAAATTCAAAATTTAATAACGATATATGAAATTAGAATTTTTTATAATATATTTATTATATACCTCATAACAATTAAGTCTTTTACTATTAGTAAATAATTTGAATTTGATGTAATTAATTAATTATAATGAATTAATNATAATAATAATAATAATAATAATAATAATAATAAATAAAAAAAAGGGTTGTCAACACGAGGACTTCCCAAGCGGTCCCCCACCTTAGTACTAACCTCGCCTTAAGCCGCTTAACTTCGGAGTTCGAATGGGATCCGGTGCTTTAGGCTTAGTATGGCCGACAACGATATTTACTACATGGTTTGGTATTTATATGGTTGGTTTTATTATGTTATAATAATATATACTCATTTTTGATCTTTGAATTAGGTTTCAGTTTTACACTTTTAATATTTGCTAATATTCGCATGTATTTTAACGTTGGGTGTTGATTCATTGATTGAATCATTTTACATTGGATTTATAGATTCTTTATGAACAATAACAGTATTCTCTGGATGGTTCAGCAATTAGAATGTTTCATTCACAGGTGCTAAATGGATTTTCATCATCAGATTCATTTATTCTATGTTTTTTCTTAGTGTTATATTATCCAATTTAACTTGTTGCACAGACTTCAATAAATTATGATATTTAATCATTTATTTCTGCTGAAATTGTAAATCCTATATGATCATGATTAATACCAGAAATCCAATCTTCTATTGAGATCTCAATAACTGATTTTCCTGTTTTAATTCTTGTATGGTCTACTCCATTTTTTTGATCTATTGTATGAGGTAGTAAACATAGGATGTTTCCGATTAGGTTTGTTGTGGTTTGTTTGTTAATGGTTTGGAAAAGGAGAGAGAGGTTGATAGATGGTTGGGAGATCCATGTTGTTCTAGTTATTTGCGATGGGACTTTATAGGAGATGGTTCTTGTTTGAAGAAGGTGTGCTAGAAGTGATGGACACTTTTGGTTTGATTTAATAAGTAGGGTTTTAGATCGCTCATTATTTGTAAATAAATTTATTATATAATTATACTCTCGATGAAAGCAGAAAAAAATACAAAAATTGTAAATTCAAAATTGATCCAAATCCAGCACCAAAAGGCTCGATTTAACTATTGGATCGATTTGGTTTTCTAGTAATTCATCAACACTTTCAATTGGTTCTTCGTAATGGATGAGAACCAATGTTCGAAAACCTCGAAATGATTGCTTTGAGGATTTTCTATGCGGGAACTTATTGCATCGGTTGCCTGGATAATTGTTCATTGGATTTACATTGATTTCGGAACGAGAAGTTTAAGTTTTTACATACACCGCAGATCCAATCACCAACTCTTTGTCTTCTCTTTACTATGTAGGGGGAACTATTCATATATTTTATTATTTGAAATTCAAAATTTAATAACGATATATGAAATTAGAATTTTTTATAATATATTTATTATATACCTCATAACAATTAAGTCTTTTACTATTAGTAAATAATTTGAATTTGATGTAATTAATTAATTATAATGAATTAATAATAATCTCAAAGTTCAACTCCTAGGCGAAATAATTCGGAATTCAGTATTGATGCCCAACCTGTAGAATCTGAATCAATTATGAATTTACAGATAGCCTACAGCTGGCTGACCATAGTAAGAGCTATTCTAATTAGGCTCTCTTGATAGTTATATTGTTTAATTGTTTCTTGACGTTGTTACTTTCATCATTCGCATTTAATTTGAGCTTCAGGATTCCAATTCTATTTCTAAGCATAGGACACCTGTTGTATTTGATTAAGATATGCATTACTTACCATAAGATGTACAATATATTGAGTTATAGCCAGAGCAACAAGTAACCAGGAATGTTGTTTCGAGTTGATGTGGGGTATCGGATTAATCTCTTATTATGTATGTTTGATTAATAAGATCAGAGTTGCTTGATATATTTTGTTGATAACAATGACCTTCAAATGTAATACTTGGCGATGTTTTTGGTATTTATGACCATCATATGGGTGATTAAATCTATCTTTTAGTAGTATCGGAGAAACTCTCAGGATCATCAACAGAAATTGGTATCAATGTCAATAAATAGGATAGATTATAGTCTTGATTAGGTTTTGTTTTGTAGCATAATTGATGTTCATAAATCTGAAACTGATTGATTGGGTGTCTGCCAGATGGATCTACACTTTCTCCATATTTTGGTTATTCCTACTCATCGTCATAATGATGCAATTGGTTTTCCTGTTTAAATTCTCTATCATAATAAATCGATATTTCAATAGCACTGTGGATTAGAAACCCATATTGATAGTTCAAATCGTTGGGTACCTATGGACCAATTTGATCATTTTCGGCTTTTGTGGAGTACCTTCATATGCGCTATACAAATTGAGTTTTTATTTAGAAGAAAATATGGACCATGATTACTTGCTTGCAATTATTATTAGCGTATTCTATACTCTGATATTTATGGTCTACACCATATATCATAAAGACATGCTATCAACATTCATTTTGAGAATCTTACAGTTACACATTTAACAGTAAACAGTAAGAGAACCTGACATCATAAGCTTCCCAAGTTCAGGAAATCAAAAGAAGTTTGTTCATACATTTAGAGATAATATCTTAAATGATTTTCCAAAACAACTAATTAAAATCTCAAGCACTTACTACCTCCCAGAAGATAAAAGAAACCAAACCGAAATTAACTCGGCTGGACTTAATAATAAAAGTCCAACACTAACTGATGTAGCCTAACATGATGGAACACTGAAACACTGTTTTAATTGTTTTCAATAATAAAGTTGCACTGTGTACATCCCATGTGGTCATGGAGGGGTCTGTTCCAAATGTGCTTTTGATTGGTTCCAAGAACGAAAGGAATGCTTGATCTGTAGAAGTGTAAGATAATATATAAATGATTAATTAGCAAATCTAAGCAATCTTGAAAATCGTCTAGACAGATGATCAAAGAGTCAAAGTCGTAGATATAATTGCATTGAATTGATTTGTTACTCATTTATTTAATTTATGAAACAGCCCATTCTTAATCAAGGGTTTAACCACCTTTAAAAATCTTAAGGATTCAGCGGAGATCCAAATTTATTTTTATTATAATGGAGTCAACTATGGAGCAGACATGCGTATAACATATCAAGTTCATAAGCTAGTGCTTTTGATATTTCATAATAAATAATCTACTAATATGATGGGAGAAATCCATGTGTTAAGATAATTGTTATAGAATGATATTAGTAATTACATTCTATTAATCATACTCTTCAAAGGGTTATTATAAGTTCATGCTCCAAACTATCGGTCATATCTTTCATCTTCCAAATATCATTTTGAATCCTTTTTCTTTGGCTAGAACAAATTGAATAAGACTTAACTATAATATTGATGTTTAGGGCTAGTGTTTATCTTAGCTAAAAACCAAAGTCATTATTGATATATAATAATTAATAACTACATTAAGACTTATAATTAATATTCTGAGAATGAGTAGTTAGATTTCAAATCGATGAAGAGAATTCCTTTGGGATAATAATAGATAGTTGTTTAGGGAGTTGAAAGAAAAAGATGAATTAAAAGGTTATATGGAGATCTGAGGTGAGGAACAAAGAAGTTGTAATTTGCTTAAATAAATTTGGGATTATTAAATTTAAATGGAAATTATTGATTAAGAGTCTCGCATCCTAAGTCAACGAATCCTAAACGAATTTCATATAAATGAAATACGAAATAATTTCATTAGCATTCTAGGAATCAACAAAACTCATTTTGGGTAATACCTCTAAAAACTATCTAAAGAATTGCCGATTTCACCAATCTTATTTATACATTGGCTGAGAATAATCAGGTCTCAAAATCTACTATCCAAGAATGTTTTAACATCTTCGACGAAAACAAAGACGGCAAACTTGATTGGAATGAATATTTGAAGTTGTTTGTAGAATACATGAAGAAAGTCTAATGTCTAACATACTTGAAATCGTTGTCCTCCTTAGAAGAATAGAGCTAGTACTTCATATATATTAATCGATAGATATCTCCAACAATTATAAATAGCCTTTTTGGCCTCTCCATTCAAATAATTGTTCACCACTTAAAATTTGCAATCAGTTGAACATATTTTAGCATCCTATGAAAATAGATCCTCAAATAAACACATCAAAAAATACTATTTTATCTGCAGAGATTCCTTTGAACCTTCTTTAAATCAATTCCATCTAGATCACATCATATTTTAAGACTTTAATATTTTGCCAGCCTAAATCATTTAAGTTCTCAAAGGAGTATTATTATAAAGATTACCCCACGTAAAAATTAATAAAATAGAATATGTGAATAAATTGATTGCCTAGATCATAAACAATGGATATTGTGATCATCTACTCAAATTGCTCCTGGTTGATGATGACAAAGATCAAGTTCTTACAGACGAAAAAGATTAAAATCAAATTCTAGGAATGCAAGCACTTACATTAATTGCAGCCACCATTCACATCTACGAAATCCAAATACTCATCCCTATCTAGAGTATCCTACTAGTAGATACAATATTAAATATCATTTCTGATACCCAAAATGATCTCATCATTGAATAAGGTTATATCCTACTAGGACATCTAATTCTATATGATAAAACCTACCAATAAATATTGTTTACCAAACGACAAGCTCTTCTTGATGTCTAGCTTATTGATGATGAAAAACTATTTTACCACAGCTGGTTTATTGGGTGTCTCTTCTCCAGATATGATAACCATTAAGCCAGCAAATTTATGACTTTAATGAATACCCTACCTGATAATCTACTTTGGCTCCAAAGTATCCTCAATTACTATCAACAATATGGATTAATTTAATCAATCGAAAAAAACTAAATCAGAATATAAATCCAGATTAATATGCTCATTATCATTTAACCCTTATTGGCCACCTAAATACATTAAGATGTTCTTATTGCACTTATATCATAATTACAAAATTAAGCCACAGACAATAGATTCAAAATGTAGATCTTAAGTACTCTAAAAAAGGTATTTAAATTGCCTTACCAATTGAATTATCAAAACTTTACAGCCTAAAACATCCTCTTATCAAACAATCTATTGAATATTTTGATGTAACTTACAACAGATCCTAATTCATAATTGAGTTATAAAGCTAAGAAACTATTTTTTAAGACTTTGTGCCTTGAGAATTCTGGAATACTTCTAAAATACTTACAAGAATCTAATAATTTGCAATCATTCCTATATGTTCTTGAAAGTCAATTTGTATAAAATGTCGATGCCAACTTTTAGAAATATTTCAAATATAAGATTCTCACTATCTTAAGATTAATGAGTTAAGATAGCAACACATTCTAAATCATATCCACTGATCAATGGTTCTTTAAAATACTCATCAAAGCACTTAACGATAACAATCAAATCTTTACTGCGAATAATTAAATAATGATTAATTGCCAATACGATTATCTTGTTATTAATGAAATCACTGAATATTGTATTACTTTTAATCTTCACTTTTAACCAATGTTCAGATAAAAACCTCAATTGTCATATCAAACTTTAGAGATGATTTATAAAATACTTCCAAATTAATAAGCTATCAATGAAATCAAATAATACTTTGTTATGCTTCTAGAGAACATAGACAAGTATCAACCACTAATTTTAAAGAAATATTTGAAATCTTTATACTAGTCTGTTTGTGAGATCGTAAATCAACTTACTAGTTTGACATTAACATTGAATGAACTTATAAAGAATAATTAAGTCTTTCACAATAATTTCATATCTTTCTTAAAATTCTTGACAAATGAACTTGCTGTATTTTAGGAGTACTTAGTAAGCAAAAAGGAAGTCATAGATGACACCTTATTAATCATAGGCACAGAAGCCACTTATGATGGGTGTGTTGTTACAACAGTGTTTTTAAACACTTATTAGAACTCCTCAAAATGCAAGATAGTGTTGAAACCTTAACTCACCTTATTAGAATTTGAAAAGCATGTAGAGCAAGGCTTATAAACTACAGGACCTCTTTTGTATTTAGTGATCAATTAGAATCATCCTAATAAAATACCTTATGATGATTTTTCGATCATAGATGAATTATACTTTAGGAAATTCAAAGAGCTTTCGGATTAATTTATAGAAACCTAATTCGGAAGCGTCAAGGTATCTTAGGAGGTTATAGCTGTTGAGCTCTATAGATTAAAGATGGAAGATTATTCTATGAAAAAGATTTATGAGATCTTGAACAAAGGATCATCGTATATATAATTCAAATAAATTCAAGACAACCAGATGTTGTGGTTTTTGGAGAATAATTCTGGTATGTATAAAAATATAATTAAATAGACACCAAAGACAAAGGCTAGTAATTATAGTAAATATTTCAATTAACTAAATTGCCTTACACTTATATTGAGAATCTATTCAATGTAAATTCATCATACTATCATTATTAGTCCATTAATCAATTTTTCGATAAGAATAATATTCAACAATAATATCGACAAATACTTCAAGATGATTTTAAGGATTACTTAAAAGATATGAAGATCCCACACTTGTTAGGTGTTAAAATAGCCACCTTTTTATCAAGGAATGGACTTAAAAATCCAGTTGACTTTCAGGATTTTATTTGTTTTGTTTCTTTATTTTATTAATAGAGGTAATTTTATTGGTTTATTAGAATTACAGTTTTAGCGAAACCATAATAATGAAGTTCACATATCTGTTGTATGCTAACAAAGATGGAAAATTTGGTAAGGATTAATTGTGTGAATATTTGCAAACAATTTTTGTAATTAGTATAATAAACTTTAGGATATTTAAAATTAACTTATTAATGAATAATAAATTAATGAATGGGGATCAAATTTATTTTTGAAAATTGATTAAAACCAAGATGGTTATATTTCATTTTATGAATACCATGCTCTGTTGAAAGAGGAGTAATATAGAGCTAAACTATTGGATCCCATTTGTGCACTATTTACAAATTTGCCATTTCAAAATACATCTAATCGCTTCATTTTTGGAACACCAATAAAATTATTTAGAAGTTGAAAAATAATAAAAGCATGATTTTTTTTTATTAACATTTTTAAATTATCATCTTTTTATATTTTTAAATTATCCCCCAGAGACCGATTAGAAATTAAAATCTTACACAGATAACTAAAATTATATAAAATTATATTTTAATATTTAATTCAGATATTTCAAAGACCAGAATTAAGATATTTATGATAATCTCATGAATTCGCTTTATTTAGCAACTCTCCTCTAAAGGACTTCATTAGGCACATTTTGATGATGGATAGATCAAAAAATACATCAAAGAAAAGACTTTGATGTTTTATGCTTTGCAGGTGTTACTGTATAAAATTTAACTAATTTATGATATTTCACTTACGGCAAATCCATGTAAAACTGTTTAGATTGCATAAAATTATTTAATACATTAAATTATTGCACTATTCAATTTTTTGATTACATAGCTTCAGATGAGACCATTTGGTCAATCTGGTTATAAATAAGAGAAATTGAAATATTAAATTGAAATAAGATCGAAAGAGATTAGGGATATAGCATTTTCGATAATATTTTGGTTACTGGAGAGAAGAGAATGTAATTTAAAGAGGATTGAGAGGGCGGTTTAGAAACAGGTTTAATAGATTAAGATCACTAGATCAATTATTAAATTAGTTTGATGTGTTCTAAGATGCCATTATCCTTATGGATTCTCAATTATAATTTAAATCAACTCTATTATATAAACTCATTAAAAGTAGCTAAAAATTTAAATTTATTCAAATCCTTTATTAATAAAATGAAATAAAATTCCCAATAAACTAGAACCTATTAAAAGGTTTCAAACATTAAAAAAAAGACTCTTATGAATATGGTATTCCTTTTGGGAATTAAAATAAAACATGTAATTTCTACTCTCTATCCATATCGATAGGCAGCAAAACAATTAAATATTAAATATGCGGCAGCTAAAACTATCATCGTATGTCACAGAAACAATGTTATTAAACAAAAACTGGAGTATAAATCCTCAACAGAATGCAAGATTGTTTCTATCAATTCAAAATAGTGCAAGATTACTATAATAACAAGAGTTGGAGGAGATGCAGTCTCTTAGATCTCATTTGAATATTCCTCGAAGAAAGGAGCATGAGATTCATATATTAAATATTATAAATTACTATCCTATAGCGTAGGGCTAACCTCAAAGGAAATTTCTTCAACATGTCAGAGTATGATTAATAATCAAAGAAAAAAATTGATTAATTTCACGCCCAATTAAGAAACCCCTTCTTGTAGAGTTTGAAATGATTGCAATCCCAAGCATTTCCCATACTGAGAAGTTAATGCAGATGTGCCAATTGACATAAATTGCTTTTAGTACTATTTTTGAAAATATTATACAATAAATGAAATTTAATTTCTTTTACACAAAAGAAGACTTTAAAAATATCGAAGCTATGAAGAAATGTGAATATTAGAGCAAATTCTGTTTCTTATACCTCAACAGTATTCAATCCTGTTGAATCATTCATAATTTAACAGTAATATTTACTACAACTTATTCATAATATAAAATTACTCAAATACGAATATTGTGTCTGATGTCATGAGAATTCTCTTCCCATCCAATGTAAAATGTACTATACACTAAGATAAACAATGAAAATATCCTTACTCAATGGTTATAAATTTACAAAAATTTAAAGAATTGATATACTTCAAATTTTATATCTATAATAAAAATATTGATTATGGAAAGGGTTCTTTCACATGTTTAAATTAAATTAGAGAATTAGTAAATATTGTTCCAACAATTTACACATTTGTTTAATTCATTTAATTATGTGTTATCAAAAATTTATATAATTAATTTATTAAATGCATAATTGATATTTTATTGTTCAAGCTTGTAAATGGGCTTTGCAACGCAAAATATATTTTATTCATTATATCTTATTAAAATAACACAAATAGGACCAAATTAAAGATAAAATGAAATTATGAATAAAGTAGATAAAAAATGAATTTTAAATAATTATTAAATTAAAAAGCGACAATAAAAACTTTGAATAAACCAACTTTTTAGAACTCTCTGCATCCTTTGTAATAATTAAAAGTTATTGAATAACTGCTAATTCAATATTAGCATATATTAAATCTTAATTTAATTAAAAATGATAAAGTACTAAAAAATTAACAAACATCCAAAAAATTACTATTTTCTATTTCTATCATTTGAAATTGTTTCTTATTCTCTTTTTAATCATTTGGATATTTCCTTTATTTATTTTATACCTTCATTCCGATTATTTGTTTTATTTATAGAATGGAAGTAACCTGAGTTATATACGTAATCTAATTATCAAACTTTGATTTATATAGCATTCAATAAATTATATTTTACCTTACACTTTGAATTGCAATAGAATAACATATTTATACAATGTCACTCCTACTAATCGATTTAATCATATAATTAGAATTTTTTTACATCCCTAAGAAACCTTATTCCTATGAATTAGCTGCATATAAGGAATTTTAAGTGATTTGAGATATTCAAAAAATTATCACTCATTTTTGATAAAATAATATAATTAAAAATGGTTCAATTCAATCCTGGATGCATCTATTATTTTGATTTAGACTTGCCTATGAAACAAAGATATTCGTAACTTTTTCCGAAATATGCGCCATTGGTAAGAAAATACTGCTAAATTTGGTTGGAGACAAATAAACCATCTTAGGAACATCTAAATGATCTAAAAGTATTGAACTTTAATTGACTAATAGAAACTGTTTGAGACTCACCCAGATAAGGAATTGCTTGAATTTGTTAAATATTTTGCTAAGGAATGCGGGATTGACGAGAGGTAATGATACAATACTATAAGATAAGCATAATTTTGTACATACAATTTATGTATGATTTTGGATTTGATGACTCTTTATCAATGGGATGCACTAGCATATTGATTAATCAAGAGAAACCTTACATTGTAAGGAATCTTGATTGGGATTTCAATGATGTCATAAGGGCTTTAACTATAAATGCTATTTATATTAAAAATAAATAGGTAGTATCCATTCACTTAGCAATAGTATCTCAATTAATGACTCCTCACACCATGTAATGCAGTAGTATTCATATCATAGTAAAAACCAATCATATGCTATCAGTTTAAATTTCTTATGGCCTCAATACAAGGTTGAGCAATAATGGCAAAGTGTTCTATAAAATGTCCATATACCCAGCATTGGAAGGTTGATTTATAGATTGTCAGTTACCAATCACATATATGATGATTTAGTGAATGTGTTAAAGGATGTAATAGTACAGCATCACGGCTTATTAAATATTGTCGGAAACAAAAAAAATTAATGTGCAATATTTTATATTAATGATTGGTTTAACACTCAGAAATATCAATTTTAGCATGAAATCAAAAGTAATGAAAACTATCTCCTATCTACAAATGGAGATTATTTTCAATTTAGTATTGACAGATACAATGCAGCTACTGAGAACTTAAAAAAACAATAAGATTTTAGTAATCCTATGAAAATTGTAGAGAATGTGGCTTTCTAGTATCCAAATTATAATGAAACAACCATTTTAACAACAATCTTAAACTGCGAGTTAAGTTTACCATTTGATGTTTATATAAAATGAGTTATAATGATAATTATAATATGAAAGTTCTAATTTATATGTTTAAAGATATATTATATATAAATTTAATTAAAGCACAAAATTATCTGTAGTTGCAACGAGATCTCTATCTGATTAATTTCATCAAAAGGAACTCTGGATAAAAAAGACATCATTAAAAATAACTTTTCTGATATGAAATAGAAGAGTATAAAATTTTGCTTGAGTATATGATTATTTAAAATTTATAATTAATTAAAAAGAATCGAATATACCTAAATTTTCTGGTAAAATAATTAAAATAACTACCAATTGTTTAAGATTTTACACTATTTTTAGAGTTATGCTAGTAATAAGAAGACTGAGTCAAATACTAAAATGCTCTTACCGAAGGCCTAATTTTACGTAAATTAACAAGATGATTAAGATAGAAAGTAGGATTAATAGTAATTTAATATATTATATTAAAAAAAATCAAATTTTGTTTCATTGTTATAGCAAAATTATTAATTAACATAAATACTAAAAATAATAGAAATTGGCGTTATCAATCTCTTTTAGAAACCCAATTCTTTCAAATTAAAAGTAATAGTATGTTCAGATAAGAGTTTTATCCAATAATCAATAGAAATATTAAATAAGCAATAATTTACCTATTTCCATACATGAATTATATTAAATTAAATTTGAATTCAAAATCATTCTCAAATAAAAGGTGAACTTGAAATACAAAATAACTGTTAAACTTGACAATGATGAAATACAATGAAAAAGGAAACAGGCTATCTAATTAATTAATTTTAGTAAATGATAAAAGGATCTAAATATTAAATAATATAAAAGATAAACGATCATTAAATAATCAATTTTATTTTCAAAAATAAATGTTTGCTTTCAAAAAAGTGAAAATTAGATTTAGAATCCATAATTTCAATTATTGCAATTTTTTGGAACTCTTTAAAATTCCGCCTATTCTTAAATATCCAATTATTTATAAAATCAGAATTTATAATTAATATTTTGTAAATTATTATAACTTATCAATTCAAAGATTAATCCTTGCTTCTTTCTGTAACATATAATACTATTAATGTCGGGTTGATTTTTTTAAAAGCAATAGATATTGATCTAAAGAAGGCAAATTGAGCATCAGTTATAATTTGAGAAATTAAAGTTAACTGCCTCCTTGATTTTTTTTAATAAAATTAAGTTTATTATGATATAAACAACCTCTCACCTTATGGATGGAAAAATATTCAATAGCGGGATGAATCAATAATACTACATAATAAAAGGATATTATTAGTATTCTTAAATATCACCTCTGATTAAAAATGCTGTCATACAAATAAGGTCAAACTATCACAAGATTTAAGTTGATTTGTCTATAATTAACCCTTTTCTTCAAATATTGTTATATATTCTGTAAAATTAGAAAAAAGATTCGTTGTTTCTATTTAAATTATATAAAATATAGAAATCATGGATTCTTGGAGATCAAATCACAGGTTAGTACTCCTCCCTAGCTGCATACAAGCTTTATCCTTGATTTAGATGATCCAATTAATTTGTACTGGCATCTCTTTGATTCTGGAAGTTTATATGGTTTTTTTTGAATATTGGTCCTTCTGAATCTAAAAATTATATTCTTTGCTGTAGCATAATTAATACCAAGGTGCATAGAGGCCTAAAATAAAAAATAATGAGAACTTATTTTATTTTCCAGTCTTTCTAAAATACTAATTCAACTAATTACTTTTTCTTATCTGTTGGCACTTTCTTATAGGGACGTAACAGAAGAATACATTGTTCGGTTTGTTTCATTTAAGATTTCAGGATTTTATAGTAATAAAAATTATTATGTATTTCTTGGCTGATATGTTAATTTATAAATTGATAAAAAATTCTCTAATTTATTTCAATTATTGCTATCTGATTAATAAAATATTATTTAAGAAATAAGTACATCTATTTTCATGTTTGCATGTTTGTTAAATATTTTCAGAAGATTAAAGTACATGGAATAAATTTTGCTAATAACTTTTCATCAAAATAGAGTCAATATTTATAACTTATTCAAATACATTCCATTCTTAAAGATGGATGCATTTTAGTATAAAAAGAAGTACTTTTCTTTACGAAATCCATTTATGGGGTATTCCAGAGATGCACCCCTTAATTCTGAATAATATCTTAGAGACCTTATAGATTTTCAGAGTAATTAAAATTTTCAACTTTGTTGTTTTGATTCTCTTTTATATTTTGTTAGAATTAATATTCAAAATTAAATTAAGATTAGGCTAAATATTTTTTTATAAAATGATATTTATATAATAATAATATATATTGAAATATATTGAATATCCAGGCTAAGGAATATCTATAAGATTATAGAATATACAGGCAAAAGAATATTCTTCAAAGATGGATTCATAGATAAAGGGATCTCAGAGTGAAATTAAATATAAATGAAGGAATTACATATAATTTATAAAAGGAATTTGTTATGATAATCATTAATAAGAATTTCTGGAAATTAAAACATACAAGCCTTCTTTGATCTCAGAATATTGTCAAAGTAATAATATTAAAAGCTCCCCATAAGTTGACTTGTTAAAATAAAATAAATTTATATATATATGTTTCTATTTTATGTGATATTTTATTGGTTATAATTAGTAACGCATGGGTTCTGGTTTTTAAAGTATTGTCAACTTAGATGAAGATTATGAAAAACAAGGTAATGCTGTTACATATTGATATTGTAATTTATAACTTCATGATGCCTTGCAAATTCTATTATTTTACATCCTTTAAAGAGTTAGACAAATGACGATAATAATATCAAATAAATAGGTTAGTTACTTAATTCTTGCCATATCTAATACAATATGTCGTTTAATGTCAATAAGAAAAGACAGAATATCCTTTAACAATATTTATGGAATGCAATTTTCTAAATTTGGAATAAGTTCATAAATAAAAAAGAGATGCGTGGAGATTGGAGGAACAGGATTCAATTGATGAGTGAAGGAAAATTGGAGAGGGAATGAATAAGATTTTAGAGTTAGTTATTCAAGAATGGGGTTGAAGTTTTAATTTAACATAAATAATTTTAATTTTGAATCTATAATTCTCTTATTTTGATATTAATATTATGATTATATTATTTGTTATTAACAAACTTAAGTCAATCTATTATTACTAAATTCGATTTGATGTTGCAGTATAATAGACAGAGATTGTATTTAATTAGGAATAAAATTTAGTTAGTCATTTTGTAGTATTAAATGTGATTTTGAGTCTTGATTTTATGTAATATTTTAAAAAATCTATATGATTACTTCTGAGATTAGCGCTGCATCCAACTAGATGAAAAGTAGAGCCGAATAGGAAGGCATTTATGAGGTTAGTTTTGATTTATGAACATAAAAGTGTAAATATGTTTGGACTGCTGAAGATATTGAGAAACTGAACGACCAGTACGATTGTCAATAAGGGAATTGGAAATTGATAAGTAAATTTTTGAATGGACCAAATCCTCTTGAGTGTATGATGAAATGGCAATAATTGCATCCAGATAATGTAATATTTTATTTGATTTAAGACACTTTCTAGACAATTGTGGTCCCAAGAGGAAGATGAGTAATTAAAGGAATTAGTGTAGAAGTATGGAAAAAAATGGAGCAAGATATGTACAGTTATGAATTGGAGAACTGGAAAATAAGTTCGAGAACGATATCTAAACTAATTACAAGGACATATCAATAATGAGAAATGGACTGAAGAGGAGGATAAAATAATCTTAAAACTCTACAAAAAGTTTGGAACCAAGTGGAGCTACATCTCGACTTTCTTACAAGGTCGCCCTGTAATGTCTTTTACATATAAAATAGGAAAATATGGTCAAGAATAGATTTTATGCCAATTTAAAAAGAAGATATCAATCGGATCTTGAAGAATCTGAAGATGATGACCAATAGGTAGATTCTTAAGATTCATTAAATATTACAAAATATAAAAAGAAAAAGAAAAATAAACAATATAAATATATTAATAGTTCGATTAAGATAAAGAAATTCTAGTTGAAAACAATGAAATCAGACATATTTGAAAGAATGACTAGGTCCAAGGAGAAGAAAGAACCATAAATTAATGTAAAATAAGAAAATGTAGATATGAATGACCAACAAAATAACAAAGCAGTGTAGTAAATGTGCATAAAAGAAGAGCAAATAGGAGTTGAAAGTTAGTAGAATCCTTAGGAATTGTTATATTAATAATAGGAGTATTAATATTAGGCTTTCTAAAAGTTTTTATAAGAATATGGATAGCTAGACTTATAGTAATAATTAATACTTAACTAAAATCAAATTAGTAATTAAGCATTGTGTCCAAGATGCTTGAGAAGTTCAAATCCCTTGGGATAATTGTATACAATAGTAGATATTAGTCATTTATTTAAAATGTTTTAATATCAGATGCTTATTCAATGTTAACCGAAACTAGAGACGACTAGTTAGATGTAAAATCTAAGTTAATCAAATAAGCAATATAATAATATTATATTGCAGTGACATTTGGTTTTTGAAATCCAAAAGTTCAATGAAAATGTTAAACATTATTATTAATCAAATAACTTAGTTCAAACATAATACAATATCATTCTTATTTGCCTTCCTTCATATCGTAAGTCTGCATGAGTTTAATTTGAGGAACTGGGAATTAAGTGAGTTTGGCTGCTTTTTCTTCATCTGTCATTCCTTATATGGAAGCTTAAACTGAAGCAATATTTTATTATCTCCATTTAGTGTATTGCTTTTGCATCTCGTTGTATTCGATCAAAGCAGTTGAAAGATATCTAATATTATGTTCATTGAGGATTATCGTTTTTTTGTTGTTTGGATTTCTGAACTCTATTTTCCTCTCATACATGACTCTTCTGTCTTTGTCAGTACTTTAGTTTTTAGATTATTCTTCACATACAACCAAATCTCTGAAGGAGCCTTCAACTTTGACTTTTTGTTCTAATTTCATTTTCATTCTTTGAATCAAAGGCAATTCCTTAGTTACAGTTTTGGTGATAAATTTGGCTTTGGCTGACTCAATGTTCATCATAAATCTTGAGTATTTCAAATAGATGTAATCACTCTAACTAAAAATAATTAATGATTTACCATCAACTAAGTCTCCTCCTTTCTATTTTCATAGTAACTTTACAATCTTTTAGGTTTAGTAATTTGGAAGTACTATTTGTCAAACTAATTTTCATCAATCATTTAAATTTTATTATTTCTATGTAGATGATAGATACGATAGATGAGTAAACTGATGTACACACTTCTAACAGTCTTAGACCAATGCAAAAACAATTCATAACATTGAGCTTCAAATAGAAAGTCTACAATAGCTTTTTTGAATTCCAACGGGAATATCAAATAGTTATTATAAATCAGATGGAGACTTTTGGCAATCACATAGGCATTCTCACTCTGTGTAACTGCCACTCTCAATCCATTTAAAAAGAAAGGGTAATCAAAATTGGTGGGAATAGTTTGACATTATTGTATACATTAACTTATCAAATCCATGGCTTGAACAACTCTATCACTTGAATATATGCTGTTAATTCACATAAATAACTACTTAGTTTTATTGAACAATATCATAATAATGACATTTAAGGGTCCTCCATTAGTAACAACTTAAGTGATTGCACTGATCATGGCATCTGGATAGGATTCCCTTATTTTTAATTCACATAAGAGTGCTTTCAAAATCTTACGGTATCCAGGGATATCTTTCCAAGGGATAATGTCTTTTTAGATTTTTAATTAGATGTGTGAACATAGAGCTTATACAAAGAAGAAAAAGGTTGTGTTTCTTTTTGCGATGATTCTACGCCATTCTTCATCTGAATTCATTGATATGGCATTGATATTTAAATTAGATGGCAAATAATTATAGAAGTAACTTTACCAATCAAATAAAACAGTGATTTGTTCGGTTCTGAAATTCTCAGGATCATCTAACTAATAGTCAGTACCACGCCATTCTGACAATTCAGGATCATTAGGATTTTGAAGAGCATTAACTACTGCTTCTCGAAATTCAGGGACTTTAAAAAATGAACTAGCTAAGAACTTATCAACAAATGCCTTTTCTTTAGGAGACATGGCTTTCAAACATATCTTTTATAATGCCATATTTAAGGTATTGTACAGGAATTATTAAAAATGGCAGCAGATTTAATTCTTAAATTTCAATTGTTTTTTGTTTAACTATTTGCAATCATCAAAATACCCCATTGAACCTAAACTTAATTCACCTCTAGTACATACTATCTATAAAATTTCATAATAGATCTCTCTAATATTACCTTCTATTTTATCAACAAAATTCAAGAGATTCTCTGCAATTTTAATGAAAATCTCTTGTCCCTTCATCAAATCATCATAACTCTTGTAATAAAATTATCTCAATTATGAATCTTTGTCACTCTTGCTCACAGATACTAACAATTATTAAGCCGCGTTCTGCAATTCAGTCATCAATTACTGCTTTTGGGGAACTTGATTGTTTGTTGATAATTTAAACATTACCTAACTCAATTTTTCAAACTAACTAACTACTTCACTAATTTCCTTTATACTCTAATTAGCTAGTATACCAGTTCCAATAGTGCATCCCTTCTCTGTTCTTAATCCAATCATCTATTATTTCATATACACAGGCATCTTAATCGTAAAGTCTGATTACATCTGTCCAATTTTATTGCCTCTTTACCACAATCCCTTTGTTAAATTGCATCGATGAATACTATGATCATCCATCTATTCCTGCTGATTCTGCAGCAAATAATTCAAAGCAATGTTAGATTCAGCAAACAAGATTTGTTCTATGGCTTCAACATGATAATTTAAGGATTTGACTGATTTTCGAGTTGGTGTAAGATCCTCAGTTGATTTATTTATACTCCAAACACAAACCTGCAATGAAGAACTAGAGATCTCATTTATGGGTAATTCCACAATCAATCTAGGCATGTCTGTGCTCATCCATTGTATTCGAAACAACTCATCTTAGAGGTTATTGTAGGAGACATTTCTACCTCTTATATAGGCAGGGTTATTAAATTTTTCCGAATTTTCAGACAAGAATTGCATTTTGCGAGTCACCAACTTCAAATTGAAGATGTAGTGTTTATCTTAAATGCATGTGTTCATTGTGCATATCATCTCTTAGGGATTTATCTCAAGTTGGAGAATTTATGCCATAATCATGTTAAATGATATTCTACCCTTTCCCATTTGGTAATCAAAGAATTGAGGGCCTGAAATGATGTCATACAAGGCAATTTTCAATTATGCCTATTCCTTGTCATCCTCATAGAGAAAGAAGACCAAATATTTTTCCTTCAATTACATTTCAGTTGCTTCGAGTTACAGTGTTATTTTTCTCTTCCACTATGATTATAACTAAGCAATCTTACACCATGTTTTCCATCCAAATCAAAATGTTTGGGAGTATCACATTTATAATATCCACCGACATCAATTTTAAGATGGCATGACTTCGATGGATGGCTCAATCTAATATTAAATAACTCACTATTGAATTTCATAGTTCCGATTCCAAATTTCCTAGTGTTAGATTTCTGGGGTGATTTGTTTTATGAAATTTAACTTGTACAATGACCCATCAAATTAATATATAATTTAATAATGTTATATAAAGATTGAACGAAAAGTAGTGTTTTGTATTTCTGTCGCAATTATCTCTAAAATTTAGTTTATGTCTATTGAGATAAGTTTAATTACAATAATTTTTTTATAAACATTTAATTATAGTAATTATTACATTGAATTCAGTTTATTATTTTGAGATTTATGGTCAAATGCATGATTCATCTCTTAACCCGATATACTAGTTTTATAGCTTAGTCTAATTTTAATTGAGTAACTTATGAATTTTCTGTTTTATACTATTATTTTTAGAAATAAATTTCTGTCCAATAACACTGTAAAATAATTTACAATTTATCAGACATTCGTCTATTCAGAGTGCCATCAACTTCTAGTCCTTCCAGCAGAACATTACCACAATAATCAATCATTTATAACATAATATATTCATTGTTTTGTTACTTCCACCTTCAGGAAGTGAATACTTCTCGAATTAACCTCCTTCCCAGCTATCTTTGATACGATCGAATAAGAAATAGCACTTTTTATGGAAGCATACGAACATCGTTTTGCTGATTTGCAAATCTTTTATTGCTTGATCACATTCTATTTGTAATAGATGATGATCGATTTCGCAGTTGCATATTTAATCTACAATCGTTAAGCAGCCTGATTTCAAATATGGAAATTCATACATTTTTAATGTTCAGCCCTTGGATTAAGACTAATTCTGCTAAAAGTCTTTTGGTTTATGAAGAACTTTTGATGTATGATCTTTTACTCCTTTTGTAAACAAAATTCATTTGTCTTTGTAAAAAATCTTGAAAAATTAAATACAACTAGATTTAAGAAATGGTTTGTTTTCATAGTCTAGAATTAATAAAGAAATCTCCGAATCTTGGAAAAAGTCACAGAAATGGTCTACTTCCATTCAGACAAATAGGGAGAGACCACCAATTCCATGTGATATTTAGACAAAATGTAAAGAAACTAATTTGAACATGAAAATTCTTAAAACTTCTAATTAAAGTTAATAAATATAGAACTTTTTTAGTATTATAATTAAAATAGAAATGAATTATTTAACTCCTAAATAATAAAAATGGAGATAAATAGGCCCATGCATTACTGATTTCACATATGAAAACAATATTGACTGGCCTGTCACCTCTTGTAAATGGGGACCCATTGTATAGGAATCCAAAGAATACATTCGACAAAAAGTATATTTTGCCATCAAAACAGATGGAATTTATGATGAAGTTACCAATATCTGGAAGTAAACACCATGTCAATTAATCGTGGCTACAGTAGGTAATTAGAGAATGATTATTTAGACATTCCACAAGTGAAATATTCCATCAATCACCAAGTCACTTTTGTGTATTAGTAATTGCAATTATATAAAAACCCGCATCTAAAAATACGCCAAATCATTGTCCATCCAGGAGATGTCAATATCATCAAATGCAACACAACTCAAAAACTAATTGCTACCAAGAGTGACAATAGCAATGTGCTTGTGTGGGATGTCACTAAACATAAAAATTAACAAAATCCCAAAGATCCACATGCGGGTATTCCTGAGATCTATTTGATGGGTCACTCTCAACAAGGTCATTCAACTGCTTTGGATTGGTCTCATGAATACAAACTGGGAAGTGGAGGCAAAGATTGTAAAATCTTATTGTGGGATATCAATGATTATCAGACCCGTCTATCTACAAGTTCTATCTTCACAAGCAAAAGAGAATTAAACAATATTTGTGGCAATGATTCAATTAAATTAGATAAAAGAACTGTACTGACTGGACATTAAGCTGAAGTTGTTGATATGTCCTTCAATAAATTTCAAACTGATCAATTGGTATCCTGTTGTTAAAATAGACAAATTATATGTTGGGATCAAAGAATGGATGGAGGAAAATGTTGGAGTCTGGATGAAGTACATAAGAAAGATATTCATTGTGTAAGTTGGAGTCAGCATGATGAAAATTACATAGCTAGTGGTTCATTAGATGGAAGTGTGCATATTATTGACATTCGTAAACCTATTGGAATCTAAGAATATGTTAAGGAAGTTGATAACCTTTCATAAGTTTATTCCTTGTAATTTGGACCTGATAGAAATCATTTGACAATTGGAAGTGAAGAACTATATTCAGTTAATTTCTAAACCAAAGAAACCACGTTCTGTTATTTTGGTCACAAGTAAATGTCTTATTTTAATCATTATCAAGAGGAAGTATCAATGATTTTGATATTAATGAAAAAAGTCCTTGGACTTATGTCAGTACATGTCAAGAACACGAATATTTCGGTGGAGGGTGCTTACACATATATCGCTTATTAGATTTAGTTTATTTAAATGAAGAAGAAGCATATTAGTAATTAAGTAATTGAAATATAATATATATTTAATAAAGTATTATTGTTTTGTTTATATTTTTATACGATAATAATAAGATAAGATGTTATAATGAGATGTTTTTAGTGTTTTATGCAGAATAATCGAATTCTAAGATTAAGTTTTCTATATATTTATTGAAAAATAAATAAAATATAACATGATTAATAATCCTCCTATTCTAAATTGATATCTATATCTATTATACGATCAATTATTTATATAAATATGGGATATTTATAAGTAATATAAACTATATTAAAAATGATTCATATTATTTCTAAATGGAAATATATATCTCTAAGGTCTCCAGTTTCATGATTTAAAAAGATAAAATTATTCAGTACATTATAAATATTATCTTCAATATATATTCATAAATTAACTAAATGGTCTTCGGTGAATAGGATTCAACAAATTCTACTTATACAGAGTTGTCTACAATACATATTAATCAGAAATCTTTGTATAAGTTTATTATTTAATATAGTAATTAATATAATTAATCATCATGTCAAATAAAACTGTATACCCTTGGGAAAAGTATTCAACAAATCCACTCATTGTAAAAGATGATGTTGGCAAAGCAAAACCAAATACCTATCCAATTCCTAATTGTGCATTTGGTACTCGAACTGTTCCTGGAAAAGAGGAATCTTTGGCAGAAGTATTGTGCCACATGGAGCATTTTGCATCAAATGAAATTAGACCAGAAAGAGATTTCAAAAAAACTAATATCATGAGTATCAAACAGAATTTGTATACTGCTAAAGATTTCTAAGAATTCAGACAGTCACATGATATCAGATTAAAGGTAGTTTAGGGTAAACCAAGAATGAATGAGACTCCTAAATTATAAGTCTTCGGTAGAAAAAATAAGTATAAAGTTAAATCTAATTTTAAGAACTCCTTCTCCAATTAAAAATGTTTTAGCCTATGATTACGGTGCAGTAGCTGAGAAAAAATAAGCAGAAGCATATACATCCAGACCATCCACTGCCAAAAGTAGGATTTCAGTAGAAACTAAATCAAGCAAACTACTCAGGGAAACTATTAAGAAGAATCACTTGATGTAATCTTAACCAGAATAATTGAAAAAATTATCTCAATTTGCTAACGTCAAACCTAAAACTAAAACTAGATATTGAATTATATTTTTATCCGTCATTTGTTATTACATTCTTATCATTAATAAATATTCAAAAATTGAATTTATGATAACAAATCCGAATTTAACAATATATTTTTTTACTTGGATGAACATAAAATATCTATTCAATTCTTGAACTATATAGATATCACTCTATTTCTATTGTTAGATAGACTTCATAAATACAGCCTATTTAATTTATCCCATTTATGCCACTTGTTTTAGGAATTTTATCTTCAACAATATTAATCTTAATGAAAATTATTCATTGGTTTGAGCAAATCTAATTTGACTTTTTATTGAAACTATTCTATTTAGTTGTTCTTAATAAATAATTGTTAATTATACTATATTTAAAGTAAAGAACATCTCAGAATAGTGATATGATTGATATTTTTATCAATTTCCTATAATTTAGTGATTGTAATTTGATAGTATTGCAAGATTAGCAGAAAGAGAAGAGGTTTGATAAATAGAAAAGTAGACATTAGTTATAAAACAAGTCGTGGAATCAATCTACATTTATGCTCCTAAATGAAGCATTATTTTATTAAAATTTATTAATTTAGTTCTACAAATAAAAATTCTTTTATTTTGAAAATGAAGATAAAATTCATTATATATTTAAACTAAAACTATATAAATAAGTTATGAATTACGATTATTAAATAAGTAATTAAAAATAATATTAATAATAAATAAAAAAAAGGGTTGTCAACACGAGGACTTCCCAAGCGGTCCCCCACCTTAGTACTAACCTCGCCTTAAGCCGCTTAACTTCGGAGTTCGAATGGGATCCGGTGCTTTAGGCTTAGTATGGCCGACAACGATATTTTAATGCCTTATCATTATTTATAACCCTTACTTTATTATAGTATAGTATAATTTGAAATAATTAAATGAATAAAATATCAATATCTAAATCGTTATTGTATACTGAGATCAGGGAAGAATAGTTATATCGGAGCTATGATATCATGTTCAAAAATGTAATCGTTGTGTGTCATGTCTGGTCTAATCCTTTTTACTGATTATGCCTTCACTTTATTGGGAAGACTATGGAATAGAATAAAAAGCAAAACTTGGCGAACAGAATTTCTGTGTGCTATTTATTTACGATATCATCCTCAGCACCATGTATCAAGAGCATAGGAGACTTAGCATTTTGAGCTCGTTGTAAGTTATCAAATTTCGAGGGGATTAGATTTGCCACCCATTCAAATGTTTTTTCTTTGACAATATCTCTAATAGAGGTAAATGAACTAAGTGCAATAACTGCTCTGCATTGTCTTAAACTATTGATATAGAAGGCTGGCCCTGTTCCTATGGATCTTTGTTTAAATGTAGTCGATACCTTCCGAAAACAATGATTTGATTGTTTTTTAATTTATATTTGTCTTGGATATGATCAAACAATTGAAGAGCATCTTATTCGACTACAGAATCATGAACATCGACATTTTGGTAGATTCCATAACCAGGGTATTCAGATAAGATGGCGTTGAATTTACAAGATTGTTAGATTTCATATATAAACTACTAAGCATAGTTACTAAGGATTAGGGAGACTTTAATTACATATCTTCGTCCTTTGCATGAAAGTAGATCAAGTATGTATCAGTGTTACAGAAAGGATGTTCCATAATCAAGTATGGAGCATCCCTTACATGTTTTCCTCCATAATGTATTTTTGCATAATCTATACAATTTAAATAATCTTTATTTGAATACATCGGATTAGGTGCCGAAAACATCACTTTTAATACCAAGCTTTCCATCATTTGTAATAATAATAATTGTAATTATTATTATTTTTTGTAAACCACATAATTAATTATGGAGAGACTGAGTTGTGCTTGAATGTGACTATTGAATAATATAAACACAAATTCATTATAATTTTTTTTATAGATAGTAACACAATGACTTGATATCATGTTTTTACAGATACTCACTGCTCACCCATCGATTTTTTGGAATTATACCTAATTTCTTAGATTAATGAGTACCATTAGATCGCTTTTGCCATAACAAATAATACATTTTGATGCCTGTTTATTTGAGTTATGCAGCCTAGCCTATTTTATCCAATTGATCTCCATATTCGAATCCTCCCTCATTTGGTAATTTGACTTCAGTATTTTTTTGAGATAATTCAGAAACAGAATCCTAGATTATCTCAGANATGCCTTATCATTATTTATAACCCTTACTTTATTATAGTATAGTATAATTTGAAATAATTAAATGAATAAAATATCAATATCTAAATCGTTATTGTATACTGAGATCAGGGAAGAATAGTTATATCGGAGCTATGATATCATGTTCAAAAATGTAATCGTTGTGTGTCATGTCTGGTCTAATCCTTTTTACTGATTATGCCTTCACTTTATTGGGAAGACTATGGAATAGAATAAAAAGCAAAACTTGGCGAACAGAATTTCTGTGTGCTATTTATTTACGATATCATCCTCAGCACCATGTATCAAGAGCATAGGAGACTTAGCATTTTGAGCTCGTTGTAAGTTATCAAATTTCGAGGGGATTAGATTTGCCACCCATTCAAATGTTTTTTCTTTGACAATATCTCTAATAGAGGTAAATGAACTAAGTGCAATAACTGCTCTGCATTGTCTTAAACTATTGATATAGAAGGCTGGCCCTGTTCCTATGGATCTTTGTTTAAATGTAGTCGATACCTTCCGAAAACAATGATTTGATTGTTTTTTAATTTATATTTGTCTTGGATATGATCAAACAATTGAAGAGCATCTTATTCGACTACAGAATCATGAACATCGACATTTTGGTAGATTCCATAACCAGGGTATTCAGATAAGATGGCGTTGAATTTACAAGATTGTTAGATTTCATATATAAACTACTAAGCATAGTTACTAAGGATTAGGGAGACTTTAATTACATATCTTCGTCCTTTGCATGAAAGTAGATCAAGTATGTATCAGTGTTACAGAAAGGATGTTCCATAATCAAGTATGGAGCATCCCTTACATGTTTTCCTCCATAATGTATTTTTGCATAATCTATACAATTTAAATAATCTTTATTTGAATACATCGGATTAGGTGCCGAAAACATCACTTTTAATACCAAGCTTTCCATCATTTGTAATAATAATAATTGTAATTATTATTATTTTTTGTAAACCACATAATTAATTATGGAGAGACTGAGTTGTGCTTGAATGTGACTATTGAATAATATAAACACAAATTCATTATAATTTTTTTTATAGATAGTAACACAATGACTTGATATCATGTTTTTACAGATACTCACTGCTCACCCATCGATTTTTTGGAATTATACCTAATTTCTTAGATTAATGAGTACCATTAGATCGCTTTTGCCATAACAAATAATACATTTTGATGCCTGTTTATTTGAGTTATGCAGCCTAGCCTATTTTATCCAATTGATCTCCATATTCGAATCCTCCCTCATTTGGTAATTTGACTTCAGTATTTTTTTGAGATAATTCAGAAACAGAATCCTAGATTATCTCAGAATCCTGCTATTAATTTGATGGTTATGTTTTCTTATCTTGGGGAAGAGTCTGTATCATCTACAAGATGTTTTCCGACTGTTTTTTAACTTGATTTAATTCCTGTTATAATTAACTTACTTAATCTTAAAGTTTCTTGATTTATTCTTATTATTATTGCAACACAGATTATTTTTATTGACTTGGCACTCCTATGAAATCTTCTAATTCTGGTGGTTCGTCGTTCTCAACTTGATAAAAATTGGATCCTAAATTTTTGACATTCTATTCATATTCATTCAAATATTAAGTCAAATTGGGAATCTTCTCAGGTTTTTCCCATGTACAATCTCTATTGCTATAGCCCTACCATTTAACAAGATAGTATTTTTATCCTTGGTATTGTTTGTAATCGAGAATCTATTCTATGAAATATAAGCCCTTTTTCTTTTTAGACATTCGCTCCCTTTTATTTAAATAAAATTATAATTCTAATTTATATTTTAATTAAATTATACATAGCCACTTTATTGTAAGTCACTCATTTATTTGACCATGTCTATCCAATCAACTTTTTAATATAATATATATTAATTATAAAATCACATCATAAAGAGATTATAATAAAAATAATCATTAATATCTTGAGTAAATATTGGGCAATGAAAAAGAGTCCTTGTCCCTCTTCATCTTCATGTATTCATCTATTTCCAAAGTCATTTCTTCTGATTTCAATTTGTACCCTTCAAAATCATCATCATTGAACACTAAACTCTTCTGAGATTACCTCTGAATTTGAGGTAAAATGTTTTTGTCCCTTATCATATTATCCATATGATCTGATATCGACAATCCCCTCAATTCCTTGGGCTTGTTCACCTTCTTAACACTCTTCGGACTACAATTAACATATTATATACTGACACATTGATGATAACATCCTGGTTCTTTTTCTTTTAAATCGCTACCACTCCAATGACCTTGCATTGATTATTCTACGAAGTTACCGAACTCGGCGATTGCTGTAAATAATTATTGTAGATGTTCTTTGAAAATACTATTTTTTTCTTAACTGTCTTCAAAGGTGATGAATTAAATGCATTTCTCAACATATTATCTCTCTCCAAATACTCGTCATACATCAACTCCTATACAATCTGCTGAACAGACTTATTTGAAAATTTGTGAAGCTATTACATTTTTTTATTATTTTTATAAACATTAATAAATATAAAATAGAAAGTTGTCACATTTTCTGTTTATTTATTTTATTTAACACATTATCGATGTTATAAGCCACTTTATAATGTTGATATTCCCATATTTTATCTATTTCAAGAAAAGAATCCAAATCCTGAAAGCCTGTTTAATTGCTATCCGATTGATTCCTTAGTGCTTTATCAGGCACCTGCAAATGCTTAATCAAAGTGCTGCTTATTATTGGATCACTGACCTTGTCAGATATTAAATCAATCTATAGAATATCCTTATATATTTAACTAATCGAACTCTACTTACCAATTTAGTCGCAATGAAGTTGCTGGTTTGACACATTCAACTTATCACTAGAGTAATCTGAAAATGCTTCGAAACTTTCAGAACTATTATCGCTAATATTGTTGCTAGTTCCCTAATTTGTAATCTATGATTCAAAGATCGACTACCTATTAATAGATGCCTGCTTTCACTCTTAAGTTATTCTTCCTCTAAAACAATGACCCTCTCTCCTAATGCGTCTTATCATAAGTGAATCTTCTCTTAATATTTAAACAGGCACAATTAAAGGATGGATGAAATAGATTACAAAAATAACATTGAATATTCAACTCCTCAGTAGTATTGTTGATATTGATATCATCCCTAATCATCTAATACATTTCCTAGACATAATAACAGATCAATTACCTTCTCTAACTGCTTTTATAAACAACTCTGAAATTAATCATGATTGATGTAAAAGTACAATATATCATTCATGTCAACTGGTTCTAATATTAATTTTCTCTATTGTTGTGTATTCATCATTTCAATTATACAAATATTGATGATCTTCTGCGCATCAACTTTTAGGTTCAATCCTAAAAACTCCAGATTGACTCTCCCAGCTAGTATTATATATATTCCATCAATTTCGGCTTAGAAATTCTTGAATTTATAATCGAAATTACCTATTATTTCAAACCCAGTCCAAAGACTCCCTTAGCACTGATTTCATTCAGAGCAGCTTTAGATAGAAAGGTAAAATGTCTAAGTTCCTGATTAATCAACTTCATTTTTATGTACTATAATAAGGTCTTTTTCTTTTCATCTTCTTTTGCATTCAATTGATTTTCAATCAATAAAAATATTGTTGAATAATGAAACAAAGCAATCTTAACTTTGAAATCAAGCATCTTTGATTTTAAGAATAACTTATAAGTTTTTAACTAAATATCATGTTTTTGCAGTTGTGATTGGCATTATGTAAATATCGTAAACAGGAAAATAATAATTATGATGTTACTAAACACATGTGTTAGTATTAATAAATGGTTTTATTAATTGTCTAATTGATCAAATTTGAAAAATAACATCAAAAATGATTTATAAAAGTAATCTGAGTAAGTTAGATCAATTTAGTTAATTGATTTCAGTTCTACTCCCCATATACAAGTAAAGTAATGTATTTGGAATAGCAATACAACAATCATTTTAGAGATTATTATTTACCTAAAGTATAATATATTTGTGTTACTAATAATTAATAAATGGGATTAAACTTAGCAATTTTTAAATAAATTTCAAATTTCTTAAGAAGAGCAGGTAATATAAAATTGTAAAAGTAATAACATCCTTTATTGTAAGGCAAAGTGTATAGGTTATTAAGAATGCAATATCTAGTAATTTTATTGAGATGTTTTTGTTTTTGAGAAATTTACTTAAAATTTTGATAAATTGAGTATGTAATTCCAGCGTCATTATAAACAAAAGAACTGGAAAATATATGGGATCTGATTCTCTTAAAACTATAATAAATTAAATTACGTAAAGTTCTCAAAATATAAGTATGGTAAATAGAAGGTTAAAAAAAGGATTGAAATGTTCACTAGGTTTATTGAAATAATTTTTGTGAACAAAAACATTTCAGATGAAAGGAGAAGATATTTTGGATTCCCTGACATACTTTGATATTAATAGGAACAAAGAGTCTCCAAATTTTTTGGAACTTGATTGTTTTCGCTTTCAGAATCGCTGAATTTACTTAGCTGCATCTGGGCGTTGATTTCAGAGTCTTTGCTGTTTGAATTGGAGCTGAAATTGGAAGTTTAAAAGGAGGGCCAACAAACAGAAACATCATTAGATGGATATTTTAAGGGTTTGTTCATCTCTAAGTGGACACTATTTTGCATTACTTAAATTTTTAGAAATTAATGAATTTCTTTTCAAGATTTTTCTTACAAAATTCTAAAATATAATATATAATAGCACCCAATGGTTATTTGTGTTGATATCTTCGAGATTAGTAGTTTATAGCAGTTACATGATTGAAGTATTTAATAAATAAAATTATATAATGCTTGATGGTCGTGCTGCAACTTCGGGTAATTTTAACAACAAAACAACATCCGTAATTCCGTTGTCACAATTGCGAAGGATGAGGAACAGCAGTTGCGAAATCCAAGACAATCATACAATGATTGAGAAACAGGACTTGTACATTAGAAATATATATATAAACAACTAGACATGCCAGATCCTAGGAGAGAGTCAAAAAGTGGCCATGTGCTATGAATATTAGGAGAAGAAAGAATCAATCACAATATGAGAGATTTGCAGAAGATGAAGAGGAACGTAGAAGAATTGAAAGGGAAGAAGCTGAATATTAACAGAAATAAAAACAAGATGTATTATTAAGAGCAAATAGATTAATTTACGAGAATAATCCTGTTATTAGATAATTTTAGTAGAAACTGTTATTTTCAGATGTTCTTTAAGAAAGAGATTCTTAACTGTAATTAAATGAGTACAAGAGGACTATAAACAAGTAAGTTATTGTCACAATCCTATTAGTGTGAGAGACAAGATTCATCACGAAGAACAGTTAGACATCATGGCCAATTATGATCAAGCAGAAAAGCTTAAAGAAGAGGAATTCAAACGCAAAAAATAAGAATAAAAAAATGTACTCAAACAATAGCATGATGAAATGATAAACAATCATATTAAATAATTGCAGAATGAAAAGATTGAAGGCTAATTAATTAAGGCAAGAGCATAGAAATTGATTTAAGAGGAGGAAGAAGCTGAGAAGGAGAGAAAAAGGAAGAGATATGAAAACATGCTGGAAATCAAAAAAGGCAATGAGGAAATTAAAGAATATAAGTTATAATAATTACAAAAAGATAAGGAATAAGAAGAATAGATTAAATTGCATGCAGAAAAGAAAGATAGGATCTTACAAATGAGAAAACAAAGAGAAGAAATCAAGTTCAAAGAGAAGCAAGAATAAAGATAAAAATTAATTGATGCTTAGATTGCCATCCTTATGAAAAAAGAAGCTGAATAATTATAATTGATGAACAAATAAATTAAAGAAGCTGAGCAGAAAGATGAAGAAGCGGAAAAATAGAAATTATTAAAATAAGAAGCACAAAAGAAGAAAATTGAAGAAAGCAGAAATATTATCAAAGAGTTTAAATTAAAAGATAAATTGTTGAAAAATTAGAATGACAAAGAATTTCAATAGTATTGGAAATAAAGAGGAGAGGAACTATAAAAGATAGAATAAGAAGATTAAGATAACTAAAGAAAGAGGAATTAATCAGTTAAAGAATACTAATTATAATAAATTGAACAAAAATAGGTATATAACATTTTTATAAACAAATTAGAAAATTAAAGAATAATAAATACTACAAGAACTACAAGAAGATGAAGAATTGAAAAGATTATAGCACAATCAAAATAAGACATTTTTTACTTGGGCAGAAAGAGCAGTTAAAGAATGGGCTGATTAAGGAAAGAATATTCGTCCATTAATCAAAGAATTAGCTAAAATAAAAGAAATTTGATCTTTCGATTAGATTACTTATTTTTTAAATAGAATTTTTAATTATAAATAAGTTATGAATTACGATTATTAAATAAGTAATAAATAATATTAATAATAAATAAAAAAAGGGTTGTCAACACGAGGACTTCCCAAGCGGTCCCCCACCTTAGTACTAACCTCGCCTTAAGCCGCTTAACTTCGGAGTTCGAATGGGATCCGGTGCTTTAGGCTTAGTATGGCCGACAACGATATTTTAATACCTTATCATTATTTATACCCCTTGCTCTATTATTATTATATATAATAAATGATGGAATTTTTAAATACTTTTTATTCCATCAAATTCTCAATACTATGTAATCAAATGTAGTACTTTCAAACAGTAATTTTCTTTTTATATAAATGCAAACCTTTCACTTTGATTTTATATAGTCTTTTAATGTTTATATTAACAATTGGTAGAGAGTGAAAAACAACAATAAAATTACAATTAGATGTAATATTTATAAAATTATATAATTTAAGAATGATTGAATAACCAGACATATTTAATGATGATCAAGCATATAAAAAATATTTGGAAATAAAAGATTAGACAGAAAGAGAAAAGAAGGCAAGAGTAGATAAAATTCTAGATGACTATTGTTATAGACAATTGAATCTACCAGCAGCTGAGTATAGAAGTCAATGGACAGATTTGATCTACAGACCATAGCATTATCCAGTTGAGTTAGTTCATCCTGAAAGAGTGCATTACACATCTCAATTTGTTGGTTTCAACCAATAATCAAACTATTAATAAAGAAGGTAGAAAGCAATGAACAAGGTTCCTTAATAAATTCAATATTATTATCCTCCTTCCAATCCATTTTTATAAAATGCACAGCAAACTCTAAATTAGGAATAGTTATTGCCTAGTTTAAGTTTATAACAAGGGAATCTTGGCTATAATCAATAGTTAATGACTTAATCGAGTCCTTAAATTGTGTACTAGAATGATCCGAAGTCTGAGTTTTTGAGGAAATGCGACAATTTATAGAGTAGAATGGATTACAATATCAGAAATGTTGACAAATTTTACTAATATTATTGAAAGAAAAGTATTAATGATTTATTTATTCACACTGGTATAAAATATTTTAATATTGCATTAATGAACCTCTTTTTATAATCTCCTGGATTAACAATGGTAGGTACCTGTAAATAAGGATTTAAATTAATATGATACCATTCCTCCTTTTAATAAATACTTTAAATAATGTTCAGTTTCCTTATCCCAAGTGTAGAATCTTAAATAATCAATAATACCCATTCTGAGTTTCTTTTACTTTTAGTCAATGATCAACAACAATGAATAGTCAATAACATTTTGTTTATTGAGGAATTTGCAATCGATCTACTATAAGATTAAAGGAATACTTAGAATGCTCTGTCATTGTATCTGTAATTTTCCTTGAGAATAGGAATAGGTTCAGAATTTCTATCAATTCTGAAATTAGTATCCAGAAGGACTCCTTTCTTCTTCTTTTCCAGTCTGTTGGTTTCACTTCCTTTAAGATCATAGACCAACAAATTAGATGGATCCCCCATTCCNACCCCTTGCTCTATTATTATTATATATAATAAATGATGGAATTTTTAAATACTTTTTATTCCATCAAATTCTCAATACTATGTAATCAAATGTAGTACTTTCAAACAGTAATTTTCTTTTTATATAAATGCAAACCTTTCACTTTGATTTTATATAGTCTTTTAATGTTTATATTAACAATTGGTAGAGAGTGAAAAACAACAATAAAATTACAATTAGATGTAATATTTATAAAATTATATAATTTAAGAATGATTGAATAACCAGACATATTTAATGATGATCAAGCATATAAAAAATATTTGGAAATAAAAGATTAGACAGAAAGAGAAAAGAAGGCAAGAGTAGATAAAATTCTAGATGACTATTGTTATAGACAATTGAATCTACCAGCAGCTGAGTATAGAAGTCAATGGACAGATTTGATCTACAGACCATAGCATTATCCAGTTGAGTTAGTTCATCCTGAAAGAGTGCATTACACATCTCAATTTGTTGGTTTCAACCAATAATCAAACTATTAATAAAGAAGGTAGAAAGCAATGAACAAGGTTCCTTAATAAATTCAATATTATTATCCTCCTTCCAATCCATTTTTATAAAATGCACAGCAAACTCTAAATTAGGAATAGTTATTGCCTAGTTTAAGTTTATAACAAGGGAATCTTGGCTATAATCAATAGTTAATGACTTAATCGAGTCCTTAAATTGTGTACTAGAATGATCCGAAGTCTGAGTTTTTGAGGAAATGCGACAATTTATAGAGTAGAATGGATTACAATATCAGAAATGTTGACAAATTTTACTAATATTATTGAAAGAAAAGTATTAATGATTTATTTATTCACACTGGTATAAAATATTTTAATATTGCATTAATGAACCTCTTTTTATAATCTCCTGGATTAACAATGGTAGGTACCTGTAAATAAGGATTTAAATTAATATGATACCATTCCTCCTTTTAATAAATACTTTAAATAATGTTCAGTTTCCTTATCCCAAGTGTAGAATCTTAAATAATCAATAATACCCATTCTGAGTTTCTTTTACTTTTAGTCAATGATCAACAACAATGAATAGTCAATAACATTTTGTTTATTGAGGAATTTGCAATCGATCTACTATAAGATTAAAGGAATACTTAGAATGCTCTGTCATTGTATCTGTAATTTTCCTTGAGAATAGGAATAGGTTCAGAATTTCTATCAATTCTGAAATTAGTATCCAGAAGGACTCCTTTCTTCTTCTTTTCCAGTCTGTTGGTTTCACTTCCTTTAAGATCATAGACCAACAAATTAGATGGATCCCCCATTCCGAAATATAGGTTTTCCATTACTAAGAAGTATTCAGTTTGTCCTCTGTCTCTGATTTCGAACATTCCAAAGATTTTACTTAAGAGAGAAGGTTTGGATTCATAAAAGTGTCTGTACATGTGTTTGAAATAATCTAGTGCAAATTATTTAAACATCAAGAATTCTTTGTCTTATTCTAATTTTTTGAATACAAATAGCTCATCATTGGATTTGTAGAATTTGGACTGAGACTTACCTCCGGAAGCACTCCAAATATTCGTAGATGAGATGGATTTGATGAATTGTGCTAAAGTGATTCCTGCTAATAATCTTAGAGCTTCGAATTAAGTGGGGAAATAGATTAACACTTCAATCCACTTTGTTTTTCGAACCTGAGTGGTTGGCACGAATTGCTATTGATTATTTAATGGCAATGACTTTTCTTATTGTGCATCATCAAATTGATAGGATAAATTGACTTGATATTGTTATTATTATTATTATTATTATTATTATTATTATTATTGTAATATGAGAGTATTTGATCTCTCATTCTTTTTTTCTACATCGTAATTGATTTTTAAAATGAAAATGTCCCTATTATCTTATTTCTAATATATTTATTATTGATTTAAATTATTATTACCTAAATCAACACTCATGTATCTAATGTTTTCGACTTCTTATTTCTGTTCCTTTGGGTATAATAATTATTAGAAGAACAGTTTAGCCTACTCAGTTGATTTTTGTGTAGATTCTATCATTCCAAAATCTTAATTTATAATGAAAGTAATTACTTTCTTTTTGATAAATTTCATTGATATATTTAGGATGATTGAGTGCAAATGATAAGTAGGATAGGGGTTGATTTTCATAGATCGGAACAAATTCCTAAAATAAAGAACATCTTTACATAAATCATCTGAGACTTAATCAACTTTTACTATTCTGCAAGGAATGAACTTATATTCCATTCTTTTTGGAAATTGTTGATTTCAATAGTGGGTATAAAATTGTTAGATTGAGCTAAGGTCACACTATCTAGATCCTTATTGGAATCATGATGAGTTTTTTGAATGGATTATTGTAATGTTTAATTTGCATCAATTAAAGTGATAAGGACTTAATTATTTTGGATTTCAGATCCATTTCTTCTGTGGTTTCTAACAAATAGAGGAGACTATTGAGTGTCTAATTCAGGGGAGTAATGAGGTGGTATAAGTAAATCACTCAAATCAGCCTTTCCTGAACTTGCTCTGTGATTAGATTCTTCAAAATCTTGCATGGAAGCCTTTTATTAAGAAGGGAGATAATGATCTTCTAATTCTTAATTTGAATGGTACAACTTGACTTCGTTTAAATTATTACCAGAATCTACTTTCTCTAATTCATAGGTTGTTTTGATCAGATTATTGTTGGTCGTTAGGATTGAATCTTAATTCTTTAAATTAACAGTTGCATTCTGTATAATGTTTCTGAAATCTGGATTCAATTCTTTCTTCTTCTTATGCTCCTAAATACTTTGCATGATATTCTTATATTAGAGTCCAAAGTCTTGGGATTGTTTGAGTACCTAAAAGAGTGATGTATATTGTGTTTCAGCCAGGATCTTCTCGCATTCCTCCTTTAGTTATTTAATTGATTTAATCAATAAATCAATCTCTCCCTTGGCTAATGATTTGGGTATGAGATTGATCAATGTAATTCCAAATGTATTCAATTTATTCATCAACTCATCTTTGAGTTGTCTGATGTAACCTTACTCCCAACTCTTTAGATAATCATTCAATGAAGTATCAGAGAAATTCAATAAGGTAGTTTGATAGACATCAAATTCTCCCACCATGACCTTCATCTAATACCCATAATAAGAATAGACTCTTTACACTTGATTATGATTGCAGGATGATGTATTCTGATAATGATTGGCAGTAATGTTTTGAGTGAGGAATAATTATTGCAAGAATCGTAAAAAAGAATACTCCAAATACTTCTAACTCAAGATTACTCTGTCTGACAATAGTTGCATGCAGAGATTGCATTCGAAGTAGGTTTCAATTTATATCTTTTCATTTGAATGATTCTACTTGATTATGCTTGGTAAATCTTTCAAGAGGAAGGTCCTATTCTCATCACTCTACTAGATTTATGATTATTCCTTTTGCAACACTATCTACTTTATTTGATTCATTTATCCATCCACACTGAATTTCACATATCTGCCAGCATTATAATATATGGAAACGTGACTATTTCTTGGGAATTTACAATATTCACATCTGAATTGTAGGTTAGCAACTTTTAGAATGATAAATGCTCCAATGGACATATCATCATTTGAATGATAATAAGCCTTGGGTTTCTCAGTTGGCATATTGCACATATCGGCAAAAAAGTCAACCACCTTGTCTTTCTGAGGTGGAAACTCTTTTTGATAAGCCAATAGGGCATTCATATCTTTGATATCATTAAAATTATGAATGTCTGCTCTAGCATAATTAATTTTTACATAAGCTAGATCTGGTTTGATGACTTCTTTCAGATTAACCTTCTCAAATAAGAACTTTGTAAAATCACCCACACAAAAATTGAATTGTTTATTTTATCTTAATTTTTATTCACAAAGTAGGATGTGTCTCTCCACATCAAAATGTTTGCCTAATCTCATGCAACCAACTATGCACTATTTCAATTTTTATAATAAATCTTCCTATGGTCCTGATAACATAATGGTAACTCCATTTTTGCCATCCTTTGTTTCAATGAACATCAATGTATTATCTTTTCCAGCTGCATCTTATTGTTTATCAAGTGTAGGTCGTGGAAAATTACGAAAGAAGATCTTTTCACAATTACCAGTTACTTATGTTTCTTTTTGTATGTAGCCATCTAATTTATCTAGACGCACAAACTTAGAGCCTGTGCATTTGGCTATTTTTCTTAATTAATGGATTTTCACATTTTAAACAACTGTGATGTTATATTTACAACAAATATCTAATGCTACTTTACTGACTGATTTCTCAACGATAATAATGGTAGGTCTGAAGTTCTCTTTGATTTTCTCTATGTAATCTTAGAGTACTTTTTTTTCTTTAGAAATAAAATCATCAAATTGTTGAGTTTCTTCAATGAAATCCAGATTTCCATGAATAATCAAAATGCGAGGTTTATAGAGTTCAGTTTGCATTCTTTTCAGTGCTATGTTCTTTCTAATGACAATGCCTGGAAAGTAACAAGTTAGTGAGTAATCTTTGTATGGCAATAATTTAGTTTTTACATAGCAGGTGATATCTAGAGGATCAGAATTTAGAGATGAAAATTAGATGTCTTCAACTGCTCTTTTAACAAATTCAAATGTAGTTGCTTTGAGACTATCAAAATGATTATCATGATTTCTTTGAGGTTGAATAAAGATCTTTAAACTATGATCACAAATATTTTCCATTTATGAATAACATTTTTCTTTGAGAAGTGATAATTAGGATTTCAATAATTCTGATTCCTTATTTTTGTTCTACTCTTCTGGTGGGAAATAACTTTGTATACTCACCTAAACAATTTCAGGATTGAATTCTTGATCATTGTTCATATTATCCTCCTAATCTTCAGTCACTTGAGTGGTTTGTGATCTGGAGATAGTATAAGATTGATCATCCTATTTATGTATGGATTCCCTTCTTGACAAATTCAATTACCCCTTGTCAATAGAGACACTGACTACTCTGGTTTCAAAGGTGTTTTCTAATTTGTATCCTTATGCTTTCAACAATTTTAATACTTAATCATAACAAACTCCACACAATCTTACTTTCTTCTCCGTGTTTTATACGAAATGAACTCCATCTATAAAATTGCTACTACAACTATTCCATAATATATATAGGATTTTTACTCTGAACAAAAGACCAATCCACATTTTCTACAATGATGTTTGGCTCTGAACAAATAATAGAATTGTCTGTCACAATGTTCACACTTGGTCACTTTACTCTCAGGTTTCCATTTGTCTCTTGACAAGAGCACACCAGATAATTGCTAATCCATGTATAATTTGATTAATTAATTAATTATAATCCAAAATGCAGCCATCTCATCCCTCTCCAGTTGACAAAGACAAGAAAATCAAAATCATGGATGAGTTGATCAAGACCAATCAAAAACACATCGACCATCTCAAACAAACCATCACACAATTGAAAAGAGTAATGTTGCATTCAAATTTAGCAATTACAATTTGAATAGAAGAGAAATCAGGATCTTGATAAAGATAATGCCACCTTAAAAGATCAAATTAAAAAGCTTCTCTCTAAGCCACCCCTACATACTCAATATACGCAGACATCACACGAAGTCCATAGACGAGACTCAAAACAATTGTCCACCAAAGAAGATCAATAATTCAATAGTGCCTCCAAGAACACACAGAAATCTGAGAACGATCAAGTGACTCAGAAACAGTAGATACTCAATCAAGTGTCCCCTTCAAAACAAGAAATCAGGAAAATCCAAAAACTTGATCTTAAAATTGATATTAGTTCAGCTCTTTAACGACAATAGAGTGGTCCCATCAGCAGTGTCAAAAAATCGTAAACTTACTTACACGGATTAACCAATGTCAAGTTAATTGATGCAATCAAGGAGAGAATTCCAGAAAAATCTAATAGGATTGTAACATTATGGATTCATATCTTTTTAGGGTCAAATGACTGGAGATAGGAGCAGTTAAATAAGAAAGTCATTGATGTTCAATTTCCAGAATAACAAATCAACTATCATTGATTGTGAGCACACTGAAGAATAGGAAATACAAAAAAGTAGAAATTCAGATGGAAAATAATAATAGCTCATTGAATCAATTGAGGAATATAGAGTGGAAACTATGGAAGTCTCAGCCTTACAATAGCCCGCCTACAAACTGTATGAAAAGTTTTATATCATGGGTTGTGAGAAGAAGGAATTCTTAGAATTTGATAATGATCCCAACATTAAAGAAGGTATTCTACCTGCAAATATCTTATTCAAGAGTGATTCCATTACCACGTAAATAACATTCACCTTCTTTTAGTCCCGTCTATGAAGAGATTATTAATGGGTTTGTTTATCCTTTTGGAAATCAAGTTGAGAAAATCAAAGTCAATGATTCATTTCGAAAATTAAAAGAGTAACTAAAATTCATTATTTCAGAATCATGTATTCAGGTAATAAATACGAATTATTGGACAAATTTTCCTTATTTACTATTAAAAATCAAGAAATTACTGATAATTTTTCAGAGCACACCAATCAGAATCTATTGAATCAAGCTAATCCTGAAAAGTTACTCTATGGAATCTGCTTATCTGTCTATGATTTCATTGAGACCACTCCTGATCATATCAAACTAACATTTGAAAACAGAAAAAAACGAATTTTCTGGAAATACAAGAAAACCTATTGTTTTCTGACCTACTTCCCATTTTACGAACTATTCCAAGACTTGCTAATTTCTATCATCAGTATTCGATATAAATTATTTTAGATTTGATTAAAATCAATAGAACCGATCGTTACCTAAAGAAATACTCTGAAGAGTATGAAGTCTTAAAGGATGTTGATGGATAGTAGATAATACTTGTACATTATATGTTAATAATATAATATAGGAATTTCAAGAGGAGTTGACTAAATTCCTAAATCTAATCTAAGCCATCAAGCCAATGTTGGGACATCAATAATTAGAAGTCTAAACACTGGCAGGTACTCTAAAGTACCGAATCCCCAATCAATTACAATTGGATATTGAATTGAGATTGTGGAGTGCCAATGTCACCTTGTAAGTTCTAAATTACAAGGAAATCTTAAACATATTCTTAGCTATGATTTCTGAAATCTCTATCATTTTCGTATGTGAAAAAAGCAACATCCTTACATCAATCATGTATTACATTCAACCCTAATCAGACATTTCTTTCATCATATAGTCCGTCCCTTAGAATGGACCCAAGGAATCATTTACAATGTCCCAGAACAACTCTTAACCATGATTCAATCACCAGTCCCAATCATTATCGGAGTCAACCTTACAGAGAGTGATTTCAATTTGATGAGTCTAGCTGATAATTGCGAAAATCATTTGTTTGTATTTTTGGATCGCGATAAAGAAAATAAATTTCTTCCAAAGCCGTAAAATGTTTTAAAAGACATATCCTCTCCTTCATTTGGGGGATTGTTACAACACATAGAGACTATTCTTAAGAATTAGAATAATATACGCAATCCAAGGTAAATGTTGATAAAATCTTAATACTTAGTCCAAGCATCAGACAAGTCTCCAATAAGAATGACGATAGGAAAGTGATCAAATTTTACTTTGATGACCAAGATCAAAGCAAAAGTAAAAAGGTTCTCGAGACTTTCAAGAAGATTATGGAGGAGTTTATCATTTCTAAATTACCACCCTAAAATGAAGATGCCATCAAAGTAAATACTACAATATTCAAAATAGGTAGGTCAAGATTTGAATTTCCAATACATTGAACTTTACTTAATCTAAAGATCCGATCCTAAGGATAAAAAGTTTATCTAAAATCTATTTAAGACTCAACATTTCTAATATTTTATATAATAACATTATTGTGATTAGATTTGAGCGAAATTTAATATTTTTTATTTATTTAATTAATTTAATAAAAAAATAATTACCAATATTATATTAAGTGAATTATGTAGGAAAATGTTGAGATGCTCAAGTAGGAAGTAAGAATTCTAAAACAATACGTAATAATGAAATTAAGAATAGGTGATTGAATTGAATGAAGAGTTAGCAGAATATAAGAAGACGAATAATAGTTTATAGATGTAATTGTAAGAAATTCAAGATTCAAAGAATATGTATTAAGACATTAATTAATAATAACAAAAAAAGATTGAATAATACAAGTAGCTCTTACTAAGATGTTCTTCTTAAGTGGCATCTCAGAGTGTGTTAGAGCTTACACAATCTTTTATTCAAAAAACATTTGGTTAGTCAAAATGTTAATTAGGACCAATAAATTATTCTTAAGTCTATAATGATCAGCCTTAAAGTTAAAATGCGGTCAATTAAGAGATATTTGAAGCATTCTATATATTTGGAATAGACAAAATTGATTCCACTAATTAATCCCAATATGTAGTCCCCTCCAATTATAAGATATTATATTAACAATATAAAGAGAGATTCTTTGATTAACCAAACAATGAAGAGTTTTAGAAATTTAAGGAAATTGAAAAGAATATTGAATAATTCATACACCCCTCTGGAGTTGAAGTACAAAGGATGTGCGATGAAAATATTAACTTTGAAATATCCAAGTAATATTGAATTTAATGTAAGGATACTCGTATAAAGAATTAAATTTGAAAATTTTTATATGATAAATCTTAAAGGAGATGATCTAATGAAAAATCCTTTGAATATTAAAATACTTCAATCATTCAATCACGAAAGATAATTATATGGTTATTGTGCTGCTATTGATGATTTTTTGAGCTAACCTGATAAAAATGGTTAAGTTATTTATTGGTAAGTTAAGAAGGTTCTATGTTTTATAACATTCTTTCCAATTTAAAGTGTATTTTATAATATTTTTGAATAAATTCTATGTAATTATAATTATATTGTTAGTTATAATGAAATAATGGCGATATTATGTTATGAAAAAGGATGAAAATCTGATAAAGCAAATTGATGGAGTAAAAATAATAAATGTAATAATAATATTTTATCAAAGGACACAGCTCAGTTGTTAAATAGGATAATCTAAAAACTATCAAAGTAGTCGTTTAAATCATATGGAGATACTATAGATGTCAATTTTTCAAGTATTGTGGAAGGTTTGTTGCCAACAGATTTTATTGATGAATTGTAGGCAACATTAAAAATTTCTAAATTCTAATACAAAGTGCCTGAAGAAAAAAGTTTATATTTTGAAACTAAAAAGTTGGAAACCCATATTGTTCTTAAATTATTTACAATAGAATAATTTTTCATTATTTTTGAAGAAATCCTTAAAGAAGGAAAGATAATATTTTGTTGCTAAAATTAACACTTATTGACTGCTGTTGTATCATTTTTCTATACTATTTTGAGACCGTTTAAATGGCTTCATCCAGCAATATACAATTTGAAAATTGATTCAGTATTTGTTGAATAATTTGAAATGCCCATTCTTATTGGTATTAATATGCCCTACCCAAACTTAAGGTTCAACTAAAAGATTATTTTATTAAATAGAATGGAATCCGTGTTGTATGTGGATATTAACGACAATCTATAATTAGTTAAAATAATTGAGTATAAGGGTAAAGAAAAACAATAATGTTGGAATTCTTAGAAAAAGTAGCTGGCACAATATTTTCCAGAAAATTAAAAAACTATTGGAGGATATCTTGCCTTTACGCCAAATTAAAAGGATGAGGAAAGAATTAAAGGATTTTTGGAAGAATTCGAAACATTTATCAAAGTTTATCTAATAAAGAAAATCATTCCTAATAAAGAAAACTGCTTTTTAAAGGGAAATGATTTAAATAAAGCAATGATCAAAACTGCCATCAAAAATCAAATTGAAAAAGAATTTACTGATAAAAATGATATTTAGTTTATTCTTAGCCACATACTAGAGGCAGAGTATTTTTTAGAGTATTTAAAGCACATTTATATAAAATGATGAAGTTATTTGAATTATTTAATTATATATCTAAATATATACAATATAACAATGAGTTCTGAAAAAGATTTCTAATATGATATCCATGATGTCTAAAATATCAAGACTGCCTTTTTGGATTTGTAATAAGAGGAGAGTGCAGGATTCAAATTGGGATTTGGAACAGCAATCTTATCTTATTTTGTTTTGAGAAGATTGACCTACTTAAGAACAGGGCCCAGGTATTTTGTAGATCTAATAAAACAGATTCGTAGGATCAATGATATTAGGTTCCTAAATCTATGGATTTTACACACATAGATCAAGAGCCTATTATGATTATGTTGCTCAATAAGTAAATTTACATGCATCAGAAGCAATCAATCAATGTTTAGGGCATTGACCTATATAATAATAAAAACACATAACAAAATATAATATATGTTGGAAATCATAATAAGAATTCAAAATCTGAATTTTTAATTCCATCTCCAAAATATGCATATCCAAATGTATAATCATTATTGTAGCCTAAATATCCTGGCCATATTAAGTTTCTAATTGTAATCTAAAACATTTAATTTCAATTTACATTTCTTTTAGTGGAGTCTGTTTAGACTGACCATTAATTATATGGAGTATCGTCAACTAAAGAATCCAGGAAGTCAGGTCTGTATAAGGCTTCATCTCGAGCTATATTAAAGATATCAATATTGCTAACCTATAAGATCTTGCTTATCCTTTCTGATGGGTTGTCTGAAGTGTTAGTAATTTTTCAACTCCGCAGTTACACCCTTAAAGGCTGTCTTGATCAATTCGTGAGTAGGGGTTAATCTATAAGAGCCCACTGGAATTGAGGCACATTGAAATTCAATTGATTAAACTACATAGGATAATCTTTCCAATTCTGAGAAATTTTTAGCTGGCAGTTACGCAGGAATTTCTAGTGAGTCTTCAAAATTAATTTCTTCATCTGTTCTAAATACTATGTGTTCATGCTATCCTGTGAAGGGCTCTCTTAGAGTTTCAGCTCTTTAGGCGAATTCTTCATTATATTTTGGTAATTCAGCAAAATGATAATTATTGGAACTTATTAATAAATAGATGGCTTGTACCTCCAAAAGAATTTCTTCAATGGGAATTCATACTGTCCTTTGTATTGAATTCCAAGGGCTATGTAATAATCTTTTTCTACTCCTTCAACCCTACCCCAAAATAGGACTTCGTCAAAAACATAATGTTCTTGTATTTTGAGTATTGCTAATTGTAATCTCATTCTGTTTGTATGAATAAATTGAATACCTCTCCTCAAGATTAAGTGTCTATCCTATTTGTTACACAAATTTCAAATCATTAAATGAGATATTCATTATATTAATTAATACTTGAATTAAAGAAAGAGAATTTTAGAAATTCAATACAAACATTCGCTACAGAGGAGATCCTCTAAAAAGTATAACAAATGATGAGAACAAATCACTAATTGAAGTTCAATCACTTTTTTGTATAGCATAATTATATCTATTACATGAATTAGAATTGACCAATTCAGAAATTATCCATAGTTAGTATATAAACTCTTTCTACAATTCTATTAATATTAAGCATAGTACGATTATTATTTACCTGAAATGTTTAAATACTGTTCCCTAATTTTATGCAAATGATGAAAACACAGTCAGGCTCATAAGGGTCATTTTATGGAATTAACCTGCTTAAATAGTAGATAGGTGCCCGGACCATTTCAAAAAAAATTAAGGATACTAATCTAGGGTAATTATAATTAGTATAAAACTAAGATCCTTAAATGAAATTAAAAATAGGATTTTTTGTGTCAACATACATCATAAATTGCAATCGGTATTTTATTGATAATTAATCAATAATGAAGTTAGAGAATTCTAATGGTAAATTTCTTGATGGAAATCTCTAAACAGGAATCAGCGGAGAGACCTTAGTAAGCTGTGCTCTATTTACCTATGAATGAGAAGTAAAAATTTAAGAAGCTTTAAGGATTCAAACATTCTGAAAAACTCTCTAAATATTATATTATCTATTTAGCATCCAGTTTGTATTTAATCCATAATTGATAGTTATAATTTAATTTATCATTAATGTCTAGATAAGAATTTAAAAATTGCTCATCCTAGCAATCAGCGTCATCATTTCGATAAGAATCAGAATATTCCATATACCATAAAGTAGTTTTAGGAGATGGTGTATTTTATAAATGAATTTTTAGATTCCATCTATCAGGGAGAATGGCAGAATAATTTGAGACATGGCAAAGGAATTTAAATATATCCCAATGGTAATTTAGCAAATCTAAAAAAGGAATTATTTTTGAAGGAATTTGGGATGTTCATAAAATAGTTGGAAAAGTTATTAAGATCGATGGTGAGATAATAGACTGTGTTATTGAGAATAATTAAATTGTTTAGAGTTCAAAAATAATCCCGCAAGAAGACTCAGAGCATCTACTAAATGAATAACTAAGGAAAATTTACACATCAGAAATAATCGCATAACTAATAAAAAACAATAATAACTTTTAATAAATCATTTCAGATGGAATTGAATATTAGGGTCAAATACTAAATGAAATGAAGCATGGTTTGGGAGTTGCCAAATTTTTAGATGGTATTAAAGATTGCTAAACAACATTAGGTTCTGTTTATGAAGGTCAATGGAAAGAAAATAAATAGCATGGATATGGAAGGAAAACCTATCAGAATGGGGACACCTATAGTGGATATTGGTACGAAGGAGAAATATATGGCTACGGAGAATACCATTATCAGTAAGGAGCCACTTATGTTGGATATTGGAAAAATGGTTTAAAACATATCTATGGAAAGGAATCCTGGGTTGACGGAGCCTCATATGAGGGAGAATATTATGAAGAAAAGAAGAATGGGAAAGGTAAGCTCATTTTCCAAGATGGATCCATTTATGAAGGGGAATTTGAGATGGATGACATACATGGATATGGACAATATCATTGGATAGATGGAAGACAATATGTCGGAGATTGGGTATATAACAAGATGTGGGGCATAGGCAAGACAACTTGGGCTGATGGTCGATCCTATGAAGGAGGGTAATTGCATTGAATTATGATAGTTATATGGATGATAAAAAATAAGGATTAGGAACATTTAGTTGGAATGACGGTAGGAAATACATTGGAGAATGGAAATAGGGAAAATAACATGGCATTGGGTTGTACTAGGCTCCTTCTGGCGAATATAGATATGCAGAGTGGGCGGAAGGGAAGAGAGTCAAGTGGTTGGACATAAAGGAGGATAAGGAAATAATTGATAATTTCTTGCATAAGAATACTGAGATTGAACAAAAAAACGGATCATTTTACAATAGTCATATATCAGATTCATCTATGAACGGAAGCGATAGATCTCCTGGCAAAAAGGTGTATTAGTTAACATTGTCAGATAGTAAATATTAAGCGAATGATTAGAGAGTATTTACATAGGAGAGTTGTTTAAGTAGAAGAGGGAAGGATGGGGCAAATTGATATGGAAAGATGGTAAATTAATGAATGATAAAATTATTTAGGATCAATTTATGATGGAGAGTGGAAAGATGATGAATGTAATGGATTTGGAAGATATATTAGTTGCGAAGGTGATGTGTATGAAGGAGAATGGAAACATGATAAGGCTAATGGAAATGGTATATTTACCAACAGCGATGGTGTTATTTATGAGGGACATTGGAAGAATGATAAATAAAATGGATATGGCAAATAAAAATGGCCTGATGGGCTCTATTATGAAGGTTAATATCTTGATGGGAAGAAATAAGGATTTGGTAAGATGATATATCCTGATGGGTCCTATTATCAAGGAACTTTTGTGAATAACTAAATAGATGGAGAGGGCTTACAAGTAAATATAGATGGAACTAGATATGAAGGCTCTTTTAAAAATGGGGTAAAACATGGAAGAGGAACTCTGATAAGTCCAGATGGAAACATATTTATTGGAAAGTAAAATGAAAATTATGTAAGTTTAGTTTTGAGTTAGACAAATAAGTTGGAGAAGGAAGGGTGGAATACCATAATGGTAAATTATTTTTGGGAGAATGGGTGAATGGGTAGCGTCATGGTAAAGGAAAGTATATCTACAAGGATGGCAGAGTCGTCGATTGCATGTGGTATAAAGGAATGAGGATAGAAAAATGATAATATATATTACACAAGTTTTGCTACTCAAAAAAGATTTGTATTAATATTTAATATGGCCACCAGAAGAAAGTATTTAAGACTTGTTGTCGAGGACTAAAAGCCAGAATTGAATGTGATTCGAGTTGCTAATAAAGCTTAATTGTCAACTCAAGTTAGAAAAGCCTTATGGCTCCTTCAAGGCACTCGCAAGGAGGATCAACCCCCTAATCTAGATACAATCTTTATCACAGCCATTGAGAACGCCATCTCCAAAGCAGTTGTTATTGCAGAAGTTGTTAGAAGAAGAGTTGCTGGACTATATTAAATAAATAAAATCTAGTCAGTCTAGATTAGTGAAGAATATGAACCATTAGAAGAAGGATTAGTCAAAGTCAAACTCACTAAAAATTTGGCTTCTCTCCAAATCAAACTAACCAAAACACCAACCGAATAAGACAGAAAAGAGCCTGGATTCCTTGTATATATATTTTTTTTATAATTAGGAACCATTGCCTGCTGATCAAATTCAACCACCCAGAGAAAGAACTGACAGATAAAGAAGTGGAAGTTCAAAACCAAGAAATGATAGCTAAAGAAATTATAGAGACAGAAGAGACGACAGAGATAGAAGAGATAATAGAGACAGAAGAGATAATAGAGATAACAGAGATAATAACGATAACAGAAGAGATAATAGAGACAATAGAGATAGAAGAGATAACAGGGATAATAGAGATGGCAGAGATAATAGAGATAATAGAAGAGATAATAGAGATAATAGAGACAATAGAAGAGATAATAGAGATAATAGAGACAATAGAGACAATAGAAGAGATAATAGAGATGGCAGAGATAATAGAGACAATAGAGACAATAGAAGAGATATTAGAGATAATAGAGACAGAAGAGATAATAGAGACAACAGAGATAACAGAGATAATTAAAGAGAAGAGAGAAGAAATAACAATACATAAAATGAAGCTAATAATGAAAGACCAACAACCCAAAAAAGTAGAGGAGCTCCAAGAACTTAATAATAAGAGTGAGTATTAGCAATATAGAAGAAAATATAAAGATTTAAATGTTATCTATATTTCTTTTCCAATTAAATATGATTTCGATTCTCTTTGAAATTCTATATCAATTTTTCACTTTTTAAGTCAACTAAGAATTTGAATTCATTTTTCATTTCTTACTCAATAGTCATTAATTTGAATAATGCATACTAACCCTAAGAAAAATTAAATGGATAATTATCAAAAGTTTGAATTCTTTAACTCCTATCAAATTTTGTTATTCTAAATTTTTAAATTATTATTACTTCCCTTTTTCTGTCTTTAATATAATCCCTTTTATATTCAAATATTCTAAATTAAAATTCCCCTGGCTTAAATAAAGTTTTTCCTCAACAGAAACCACAATTTCCTTCATTTCAATTTTCTCCTTTTAATAAGTTGGATTATGGCTTTATTCAACTATAGGGAAGCTTTATTCTTAAAAGCATTCTGATTTTATAAGATCTAGTGTTTTTCAATTCAATTCTATTTTATATTTCTATTATAATTAAGATTTTTGTATTAAAATCAATAACAATTATTTTAACTAAGTTCCCTCTTCCTCAATTATTTATACTTGTTACTTTTTGTGTCTATTAAATAAGTACTCATCACTTGGGCATTCCTGTAGCATTCTCGAAAACAATATTCAATAATTAGATAATTATTGATAATTTGTTATGTATGTATTTATCATTATAGCTTTTTTAGAAGTTGAGAATAACTGAAATATGGGAGAAAGCTTGCTTATTTGTCGACTTGATTATATTTTTATTAACTGAATAAATTTACATAAATTGAATAAATTTGTAATTACTTCAATAATTAAAAAATTAAATATTTATATATTTTATAAATCAAAAGCAGACTCAATCAATTATTTTTATCAAAATGTGAATGAGTAAAAATTTGTAAATGTTCTCTATATTCATAATTTGCCCACTAAATTTAAAGAATGAAAGGAAGGTTGTTCTAAATTAAGAATATACGCGTAAGGATTTACAGCAAATTATTCAATTAATTTATTACTTTAAAATGGAATGCTTTTCCAATTTCTTGTATTTTCTCATTAGGAAAGGATGAATAGTTGATTACAATAAGGGAAGAAGTTAAAACACTAAATAGGATGTTATATTAATGTCAATTTGAAAGTAGTAATTTCGATTTAACTAATCTGTAGACTGGTTAAGGAAGGAAATTACATAATTTCTGTTGAACATTTTAAGTCCTCTTATTGAATTGTGATTACAAAAAAATTAAAAGATACTTAAAAGTTCGAGAACTTTATTCTTATTATTTATAAATTAATGTGAAAAAATTTGTTTACAAATGGATTGAAATCCATCTTCGAAAACCATTTTTGAAATAAAATTTGTTAATCTCACACCTTCTTTATCTCTTGTATCGTGTGATCAGTAGCCTTTATGATTTCCCCAGCTAATTTTGATATTAAGCTGAATGATCTGTTAGAATTTGTGATTGTTGTGAACCCACACCTCTGGTTGGACTTGTATTAGACATTTTGTAGGATAACATTGCACCTATGTTGACTGATAACGGTTTTGGCAGCGGCATAGTTGATTTTAAGGTGTTTAGCAGCCTAAATTTAGAATTAAATAATACATGCTTTATTTTTATTCCCTGATGGAACACTAACTTAACAAGGTTCTATCTCTTTATTTTTGAAACTTTTTCATAAGGCCTTTTGGTGGAAGAATCTTTTTTCATTAAAATTTTAGATTTAAATTTATTACAATTTTTAGCTAATGGCCATAAGGGTTTTAGTGATACAATTATAAATCATATTACGCATGATATGAAAAAATATATTTTGGATCAATTAGAAATATTTTTAGAATTAATAATTATTATATTGAGTTTAAACATAAATTTATTTTGTTCCTAAATAAAAGAAGTATGTATTTTATAATAATATATGATTAATATGATTATTAATAATAAATATCCCAAACAAATTAAACAAATAGTTCGTTGAAAAATTTCACACACTCAATTTATATTGTTTTTAAATTTTAGACATTATTTGAAAATTCCAATGAACAATTTTGAACTACAACTCTTCTAAGTGTGGTTTCATTGGATGAAGAGAAAAGAGTCATTCATATATTTCAAGCCAATTAGTTACATTTGAGTTACAAAGCAATTAGTTAAATTTTATATATATTTATATTAAAAGAATATAATAATAATATAATGAATATACTAGTATTAATATTCTTTGGAGTGAGTTATGCCAATACGCCAGTAAAGGAGTATGGATAATGTTTGGATGAAACCTTGGCCTAATCTCCAATATAGTTAAAGCCACCATTTGGACATATTGGTTGATTTATGTAATTAATAAAGCTAGAACTAACATTGGAATTTGAGTTTTTGGAGGCTCGAGATTTATCGATAAAGCATACAGGATATGAATTGGTGTGTTAGGGAGCATTCGGTTTTGTGAAGCACAATAATAAAATATTTAATGCCTATCAAGTAAAATTTAAATCTCCATCAGAACACTCATTGTCAGAAAACGATTATTTTTATCCAATAGAAATGCAAATATTTTTAATATCATAATAAAAGTTTAGAATAGGTTTCAGTGTTTTCTTTCGTCTAAACAAAGATCACACTGAAAATGCTTTATTAGCAAAGTTCGGATTTGGTAAGAACATAATCAAGGAACTGCAGCCAGGAGATTTTTATGTAGTTCCCGAAGCTATAGATTTGGGAGTATTATTTGATGAGACAGGTATAAAGTCTTATAATTTGTTCAATTAGATAAATTTCTAGTTTATCAAGGAAGTGATACATTTCCTCCGTGTGGTTAGATGGTCTGGTTGACATTGTTTAAGATATATGATATGTCTTCGAATCAAGCTATCGACTTTCCAGAACTCCTATTATATTCGGTTAGGGAATAAAAGGAGATGAAGCGACCAATTTATGCGAATTTCGATCCAGCATTGTTTATTATTACAGATGGGGAAATGAATACCAAATAGGATCTGAAAACTTAAAGGACTAGGAATCAAGTTGACAAAAAGGTATGTGTAACAATTCCAAATAGCTTGTAAAAGATAATTTTTATATTTATGGAGCAAGTGAAGGATTGGAATTAGATGGATTTGTATTTACTGCCTCAGGATAGTCAGGAGGGAAGATTGTAAGAACAGAGGATTTCTTTATAATCAAGTTGAAGCCAGAAGCAAAGGATGTTTAGGAAGATGCAAAAGAAATAGAGTAGTAACCAATAGATTCTTAATCTCAATAAGAATAGACAGAAAATAGCAACATTGAATAACCCATTGATGTTTAAGAAAATAGTATTCCTGAAGATTTTGAAGAGACAGATCCTTACAATAAGGATGAGAGTAAGGAACCTCAAGAATTAAATGGTCAAGATAATACAAAAGAGGGTGGAGACGCTGATAGAAAAAGTAAATTGGACATGCATTCCAGAATTAAGGAAAGACAGGCAAGTAAGAGCAAGGACAAGATCAATGAATATAATGAAAATTAAATAAAGGAAAAGCAAGAATAATAAAAATTAGAAGAATAACAAGAGGAAGGGGATATCATTTCAGAAATGGATCAATTCAAAAATTGGCCCAGATTATGCCAGACAGGAAAGTCATAATCTCCCATCATACTCGATTTAAGGAATCTTCTGAAATAACCAATTAAAGAACCTATATTATCATATTATGTAGTACCAAAAGAACTCTATTTGAGCAATGATGGATATCAACTAAAATTGATTAGTGATCCTGGAGGTTTTGGAGCTTTGAGTTGGAATGGGAAAATATATCAGGCTCTTGAGTTGAACTTTCACACCCCTTCCGAACATACAATTGGAGAAAACTAATTTAGAATGAATTGCGAAATCTAAATCATGCATAAATCAATTGATGGAGACATTCTCTATTTAGTCCTCTTCTTACATAACACTTACCCTAATGAGAGTAATGAATTTTTAGAATAAATTGGGTTACCATCTTCTAAGAGTATAAATTACAGAGCTGTTGAAAAAGGAGAATTAATTCAAATTAGTAAGGAAATCAAACTCGCTGATTTGGTAAGAGATGTTTCTGAATTTGTCTACTATACTGGATCTCTGACAGTGCCTCCTTGTGTTGAAAATATCCAATATGTCATTAGAAGGAGCAGATTGCCAATATCCCTAACCTAAATAGAAAATATGTAGCGTTTGATAGGGAAGAAGGAAAATTTTAGACCCATTCAAAATCTAAATGGCAGAAATTTATTTACGAATTGAATGACAAGAATTATTAATTTTTATTTTACATAAATACAGATAGATATATATATATGTAGAGTTATCTGGGGCCTCCTGCCGTGACAATTTCTGTTGGAAAATAAATTTGTCTTAATAAAGATTGTAATGCGCCGTTCAATATGACGAAAACTGATAATCATGCTTAACATAAAATGGATGTGGTCTATATATAGGATATAGTTATAAGGTTACACTCTAAGAATCAAAAGATTAAAGAGGAACTTGGAGAAATTTAAAGGAACTTATTAAAAAGGATTGAAAGTAATGATAATGCTATTGAGGCATTGAGGAGAGAAGACTAAACTTAAATCTTGTCACATTTGAAAAATTTAAGATAACAATCTGAATCATTAGATCCGCAATTAATTGAGAGAAATAACTTAGATTTTTATGACGATTTATTTTTCAGTAATAAAATATATATATCTGTTTAGGTTCCAGATAATAAAGAAAATTTGAAAAATTAATTGAACCTTCCGAAAAAGAAATCAAAGACTTATTTCAAAAACTAATATAGGATGACAATAATGTATTTACATAATGCTAAGTTTAATGTCCTCACCACAATGCAGAAAGAGTAAATGCATTCAATTTATAAAAAAATGTTCCTAAAAATTAAAGATTACTATGTTAATAAGACAGACTGGATGTAGCTTAAAACTTTTAAGTATGCGAATAATAATTGAAGAGATATTGTGAATAAGAAAAGTATAGAAAATGCTTATTATAGACTCTTTGTAAAATTGTATAAGATGAAAGATTTCATATTTTCATTACGATTTCAGGTGGATTGCATTACAAATAAAATTTTGACATAAATTTAAAACGCAATAAGCATACATTAGGATTTTTTCCTTCAAAACCAAAAGAATTTTAATGATTTATATCAATTAATTGAGCCGATTCCAAAAGAAACCTATGAAAATATTGCTGAGCTTTTATCAAAAATTGGATAGTAATTGCCTTTTAATGATACCTTCAAAACAACAATTGGTCAATTTGATAGAATTTTGAATATTTTTGAGTAATCAATAATTGATACTCAAAACAATTTTGGCGATTTTCTTAATAAATTAACTCCTAAAATAATAAAAATAACGGTGGAAGTAGTTTTTAAGAAAAATACACAAGTTTATCACTTAGAGGTTTAACCTGAAGGAAAATTACAAGATTTATTCGATTTCATCAAAACGGAGGGTCAAATTGCCTAAACAATCAATTAAACAGTGATTAAAATTAATAATCGCGTTTTCAATCAATCTGAGTAATCTCCACACACTTATGTTCTAAAACACGAACAATATATAGAATTTTATGTCGATTAATGATTATTTTATTATTATATAAATTATGTATAAATTATCATGCCAACAATATTCTCTAATCATCTACTTTATTCTTATTCTTCTTCCAACAATTGAATGCTATAAATCCAATAAGGAATACACCAATAATAATTAATATGATGGCCCAAACGGGGAAACCTTTTTTATCATCATCATTTTTAGGTTCAGGTTCTGGTGGAATTTGATTATCTTATGACATGGTTAAATTCAAAGTTAATTTTACATTATTGATAGAGTTTTGTAAAGTTAATTTAATAATTTCATTAGCTTATTAAGCAGAGGTGCAAATTTATTAAGATCGTTGTAATGTATAATGTTATAGTTTGATTTCTTCATCCGTTGTTGCCAATAGATGTAATTGCCCATTAAAAGAGTAGACAAATGATTACAATTAATAGAAATGACCTGGGATCGCACTAGTAGGACCATTTAAATGAGCAATTGCTAGCTTAGGGTTTTATTTGCTGCTTGAACTTTCAAGATCAAATAAGAGTTGCTCAAATCTGTTATTCGCCCAATAAACCAAAGACAAGATATTCTCATTTTAATATATGATAGGATAGAGGTTGAACATAAACCACCCTCCATACTGTTGATAAACGCCACTCAATGTGAAATACTTGAGATCGCATAATTTACTGCTATAACAATCAAATTCATATTTAAATGAATATGTAGCAATATAATTGTATACAATAACTATTTCATTTTTTCTTACAACAAATCCAATGCAAATCGCATTGCTAGTTACGTACAATTAATTTTTCTTTAGTGTATTAAAAACATCTGTAGGGATCTCCTTCTAATCTTTTGAGGTTCTAGAGATCTCTATATTATTAAAGTATACATTCCCTCTCACATCCACAGAAATAACAGTGTAAATATCATCGCGTAAATGTTGAAAATTAACAAAAAATGGCTATTTTGATAAAGTATATTGATTGTATTATTCAAATTCTGACAACTTAGTAGGATCTCCTTTTGTATCATATACAAATATAATTGAATTTGAATAAATGAAGTAGTTGGTTTTATGAAGGAAAACCTTATTAATATTATTTTCGAATTGTAATTCATCTTCTAAGTATTTACAGGTAGAATCTTTGCATTCTATGACCTTTAAGTAAATTTAAGCATCTTTATACACTTCTACATATATGTGCTGATCTTGAATAAGTAATAATTTGTTGATCAGATAGGATTTATCCAAATCAAATTGAACCTTACTCAAATCTGACTTCTTTATCAAGACAATTTTCTATTCCATCAATTAGACTATTGTATCTGAATTGAGTTCTTAGATATATGGGCTAAATTCAAAGGTTTCTGGCTACTTTGATAATGTTTTTACATATTTAATTTTTTAAGAACTTTCCGTCTGAGTGATATCAAATGCTTAGCCACTATACCAAGATTAATCCAAATCAACACAATGAGTTTGAGCACCATCTGCTTTATATGTTAAATTCAATGAGCTTTTAGTCTAAAATATCGAAACTCCTCTATTTACTATTAGGGCTGGAATTTATTGGGTTACAACTATTTGAGCATCATTCTTAATTGAAACACTTAAGGTTATCTCTTTAGAGTACTCAACCTATTGATAATTGTCCTTTAATTTAGATTAAACTAAGTTATCTCCTGAGATGTAGTAGTTTTATTGCACTTGCTTATTTGCAATCGTATTAGTAATAAAGCAATAATTATGTGTAATTGTGAATTACGAAGCAGCAACAAAATCTATGCTTAAAAACATGGTATTTAAACTATTCTCATTCACTTTATAAACTAGTAGTTTTTATTACCCAGTTTTCTACCCAAGAATATAAAATAAGTTGTTTTAGAAATTAACTTGAATTTAGGATAACACTAGATTAGAATAATCGTTAATTTTTATTAATTTCTCCAAATAGATATTATTAATATTTTAAAAATTAAACACATTAATGTTGTATTCCTCCTCATCCTTGATTTTAATGACTCTAGCAAAATGATTTTAAAAAATTATCAAATTCGTTTGATCATAATTATCATTGACTTCTGTGAACCAAATTAAAGTAAACTTTTCATATTGTAAGGAATAGACATTCAATTATTTATCTTACTCTATAAACAAAATGTCTTTTTATGCTTAAGATGCATAAATCTTTCCCACTATATCTTATGTTAAGAATAAGGTTGCTTTATCTTCAGTAGATACCTTATATATCTTAACAGATTGCTACAATTAGACGAATAAGTAAAAACTATCTGTTGCAATCGATATGGGATTGTTCTCGAAATTTATAGTTGTCAAGACATCAAATCTATTTTAATTGTAGTAGACACAATAGATTGTAACGGTAGAATCTTTCAATATTGCTAAGAAAATCGAATTATAATTAAACCACCAAAGTTATTTATCAGAATCTTGCAATGTTTCGAATTACCTCTTACTGAAAATTGATTAGCAATTAAATTTGAGAGAACCTATAATTTCACAGGTGAATCCACTTATTTATTTATTGCTGTGTTGTTAAATAATTTAGATATATGGATTATTTAAATTTGATAAGGCTTTTCTATAAATAACATCGGAAGTATCCCCAACACCAAAGATTTCAATGGTCTAGAATTATTCTACTTTTAGATTGAGAATTTCATTATCTGAAAATTCATACTTTAGATTGGAACCTTAATAAATGGAACTCAACTTTACATCTAAATTGTCATAAAATACACTTCCTGCTATCAATGCTTAAGGTACTTAAGTTGAATATATCTATGTAGATTCAAAGCCAACAACCATATAATAAATATCAATAACGCAGCTATTTTATTAAATAAGCTTTGTAATTTTATATTCTTTCTCAATTGGTAATTAACCAGATGAAAATTTTAATGAATAATCAGTACTTATGGCGTATCTGTAAAAGTTTTGTTCATCAACAACCAAAAATCCATCAGAATTAGGATGTGAATAGATTATAGATTGAGAATCGTCTAAGGTTTTCGACTAGAATCTATATAATTATTCTGAATATAAGACTACAGTCTTATCCTAAAGCACTACGATTGAAGTTTTTTATAGATAAACCTTATCAGATTGTTTGGAGTCGATGGTAGTAGTAAATTCTTAGGCAGTGATTGTTTTGTGAAATAGTTATGTTTTTGAAAGGATTACATAAGTGTTTTTGTAGACATCAAAATCATATGAATAGACATCTGGAATCTAAGTGTCAATCTTACGAATTAATTGCCACTTATCATTCTTATACTATAAAATAATTAGTTCCCCAGATGCATTCAGTATACTAATCTATCCGTTTGTATGAGTTTAAAAATCTCTTATCTATAGGTCAAATGAGTCCTACTTTAATAGTGTTCTCATTGCAGTCTAGTCTAGGCTATTCAGGAATACAAGTGTCTCTTCTTATTCTTAATACAGTTCCAACTTGTCAACAGTACCTCTCAATAGATATTAATCAATCATATCTAATTTTCTAAACGAGTCTTTGGGTTTCTCAACTGGGAGATAAGTGTGGGGGGATTAATCAATTTTCAGAATGCTAAAGTAATCTCCTTCCTCATCAGAGCATTCTGTTATTACCAGAGTCGTCAAAAGAGCTATATCATAGCACTTAGAATTTGCTCTACCAGTGCTTTGAAATAGAGCTTGTAAATTAGGGAAAGTAGAGTAATATTTTAAGTCATATTCACAATAATAAGTTCCTTCATTGAGGAGTAGTATGGCCATTAAATGTTATGGCTCACTACTTTTAGTTGATTTTAACATTTTGATCGAAATTTTCTCTCCTTTTAATCCATTTATAGGAATCTTCTCCAAATCCTATAAAGGAGCTTTAATTGTAAGCTGAGGAACAACAGGCTAGAATATGGTCTAATCATAATCGTTAGAATAGAATATCTAGTTCAAAGGAATTGTTATTGTTTCTCCTGGGGTTGAAGTTATGAAAAGCTTATTGTCTTACAAATAAGTGCACTAATATGAAAGTATAATGAGAGTGCTAAGAATTAAGTGAATTCTAATCATTTAATTATACGCAAGGTTGAAAATATCTTTTTAATGCTGAGATTAATTTCTGAATACATACTGAATAATTTATTCAACATTCTTCATAACATAATTCCACATATCATCAATTTTGATCTTTTTTATTATTAGTTTAATAATTAATTTTCACACAAACATAATTAGATCAGAAATTCTTGATAAGAAATCCAAATTTGAGGTAATTTCTTTATTCATTGTAGATATCGCATTTACATAAGTTACATTGAATATCTTAATATAAATATTAAAGGTATTAAGCATTTTTATTGATGCATAAAAATTGTATTGATCATTATTTATATACATTTCAAATGATTTCTATAAAAATAATCATAAGAAGATCATAGAATGAGGACAATATAATGCTTTCTTATTATTATCTTGGTGATATTTTGTTATTAAAAAAATAAAATATGCATCATTAATTTGAATGGCTTTCATATTGCAATAATACTAAGGAAGTTGATCCTGTTTATTTTAATCTATTTATGATAGATTAAATTGGATTTGAAATTATTCTTCCAGAAATCAGCAAAAGATATTAAATACATATATTCGATATTTTCGAAAACAAATTCAGATATAATATAGAACAACAATTTTATCAAATCAAATTTCGAGATCCTTCGAAATAGAAAAATTAGAAATTATACTCGATATTTTTATACTTTTTCCCCTATAATGTCAAATAATACTAAAGCAAAATAATTTTCGTTAAATAGGAAATTATAATACCTTAATCATAATAATTTCAAAATTTTTATTGAAATTAATAAATTTTATAAAGATATTATTTTAAACTAAAAACCACATTAACAAGATTATAAATGAAATGTCATTCTTTGTACTTTCTGATTTTTATTGAATTATCTTTACTTTCCCAAGTTACTAAATATTATGAATCATTAGTCATGGCACCATAGAGTTGATTATCACTGTTCTCTATATATTGAACAGGAATGAATTCTTAATGATCAATAGCTTTAATAATATTAATAGTTTTCCCAACTTTAATTAATAGTATTTATTTCTCTTTATTATATTACTAAGGGAAGTAATCAATTCTATTATTTCCAGACCTTATATTTATTTATCTGGTCAAGATAAATTTCTGTTATAATCGATCAAGCTCGTAGATTTACATAAGATTTTATTTTTGAAATAAAAATGTAAAAAGGGTGTCTTTTAAGAAATATAAACTATATCCCTCCTAATCAACCTAAATTAATTAATTTTTCATCCATTATTATTCTTTGTTGCATTTGAAAACAATAATCTCATTTTTTGTTGAACATGAAACCAATTGATTTCCTGAGTCATTAAGACTGATGCTCTTTATTTCATGTTCATGATCATTCAATGTTTATTTAAGACTCCATTTATTGTTACTTTTGGCCCAAAATTTAATTGTTTTATCATCACTACCAGAGATAATTAAATCTTCCTCTTTGTTCATTATTAATCCTCCTATGACATAATTAGTATGTCCGTTTAATTTTTGATCACAATACCATTGTCTTTAATCATCCCATGACCAAATTATGATTAAGTTGTCCTGAGAACAACCAGAAATAAATTGTTTAGTTTTTTTCATGAAATAAAGGCATCTCACACATCCTTTGTGTTCAGTCAATTATTACTTTTCTGTTAATTCTCCCTCTTTAAACTAAAATACTTTAATCTTACTATCTAATCCAGCAACCATAACTGAAGAATCTAAAGAAAAAGCAAAAGAAGTGCATTTGTCTTATTTGATACTATTCTGTAATTCAAATTCAAAATGATTAAAATTCTCTAAGAATTTTTGATATAAGCTTATTACTTATTTAATTTGATTTTCCTTTGTCATTGATTCTCGCTCAATCTCTTCGTAAATTAATGCATTTTGCTGTTAATCATAATTACAAGCAATATCATTTAATTCTACTTATGAGAGGCTTGACCAATTCTTTTGCATTAAGGTCATCTATTAAGAGAGAGTGTCATTTTTCAAATTAATCGATTTATATATAAATTTATTGAACTCCTCAGTTTGTTATAATATTTTTTTCCATTAATGACTTAAATTGTTTTAATGATTATTAAATTTCCCTAAAGTCAATCGAGCATGCTCTCCCCACGCTTTTTCAAACTCTTCTAATTTGATGTAATTTTGGTCTGGTTTTTTGCAACTCTCGCAAGCCAATCGATTCTAAAAAATTGTACTTTTTGATGTCCTCACATAATAGATCTATTCGTAATGCTCATCGCAAATCTTAACATTGCCATTCCCTGGTTTGCATGTTGAATTGAAACATAGCTCAAAATCACAATCAGAAGATTTTTCACTAATCTACTTCATCTTGTTTTCAAAGGATTTCAAAAAGTCTTAATTCCATATTGTTAGCAATTTTGTGAATTTATTGCCAACTTTTGTATTGTGTATGGATTCTTGACTTATTATTAATTCTTTTAATTGTTTCGGATGCACAATTTCCTTATTTTAATTCAAGTCAATATTCATATTTAGAAAACCTAATTAAATCTGTATTTATTCGACAATTTCATCAATTACTAACAAGCTTTAGTGTAGTTTATCCATAAATTGATTTCTCAAAATTTGAAGTTCTTATTTTAGGCTTACTAAATTATAGACTATGGTTTCAGCTTCTTTATATTTCCTTGGCATCCAAACTTCCTTTAAATTTAGTTGTATTTTTTGCAAAACTTGATCCATGAAATTTATTTTTGATTATAAATAAATTAAAAATATCTAACATATTATTATTATTTTCGAAAACAAACAGAATACTAAACAACATTAGTCTTAAAATTGTAATTGGGATTGGATAATCGAATATGTTCATTTCATAGCTAAGAAACCAAACTTTAATCAATTAATATTTCTTCCATTCCAAAAATTAATTAATCAAATATCCTGATCTCAACTATCATAATAGGCTTTATTCTTATTTTAAAATTGATATTATATTGAATCAATAAATATATATAAATAAAAAAAAAATAATTAATAATCTACAACCATTAAAAATAAAAACTATTAAATGCTTAAAAGTTAATTTTCGATCATCATTAGAACCAACTAAATCAGATTAAAAGTCAATTTAATTATTCTTAAAAAGATGTTAATGCGCACGCAATCATGATTCAGGTAAACATTTTAGGGCTTTTAAATTGTGATTAATTATTCAACTTCTACATCTGAATTGTGTTATCAACTATTACTCAATTATACTCCTTGCTGATTATACGTTAAAGGAGAATAATTACAATTTCAATTTAAGTTTTGAAACCACATTGACTTTTAATATTTCTCCTTGAAAATAAAAGATTTTCGCCTATATTATTGTTCCTAAGTGACGTTTTCTATATTTATTTACTGATCATCAAATAGATGATATGATTGTTGTAGCGATAATGATTCAATTGAGATGTATTGATATATCATTTCAATTGTTGTTCAAAGTTATCATAGGTGGAATTCAATCAAATAAATAGTACTCACTGCTTAATCTCTTCATTATTATTTAGGTGTAAATGAATTAAATTAAAAGAATAAGAAAATTAAGCTAATTATTATTCTTAATTAGATATTAAATTCAAAATAATAAAAAGTTTAATATTTATGCTTATTTTTATGGGTTTCATTTTTTTCCACCTAACTATCTCTATTCTACAGTCATTTATCTATTCCGCAAATTTGATTCTATATTCATTATTTTGATAATTTATATAAACTCAAATTAATTATTTTAATTGCTTAATTTGGAATTCTTGTAAGTTTCAACATCTAAACTTTTGTAAATATGATATCTTGATACTAATAAAATTTTTTCATTTGTTAAAATACTTTTTTTAACTCGATTTATTAATAAGCATCAATAGATTTAGTCTCATTTTGATATAGCATATTAATATTGTGGAATTTATTATTGATTAATCTCTATAATTCTTAACATTGCCTAATTACAGAAATCTTATTGAATTAGATCATCAATAAAGGGTAAGTGAGTCGATCCCACAGCATCATTATGTGCAGATTGTTCTCGCTAGAATTTTAGATAAAAAATTTTCATATTCATACTTTTGTTCTTTTAACTATATAACAGATATTATTTAGCTATATAGTAGGGGCATTTACCTCCTTGCTAATAACTTCTAGTATACATATACATTTTACATTTTCATCAAAAATTGAAAACTTCTTCTTAAAGCTTAATTGCAAAAACTAGTTCTCAAAACATTCACATAATCCACGTATCATGATCCTTGTTTGCATATGGTTAATATAGTGGTTTTATCAAAAATTAAGATCCTATAAAATCAAGAAAAAAAGGGATTCTAGAATCAGAAATGGGTAGAAAATGCCAATTTTTAAATTGTTAGTGGCTTTTTTGAATTTTTGAGGGATATGAAAGTAGATTTACATGTCTAACTTAGAGATATGTGGAATCATCTTCATATAAAATCAATTTTGCGGAATATTGTCTTCATATACAATGTTAACTCCAGATTAAGCACTATATAAATGGGGAATAGATTTCTTCTTAATTAAATATTAAAATAATGAAATATCTTCCACTAGTGATGGCATTGTTGTGCTTGACTGCCCTTTCAAGAGTAGAAACTGTACAAGAGTTATTAGAATAAACTAAGGAGTAATATCATTTAGAATAAGATATTGATACTCTTAAATCAATGCTTGAAGCTGAGTTGGGCATTAAGTAAGAGAAGGAGACATCAAATTAGCTCCCATCTATTGCAAAAGGTATTGGAATATAATATTAAGAAGATTCCATATCATAGTCTATATTGTTAGCTAAAGTAATGAAATCTCAATACAACTTAAACAATAGTACTTATCCCAATAGCACTTATCCCAATAGTACTTATCCAAATAGCACTTATCCCAATAGCACTTATCCCAATAATACTAATCCAAATAGCACTTATCCCAATAGTACTTATCCAAATTCAACTTACAATTACACATATCAATCATATTCAACCTCATATCCAACCTATAGTAACTCAAGCAACTCATCAAATACATCTAATACTACTAATGGATCAAATGGATCTTATCCTTACAGTAACCTCACCTACAACTATGCTTATCCCTCCACTTCTAATAGTTCCAGCAATTCCTCATCCTACAATACCACCAATTAGACATCAACTATTAACTATACCAATGGTTCCTCAAATTACAACAGCACAAGAAATAGTAGATACATTCCATCAAGACTATAATTAAGAGTTAGAAACAATTAAAATTTGGTATAGGGATAACTCAAAAATAACACCCAAAATGTTACTTTTTACAACACAACAAGTGGAACTTACGAAAGTGTAGTTATTTATAATAACACTGAAATTTATTAAAATCAAACTGAATCTTACTATTATTACTATGAGAATAACACCTTGGTTACTTTAGACAGACAATATGATGATTTTGGTAATGTGGTATACAGAAACTTCAACTTTAATTATTCTTTGATCGTAGCCTAGAACTCTACAAACTCAAATTTCAACAGCTAATAACAAGCCTTTGGAACACTCGTTCTTACAAATCAAACATTTTCAGGATAATTTAATAGGTATGGAAATAACTATGGAAGTGTATATTCAAACGACAACAGTAATAACTATTATTATGATTAAAATAATTAATTTTAAGGAAATGCACAATACTCTAATGAAGTAGGAAATTATTCATTTAATGGTAACGACTATGGAGGTTCATATTAATATCAATAGAATGGATCCGAATCCTATTCGGATACATATAAGTATAACAATTATAGAAATGGCTTTGTTGGTGCAGACATTAACCAAAATACTTCAAACAGTTACTAAAGTTAAACTTATAGCCAATCTTAATACTAGTTAGACAGTAATTATAGAGAAGGAAATAACTCATCAATTTATTAAAATCAATTGAACCAAACTAATAACTATGCAACCCAAAGTAGTTCTTAAAATAGAGCAAATGATACCATTTCAAATTCTCAATCTGCCTATGTATACTAAAGTTAAGGATAATATAATAGCACCATCATCAATCATGATCAATATACAGCAAGTGATAACAATCAAAAAGGTACATAGTTTGAAGCAACTTATTATAACTCAACTTCTAATAGTGATTATGGTACCAACTATGATAAATTGAATTATAACTATACTATTAATGAGAACAATGGAAATTATATCGAAAATTCCAGCAACTCTTCTGGAAATACCAACTTAACCGTTGAAAGTATTTCAGGAACCCAAGCAAGAAATGTTTACGATTATGACAACTAAACTTTTTCATATATATCCGGATCAAATCAAGACATTCTTAACAATACAAATTCATAATACGTTAGCGGACCAAATACTACAGTTACCACTGTTGATTCCTATGTTACAACTAGGAATTCTAATAATTATAAAAATAATGATGAACCTATCAATTTTAGTGGTGAATAATAGACAACCCACACTTAATCAACAATAGAATAGTCAAGATAATAATTCAATCAATTAAGAGGTTCAAAGAAATAAGCCTCAGGATCTTGGAGATAAATTGAAACCGCAGAACTTTAACAATCTAATTCAATGATCATTGAAGAAGCCATTAATGAAATTAATACTAAGTTCAATCCTTAATAAGATGGATATCAGTTCGATTCAGTTATGAGCGTTTAAGAATAAATTGTTTCAGGTATCAACTACAAGATATATTTAAATTATTCAAATCCAGAGTTTGAATAATAGATATATGAAGTAATCATTTATTCAATGTAATTTTATTAATTTAATTTTAGTCCCTGGTAAAACAGATCCAATCAAATTGTCAAATCAATTAGATTCGATTAGGTAGAAAATTGAAATAAATGATTATATCAATAAAAATAACAAAGAATTTTACAACTAAATCATTTTAATTTAACCATTTCAATTCGAGATTCTATTAATCTAAAATAAATAACTATTCCAAATTCATTTCTCTATTAGTATCATTAAGTTTAATTCTCCTTAAGAAAACTTGTGAATTATCCCTTTTTATAATAAGTTATTGCTAAATCAAGATGTTCTAAGTATTTTTTTCTCATATTTCAATTACTAACTAATTATTATGCTACATACTATATGCTTGCCTAATTCATTTGGTATTTATTTTGTTTTTAATATTATATTCATTCGTAAAAAAATATTCAAAAAATATAGTATAAGCTAATAATTAATTAAATTGAGTAATATAATGCAATACATCTAGTCTTTTAGTACAAGTTACAAAGCCACATAAACGTTTCAAAACTATTTTTAGTCCCTACTGAATGGATAAGATATCTGAATCCTGATTACCATCTTAAATATAAAACTATAAGGGCATTGGACTTTTATTATAATAGTTTATATCTAAAACCATTTGAAACTTGAGAAAAGCAAAAATAAATGACAATAGAAGTTCCAAAGCTATAAATTTCATTAAATTGATTGCTTATTTTAAGATGAAAAGCATAATTCCAAATTTATCGGATGTAAGAATAAATAACTTCAAATGCAATTAAAAACAGAATAATAATTTTACTAATCCTATTCTTATTTAACCTAAATGATTGTCTTTAAATTCACTGATGTTTTACAATTCAATACAAAATTATAATATGAAGATTAATAAATAAAGTGATCGAAATATAATTATAATTCTTTCATTTTATCATTCATTATCTAGAATTTGGATTTATAAAAAATTAATACTAAATAAAATAATTTTATAAGATAATATATGTAATATTTCAGATTGTACTAAAACAACAAATATTTAGGCTTTCCTATTGATATTTAGGTTCATTAAGTAGATCAATATTGGATTTAAACTTTCTAGTCTAACGAAATCCCAATATTATACCAATATTGGTCTCCATGAGAATGATCTAAACAGAAATGACCTAAATCTGAATTGTTTTAGTATAATCCTAAATTGGAGTATTTTTAATACAATTCAAATCGTAAATCTTTATTAATTAGTACAGAATACTTTTTTTATATTTTAAAAACGTTTTGAAATTTAAAACTTAGGGCTTTTATACAATCTCCTTAGAATTGTCATCTTGTTATGATAATGAATAACAAGATTTCATTTTTAAATTCATCTATTTTTATATAAGCTTTCTAATTGATTGATTGTCAATTATTTTTTATTATTATAGAGCTAGGTATATAAGAAATTTATGAAATACTTTTCTGTATGCTAACAGATCCTCTCTTTTTTAATAAATTAAATATTAAAAATTATTCAAATTTTTTTTATGTCTGCCAACTTAAGAATGAATAATTCTATTCTCGAAGTTTCCAATTTTATTATTTTCAATCAAAATTATTAATAGGAATTATGCTTTTTTTACGCTTATTATAATGTTTTAACAACTTTTTAAGGGCTTTTACTTAAAATTAAGCAATTAAGGTTAAAATTGAAAATTTCAACATAGTTTTCATTTTACACAATCCAATTTAATGATTTTTTCATTTTCCATTCCTAATACAGTTATAAAAAGCTTAATGATTAATAATATGAATTTAATCAGTTAATTAACATTATATTTTTGCTTCTATTTAACAGATGATGAGGTTATCAGTTCACAGGAAGATTACTTAAACTAAATAGAAAATTAAGAGTTGCTTAGTAATTGCTTTAGTAACTGTTAATGTGTTGAGGAGACAAGCTAGATTAAATGAGAGAGGCGATGTGTTTAGCACAATGAATACAAGACGAATTCTGTATCTTTTGGCAATTAATTTTCAGAGGATTTTCCTTATCTCTTTTCCTAAGAAGCCTTTAATTTGTAGGATACAAAAATGGTCTATTCTAAATCGAATATCCCGTTTATCAAATAATAAGATCAGTATATTTCATTTTATTCCAGATTTTATATATGAATATCCTTGATTTATTTTCATCAGATCAATAGAGGATTTTCTTGCTTTGATATTTTTTGATTGTAATCGTTTTCTTTGTAAAATTTTTAAAACTAATATTCAAATTTGAGATAGTTTTTCAAATGGGCTAATGTTAAGATTATTGTTGCTTTTTAGAATCTAATGTAAAGTTAAATTATATATCATAAATCAACATCATTGTTATATAACTCGTTTTTATTGAAAAAAATCACTTTAAATACAAATTTATTCTGAAGAAAACAGAAACAGTAAGTATTTGATGCTCAAAAAAATCACGAAATTCATCATTTACTTGCTTACAATTATTCTCTATGATTGATTGGATTTCAGTTATTTCTATATATTTACAACAAGCAAGTAAAATAAAAATAAAGGTATTATATAATTCTACTAAATTTTATTTAGTAAGTTCTTAAATAAAAATAAATGTTTTTCCAAGAATGCCATTATTAAAATTATGTTATAATAATAGAAGATCAATTTTAAGTGTAAGTCACACCAAAATGAAAACATTTAATTCTGCTGTCTCAAAAAGGATTGCACAGAAGAAAGAATGGTTTGCTTCTTATGCTTGAAAAAGACAGAACATCTCTTACATATGGATGATGTTGGTAAATTTGAGGATGTTGAATTGGTAATCAATAATGAATCGAGGAAACTTAAAGAGGCTATTACAACTTCAAAATATATGTTTAATTAGGTTTAGAACTCGTTCAAAAATTTAATCCGAGGATTGGAAGATAGAGTCTTTGGAATAGAGGCAACTATTAATTTAATGGACTTAAGTGAATTTTAAGATACACTATCATCATCTTTAATATTCGAAAAAATTCAACTGGCAATTTAATAATCAATTGAACCATAAATAGCTAAGTTAAGAAAAACTATTGAAGAAGTATATTAAAATTGTTAATTAAATATATTTACAAAGAAGGATGAGTAAATCTTGGTTCTAATTGGTATGATTTAACTATAAAAAATAGGAAACTATTTATTCAAATAATAAGCTTATTAAGAGGCTATTAAATACTATGAAGAATGTTTAAGCATGAATTCCAAAAATGAAGAAGCTTTATTTGGAAAGGGTAAAATCTCATTATATTTCAAGCTGAGTGTTTAAGGGTCACACAAAAATTTAACTTGGCTATAGAATTTTATTAAAAAGTACAATCGATAAATTAAAGCAATCCTCAAGTTTACATTCAACAAGGTTTAGAATAATTGATTTTTTTAGGAGAGTGCTTACAATATTTACATAAATTTAAGAGTGCAATTAAGTGTTACGATCAAGCTTTACAAATAAACTAAACTGATTTTAAATCAATTTATCTTAAGGGTAAAAGATCAAAAAATACTTAGGTTATTGCTTACAAGCAATATAGAATTTTAAACAAGCAAAAGAATGTTTCAATTAAATAATTCAAGCTGGATCTGATGAAATTTACACACTTCTTGCTAAAAGTAAGATATTTTTGAGAAATAGGCATGTTATTAACATAATAATTAGAGCTGGTTAAAGCAACACAAATACTTGACTAAATTTTAGATAATTCTCCTTTTAATTGTAACGCTTTATATTTGAAAAGTAAAAATTAGCCTATGTAATTTAGTTGAATGTCTTATTCTATCAGAAAACTTCTAGGAAGCCTTAATAGCTTGTGAATCAATAATTTAAAGATATCCAAAAGATACAAGAGTTTTATTCTTCAAAGGTATATATATTCTATAATCATAAGGATCTCTATTAATTCAAAGTTAAAATTTTGCAGAAGCTAATAAGTTAATAGAAGAGCTTATGGAAATAGATGAAACATTATGGATAATTTAATATTTAAGAGGTGAAGATTATTTAATTTCTAGCTTTGCTTTTATTATAGGAGGATAAGATGGAACAGAGTTTGGAACTACTTGATAACATTTTGGCTATTAATCCATAAAACATATCGGCGCTGAAGCAAAAAGGTAAATGCTTTAATAGTTTTAGCATTAATTCTCAATATAAAAGATCCTGAATAGAGTACAAAATTTTATGATGAGTTGTAAATCAAATAACAATATGAATTACTTCCTTTAATTTTAAAAGGCGAATTTTTATATCTAACTGAAAAATTTGAAGAAGCTATCTCCACTTTTAACATAATTTTATCTTAAGATCCAGATTTTTGTTAAATATAAATATTGAAGGGTGATATATCTTTAATTTTTAGTTTAATGTTTAATGGAATTAAAAAACTATCAAGAGGCCATTGATTTTTGTGATAAAATTCTGGATGTTTATGAAGAGAATGAAATTTTTAAGACAATAAAGAGTAATATATTAACGAATATATTAGATTAAGCCTTAGAAAAAATAGAAAACGGAGATGAGTAAGTAGAAGAAGAAGAGGTTGAATAGCAAGAAATAGATAAAGTTTGATTACATAAATTCCCAAATAAAGTTTGGGTTAATTTAACAATAATATTATTTTTCAATATTCTTGTATTTGAATATTTTTCACTAAATTAGTAGTTCTCTAATGACCAAACTGTTTTTTGAGTTCTAATAGCCCACAATGAGATTATTTTGTATGGTGCAAATACTTGAAATAAGTTTTTGGCTCTGGAATATAAACTGCCTTCTAGAATTCCAGCAAAAAGGTCAATTTTTATACAAAAAATACAATAGTATAATTTTAGAAAATACATCCCTAAATAGGATTACATTTAATATTAGATAATTTATTTTATAAACTGATTCTTATTTTTAAAGAGAAAACACTTTCTCTAGTTTCCAATATCACATAAAACTATTTGTCCTAACTAAATTTTATTTTCATTTATTATGAGGAATTAATTTTAAGTTTTATAATTGCTTTAATCAAAGTAGAATTAAAACAAATATTTCAGAAGATAATACAGTAGTATATCACTAATGATATTACATGATGAGCATTCTTTTTAAATTTATTTTTATTTCAATAGGGTTAATTTCTCTAAAGACATTTTTAAAAACATCAATTTTTCAGATAAAGTGTAATTCTTACCTATTTGTAGAGTAATTTTGGAAAGTTATAATTCTCGCGATTCAACTTGTGCTATTTATTCAACAAAATAGCACGGAAATTTTAAGATTATTAGCATTTCTGCAAAAAAAAAAGCAGGTTTATTTTTGTTAAATTTTTATAATTCACAACATCAATGAAATTATACCTTATTATACTACTTTGGAGCTAATAGGCTCAAAATTAATTCGCCTTTGCAAATTGTATCGAAAATACCTAATTTTTATAATATACCAAGTCAAAATTCAGAGGAAACTATTTGGATGTAGCTTCAGAAAAAAAGGTGCAATCATCTCAACAGCTAGAATTAATCAGTTTTCCTTTCAAGGTTCTCTCGCAAGTCCTTTAAGGATTATCTCTATTTTTTAATACTTTATAAAACTAAGTTGGCCATATTGATTTGATTTACATTAATCTATAATTATTGAGATGTTGCAACCATATGAAATAAATTTAGTGAGGTTTAGATTATGGGATTATGACAACCGAATTGCTGAATTACAAATTTTTATTGTAAGAGTTGACAAAATCACTGAGACCGGAATATTTAATGGATTCGCCTAATATGTAACCGAGGTTAGATTTCCTGATCAATTTGTATCTAAGATAAGATTTTACAATAAAAATGGTACATCTGTTAAAATCCATAAAATTATTTCAATCATTAAGATCTAAGCATTTTATTAATTGTGATGATATTAAAAAAAATTAAATATAAAAAGTGTTCTTTTCTTAAACTCTAACTGTAATTAAGCAAATAATTTTGAGAAGCTTTGAACACTAAATCTAATGGTTGCCTTAAAAAAGTATAATTTTGAGGTTCTTTTAATCTATTCTAAATTACTATAAGTCTATTAAGTTGAAAAGAAAAAAAATAATTAAACTAATAAAATTAGGTTAGACAAGATCTTAGGCAGTAGAGATCCTTAAGAATTTTCAGGATTAGAATATTATCCTTAATCAAAATATAAGGCTTCGATAACTTTGAAAAAATTGATTATTTTATATTAATATAAAGATAATGTTTAACTGTTAAATTTTTTGTTAAGTTTATTTCACCATATATTAAGCAGTGCTTTTTCGATAGACACTAATACATAAAACTTGTACAATGCCGAATACAATTTCCTTCTTATCTACATTTTTTATATGTGATGTACAACTTTGACTAATGAATTATTTTTATTAATAGGATGTCTAAAGAATCTTTTAATTTTAAACACATCATTTATAATTAAATTCTTTATAGGTTTATTAATAATTGATCCACTAAGAAAATAATAATTTTTTCTAGATGAGCTATTGTACTTGTAGGATTCTCAAAATCTGATAATTAATGAACAAGAATCATTATTCCGAATAACCTATCTCATGATTTTGATCAATCGACTAAAATAAATCATTCATTTTATTATAGAGCAATAGTTAGAATGAAGTTGATAATTATTAATATTTGTGCTTATAGAGATGTAAGGAGAGAAAATAAATTTGCATATTTTTAATGAAGTATAAAACTTAGAACAATTTTATATCTTAACAATTATCGACTTTATAAGTTTAAGATATCAAAAGAAATATATTATATTGATTTGATTAGCACAATTAAATTATTGTTATTTAGGATTGAAAATTATTAAGAGTAGTAAAGAAGGAGAATATTTGATATAAAAAAGCAGTTTGTGTTAATGTGTAATTTTCCAATTTAAACAAATCATATTTAAATCAAACCAATTCATTTATCAGCTCTAAAATAAGAAGTTAGATTTTCATGTCAAAACATTCTTATGTAATAAGAGGGACTACTTTTTAAATCTATTTTTCAAATGCTTATTAAAGTTGATTTACATTAGATTTGTGAGTATCTTAAAGATCAATATATGGTTTTTCTGTATATTTAAAATTATATGTATATGTATTGTTAAAATATTTGATTATTGCATGATTGCTGATCTACGATGTTATTATCTTATTCATTTCTTCTAAATCAAAGTCAAATCTATAAAATTATACAAAGTGATAGCTTTATTTTTCAATTTCATTTTTAACTAATTGTTCAATGTAATTTTATCTTTCTGTTTAAATTTTAGACTAAATTTAATCAAAAACCTCTACAGTCTTAACACCATCATACTATATTCTTTAGAATTAATTTGAATTTTCTAACCCTTAAACGATTTAAGGAAGATTTAAGTATAAACAATATTCGATAAAATAATGGTTAGCTGTCGTTTCTGAAGTTTTTTTCGTTTCCATTATTTTTTTAATGTCTTTTTTATAATCTAGGTCTAACTCAAACCTTTCATCAAATAATGTAACCTATTCATCAAATGAAATAGTTTATTTTTCTTTCTTATATTCATATCTCTATAAAATAGAATTGATTTCTTTAATCAATTAATCTAATTTTTTGGTACTTATTTCATGCAATATTGGATCAATAATACTTTTCTTTACATCTGCCTTTTATATTGATTTAGCTAGTATTATATTATTAAAGCAGTTATCAATAAGACCTTTTATAATTAGTAATATTTTTTATGATGAGGGAATTTTTAAATTCTCTTTTTCATTTAAATCTTCGTAATTTGGACATTAATAACCAGTGAAATGAACAGTATAATCTAATTATTGGTATTTCATGTTTAATGCTTACTCTTTATTTTTGAATTTCAGCCAAATTCTATTAGAGTCTAAATATAAATGATCGAAGTTAGCTAATTCCAATTATTAAACTTTTGTCACTAAGGATTAAACTAAGACCAATAGTTGGCCTAAATGTATTCTACCTAGATTAGATGACTATATTGACATTAATATTTACTATAAAATAAATTAGATCGCTTAATCGAATGCATTCTTCTCTATGTATTTTATATTTAATGTAATTTTCTTCTTAATTGTATGTTACTTCTCCAATCTAATCAAATTATAGTATTTTTTGTAATTCTTCCAAATTTTCATAAGTGTATACATCCTCAGAATCATATAAAAAATGTTTCATTTTTAATTTAATTATTTATCATAATATTATAAAATCCTTAGTTTGAATACAAATATTATTAAATCAAAACTTATATTTTTAATAGAACTAATTTCTTGATTTAATTTTCAAGTCATTACTTTTGCACTGAGGGCTATAGCTACAGATAACAATAAAGGAACATTATTCATTAGTTGATGATTATGAAATAAAATCAGTATTGTAGATATTAAGTATCTACTACTATTAAATAAATTAATGTATTAAGTTACTTACTAAATCTTATTCTATGTAACTTTCTGGGTATGATTTATTCAACTTTCCTTTCCAAATATAATTAATTCCCATAAATTTGCTACTTCCAAATATTCATAAATCCTGTTGAATTCTTAGGATTATTTTATTGTATTTAAAGTAATTATTATTTTCAATCAATATTTCATATTTTGGAATTGCTTTGAATTCTAATTATTTTGGATAAAAAAGCATAAATTTTAAGTTCTTTCATTTAATTCTAAATTTGTGTTAGATATAATTAATTATTAAAAATTACATAATGTCTGCGAAATTTGAAGTGATCAAATATATGTTGGTTGGATCAAACGAGGTTGGTAAGACTGCCTTTCTAACTCGAAGTTGTGAGAACAATTTTGACTCTAAATATGAAGAAAGTAAAGGAATGGATTTTAAATCCAAAATGATTGAAGATGGTAAATACAAACTTTGCATATTCGATACAGTATTATGTTAAATCTACAGAATAGCCTGGACGTGAAAACTTAAGATACGCTTCATATGGATTCTACAAATCAGCTTTTGGTTTTGTTTTAATTTTTGATCTTACAAGGTAAAAAGTACTCTATAAAAATGATAGGCCTTATACTTTAGCAGATTTGAAAGATGATATGACTAAGATTGTAATGCATGCACCTTAAAGTATGAGTTGATTGAAAATTTAGACGTCGAATACGTATTAGTTGGAAACAAATCTGATTAATCAGACCATCATTATTACAGAGAATCACAAGAAGAAGCACAAAAAATGGCAAATGAATTACATATTCCATATTTTGAGATTTCTTGTATGACAGGATAAAATGTAGACTTAGTAATTGAAGACCTCACAAAAAGAGTTTTGGTTCAAATGAAAAATGGAAATTTGAGTCTTTCATCATCGAATTCGTAATAAAATCGTTTGAGAGATGAAAGAATTAAAACTGAAGGAGGATGTTGTTGTAAGATTTTTTGAATTTGTACATTATATTGTATATCAATGTTATTTATAGAAATTTTTGTAAATGACTCGTTTTTCTGAACATCAGAAACGATAGCTTAAATCAAATGCTAATTTCTACAATAGGCTTTGTTATTTTCAGCATTATTTGATACCAAAGAGGATTAATTAACATAGCCTACAAGTTATTTCGAGTTTTGGGGACTCAATCTTGAATTAGAAATAATAATGCCCTTCTAAGTTCGCTATTGGCTCTTTACTACATAGGATTTTAACTTCTAAATGAGGTTTATTAAAAATAACTAACCTTAAGTTATAAAAGAACAACTTTCAAAAGCAAATTGATTTTAAGAATTAATAATTAACATTATTTTAGAATCATCAAATAAAACTACTTTTTATATTGAAGATAGCAAAGCAATTATCACCTCTAGCTACTCTCATTTTAGGTTTGCTTACAATCAGATGAGATTTCAACTTCTATATTGCAAATAAAGAACGATAAAGAAATAGCAGATTTATATATCTAAATAATTTATTAATATCGAATATTATTCATAATAATAATGAATTTTAATAAATTGAATTTTGAATCTATGCTGAGATAGAAGAATTATTTAATATAATTAATTCAATAAATTGTAATTAATATGTTTATTTATTAAATTTTTTAAATTTTCAAAGGTTATGATAATTATTCTTTTATGTTTTAATTGTTGAATAATGTATATTTGAAAATTAATAGTAATTTATTAAAAAGACCTATGTAAATTTAAACAACAAATTACAAATATAAATTGAATAATAAAATCATTTCATAATTCTCAAGGTAGTTTCTTCTAATTAACTTATTCTGAAATGTGGACAATATTTGATAAATCAATCATGAATATTGGCCAATTTGATATTATATATTAATGATGATAACACGTGTCTTATGTTCTTCTAAACTATTTGTTAGTCTTATCAATGATTTAGTAAAAGCAAACTGACACATGAGTTATTTTTGAATATAGAACTGTCTCTTATAATTTGATTTTGAAAATGATCACGTTGATTTAACAGTTAAATATTTATCAATTATTTATAAAATCCGTTAATTTATCTCTTTTCTTAAGTTAGATATTTAAAGTTAAAAATTCAATTATTTTGGCTTAATATATGGGTATATGTGAATCTCACACATAAGACTATTTAGAAAAGTTTTAGGATAGCAAATAATCTGTTCCTTGTCAATACTATACCTAAACTTAACAAAATAGAATTAAAGTGCCTGTTTTAAGTTCAGCAGCTTAAAATACACTATATTCGAAAAGACTAATATAAGGACCCAATAAGATTTGCGAAAATATGCAATAAGCAATTGAGTTATGAAATTATTCATTTTTGTGTTCTTCTTCTTATTTATTTTGTGTATATAATGTTTTTAATGGTTTATGAAAAAATAACAATTTTAGAAATATTATAATAGAAAAATAACTGAATCCATCTAAGATGCAAGCACTGACCCTTTACATTAATTTTTCTATTAAACCACATATTAATTTATAAACATGAAATTAATTTTTATATTATTGCAATAATTTTGAAACCGAATTCATAGAAACACCGAAAGCCTTATTCAAAGCTAATCAGGATTAATCAAAAATATATAGACCATAATAAAATGTGATTTAATTAGGATTGCTGATAAAGAAAGATTTAAGAGCTGGAAATTGAAATAAAGTATACTATAGTTTATTATCACGGAACCTTTATTAGGGTTTTGAGTTTATCAATTATCTTCTATTCGTTATATTTATAATTTGCTGCGTCTTCCTTTTTAAATTAATTATCATAATAGAATCCCATAAGACTGCAAACACGATACCCACATGAATAACTATCTTTTTATTGACCAGAATGTTAATGTTCAATAAGTTCAGGATGTTCTACATTAAGAATTTAGGCAATTAAGCCTATTTCTTCTTTAAATGATAATTTTTTGTTAGGCATAGAATCAAAAACAAAAACTTTTTCAGAATTTAAGTTAAATAATAGGAATAACCAATGAGTATTGTTGTTATTAATTGGGAATCCAACATAGTGATACAATAATGAGAGTTTAAAATTTATTTATTTAAATTAAGGTTTTTCTTATTCAAATAAGTCTCTTACTTTTTACAAATTAAACTCTGTACCAAAGTTTGTGGTTAGACTTGAAGGAAAAAATAGAATTCTTCTAATGGAGCTTCTTTCATCCATCGTTAAATTGAAATAATGCTCTTCTCCAGATTTGTTTAGATAAAGTACATAACTATCAATGATACTGCTTGTCATCCATCTCTTTTCAGACAGTATATTCACATCATCAGTAGTTAAAATTTAATTGAACTTACAGAACTATTGTAACTTTTAATTTTAATTCCTCAAATATTAGTTATTACCTGAATGATGTTTATTTAGTTATTTATTTGTGTTTGCATCAAAAATCTTAATCTCCATTTTTCTATTTTCTTAAAACCCATTATTTTAATCATTCATCAAGTTATTTGATTATTCCTCAAATTCTTTCATTATGCCATGTGATTGTTTAATGGGTGGAAGTATTAGGTTGAACTTCTTTTATTCTAAATCGACTTAAAATTTCCCTTATGCAAACTCAAATTTAGGATTTGTATCCTAGTCATATTTCGTCATATATAATTCACCATCACAATTGAGATCGTTAGGTTTACTCTAATTAACTGTTGAACTCTTTTCACAATAGTAAAACAAAATATTTGTAAAGATTATTAGTTTATCGTATTTCTCAGTTTCGATCTCCACTCTATCGAAATCTTAATAGTATGTACAATTCCGAGGTTTTTAATTGTGTTCATTATTTTTTATATGAGCTCGATTATCATTCACTCCATTATTATTCTCGACGTCTTAATAATACTTCGGATTGATTTTTTCTGAATTGCTAGGTTTCTGAGGCCTGTCTGGGTCAATTTTGTTTGGCCTGCCTCCAAAACAACAACAACAACAATAACGAAAAATATACATCTTCTTAGATATTGATTAGACTTTTAATAAACAAATTTATAATATAAAGGTAGGCTAAAACTTATCAAATAAAACCTATTACTCAAATTTAGCAAGAGAAGAAGTAAGATTATGCAGCATCTTGCTTCTTTTCATCTTATATTAAGTCTAATCCATATTCTAAATTGACGAAGCTATTAATGTATGCTCATCGAAACCATGAGTGAAGAGAAGGTATCTCTTTATTAGGACCTAAAGAGCGCCTCTAGTTTTCTCAATAATGATACTCTAATAACATTACTTATTTAAGAATAACAATTGATAAATGCATTTTTGAGAAAATATCTACCAGAGAGCAACAAATAAATATTGATAAACTCTGGTGAGAGCAGCAACGTTTATTATACCCTTAGAAGATTACTATATATCCTACTATAATATTGCAATCTTAATTGTGTTATTTTAATAATAATAACTTCTGTAAAGAGATGAAAATAAAATGTAATGTTAATATTTCCCTATATATAATATGAAAATCAAAATCATGCCATTAATCCCAAAAGACCGAGTGAAATGGCTGACAAGATGAAAGCACTGTCGGTGGTAGTTGTTCCGTTGTCTGTTCCATTGTTGGTTCCATTAGAGTTATTTGGAGTAACAGATCCTGAGATGCAGCTTTCACATTTATTAGTAGCAGAATTCCAACTATAAGTGTAAGCTGATTTGGTGTAGCAAATCTTGGCATCTGTCATAGTTCCTGGGTCAGCTGCAGCACATTTTCCACTTTGGAGTACGCAAACAGTGGATGAGGTACCATCAAAGCTTGGAATTGGTCTGCAGTCGGTTCCTGTGGCGAAGGTATCACAAGTGTGACTGGCACAAGATGTTCCAGTGGAGTTTTCAGTCCATTTGCATGATTGATTGGTTGTGCAGGCTAATTTATCTTTGGCTGCATCAGCACATGTTGTGAATGTCTTGCAAGTTCCATTGACCTTATCGGTTCCAGTGGGAGTGAAGGCACAAACAGTTGCTTTATTGCTTTCTAAGCCACCTCCATTACAAGAGGTAATGTTCTTATAGGTTGAGCAAGCAGCCTTGGCGATGCAACTGGTTCCATTGGATACGCAAGACTTTCCTGAGATAATGCCTGTACAATTAGCATTTGATGTTCCTCCAGTGATGTCTTCACATTGCTTCTATCTGCAGGCCTTGGTTCCAGTGGTAGCTCCAACTGGTAATGCAAAGGTACATTCTCCGTCGGTTCCAGTGAAACATCCAGCTTCAAGATAGCTTGAGCAAGTGGATAATGGGATGCATTTGGTTCCATCGGTTGTGCATGACCCTCCTGTGACAGAGATGAGTTTGCATTGGTCATTTGTACCCTTTAATTCATCACTGCACTCCTTCAATTTGCAAGTGTTAGCTGTGGCATTCCAATAGCAAATACCATCGGTTCCATTGTTATTGCAAGCTGTTTATGTCTTGTAAGAAGCACAAGTTGTTTTGGCAATACATGCTGTTCCATCAGTAATACATGAAGGTCCATAAGAGATACATTCGTCATTGGTAGCAGCGACAGCGTCTGTGCATTGTCCAAACTTCTAACACTTTCCAGTTGGCAACCATCCACAAGCACCATCAGTTCCAACAACACAAGAAGCCTTATTTGCTGTATTGGCACAAGATGTGATGGGTATGCAGGTTTCTCCGTTGGTTGTGCATAATGGTGAGAATGCTTAGCATTCGGAGTGTGACTTTTTGACTGCATCTTCACATCTATCATAATCGTAACATTGTGAATTAACCCAAAGACATGGTCCAGCCTTAGAAATGAGGCAGAATAATTTATTAGTGAATTCAGTACATGAGGTTCCAGCCACACAACCAGTTCCATTTGTCTTGCAACCTGCCAAGAAAGTGTTACACTCATCGTCAGTAAGACCATTTTTGTCACTGCAAGCTCTGGCTCTGCATTTATTATTGATAGCATCCCAACCACATCTTTGGATTCCATCCTTGGATGTTGAGGCAGCTACACAAATAGATTGAGTCTTGTATGTTGAACATGTGGAAATAGTTATACAGCCAGCTCCAGTTGTTGTGCAATTGTCAGCAAAGCCTTGGCATTGAGCATGGGAAGTATATGTTGCTGGTTGATCTTCACAGACTTAAGCTCTGCAAGTTGAGCTAGACTCTTACCAAGCACAGAACTTGCCATTGACTTTAGAATTGGTACATTATGAGTAACCTTGACCATTGAAAGTAGAGCATGTAGTACTTGAACTAGCGCATAAATTGGCCCATGTGCATTCCTCTCTCAATTTGCATGAGGCTTGGGTTGTTAAATTTGAGCATGACTTAGCAGTAGAACATCCATAACCAGTTGTGTAGCAAGATGAATGATATTTCTAGCAGTCAGCATCAGTGTTAATAGTGTTAGGTGCTTCTGTGCATACTCTCTTAGCACATGCTCCTTTGATGGTTCCTACTGTAGTAGCTTTGCATGGACCATCTTTGGCCAAGAATGTGGGACATGTCTCTTCAGTTCCATTGAATTAACTGCAAAGCTTTCCATATTCAATACAACCAGTTCCATCATAAACGCAGAAAGGATCATCTCCTTTCTTTAATACTGGCATACCACTCTAACATTCATCGTTGTTTTTACCAGATATATCAGTGCACTTCTTCTTGGCACAACTAGCTGTTTCCAATGCAGTTGCAGAATTCCAACAATAATCCTTGCCTGAATTTCCCATGAATTTAGCGCAAGTTGCTTAAAGTCCCTTAAACACAGTGCATTATGATGTTGCATCAACGCATCCAGTTCCTTTGGTAATACAACCTTTCATATAAGAAGCACAGTCAGCATCTGTGGTAGCTATCGTATTGTCTGCGCAAGTTCTAGGTTTACAAACACTAGTGGCAGTGTTACTAGCATCACCAGAACAATATACGTAAGTTGGATTCTTATCAGTATCTAATCCAGTGTATTATTTGAAGGTTTCACATTATGTTTTGGTTCCTCTGTATGATGAGCATGCAGCTGTATTTGGAATGCATCCCGTTCCACGTGTGACACATCCACTCAAATAGGTATCACAATCAGAATCAGTTGTGGCTGTAACATTGTCATAACAAGTTTTGTTCACACATGCAGTAGATGTGGTGGTAGCAGTAGCCAATGGTCTGCATCTATCCTTACCTGTTGGATCCAATAAACCATTGCAATAATCTCCTGAACCATTGAATGAAGTACATGCAGTATTTATTGCAACACACTTGGTTCCATCAGTCTTACAGCCTTTAAGGTAACTTTAACAATCAAAATCTGTGTAAAACTATTTATCGCCGCAGGCTCTATCTTTACATTTTGAATTTGCTGAATCCCAAGCACAATAGTCTCCAGTGGAGTTCTAAACTCCTTCACACCAAGTTTATTTTGCTGTAGCATCATCACCTACTGCTGAGTAACTACCACAAGAAGTCTTTGAGATACATTTGCTCTAATAATAGAGACAGTCAGCTGCATTACTGCTACATTCTGTGGCACTGGCATTATTATCAGCACAAGTTTATGCTTTGCATAACTTAGGTGAAGTAGAATCTACTATGCATGGATATCCAGTAGTTGACTTAACTGCTTTACATTAAGCTTCCTCTTTACCCCCTTCAGGTCCATATTCCGCTGTAGATCCCCCATTATATTGATCACATGTATTCAATTTGACACAGAAATCACCCCAAATGTATGTACATTACTTTCCAGCTTTATCAAGTAAAGTTCCACAAATAGCACTTTTATCTGTTGCATCTTTCACACTAAACTTATCGCATACATCTACTTCTGTACAATAAGCACCAACTGAATAAGTACATTTATTTCCAAGATCAATACCTTTGCAGTATGATTGTTTATCACTTAATGCTGATCCGACAGCTGGAACTACATCGCAAGTTGCGTCATCATTGACACATGTTCCTCTAAAGTAAAAACACTTTAATCCATTTGAATTGAGATCGCAATCAATTTAGGATGCTGGACTTGATATATCTTAGCAATCAAAGTCTCTACATTTGTCTTTTCCTGCTGTGAATCCACACTTTTTACCAGTAGCGGTTATCTTACTCAAACAATAAGTTTTTCTTGCTTCATCACCTGCTGGTACTGTGTAAGTATCACAACCAGCTGCATCAGCACAAGCTGTTTATGTTGTTTCATTATACTAATCATAAGTGCAAAATTTAGATGATCCATTACTTGAGAAGATTTAACAATATGCTGTTTTTTCACTTGGACTAATACTAGTAGCATCAGCGAATGGGACAATAGTTGTTTTTGCACAATCTCCTGCATTGGCAATTGTAGCTATATTTGGTGTTCTACATTTAGTAGCTGCGAATACACATCCCTTTAAATGTAAATCACAATCTCCTTAGCTACCTGGGGATGGGATGTCTTCACAAGTTCCTCCTGTTTTACAAACACTATCGGTATCTTTTTTACAGAGTTTCGTTTTATCATTCGATGATAAAGTTGGACAGACATTTTCAGTTGACGTTGTGGCTCCATTAAAGTTAGCACCTGTCCAAGCATCAGTTAGATTTATAACACAATTAGTATTAGCTCCAGTTTGACAACCTGAGCCATCTTTTTTAATCTCACAGAATCCCTTGCTTGTTTCATACATTGCTTTACAATAATTCACCTTTTTGAGATCTGTGTCTACACCAGTTGGCCATGTTGTTGGGCAAGATGCCATAGAATCATAACATTTAGAAGCATAATAATAACATCCTGTCTTTTTTTTGTCACAATCACTTTAATTGGCTGGTGATGATATAGCACTGCAAGTCATTGCTACGCAGGATCCACCACTTACCCAAGTACACCAAGAATATACTGCAGTTCCAGTACCAAAATTAGTAGTTGCATCTACTGGTCTCAAAGATTCACAGACTGTCTTTTTATTTGCATCAGTAAGCCCTGTTTCTAGAGTAAAGGATGAACATTAAGTCACAGTAGATAAACATTTTGTGCTTGGACTAGGTCTTTGGCATGTTCCTTTTCCATAAGTTTGTACATCATTACATGCCGCAGTAGATGTCTAAGATACTACCTTTTCACAAGTGTCTTATGCACTACAAGCTGAATCTCCAGATTTAAATGAGCAAAATACACCAGTCTTGTCTTTTAATTTCTAACAATACCCTAATTTATCAGAATCTGAGATTCCAGAGGGGAAAGTGTATGCACAATCTGTTTTATCCTATAAATAACAATAAGTTCCAGCTGTTGAACATACATCATCGCCTGCAGTGGATACATTCTTTTACAAATAGGTATTGCATGCTAAGGTAGTATAGGTGCTCAAAAATTAGTCACAAGTTCTATCTGAACACTTAGATGCTCCTTTTGTATACCCACATAGTATTCCACTTGCATTTTTTGTGCCTGTACAATAATCAAACTTTTATTGTTCAGTTGTTGCTGTATCAGGAATGGTGTAACTATTACAAGCAGTTGCTTCGATACAGGCAGATCCAGCCTTTACGAATCTACATGTTGATTTGTAATCGTAACAATCCTGGGCTGTTGAAGGGGTGGTTTTTTCTGTGCATGCTCTAAGTTAGCAAGCATCATATTTGACACATGCAATCTTATTCCATTTTGAATCTACTTATATTCCACCAGTGTAATTAGAGCATGAAGTAACTGTTCCTGTTTATTATGCGCAGGTTCTTGAGTCTCTCTTAACACAGCCTCCTTCAGATTTAGCAATACATCCTGACAAAAAGGTTTCACAATCTTCATCTTTGGTGGCCAATGTATTATCTGTACATTGTCTTACAGTGCAAGCACCTGATGTTGATGTTCCATAACAATATCCAGCACTATTATCCTTAACGATAGCAGTGGAACAAAAAGTTTAAACACCTGTATAGCTTGCACAAGTAGTGTCATCAGCTTTGGGATCAACGCATCCTCCATTTCCATTATAAACACATCCATCTAGGAATTAACCACATGTGCCTTCATTTTGGTTTGTAGCCAATTTGCATGTCTTCACTTAACAGAAATCATTTTCAGTTGCAGTTGATGTGTTGTAACATTGATTTGTTACCAAGGTTTCAAATGAAGATCCACTCTTAAAAGCGTATAATTTATTGCATGTCTCCTATGTTCCTTTCATTGATGAGCAGGTGGAGGTGTAATCAACACAGCCCTTTCCATTGCTAATACAACCAGGCAAGAATGAAGCACAAGTAGCATTATCAGTAGCATCAGTATTATCTGAGCACTTCTTTTAGATACAAGCAGTAGTTTCGGTGGCTGAAGATGTATTGGTACAATAACCTGGGTAGCTTTAACAAGTGGCTTGAGTTCCAAACAGTTTACTGCATTCATATTTGGTTATGCATCCATCAACTCTATTACTTATGCAAGTAGGTAGTTCTGCTTAACAATTAGCATCATTATTATAATAAGCTCCTGTTAAATCTGAGCAAGCCAAAACTTTGCAACTATTATTTAACCAGCCGCATTTTGTAGATACATAAACGTAGATGGGATTTCCCTTATCATCATTCTTGACAAAAGTTTGGACTCTAGCTTGGTTGGCCAAACAAATTGATTTCTTCTTAAAATCAGAACATTATGCATTACTAGTACATATTGGTTACCAGGAACAGTTATCAGTACCTTCGCAACTTTGTTATTTTACTGTCAAATCACAAGTAGTTTATGAAACACATCCAGATCCTGTTGTTACACACTTAGTGAAATAATTGGCACAGAGAGTGTTGGTATTCACAGAACTTGGTGCAGATGCACAATCTCTAGCAACACATTTGGTTCCACTCTTCCATGTACATTTTCCTTCAGATCCCACTCTTGATTAACAACTGGTGGAGTCTCCGTCATAAGTAGTACAAGATTTCAAATTGGTTTTAGAAATACATCCTTTTCCTGTAGTAACACATCCAACCTAAAATTTGGCACAAGCTTCGTCTGTTGTAGTTGTATCTGGAGCATCATCACAGACCTTTGGTGCGCAAGCAGCATCGGCTGTTGTGCTTGTTCCTTTGCAATAACCATCAGTACCAACATAAACTGCACAAGTTGTAGCAGTTCCCTTGTATGTGTTACATGCTGATAGCGATGAAACACAAGTTTTTCCGTTGGTCTTGCAAGTAGATTAATATTACTTGCAAAGATCATCGGTATTAAATGCACCATTTTCACATTTCCTAGATCTACACTTAGAACCTCCAGCATCACCTTCACAAACTCCATCTGATCCAATATATCCAACGCATGTAGTGTTATCACCTGAGTATGAAGAACACAAAGGCTTGGTTGTTGCTTAAACACAACCTTTACCAGTTGTTATACATCCTTTTTGATAGGCTTTACAGTCATCATCAGATGCTAATGATTAAGGAGCATTTGCACATTCTTTGGCTTTGCAATTTGTTGTACCAGCTGCTAATTCACAATTTCCGTCTGATCCAAGATAGGATTAACAGGCTGCATCATCTCCAGTGTAAGTAGTACATGATGGTCTTGGAGAGTTAACACAACCTTAACCTTTTGTCACACAACCAGCTAACCAAGCTGAACATTTCTCATCGGTATTCAAACTGACATCAGCTTCAGAACAGGAGTAATCTCTACAAACTCCAACAGTAGTGTCCCACTTGCATTTCAAAATTCCTGAGATACTTGGGGTTGTTTCGCATTATGTTTAAGAGTAATCTTTGCAGACTTTGGCTTCAATGCATGCATTTCCATCAGACACACACAAGAAGGATATTGCCTAGCAATCTGTTGTTGTTGTTTTAACATATGCTGGACATCCTGCAAAATGTGTACATTTTGAGTCAATATAAGCACATCCCAAGGTTTTAGCACAATTTGTTTCTGGCTTATCAACAAGCTCGCAGTAAGGTTTGAATGAGGTAGTTGGGTCTACTGTTGTCTTTTTCTAGCATTTTGCTGCTGTAGTTCCAGATGCAGCTACCCATTCACAAGCTCCTGTGACTGTTACTTCTTATTCACAATCACTTTGTGATTTCAATTAACCACAGTCATTACATTAGTTTTTCTGTTGCACTTACTATGTTAGCACCATAGCAATTAAGCAAATGAAAATTAAATTCTTCATTAAAAGTATTAATAGTTTATCTATTATTTAAGGGGGTTAAATAGAAACAGCAATGTTAATTTTTTCTAAAATTATTAATTGTGCAATAATTTCATATATTATTTTTAGAGAATTTTATTATATTTTAAATCAGCCTTATTTTCATTAATAATTATTATAAATTTTTTGATGTAGGAGGCTGTGTCGTAACATAAAGAAGCACAGTAAATGTCTTTCAATTCTCTTCTAGGATAGTATTAAATTTTTATAAAAATTAAGGTCTTTTTGCTCAACAAAATATCTCTATGGCCCCAATGATGCTTTTTTTAGAAATAATAGACTTAGTAATTCAATTATAAATACAGTAAGGCTGAAAAAAAAGGCATCTAATACGAAATATAAGCATTTTCAATATCCTTAATTGAAGAAAGATGAGAAATCCCGAAGATAATAACTAAGAAAAAAAGTTGTTAACAAAAGCTACATTTGTTTTTCAAATGTTTCGGAAGAAATTCATTTTTAGAATCAATAGAATCTCTTCATAGACTCAAATTTAACACTAATAAGTGATTGAGAGAAATTCTGACTAAATAGAAATATTCTTAAAAGTATCAGAAAAAATTTTATATTAAGAATACAATCGTGAGTGTGAATTACAAACCAAAAGCAGAATGCTGATGGGTAATTAGATTCCTTTTTGTGCTTATAAGAATGATAATCATTATTTGTGTCAATTTATACTTATTTTGATTTTTAATTAGAACCTGAAAATTTTCTAGAAAACACGTTATGATGTTAATAGGCAGGAAAACTTCTAAGAATCTAAAATTAATATTTTGTAAAGATAAATCACTCACAAAACATTTCTCCATTGTCATAAAAATGTTGGATTTTTAAAGATAAAAAACTACCAAAAAAATCTAAATGCCGTAATGGAATATTAATGTAGGATAAGGTTTTATAGGCTATGTAAAATGATTTTCTAAATAAGAACATCAATTATGAAGAATTTGGTCTATTAAGAATTTTCTAATATTACGTGTATTAATTATTTAATTAATTATATTATAATATATTATATTATATGAATCCACTTAATATATAAAGTGAAAATAAAGACTCAGAAGTAAAAGAAGACGAGGGGGTTTAGAATGAGTAGGAAGAGCCTAGGACATTCACTAATTTAAGTATTGAGGACAAGATCAAGTAGAAGAAGATTAATGATGATCATCTTGAGAGGAATAAAAAGAGATTAATTAGATAATTTACAATTCTATTCATTATCACCCTATTCATAATATTAGAAAGAATTCTGTATTCAATTATAGTAGGGGTTGAGAATGAGCTGTTGAGTGATTTCCAGAGCTTATTCAATTTAAGAAAATCAAAGCTAACTGAGTTTGACGAAATGGATTACTTTAATGATAATTTTTTATTTGATATGGCAGGAAGTGTACATAGAAATGGTATATCTATTATGATATTCACAAATTACTTTATTACTTTATATGTTGGATTTGATGCATTGATTGCTGTTAAAATATTATATACATCTTATTTGAGCGTATTTTTGGTAGCATTCTTATAACTGATATATTCAGATCCAAGACCATTTTGGATGGATGAGAAGGTATAGTCATTTATAAGAATAAGTTAGTGACTTCACTTTGTATACCAAGTTATGGAAATCCATCATCATTTGTTTGTCAATTGGCATTCACTTTGTTTTATACGGTATACTGTTACAAGACTAAGAATCATACAAGGTCATTTAAGACTTATGATGAGAAGATCGATAGAAAAATAAAAATAGTTTAACTCTTCATAGCACTATTTATTTTTCTGTATTCTATATTGTTATTTTTAATGGCTTTATAATATTTGATAAATATGATTTTAGGTTTGATTTATTGTTTTGTATTTTATGCATTTTATGTGACCTTTGAGAATTAGATCAACAATATAATCAAGCATTCCACCATAATGAACATAGTAATAATTAAAAATTTAAGATTTTAGGATTCAAAGCGATATGTGTTTTACATATCCTTCTTCCTGTTGATAACGGAGACGATAGCAGCAATGTTGATATCCAATGAGTATGAATTGGTCAACATAGAGTGGGCCAATAATTTTATGAATTGTCTCTACATGACAGATATCAATGCAATGAAAATACCTGCATAATTGTTGATGGGACCTCACTTTACATTCTAAAAAACAAGTGTGATCTTTGCTTTGATTGGTGCTTTGTTTGGAGTTTCACATTGCTTTAGACACATAAATTCACTGGAATGGTACAAGGGGGATAAGAGAAGAAGAGTTCTAAGAATAATAGTGGCTAACTTGTTTACAATCCCAGGATGGATTTTTGCATTGAATGTGGAATCGATTGCTTTGAATAGTCGAATGTATGAGTGGGGAGCCTCGTTCTTTTTGGTAATGTCATTGAATTTGATAGTTCATAGATGGAGAGTGTGGCGTTTCTGCTGTTCTATTTCTTTATGTTCGCACTGATCCCATTGTATGTGTTCAAATATTTACACTTGAATGCTTCTAGTTCATCATCATATGTGGTTGTTAAATTATCTGAAGATGATTGATTTTGTTATTAATTATTATAATAAATATAATGGCTTAGTAGAAAGGGAAGAATAAAATAAATCATAGACAGCGGTAGGGAGATTGGATATGTGGTAGCTGCAATAATATGAATTTCGCATTTAGAGACACATGCAACAGATGTCATACGTAGAAGAATTATAAAGATAAAGATAATGAAAATAAGGGATTCAAATCTGCTTTGTTTTTGACAGAGAGCAATGGTGATATTCCACCAATATCTGATAGATCTAATAAATCTTCTGGAGAGAAAAAAGATAATGGCAACAATAAGTTCTCATTTGATAAATTACCATCGATGGAACCAATCTTGAAATAGATTACAAAAGAAACATGTAAAAAACAATTAAATTAGAAGAGCAAAAATATGATTTATTTGAGTTTGAATGGTAGTGCTAAAAATGCGAAAAGATTAATTAATACTATAAAATTCACTGTGCTGAATGCGGAGCTCAAAGGTACAGAAAATTAACAGTATGATTTTTATAACCTAAATGGGGGTTTTTTGATAAAAATGCTTTAAATTCTCTTCTTTTTATTCTCAATTTTAGAAGGGGGTTAAACAAGATAAAACAATATAATAAATAAATTATTTTTACTTTATTAATAAAATTTAACTGTTAAGATAATGAAAGACATGTCCAAGAAGATCTTTGAAAAAGAGAATTAAGCTGAGGTCTCTAATAACCCTAGGCATTAGAATAAATCACTAACCCAATTGGTCTCACTATCCTTGATTGGTGGAAATAGAAGTAATAATTCAATAAAATATCCATAAGAAAATGACTTGAAGGCTCTTGAACTCAAAAACAATTACACATCCATCTCTTCTCGTCCCCTTGTTTTCTGTAAACCAGAACCTAAACTAAAAACCCAAACCAATTCCTCTCCATAAAAATAATCCCCTGTAAAGCCTAAATAAGTGGAAACACAATCAAATGAGTTGTGTAAATTGATCAACAACTATTCAGAACCCATTTTAGATTATTATTTGGAATTGAATGTATTTATTTATAGATTAAACAAAATAGACTCTTACACCAAAGAATTGCTTATCCAATCACACAGTAAGTGCAAATTTGAGAGCAAAGATGGTTGATTGGATGGTTGAAGTACTCACTTCATATAAGTGCAAAGATTAAACCTTCTTTTTAGCTGTTAAATTGATGGACTCCTATTTAGCTAAAACAACATAAAAGCATGTCCCTCAAGATTTACATTTAGTTGGTGTGACTACTATGTTTATGGCTTGTAAATTCGAAGAAATCTACCCAGTCAAATTATAAGTTGTACACGAGAAAATTGCACACAAGAAACTAACCAAGGATGAAATTAAAGATAAAGAAACCAGTATTCTAAGCAGTCTAGACTTTAATCTAGTTGGCATTACTGTGCTAGATGTCATTACAATTGTACTCTCCATATTGAATATGAGTCAATAGTTATATTAAATAACACTCTATCTTGCTAAATTAGTAAATACATTTTATTTATTTTAGGCACTTTATGACTATGAATTTGTCAACAGCCACTCTTATGCTCAAATCGCCTGTGCTGCCTTGATTGTCAGTGCCAAAATTGTAGAGCAAATTGATTAATCACTTTCATCTGAGGTAGTAATACCATTGATAGTTTCAACTTTGAAAATGGACAACTCTGATGCCATGGACTCAGCCAATAAATTATTGAGTGTGGCCAAAGGATTTGAAAAACTGTATCCGAATCTGGAAAATTTAAAGAAATTTAGTAAATTTCAAATGTCAGATATTTTAAAAACCTAACCTTGAATTTATATGTATATATTACTTTGATATTAATATTATTTTTAAATGGTTAAATTGGCTTCCAATAGAAGTCCGGTGGTGAAAGCCATCGATTCTACCTGGAGCATAATTCGGGCTCTATATTTTGCCGTGATCCTCTTCCTTTTCACCTTAATTGGGATGAAGAAGGAATCCAATAAATATACGAAGGAGGAATTAAATTATATTATTGATGATAGTAATGATTGCAATTGATTATTTATAGAGATGCCTTTCAAGCGAAAACCTAAGGATGATGACGATGATGATGGCGGAAAGGAAGGAACTAAGCCCAAGATTGTCAGAGGGCTGGGAGGAGGAGCCGAATGCAAGAGCTGAGGCTGAGCTGCACTTTTAATAAAACAAAGGATTTTATAGTAGCAAACACAACAGCTACTAGTATGACGATTTTCTTAAGAACTCCAGACTCGTTGGAATTAAGGAATCTGAGCAATAAAAACCTTTGTTTTTAATATATATTTATTTAAACATACTATTCTTAATATGTTAGAATTATTTTGTGATTATAATACCCCTCTATTATTAAATAAAGAATTCGCATTATCGGCATTCTATCAACATTATGGAGCTGTTTTATATTATCCGGTCAACAGTTTAAAATGTAGAATTCTAAGAAAATTGGAAAATTTGGAAATTTAAATTGGAGATTGAGATCGAAATGTGTATAATATCATCAAGTTCTGAGAAAAGGTTAAGGCAAAGGGTAAAATTAAGGGTAGGATTAGATTGGTTGAAAAGGGTAGGGACTGGTGGATACTGAATCGAATTCCTGCTTGATTTAAATTTAGGGCTTTGGGTCTAGAATCTATTTGAACACCATCTGTGAGGAGAGCAACAGATTTTGCATGAGCTATTGTTGGACTAAACTGGCTTTTTTAATTTCTGAGGTGAGAGCTTGGGTGAGCTTCTGGTATTGGGATGATATGAGTTATTTTTATTCGTTAGCCAAATTTAGTTGATCAATCAGGGATGGCTGCTTGTCTACGTACATCTAGAATTTCTGAAATGAGTAATTACTTAAGTATTATCGGATTGAATGCACAATGGTTGAACTTAGAGCGTGAGGGGATTCAAGACCGATACTTTGAGTATGCTCTGCACTTTGAGTTTCTTTTTTCTGGTTTCCTTTTTTCCTATACGGCCATCCTATTCAAATGCTTTTTGGATTGTTCTCACTGTACAATACTTTAAATTAAGTTTGTTGGCTACCTAGAAATGAATAGTTGAATAAACAATATATATAGTAGTATATATAGATGAATTATTTGGGGGAAAATGGCGAATACCTCTTGGAGTGATAATTTTTCCTTTATTAGCAACTCTAAGACAATTTTGCGCTATTCTTTATCAATTTTTTAGTATTTCTTGGTCTGCTTTAGCACTTCTGAACATTCTTGTGATTTAACCATATTTATGAAGAATCTTTTGCTTTTATTTATATTTATAAAAATATTTTAAAAATCAAATCTGCTTTTAATTTAAAATAAGATTCAACCTTGGTTATAATCAAAAACATTAAAATGTTTCAAATCACGATATTATTCATATATGTAATAAATAAAATGGATTTCTTCTATTTTTAAATCTTAAGTCAATATTTATTAGTTATAATTTAGAAAATTATTCAAACACAATTATAGTAATTCAATTTATAGAAGATAAATCTAACTTAGGTTTTATTTGCTTGTGTTCGCTAATACTCTTCTTCTATCTGTAGGCATTGGATGTAATTCTTTATTTGTTGCAAATAATATTGAAATTATTAATGAATTGTCTGCAATGATCGTAATTCTATTCAGTTATTTATTGAGAGATAGTCTTTGAGTTTAATTTGATCTATTCTTTTTTTAAAATTGAGCAGGTGTCAATAGTATTACTGAGATAACTTTCTTTGTCAAAGGGTAGTTTTTGTTTCCGAATAAAATCAACTAATTTTAGCGGTTATTTGCTAGAAATGGTTTGATGCTATGTGTCATTAGTTTCTTGTATCTTCTTTTTAAGATAAGTATTCTCTTCAAGTAGGTGCTTTTTCTACTCTTATAACATGGCAATTTCCTTCCTTAGTTGCTAATAAATGAATTTGAAGTCATACGTGTATGAGGTTCTGATTAATAGTATTTTATTGAAATTGTTCTAATTGCTGTTAGAGTTGCTCACAATAGAGTTTAATTTGTTGTTCAGTCTAATGATGAGAATGATGAATTTACTCTAATATGTTTTCTGATTTCACTCTCATACTTTTAAACTTACTTCTCAAGTTCCTGATAATCTTGATTCTGTAAATTTTGGAGTATGGCACCTTTGATGTACAGCAGCTGGGCATCCAAGTCTTTGAAAGAGTCTGAAGAGGGTCCTTCTAACTTATAAATGTGGTATATTACTCATACCAGTTCAAGTATGTCTTTTAATATATTTTAAGACATTTTAATTATTTAAGATATGAATAGACGACTTGTGCAAATGTTTAGCAAATAATTGGGCTAAGTACCGAGATTCTTTGCATCGAATGAACAGCCAATGATTTTGAGAAATGAGAAGACAGGCTATTATGTGAATCCAGAAGCTGTTGCTCGTCGAATGATAAAGGTGATTAGTTTGCACGACGACGTAAGGAATCCCTCTGCAATCACCTTGCAATCCACATGGACTGACATTGGTTTGTCAGACATGGCCTACGTAGAAGTACCCGACATATAAAATATATATAGGTAATGGTGGAAGTTGAAAGAGAGTTTGAAATAGAATTTCCAGACGCTGATGTGGAGTGTTTCAGAACAGTCAATGATGCAGTAGAGTATGTGGCAAGGAGCTTCTTCGCTGTTTGATTTAAAAGCACATAAAATAAAATAAAACACAATGCTAATATTGTTAATAATTGGTGTGAGTGCTGTCAATGTCACGCTCTTCTCAGCTGATTCCGCACTCTACTCTCCCCAGTTTTGTCAGATGCGCAATTCGAATCGGGAAGGCAAAGATTGGTTGGAAACCATCTTCGCTTTGTCTGAGAAGGGACGAATTTACAAGAGTGTGGACAATGGATACAAGTGGAGTGACGAAACCCTTGTACTCGAGAAGATGGGCATAAACGATTGGTTCTATGAGATCCAGACATCCCCTGCCAACAAAGAAGTAGTCTATATATTCGGTAAGAATGGCACTGGCATAAAGTCTGAGGATTGCGGATCACATTACACGTGGTTCACATTCCCGAGCTCCTTATCTGACTTTAAGTTGAATTCCATGGATGACGAGTGGATGTTGGCCTTTTCCAATTGCGAACGATGCCATCCACCCTTCAATAAAGAAGTTCACAAATCCAATGACGGAGGCAAGACTTGGCAATGGATCCTCAGTGCAGCCATGATGGCGTCTTGGGATAAACTAATAGACAGCGAGTTGATTCCAGATGAGCGAATTGTGGCATGTCATTTGGAATACAATCAAAGCAGAGTCACCTATTCAGACGATTATTACAATTCGTATAAAATCATACACAACAATGGAACTGGTTTCTTTTAAACTCAATTCCATATGTTCGTAATCTCCAAATTTCAATCTGCCTACAGATTACATGTGGCACCTGCCTTTTACGATTATGCTCAAATGATCAACATTTCCATCCCATTTGATTAACAATACTCTTACACCCTCTTAGACACCGAATCGGAATCCATCTTCCTGTCCATATCTCACAATCAAACCAACAAGAAACTCACCAATATCTATACTTCCGATTTCCAAGGATTCAAGTTCACCATCTCCTTGTTGAATAATGTGAGATCCTTAAACACAGGTTAATGTGACTTTGAAAAGATTGAAAGTCTCAGAGGTGTCTACATAGCCAACATCTATGATCATGAGAAACTCAAAGTTGTGAAGGAGGCCGATTTGGAGAAGTACAAAAAGACTGTTATCACTTTTGACAAGGGAGCCATTTGGCATCCTCTCAAGGCTCCTGCCACTGATGTCAATGGACAATAGACTCATTGCAGTGGAGATTGCTCATTGCATCTTCAAGGGAGAAGTGTAAGCAAAATCTATAGAGAATCTAAGGCGGTTGGATTGATCATGGCATCAGGCAATATTGGATTGTATTTGGATGAAAAGAGCATTAACACTTACTTTTCAAGAGATGGAGGCTTGACTTGGTATGAAATTAGGAAGGGACATCATATCTATTCATTTGGGGATAGGGGTGGTATCATTGTCATGGCCAAGGCTAAGTCCTTAACTGAGGAATTGTTGTACTCGTGGGATGAAGGTTAAACTTGGGATTCCATCAAGATTCCTAAGATGATTGTCACTTCTATTACCAGCAGAAGTTTGTACATCAACTTCATCGTCACAGGTATTGACGAGAAAAGAAAGGGAATCATTTTGAATGTGGATTTCACTGCCTTACATTAGCGAACTTGTAGTGGTATTTGGGATCCCTTAGATCCAGATAGCGATTATGAATTTTGGATACCTACAAATTATGAAAATGGTAAATGTCTTTTTGGATAGAAATATCGTTACACTCGTAGAAAGAGGGATGCCAAATGCTTCAATCAATAATAGCATGATAAGTTACACTTCATTGATTCATGTGAATGTACAATAGAGGATTGGGAATGCGATTATGGATTTTATCATAAAATTGATGGCGGACCTTGTGTGCCCATAGCCTCTTTGTTTGAAGAAGACGAATACATTGATATTTTGAAGCCTCCTGAGAATTGTACTGGCACTTACATGAAATCTCAAGGATATAGAAAAATTGTGGGAGACTTTTGCACAGGAGGGTACTATTGATTGTATATATTATAAGTGTTGACTTGGATCCAATTGAAACACCATGTCAGGAAGGATTGCAATAAAGTTTATCGAATCAAACTCAAATGTTACCACAGATTTCCATTAAGCAAGAATAGAAATTCAATGAGAGTGTGAAAGTCACTGTGAATACTAAAGAAAATGCTGGAACTTAACAGAATAACTCTCTTTTTATTGGAATATTGATAGCTTTAATAGCATTCTTTGGTTTTATGTTGTGGAAGAAAATGAAGGCGAAGGAGATGTTAGAAGTCAAGAAGGATTATTATTCTAATTTTGAGAGAGGAGAACGCATTAGTTTGAGAGAAGATGATGATGATGGAATATGATTATTGTGTGGTGTATTTAATTTTCAGACGTATAAATAAACTATCATAATATAATATTAATGTTATCAAAGTCTTAATTCAATTCTTTTGATGTATTCAAGTGTAGTTGATTAAATCCTAAACAGGTTATCATTATAAAGTTAATGATAAATGAAATGTAAAATTAGAGCTTAATATATTATAGTTGATTTTGATAAATGATAATCATTTACAATCAAAATTTGGTAATTTCAAGTCTGGTAGAATTATTGGAAAAAGCGAAGGATTTTTTGTTATCAGATCGCTACGAGTAGGTATCTAAATTTTTGGGTGATGGCAGTCTTGTTACTGACTTAGGTAACACATTGGCAAAGGTGTTTAATTTCTTTGAATTTAATTCATCCCTTTATTCGAGATTGGAAACCATCAGATCCATCAATTGTTTTTACGCTTTCTAATATTCTTTATCTTGTCTTAGGACTGGGTCCATTCTTTCAAAGATGGTATTGTTGTAGGAATTCAAAATCTAAGTGTTGCGTTTAATGAATTTGGGAGACAGGCCAGCTTCATCAGTCTGCAAATTCAATAATCTCTTCGGAATTTAGAATTGCTATTAGACCTTCTGATGCCTCAATTTCATCTAATACTTTTGATGATTTAATTGCAACTTCTTCAAATCCTGATTCTCCTTCATAATCAATTGAGCCTGATCCTTCTGTGTATTATGATAATCAATTTTCTGAAGTTCCAAGTATTCTTATAATTTGCTGTATTATTCCTACAACTTTTCTAATTGGATATCTGAGACTGAGATTGATTTCATCAGACTCTTCGTAACAGGCATTTCTTTATGGACTTCCCACTCAGCAGCAATGATTTTCCTTGCAGTTTCCTTGACCTAATCTAGTGTTAAACACTTTTCAAAGGTAATTGATTCGATTTTCTGATTAAAAACCTAGTCAATAGATTTGATTTGATTGGGATGTTCAAGTTTCTGTAAAGTCTCTTCCAAGCCTCTAAGATGTTTTTGGAGATCGGTCTCCACATTCATTTAATCCAATTTATAATCGGATAGACTTCTTAAGTAAATGAGTTTGCTTAAGTAACTCTGATTTTCTTGATGTCTTCTTCTTTTTTGCTTATGCATTGGTTTATTGATGAATCTCTGAGTGTTGTCCTTACTGCATGATGGAGTGTTGGGCATAAACAAACTTCCATCTCTAGTAACTTCTTTTGAGAAATCCTTGGCTATTGGTTTGAAATCACTCCTGGCTCTGGTGTGATGGAGTATATAGACATGCTTATTATTGATATCGTATTTGGTTTTGTGAGGGAATTGCTGTTTTTATTCTTGATTCTGTTTTTTCTCAAAACCATATAGGAATGAAACAAATTAGTTGAGATCCTATTACTCAAGAATGATTTGTTCATATTTTTCATGTTTGTATTCGTATTCGTATTTTATGTAATTGATTAATTCTTCCTGTTTGCCTACAAAAGTCAAGATGTGCTGACATACATAATTGGCCATGGATATCATTAATGCAGATTCATCATATTTGTCCTTGTACTCCAATGACTTACTCTGCAAATCCAAGTTGATAATCAACAATTGGGCATATCGTTTCATGAGTCGTTTGCATTTCTTCTAGTCTGATTTGGGACGATAGTACTCACTCAACGAGTCCATTAGCATTTTGGAGAGGGGATCAAAGTATTGAATCTGAAAGACATAAGAGTTTTCGAAATGAGCTGAGTGCAGGAGAGTGAGGGCTTCATGATAAATGGTAACTGATTTTTGAGTTTTCACAAATTTCAATTGTACTAGTTTGTGTAAGAAACGAGTGGCTTCCTTGAGATTGGTCAACTTGAAGTACAAGTAGTTGAACATGAGGATCTATTGGATGGAAACAAAAAGTTCTTATTCATGATATCTCAGCCACACCAGAGACTTCTTATCCCAAGGTTCATGTTCGAATTCAATTAAGAATTGTCTGAGTTTGGAATTGCCTCTTGGTGATTGCATATCACCTAATAATTTGAACTTATTCTTGCGATTGGATGGATTTTCTCTCTCAGTAAGAACATCTTAACATTTGGCTATGTAATTCTGCATGGTGTGGCAGAGTTGCATACACTGATCCAATTGAGCGAGGATCCGACCCTGCTTCGAATTGAACTTCAGAAAATGTTTACGCATCACTTTCAATCGACAATACAGCAATCGACGTATCAATTACATTTGGAGTTAGATTCCAGGCAGTTCACTCTGTTAATAATGATGAGTGAGGTGTTTCTCAGAGATGTTTACAAAGCATTTGTACTTCCCCTTACGTAGCATCCATTGCGTTTCATATATGTGAAATTCTAAAACCTACATAGATTATCAAAAATAATAATTATTAATAATTCTTAACACTTAATATTTGTACTAATTACAGTATTGAAATTTAACTTAACAAAATAGGCTATTAAATCATCATACTGTTTTCACTTGCTCCTATTCTTCATCCACCGTGACATTCTTAACCTTTTCTGATTTGAATTGCAACGACTGCTTTCTCCTCTTTATAATCTTTCTGATCCCCAAAAACAGCATCACCAAAACCAAACCAGTCACTGCTCCCATCAAAATAATAATCACGTAATCATTATTTTGTTGCACATCTTTCTTGATAGGCGCCTTCATTTGTGTCCTATTATAAATCAAACTAGTGTTGTAGAAATAAGTATAAGGAGCGTCATATTCCGAATAGAATGCTTAGAACACAATCAAACCATAAAGCACGGTCTAATCCTGGGGGAGTGGCACTAAAATGGGCGTTATTTCACAATGATACCTTAAAATGAAACCATTTCATCCTCCTCCTTAGTTGTTTACAAGGATTTGCTGTGGAACAATTCACTGCTTGTGTAATGTTTGAGAGATTCAACATCCATCTGACACCCAAAGGCATTCATAAAGGGTTCCTGATTGGAATAATGCAATTGATAACTACATTACAATGAGATACTTACATGAGCATTTTGAGTTAGGAGATACCAGTCTTATTTCTTTTCATGGTGTCCACAGTGACAGTCAGTGTCTGATCCTCAGCATTCTCTTCCGCTTGATAAGTTACTGCTTTGCCGTAGTACCAAACATCATGAGAATATTTGAGATGTGGTATCAAACTATAGATGTTCTTTCTTATAGATAGTCCATTCTTGGTATAACTGGCAAAAGAAGTGGGAGTTACATTGAAATAGATATCACTTGAATTCCTAAATTGATAGGAAGTCAAATTGCTTTCTGTTTTGCCTAAACAATCAATCTTTTCGATTAGCAATTCTTGACCCCTCGCTCCATATATGTTGTAGGTTTAGGTGGATTGTATTTATTCAATGTAATGTTGATTCTAATCTATGTATTTCAAACCCTCCAAATTCAGAGTGATACTGTATTGACCTTAACAATGCAATGTAATCTTATAATAGTAATCCACACTAGGTAATATGTATTTCAATTCCAACTGCGATTTGCTAACACTCCACTCTTGTATGGGATTAATCAAAATGAATTCAGTTACATTCTTGGATAAGTAAAAGAGTTCCACACTTACACCAGATTTGGAATTCACAATTATAGTATACTCCTACTCTACCGTGATTGGAGTGAACGTAAATTGAGTAACATTCTATGCAACTGAGTTATTAGCTTTGTAGGACTTTCCAAGGTGCAAATTAATGAAATTCTATGCGCTCTACAAACTCAACCAATAGGAGATTGTTGAATTGACATTAGGATTGACTATGCTCAATGTGTATGATGAATTAATTGGAATGACGTGTTAGGAATTACTCAGATTCATGGCAAACTTAAAGTTGTCATTTTCAAAAAAGAACAACTCTATGTTTTATGAATACACATAGATATTCAGATCTCCATGTTCAACTTGATATTTACAAGTCTCAACACATTGATCATAGTATATCCTTCCATACTCAATATTCAAAGCAATTGAATTGTATGCAATCAATAATTAGATTTCAGTACTCCTCAATGGTTTCAAGGCAATGATGTAAGTGCAGTAATAGCAAAAGTTTTTGTTTGTTTGATTGATCTGAATGATACCTCCAAAGAGATTGTCATTGTGCTCCTACAGTATTTTGATGTCATCTGTTCCTTTGTATGGCAGGAGCTCAAAAAGACCATCATCACTGTCATTGTATTGGGAGTATGTATTGATGGCTACATCGACACTATTCATCCTTTGAATCATTATGCGGAAGGATTCCTTTTTGATATGCTGATAGAAGTAGTAGACGGTGTGATTTATTTAATGAGTTGCAAGTTGACCATTTGATATGTAATACATTTCAATGTCTGCGAAATTCAACAGCAATTCGTAGGTGCATTCCTTTCTAAACCCAGATACTCCTATTATGTAGGATCCAACATTGTCAGGCTCTCTGATGATCAGGATGTCTGATTTATATGACATAGATTTATAAGTATTGGAATCCTCAGTTGGGTATGAAATGGTGTCATTGATTAGTTTATTCACATAGAGATCTGGGTCACAATCATCAACGGGTCTGGCTGTAATTTGAATGAATTACACAGGGTTGTCAACGTAGAAATAATAATAGGACATCATATTCTCTCCAGAATAACCAATCAACATTTCCCCATTCTTGATTATCGAATATTGTGTAGATATCATTATGTTGAAATATCCATCCTCGCCATTCACAGTGCTGATGTTGTTATATTAGTGCCCTTGGATGTATGAAAATAGCGATTGCTGATCTAATTTCACACTTATCAATAACACACATCCTTGTTTATAGGTCTAACAAACTTCTAACTACTCCTTGTAGATTACGAGCAACTTATTAGACACACTAGCACTGGCCTCTTCTTCTATGCCATTAGTCGAGGAGTTGGGGAATATGGAGTGATTATTACTTCTTAAATCTTTGGAGACCACTGCATAGTCTTTTATCGAACAAAACAGGATAATTTCAGTGAATTGAGTGTATGCTTATATTTGAATAGTGCTGTTGAGATTCTTGGGGACTAGGAAATACAAATTAGATGACTAATATTATTCAAATGATGGAATGGGCACTTATTGCACAGTATTATCTTATATTTCTGTGATACCAGTCACTCCTCTAATCAAGAGAGAGTATTCATTGTACCCTGCACTATAAACACCAACATAAACAATGGTGTTCTCAGCAATATTCGATAGAGTCAAGTAGGCTGCGGAGGTAGGTATTTCGTATTCGCAATTTTCCTTATTTGGGAATTTATTCTTCAGGCTGATGTAAACTTTGAGGTTGTTTTTATCATTGTATTCAGTGAGATATGTTCTGACAATGAAGAGCTTTTCCAAGGCGTAAGGATTTTGATAGTAATAAAAGGATTGATGTGAATTGTCCAATTAAGTGATGAGTGGTTCTCCATAGAATAATTCCATGAGGGAACTGGAGGAGGTGTATTGAATTTCATAGGACTCATTAAGTCCAAGGGAAATGGAGTTGACTTGGACATAATAATACTGTTTTGGATTATCTATGATGAGTGTATGTTGCGAACTTCTAAGTGCAAAATCATACGCACTAGAATCAGGGTGTCCGTCTTCTATGCCTCCATTGGAACCAATAACATAACATATGAAATAACCATAGATTCCGTTGAGATGGATGAAGAGTGGACCATTCTATCTATATTCAAAGTTAAAGTAAGTAACTGAATCGATCTTCGTTTATAGATGAGAATAGGGGATGCTTTCAGTGAGATGGATGTAATTGATCTCTTCATGTGATTTTCTATACACAATTGGAGTAATAGTGTATCTGAGTAAAGCCTTGGCTATTATTCGAATGTAATACTCCCCAGATAAGTCATTGGTTTCAGTTTCTGCCTTGTATTGCAAGACATCCAAATCCATATTGGCACTTCTATCGAAACATGTGGAATTGGGTTTCTCATGTATCCTGGAGGCAAAAGCATCATATTCACCAGTGACAGCTGTTATTTGGAAAACTACTTCGACTAAATCCTCATCGTTGATTGTGAATGAATATAAATCTGTGCTATATTCCATGAGAAAACTACGATGAGTTGTCGACTCTGTTAATTCTACATGCATTTCCTATCCCTTGATAAAGATCTGGTAGTTCATATGTTCAATATTACTGTAGACTCCAACTACATACTAACAATTTGTCAAGATGTTCTCGTATTTGAGCATTGTAACATTACTCTCGCATTCAGTCTTATTATAGTAGAATTGCATGGTGTTCTCAGCTGAATGCAACTCTGAACTTCCTGATTTCAACGCTTGTCCAATCTGAACTTACTCTATTTGCTCTTTGGTAATTGAACAATTATAATAATTATCAGGCCCTGCATTGATAATGTAAGCGAAATGGTTAGTCACTCGACTTAACTCAGTTTTGTTCTTGCTGCATTTCTTTAAGATTATTATGCCATGTCCTACGGGATAGTTTGCAGTTATGGTAAATGTTTGATTGAGTTCATCATATGTGTCAACAATGTATTCTGCAAGTTCACTCTTCCCCAAAAAGCCAGATTCAAAGGTATGAATTGACAAAACTCGACTATAGTAATTACTCAAATAGGCCACAAAGGAATAACTAGAAAAGTTATTCACTCCATTTATGGCAATGATGAATTCCCTCTCATTTCCATTGTTAATCCTATTACTTCTAGAGATTGTGATTGATTCATAACCTAAATCTAATTGCGATTGCCACAAATAATCTTTATAATCCAAAGAGCACTCGCCTTTATGGCAAGGTGTTATATAAACATCTGGATTGCCTTCAAAAGGATGGATGTCAAAAGATAATGAATTTCTATCCAAAAACTCAAAATATTCATCCTGAACCGAGAGTTTATAGTAATTGGTTTTGGTTTCAATTACAAGGTCATCTACTCTTTCAAATAGACCAACACTTCGAATACTCTCATAAACTGTAGTTACAAAATACATCCTAGTATTGGGCACTCCTAATATCAACACAGTCAGATTCCCCTTGAGATTGGTACTGTTTTTATAAATGACGACTCCTTTTCCAATCATCCAAATCCCCTCTGCCTCGTACTAGAATTACACAGGAGATGGTGTTTCGTTTCCTTCATTGACGTAAAAATGAAAGGACTCATTTAATATAGTGTTCCTGTCTTAGATGTAGTGAGCTCGAATTAGAATTCTATCGATCCCATTCATTGAGGTTGGCATACCTACCTTCAGGATACTTTCTGTTTCATTGGCAAATTTCACTATCACTGCCTCTCCCAATGCCAAGACTTCTTCCTCTTCATAATGGATGGTTAATTCGTAATCGCAATCCTACAAACAATATACTCCCAAATAATAAGTTGTGTTAGCAATTAGGTTCTCTTCCTCGATCACACAAACATCCATCCCATTATTGCCGCATAACTCATCGTGGATAGTTGGACTAATTAAAATTATTCACACATACTATTAATTCACCTTACTAATGTAAAGTGAGGGGAAGGAGCTTTGATCATGCAGAGCTTTAAGCACTACGAATATGTCCTCATTCGGTATTACGTTCTCCACAAGGAACTTATAGAAGTGGACTGCATGAAGTTCGGATGTCGACCCACCGGGCACTTTACTAATAGTCATTTATCAAACACTAATACCCGTAAAACTCATACTGTTTCTCAATCTCCAATTCGACTATTTCTTAATCATATTGCTATGACGGCATCAACGACTAAAAGAGCAAGATCAATAATAACATAATAAAATAAATTAACAAATTAGATGTATTATGTATTAGATAATTGAACATTTTAATTGAATTAGCATAACCATTATTGATTTGATAACACAAAACCCTAAATTGTTTCAACATGCAATGCTAATCCTTGAAACTTAAATCTATGACATATAAATTGTATCCATATTAATATTTCTAATAAATCATTATTAATTCTATTGCACTTATTTCAAAAAATGCTCTAAATGCTTAGTTTGTTATTTCAAAAATTGCATCTCAGATTCCATTCTTTTCTCTTCCAATTCTCGGATCTCCTTAAAACTTCTCTGTATAGCATCGAGTTCATTCTCCAATAAGATCTTTTAGTTCTCCAAATAGATCTTCTTTTTGTCATAATCAGCTATTTTGGAATCCTACTCACTCTTGCCAATTTCAGATTCCGCTGCCTTTCTATTGCCAAACACAACTGACCCAGCATAGAGTGTTTGATATGCTGCAAAAGTTAACTTCAAATTATCATACACTCTCATCAAGAGGAGTCCTCTCTCTGGACAATTGATAGCACTCTATCTAATGATCTCTTCAAATAATTAACTATGTAAATCCTCTCTCACTGGACATATGCCACTCTTACTATAATATTTGCAATTAAATTCTACCGAGCCTATCTCTCGATCAATCTCTAATCTAACTCTGCTTCCAACTGATTCAATTCATCTCTCTTGACATCATTGACACTGACCACCTATTTGAAGAAGTGTCCCTCATGTTCAAATCGTCTCGGAGGGAAGAATTTATTCAAAATTTCATCGATGGACCATTTTTGATCCAAAGGTTACAGTTATTATTTTTTTTTTTAATTTAGCACTTGCTCTTGCATTTCAATTTGCATCTCATCTTCACTTATTTCAATTGGCTCCTCGTATCTCACCAAGGTTGGCATATATTTGGGGTATTTCTTAAGGGTTTCCTCTATTTATGACATTTTTGATTAATATTTAGTAATAATAATAATATATATATATTATTTTTTAAAAACATAACAAAAAGTAATTATAATAGCCAAGATCACAACAATCCCAACTCATTCAATATTTAGCTCATTACTAGTATGATTTTGGATTATTCAGCATTATTCACACTTGAAATCAGGCAGACCAGGAATGCATAGTCATCATCGCTGTAGATCCTGTTGGAAACGATCAAGTCAGTTATTTTATTCTTAAAAAGTGGATCAGCTAATTATGGTATTTTTTTAGCAATGCTTTCCCAATCAATCTCTTGTTGTATTTCTTTCTTTTGTGGCCGTGGCTGCACTTATTAAATTGAAGTTGATTACTTATTGGACAAGTCTTATTGATAAGACTCTTATCCACTCTCCTGAAGAAGAGGGCTGGATTCAGAGTGGTCTTGTTCTTGTTGTTCATTTCTTGGATCCTCTTCTTACATTTTTCAAAATTCTTTTGATGTTCGGTATTGGTGGTTTGCACTTTTTTGAGGAAGTAGTTGTTTTTGAATTTCTCAACGGACGGTCGTTTTTATTGGATTTTTTATACCTTGTCAAATGTGTTAAGGACTTCCTTGTATTGATCCAGGAATTTGAAAACTGGAGAGGGGGTTCGACGAAGTAATTTACTGCTTGAGTTGGTTTGGGAGAGAGTGCTCTTGGCAGTCTCAACATGATGAAGATGCTGGAGCATCTATTGCAATATAATTCGCCGACCTCCTAGATTACGTTAATCTGGAGAGAACACCTTGCTCATTAACGATTTTTATTAATTAACAAGATGATTATAATTATGCCAGCCTATAAAAGCAACTTGGAAGTGCAGATCAAGCAGGATCAGAAACAGGGGATGGGTCTGATAGATCACGAGCAGACCGACACGTTCCCAGTGTGGAAATTTAAGGGAGGTTCAACCACGATATACGAAGAGAGTAATAATGAAATGCATTTTGCAGATCAAGTCTACACCGAGAGTGCTGAGATGTTGCCCAACAAGAATCAACTCCTGAAAGTGAGCAAGTCAAGTAAAGCTTAGCCAAATCTCAACATTATTAGAAAATCAATACGAAATCCTGTTGTCCGTAATGCAGCCACCCTTCATGGTGGTCAAGGACATCAAATCATCCAATGGGCCTGAATATCCTCTTGTAGTTAATTCCATCATCCGTCTGGGAAGAGTGTATTTTATTATACTCTATTAATTTAAAGTGAGTACAAGGTCATTGAAGAACGCAATAAACACTTGCAGACCTTCAAGGCTCCCTGCTCCATCAAGGTACGCTAATTAGGCAATCAAATTTTAGTATTCCTTCCTCAGCGATTCCAATGTGACATATCAATGTAAGTTTTGTTTCATGGAAGGAAGGCAGAGCAAGGATCAACTCTTTCTTACTAATATCTGTCGTTGTGCTGGCAATGGATAGGCTGTTCATCTGGAATGTTTGCGTTATTGGGTAGATACAAATATCAATAAGGAAGTAACTCAATTTGGTTTGACACTTAAATGGTTATTTAATTCTCCATATTAGGAACAAACAACATGAATGTTCCATCTGTAAAGAAGGTCTCCCTATACGAGTTCAGTATGAGGATGAATTCTATGATCTTTTTACACTCGAACGACCTGATTTACAATACATCCTAGTTGAAGTACAACTCCATCACTATTCATTAGAACATCAATAAGGACAAGAATTTATGCAATGAAATCTATTTAATCCACAGTCTCCTCATGGAAAACATTAAGATTGTACTTCAAATATCTCATATTCAAGGGAAGAGGATTCCAATGCGATATCAAAGCACAGGACATCACAGTCTCTAGACATCATGCCACCATTAAATTGACTGATGGTAACTTCGTAATCTAGGACAACAAAAGTAAATTTGGGACTCTTGTATCCATAGACAAGAAAGTTTCTATTGATTGTGCTGCTTGTAGTTTGTAAATTGGCAAAATACTAATCAATCTTATTTAATCTGATTAAATTTAAAAAGGTAAGGTTCAATTAATGTAGGTGCTCCTTCAACCTAGCACAAACTTACTTAACTACCTTAAATAAATAAATAATTAGAAGAGGATGAACCCCAAATGGATGATGATTCTTTTCAATTAGAAAATAAATGAAAGTGACTTTTATATTATTTTAATTATATTTTTATCTTTCCCCCCCCCCAAGTTAATATATAATTTATCTATAATTTTATGTAAAAAGCTAGCATTTTCAATAGGAATTTCAGACTGCTCTTTAATCAAAACAAGTACTAAAATCTGACAGGTAAATTGAGAATGCATGATTGTAGCCCAAAGTGGACATACTCAAACTCATCTTGGATGGGTGTCTCCAGTGGATTACAGATTTGGAAGAACAATGTTGTATATCACTTGTGCGATTGGATTCTTTTGTGCATACATGGACCCAGGAGTCTTACATGAAGCAGTATGAATCACATTTAATTTTAGTTTGGCCATTTCAAATAACCACCCAGATATGTGTTGGTAATGTTTCTGCAATAATCATATAGGGATTCGGAAAAGGACTTGATGGAGAGGAGAAGAAGTTGAATGAATAAATATTAGACAGACATCATGCAGAAGAATAACTAGAGCATTTCAAACACAACATCACCTAATATGATGGTAAATGATTTAATCCAAACATATAAAAATATACATGAATAATTAAATAAAATACAAAAAAGGGGTAACAAAAACAAAATCATTCACTTCTCCAAAAGTTACTACAATACTTCAGGAATAGGCTTCGATCTCTTCCTTATTGTCTTCACAAGTGCAATAGCATCTTCCAGAGAATAATTTAAATCCAATACTAAATAGAGTATGACTGTTTAAATGCTCCTCTGAATGCCATCGGTGCAATGAACATAGACACACTTACCCTCCTGCATCAGTTTCTTCAAGATCTGATGAGCTTGCATTCCCTTCTTCAAGAAGGATCGCTTATTGCAATCTTGGATAGGACAATGCGAATACGTAATCTGATAAGATTCACAAGATTTCCGTATGTGATCAAAGTAATCTTCCTGCAAATCCTTGTTTATCAGATCTTCAGTGGTTTGTAAGTTGACTATGGCTTCAACTCCCAATTTCTAAAGAATGTGAAGTTCACTAAAAGCTTATGTTGAAATGTTACTCGGTGTAGAGGAATGAACCCACATAGATGTTGTCCACTAGTTGGTTGTAGCTGAGGGCAAAATCGACCTCAGAATCTATGATGTCGATAACATTGTTGATGATGGGATGTTAAGTAAATAGTCTGACTGCATTTCGTTCCCAGATGTGATTTTATTGGTATTTATAGGCATAGGAATGAATGGACTTACTTGGGATTTCCAATTCCATCCTATACTCATATTCATTGTCATCAGTAAGGAATTAGTCGAGTCTAATTTTAGATCTTCCCTTTTCTGAATATAAATTTACAAACATCTTGGTATCGTGAAATGAGTTCACTTTCATTCTTATTTTGATGTGGTTCCATGCATCGTCCACATCATTTTGGGAATTCAATACTCTGCTTATTCCATCTTCCCATTCTACAATCTGTCGATTGCTTTATTTCACTATCACGTATCTGTAATTCATGGGTAAACAACAACACTCTACTCTGGCTCTCCAAACATCTCCTGGATTCCATTCCATCTAAATTCCATTTTACACATTCCATTACACTAAATGACAATCGCCAACAATTAGAATGACTTCCCCGTAATTCACGTGTCTTTAAATGGAAATAGAGCTCATTTTGTTTAAATATATATTTATCAATTACTTTTATTAAATAAATCTAACCTAAATATAATTTCAAAATTATTAATAATAGCTCATACTTCTTATTACACAATATGAATATTCTAATCGCATTCATCCTCCGTATTATTTAATAACCAGGCATCCTGATCAAAATTAATTAACATATTGGTTGGATTATCAATAATTTAGAATTGTTATTACGACCGATTAAAATTATGATGGTTAATGATTAAACCATACTATTTATGACGAAATGATTTTATTTTATTTAATGAGACACAAATCAAATGGACAATAACTAATTATTGAAGGATCGCACCTTTTCTTAGGTGATGAGTCAGTCAACTCATTCAAACCAAGATTCTCTAAATACAAGAACTTTTACACTAAGAAACCCCTCTTTGAATTTCATTATGTGACTCCAACCCAGAAACATGCTAAGGAAATACTTGACAAAATTTGCCATGTCAATAAAAAGCTTTTGATTACTGAGAGACCAGAATCGTCCTTCTAAAAACGAAAAGAATTCTCTGTTGATCAATCTTTAACTACAAGGGGGTCAATATAAAAAAAATAGATTAGAATCAAATCCATGAACAGATCAAATATTCAAAGCAAACTCTCAGATTAAGATTGGTTAGCATTCGTATTGGATTGAAAATACTTAATCTTTCATGAAATAAAAACTGATTTTTTTCGATGAATGTGTTTTTTAAATTTAGATAGTATTCCTCTCTTGCAATTTCTATGACAAATATATAATATTATTCTATATTAAACTACATGAAATTGAGTGATAATATTTTAATCAAAAATATTCAAATTCTTCTCCCGCTGACATTCGCAATGCCAATTGTTCCTTCAGAGTTCTCAATGATTTATTCAGTAACCCAATGGTTTAAGACACAACATCTCTGTCAGAATCCCTAAGAGTAACGACTCAACCATTACCTCTATGATCTTGAATCCTAGTAATCCTAAGCCTCTTATTCGCAAATAGTGAATCGATCATCTCTAGACTATTGAAGCATTTGCAATCTCTAATTCACATTGTCTAGAGTGGCTTAAGTCTATTCGATTATTTCGTTCACTCTAGAGATGTATACATATCAAATACATTGCCAAATCAGTTATTGCGGATGCCAAAGTGCTTTCAGTTGTGTTGATTGAAATGACAAGCAAATTTCGAGTCTTCTCATATGCTTGAACTCTTTTTTCTTCTGAGAACTTCTCAAGATCCATAGAATCATGAACTTATTCTAATAATTAATCAATAAGCAAGATGACATTCTCAACTTGAGCTGAATCTTACAATTAATGAACCCTAGAGGTAATAGTGGCTAAAGCTTTGAACATTTTACCCCAAGAGGTTCTGTAAGTGAATTTGCCTATGATATTGATTTGAAATAAGAAGTACTTGCTCTTTTGATGGATGCTCCGAAATGTTTTTACAGTAATTCAATTCCATTGTTATTCAACTAAATGAAGGAGTTGTCATGTGTCTACAGATTCTCTGTGAACAGTGTTCTAGCCTACACCAAGATGGCAATAACATCTTCGTGTTCATGTATTTTATGTTCAAACTCCTCACTTTCCTCTTCTCTTTATTGATCCAATTCATTCAACTCTTCATTGAATTCTTTGAGCTCTCCTTGCTTTTGCGCGATTAATTTCTATAAGATATCTCTCTTTGGATAAAGTTCACCTTCCAATCTTGCTTCCAACTTAATGCGCTCATTGTCACTCACTTTGATATTCTAATCTAAATTTTAGAGATCCTATATGGAATGTTTAGAGATCTTACCACAGTGCAGGAGTCTTGATAGTCCTTATGTGAAACATCCTCTTCTTTCTAATCTTAATAATATCTATCCTCTATTTATTGTAAAGTTCCCATTAATCTTTCAATCGGTTCTTAGGTTTGCAATTACAAGTAAATTGTATCAAGAAGAGTGTGACCAAATCTGTTTCGATCAAGTTATTCAATTTGTTATTTCATATCAACATCCTCCAATGCGTAGTTTATCATCACAAGAAATGACAATAAGACAAATTTGTTCACGTTTTTCATAAAAATTAAATATTATATATATATATAATTATATAATTCATTTATTTTATTGAGGTTCTGCCATTACTGAAATTTCACCGTCGTTGCATCCACAAATGAAAAACTTCTTATCCTTTGAGCAAGAAATTGATAATACAGGGGATTTGGCTGATATTTGAAATCTTTTTAATTATTATAAATAAGGCAAGGATCTTCTAACCAATTCGCCATTTTCAGTGCCATATACCTATATACATATGCATAAATTGTTACCATAATGTCTTAAAAGAGATTATTCCTCATAATTTGACAATCAATCAACGATGAACTCTGCTCTTGTTGAACTTCCAATAAGAATCCATTGATAGAATAACTATAAATTTGATGATCATATGCTGAATAGAAAACAATGCAGAACAGTGGTCTATTGCTCATGACAATCGCATTGATTGGATTCTTATTGGGATGTATGAATGATCTCGTCAATTACCCATTGTATAGATTATACAGATAGATGTAACCACCTGTGCATCCAGTAGCAAATAGTTTCATATTGGTAGAAACATGAATGCAATTGATCTACATAATGAATAATTCAAATACTTGATTCTGATGATCAAAATACATGCATTTGGCAATCAGTTTATAGAGATCCTTCTGCTTATCAACATTCCATAAGATGACATGTCCACTCTTATCTCCAGAAATGATGACCGACTCTTTTTTATCCGAGGCCAATGTTGTGATGGTGGCAGTGTGTATCTGATAGATATCAATAATTTGGTTGTTATCACCTATGATAATCAATTTACCGAGGTGATACCCTCCACAAATAAAGAGCTTGCCCTAATTAAACACCAACATAGGATATGAAGACAATTGAGCTGACACATCCCAAATATTGAAAAGTTCAGTCTAAGGTTTTTCAAAGTTGAATTGTTTTTCTCTTTCCAAACCACATTGGAAGGGTGGTTGATTGGCTTGAACATCAGTTTGACTCGACCATTTAAGATAATCAATCTTACCCTCTTTCCTGATACATATCAATCTCACATCTGAAATCCATTTGATCTTCACTATCGCTCTATTGCTTGCTTATTGCAAATCAATAATTGGTTTCATGGTATTGGGTACCTTCTTTTTATTTTATGGTCTATAAACTTTTAATTCTTAGGAATTTGAAACAAAATGATGTTCAGTATTGATCTATCTACCAATATGAGGTTTCAGAAATAATTATAATGGAGTGATTCCAAAATTCACAACCTAAGCTTCAATACTGAGTCTATTTTCTTCCATCATCTGCAATGTCAATTATTAATCATATGTCACATAAAAGTAAATATTTAAATTCTTTTCAGCCTCTTTTCCTCTCTACTTAAATCCAAATATCAAATCAATCCATTCTGGAAGATTCCTTTAAATTTCCTCACTCTCCAGAGCATTCCTTTGACCTGCCACAAATCTCCACGGATTATTATGAGACCATTTAGGCAATTAAACATTATTAACGATGATTCCATTTTGTGTTTTACCAAATTGCAAGTTCTACAAATTAAGAAACATCTCAGGCAAACAAAACATTTCTGGAATCAACTCTCTTACATCTGCAATATCCTCTGTTGCACAACGGAAGCTCTCCACCAAAGAATAAAACAGACGATCAGGTATATCAAACTTATTTCCTTAGATCTCCTTTGCTATTGTTGTGAATGGTTCCAATCTTATAAGGAATTAAGAAGTAATAGCCAACGATGAGTAATGAGATCCATAATGAAAAGCTGGGATCTCTCCCCCTTACTCTGACTGCTCAAATCTCTCAATGTAACTCTTAATTCTTGAATTATTTCCTAATGCACCCATCGTCTTCTACATTTGCCTGAACTGCCCCTCAGGATATATTCTGACACTTTGTTCCAGTTCTATTTGTTAGTCTTTTGGCTCACAAATTACCCATGGAAATACAGGATATTGAGTCAAATCATTATAGCTTCTTGAGGCCAAATTATTCAACAACAACAAGTACTTGAAATTACTCATTTATTATCTTATAATTATGATGATATGTATACTTATTCCACTTCTACAAGTACCCCTACTTCTCCAATAATTTCACTGGATCTGTAGTCTTACTCTGATTGAAATGTGGAGCCTAGTGACTTTTACGGTAGTTCAACAATTTAGAAGATATCTCATCCAGATCGTTCTGATCGCAAATGTTAATAAATAATGATTTCCTATATAATAATAAACAAATATCAATTACCCATCAATGAAAAATAACTCCAAAGCAGTCCTCTTCTATAAATATTTCTTCTTAATCACCAAAGTCAAATTATAAATGGGATACTTTTTTATTAATCGCTAATCCTCCTTTAATTCAAACACTCCTAAAGCCGCATGTGATCCTTCACTTTTCAAGTACTCATATTACAATAAAATATGAGTATTTGTTAAACTCATCAACGCATAATACACATACAACCCATTTATAACAAGAACTTTCTTCCCTTTAAATGTATTCTCTCCAAATGCCTTAATATTATCTAAGGCTTGAATCTTTTAATTCGCTATAGTTTTTACAGCATTCTTTATATTGTTACCGAATGCCTTGCCCATATTCAATAATTGAGTAGCTGCTTGAACAGCCTAAGAATTAGTAGACTGTCTCTATCCATAAAGCTATTCGAATTTATCTATTTCATGGCCCAAAATGATTGGAGCAGTCTAAGGAGTCTGATAGACTGGTTTATTTCTTAAAACATCTGGAATTATAGGGATGCTTTTTATATAAGGTCTAGCAAAAGATTTGGTGAGCATTTTTGATATTTTAATTTTAAAGTACTTGCATTAAACAAACTCTTCCTATGTTATGTCCTATACCAAGTCATTTCTTTAAATACACCCTTAACCTTAAGATAGCCAACCATCATTCAGGAAGAGAGAATTCAAAGATTTATGATATTTATTTCTCCCAATGCGCTCCTTCTCGCTCTCCTTATAAATCCACTAAGCCTTCCTCTCCTCTATTTCTATGTATCTATTTTCCCCCAATTATTACACATCTCTAGACACCTTCTATGGTGAAACAATCGATTCCATAGACCATTGTTATGGAATGTTCACCTTAATTTAAATCTCCTTTTTCAAAGTATTATCTTGGCTGATCAACTCTATCAATTAATCCAATACTGAATCATCTTGGAAGGATGTAGCAAAAACACTGTCTATGATTACCTCACTTTCCTAGTTAATATCTGTGATGAATTTCCTTAATTTAGATGGTTGATTCCTCTCCTTAGATACAAACAAAATGTAACAGATAAATCTAATTACTTCTTTGAAACTCTCCTGATTCCTGCTCTTCGATAGCATAAGTGCTAATCCAGTGGTGACTTCACTTTGGCAAATCTCCAATGTTATTGCGTATGTTTTAAGTAATTGGAGTAAGTTGGCTTAATCGGTGCTTTCCAATAAGATTTCATAAATAATATGATTTTGTATTTTAGTATTAAAGAACGATTAGACTTTTTAAGCTAAGTCAAAATGATTGTAGCATTTTTATATTAGATCGATTTATTCTAAAATTAATATTTAAATAAAAGTACATTCTGAATTGCCATTAATCAAGTAATCCTTATGAATTAAGTCATAAAATTTATTAAACTTCTTTATCAATTAAGGGTAATGTTGCTTCAGTTCTATCAAATACAATGCTGTCTGAGCAATGTTCTTCCACAATTGAGAATCAGTCTGACATGTCTTACATTGATCACTATTATAAATATCGTATATACTGTAGTTGGTCAATGATCACATTCATTTGCACTTCTACTAATTTCTGATTGAATTCGACACCCCATTTTAAAAGTTCGTATACATAATTAGCACCGATGAATTCAGACTTCAATACTTATACTATGAGTGTGGTGTGTAACCGACTGCCAATTTCATAGATCTAAATTAGAATAATATTTTACTAAGTTTTGATCTTCTTGTGCTGACAATACTTTAAGAAGTTCATTTTAAAATGCTGCCTATCCTAAAATAAGGATCGAGTTGCCTTAATGTGACTTACAAAGACAAAGTAAATCTTATAAAATTTAAGCTTTAAGATTGTCCTCAATTGAAAAAGCAACAATTTTCATTATAGCATTTATGATGCCTTCATTCTTGATTTGATCTTTCTCCTCTATCAGCATGGATTCATTCTCTCCAATCTTGATCTTATCAATCATCCAACTCATAAGTTAATTGTAAACAGAAGCAAATGATTACATTTTCTTTTTTTGAACTTGTTCAACTTACTAAATTGACATGGAAGATGAGGAAACTTCCTTTATTTGCGTTACTAAACAATAATAACATAATATAAATACATTCTTATTAAAATTATTATTTTGGTGCTTAACTATTTTTTGTTGACATTGGTGGTTGTCTAACAACAGTTTATTATTATTATTATTATTTTGGAGACTCTACATTCTATTATAATTTTGGAGATTCCACATATGGTTCTTCAGGTTCTCGATGTCCTTACATATACATATGGCATGCCTTGGCTAATCTATTTATTTCTGCCATTTCCTTATTAAAAGCTTCATGATCACTAGATATACATATATATTTATAAATACAATCCATTTTTTTTCCCTTGTTCACCTCCAAAATTATAAAGTGCATTAATAGCATCAGTATCAATTTTAATGTGAAATTTCTTTTTTCCCTTCTAATCAACAGAAAATGAAGGAGGCTTGGATTTTTCAGTCTCAGGAGCAGGTATCGATTGAGCTCGAGGAGGAGGTCTTTGTTTATTATCAAAGAATCCTTAGGGAGGTTTACGACGATTAGTCATAGATGGAGCCTAGGGTACGCTTTCATAATCATTGTTCAGGAATTGAGTTCCCAGATTTTTGAGTTCATCAAAATCACCTTATTGTTGTTACTATGGCTATTCTTTTTTCATAGGCTAGATAATGGAACTACGACTTAACTCAATCAGGGGTTCGATAGCATTGGTAATGTATTCGATGGCTTAATGTGTTTGGAGTTTATGATTTGGGAATTGCTATTGGAAAATGAGATGAAGGAAATAGATGATCATTGCTCTGATATCATAGTATGGTGTTGATTTGAATATGAAAAGTAGTGAATCTACGATGCTATTCTGATCCCATGTTTGGAGTATAAAATTGGTTTTGATTCCCTAATCCTCATTGTCAACTAATAAACTCTAAAAATTGATTAATATTTGTACTTTTAAAATGGTTAGAATTTACAATAGGAGACAAGGAGATATTTTAGACATCAAATATTAATCAAAAAGAATTAGGTGTTCAGAAATATCAGATTATTGATTGAACAAATAAAAGATCTTTTCTAAGAATTGCATTTGAAAGGACTCTTCAAAGTCATTAAAGTGTTAATCACAACATTGATTTTCAGTATATGCAAATATTAACATATCCAAAATGTCCTTGGAGGATATAAAATGTTGATAATGCTATGGATTTTGTAAGTAAACCTAACAAGCCAATTACAAGTATTTAGAGAACACTTGATCACTTATACATTGTTGATGCAACTTTGGATTCCATAAGATGTGAATAAAAAAGTGATCCAATAATCTATTATCTCCAATAATAGATTTGATCTCACTCAACAATTCAACGCATTTAGTGTTAATCAAAGGTTTTTCAAAACTCATAATGATTGAAGCAATTGTCAGGAAGAATTGACTATTGAATGCCTCTGCTTGTAATTAATTATTATTTTTGAGAATATGGCTAATGACTTCAAACATAGTAGACAAATTAAGTTATGCTTGATTGATTTGTTTATATAGAGTTCCACTTAAATGTAACATAACATAGAACAATCTGAAACCCCCAGAAAAATGGAACTTATTCTTGTCTGCCATTACGGCACCAGACTTAGTTAACAAGGTAGCATTGCAATTCCCCATTACATCAATCACGTGATTGCCATCTGTAAATTCAGGAATATAAATAGACATGATTCTCTCAAAGTACTTATCCAAACAGGCTGGCAATGTTTTCAATTACTTAAAATCCATTTGCAATTGTCCATACACGGATTGGATGGTCTTGATTCTAAGTTGGGAATATTTATAATTTAATTACTTTGTGGAGGATTAATTCATTATGATGATGCATTAGGCTGTGCCAAAGAGATTCTCGCATATTGTAAATCTTGTCAAAGCTATGGTTTGGTTCAAACGAGGGAAGTCTAATGTCATAGTCTTGGATTGTTCATTGTTGAAGTACAACTGAAATTCAAAACAATCATTACTGTTAAATGTGAAGACGTGAATTTCTTTTGGCATTCATGGGATATACCTATGAAATTCATCCCATTCTTCAATTGACCTATCAAAATAGCCCCATTGTCTGGTTCCTAATATATTGCAGGTATTATCCTATAGTAGACACTGCCTCTCAAAATGAAGCATTCCAATCCACCACCACCTTGTTGTCCTTGTCCATGAACACTTATTATTTTCTGCACACCCATATTCTACTCATTAAACAATTCATAATTTATATTCTCCACTTGAATCCAAATACAAAACCCGAACCCCTCAACGAATGGCCAAGTAACCTTCTCCACTTTCATCCCACTGCCCATGCCAGAGAAATAGAACACATTCTGTTATTGCTGTCGAAGCGATTCCTATATTTTCGGATTTCAACTACTTTATACAATGTTAACAATGAGCCAAAGTATTCCGCTCGTAATTATTTTGGCAGCTCCTTGAAGTAATGTTTCAACACTTTCCTTGACAAGTAACCTCTCTATGCTGTCACTATTGCTCCTCGAATCTTTTTAAATCTAAAAATATCATTACATCCTGCAAAAGGCAATCTTAGAATTATCCCAAAAGTGAATTGTACTTGTAATTTAGCAATCCCTCCTCAAATCTTAATTGAGAAGGATTTGCTACAATATTGTACTTCTGATTGAACTCACTAACAGTTTTTCCATATTTATCTTAAAACATAATAATATATTTAACATAATCAATATTCATTTTTTAATCATTCAATTGCCAATACAATATATAATGCAAAAATCATGTATTCTTTGAGATTCCTTTACAATTCCTCTTAAATTTTCAGTACTATATGTTCTCTTTATCTGATTTGATCCAATTAAAAGAGTTCCAAATCTATTTTGAAACTCAAGCATCTGTTCTGATACTCCTTAAAAGTTGGAACATTTCCAGTCTTTCCTCCAATTAAATAAGGAATAGTTTCTGCTTCTATCAACCCTTATCAAAAAAGGATCAATTCTCAATATTTTTGTATATATTTATAATACCTTCTTTGATAAGATCTATTTGAGTTAATATCATTCAATAATTTTGAAAGACTGTCTTATACAATTGAGATGATATATTATTTGATTTATCAGACTCTTCTATAAGGTATATTCTTTTACCTACTTATAATAAGTTATTGAGGAATAGAATTTATACTGAGGACTATTTGCGCTGATTATGGAATATTTTGAAAATTTAAGTTTAATTAAATGAATAATGATTTTAAATTAGGACTAAAAATGACTCAAATTAATTTTATAATAATTTAAATAATTCTCATTTTTATAAGATTTTTCGATGAGAATTGAATTATTCTCTATCCTAGACTTGACTGTGTCTTTCGGTATAAAAATTGTTTCGCTTGCTGGCTTAAGTGATTATAAAATAAATATATTACAAACTTCCTCCTCTTAAGGTTCCTCGTTTAATCCTTATAGGTTTAATTTGAAATCAAACTTTTTCTTCATTGTTTATTGAGCAAATTAGATGTATTTCTTAACAATTTCATCAGCCTTCTAAGTGGTTTATTTATTGATGTGTTATGATTTAGTGCCCAACTCACTGATTATTTTTTTGGAATTGGATGATTTAGCTTTGGTACTCACTAATTTTTGATTTTATTATGAATTATACTATGATGGGATCATATATTTAAATTCAACTTTCTATTTACTTTCCACAGTGTTCAATCCCTTGATTTAATCATGAATCTTCAGCATCAGATCCTCAGAGATTGGCGGAGGTCTTTTGTAAGTTCGATCTGTCAAACAACCTCCCTTGGCAATTTTATCAATTTAAGAAGTTGTAATTTTCTTGGGCAAAGGTTAATATACTTTTTTGAGTGCTTCTTGTTTAGTTGAGGTACTACTATGCATACTCCCATTATTATTATTATGATCTTGTCTAATACTTTTTTATTAACCTTAAAATCCTTGAACAGAAGTACTCATAGGCAGCAAATCGGAGGAGACTGTACTTCTCAATTGCTTCATCTTCTGATATTCCTTAAGCATTCTCTATATCGTTTATGAATCACTCTACATTCTCGTCAACTTAGGTTTAGCATCAAAATCATTGAATTGCTCGACCCCATTACCCAATTCCAGAGGTTCCTCCTTATTTTACTTAATAGTAGATAATATTTTAGATTCACTTTTAGAATTAGTCCCTCTAATAGACATTGTTATACCTTTTTTAGAGCTGTCAGCTTGTTTGCGTTGCTTGATGCTCTTCGAATAAGTGGATTGCTTCTTGCGCTTTCCATATAGTTGATTCACTTGCATAATGCAATCTTTCAGTGTGATGTCAGACTATTCTGACTGATTTAATTGCTAAATGTTTTTGATAATCTGTAATCCTCTAAAATCGAGACCTTACTTATTAGTTTCTTGAGTGCCTTCCTCATAAATGTCATGAGCCTGAGTTTCAAAACTCATATTCTCTGTCAATTTTGAATTCAACACTTGCCTGCTTATTACTTGTTATTGACTTTATTCGCGATCCTTCTAATAAAACAATTTGTCATATCTGTTGTTTCTCTTATTCATGATCTTGTGAGCATCTGTCACACACAAATTTGGATGCAAATGCTTGTAATTCTGAGTATAAAAGTCTGTAAGGATATCAACGCGTGGTTTGACCTCCTCTTAGTTGTAGAATCTTGTAATATAACATTACCAACACCATATACCTTTTCAAATATTCCATCCGCTCATCTAAGATTACATAATCCTTAAAATATATTACATGCGGGGCGTGAGGGATCTATGCAATGATTTCGTTAATAGGCTTCGCAAAGTAGAAATTAAAAGCTTCAAAATACTTCTCCTGCAAATACTCACTCATTTTTGTCCTAGCACCGATTTTGCATAAATCACAACTCTTCATTTTATTAAATAATTCATATAAAATCAAGACTGTCTGAATTAATTTTTGAAATAAGCCGAAACATTATATATATCATTTTGACAGCAATTGCATCTCCAACTTTTTATTATCCTAGGCTATCACTCGAATCTAACATCATCTATAAATGATTTACCCTATCCTCCATGTCCTTAATCTCTTCCTCATAATCCACATCTCTTATTAACCCTCTTAACTTTGAGTTCTCTTCTTCCAAGAGTTTAATCTATTTAATAATTCTAATTCTAATACATTTTCGATTACTTTGTCTCTACTACTATCGTTTTATTAATGTCTTCTGCTTACTTTTTCATCATAATTTGCGGTATCAAATTTAAATCTATATTACACCTCTTCGTGTTTCAACTTTTAATATGCAATCTAGTGTTGTTGCACTTCTAACTATAATTATTCAATGTTTTAATCAATTTTCATTCCTTCCTAAATTTATTAATTCAGTTTTTCATTCTCAATTATCAATCCAGTAATTTTATCCTCCAAATCGACTATTAAATTTTCTATTTTATTTTCTTGATTCATTTACTCTAATTCATTCAATTTCTAACAATCAAACTACTCAAATTATTATAATAAATTGTCATATTGACCTTCCAATTCCTCCAATTTTTTAGTCTATTAATCCTTCTCTTTCCTGAGTTATTCAACATTACTAATTTTTACTAATTGCTAATTATCCAGATTTAATTTTTCGTTTAATTTTGAAAGCATTAAAATTTTGTTTTCCAACTCCTTAATGAATTGGGTACTATTCCCTCTCTAAATACTTGACTCTAACTAAAATATTTATTATTGCAATGCATGATTCTGATTCTTCAAAATTTGAACATCAGATTCTAACTTTTGGGTTGTTGTATGAGACACATTTTAATTAAATGGTTATTGAGAAACTCCTCTAAATTAGATGCAAGGTTTAGAGATTGGAGAATTTGGTTAAAAGTGCTTCTAACTATAGTTCTTCTACAAAGGTGAAGTAATCTATTGTTATTATTATTATTGTATTTGAAATTGAGTATTTCTGCGAAGTGGAGCAGGACTCATAAAAATCGCATTATTCTCATTGAGTCTGCTGGCATTGTTGATACTCACTTAATCCATAGTTTGATTTTATTATTTGACCTTGAATTGCTCATTGTAATTTTGATTATTTTTATAATCACTATTGAGTGTAATAGCAGTTTTGAATTATTTATGTTTAGGTGTTGTGCCACAATTATCTAGATCTTGATTGAAATCAATTTGAGATAATGGTTGTCTCGTTGCTTTAATTTGTGTATTCATAACTGTTAAATTATATATTTTTATAAACAAAATTGTTAGTAGCATATCAACCAAATGATTGATCCAATGCTTCTTTTTTTTTGGTCAATTCTTGAACCTGCAATTCTAATTGTTATATTTTTGAGACCAATTGTTTTTTCTCTTCCAAAAAGAGTTTTCTCTCTTCATGAAATTACTTCTTCTCTTCTTCATATCGCTTGAAGCGTTCACGCACTTTTTGTTGTATTTACTATAACTACTATTTAAATTGATTTGAAGGACCAAAATCAGACGTTTAACTTGAAATGGATTAACAGAGTAAGAACTCTTTATGCTCTGTGTTTTATTTGCGTGTAATTGAAAGATCACTCTTTTGTGGAGTTACTGAAATTCTAGCTATATTATTAATGCTGGGTTCATTCAAGCTCTTTCGACTTTATATAGTTTTCGTAATAGAGGGCGATTTACTCTGCATGTATGAATTTAGAAGAGTTTGGAATTATTTGAGTCGATTGTCTTAATTCTTCAATCTCACGCAAGGATTGCTTTGTTGCTCTCTACATTGAATCTTATTCACAGCACGTTTAATATTCTAAGGGGATAAACAATGATAAATAGATCCTGACTTAGGTTACGATTACATTATAAAATATTAATTATCATATTGATAATTCCTATACTCTATTCAACATTTACTATATAATATCTGAAACTCATTAGATGAACCATCTAATTCCATCATGATTAATCTTATTACGGCAGTTCCTTATTATTTATTAAGGATTCTTGGCATACTCATTCCAAATTTTCAGTAAAATTTCTATATTCGAATTTACTTCCTTGAAGTTGTAATAACTTCTTAAAGAATTATTGTTAGTTAATTTTCATCCTTTATCATGTTAATATTATCTTCTTGAATATATTCTAGTGCTTCTTCTAAATAAACAAATCTAAATTAAAATTTACATAATCTTATATAATTCATGTTTAGATAATGTTTCAGCAATCATAATGCTCAGGCTATCTTTTGTATTAGAAAGAATAACCTTTTTTTGACTAATTAAAACTAAATGTTCTACTGAATCAAAATTATAACTGACTCTCAATTTACATTGAAAATGTGTAAAAGTCACATTAATGATAAATTTTAATTGTTTTCCATTGTGATTATTAAGATTAATAAGATCTATACTAATTAAGAAAGTTAAAATAATAGATGATTAATAATAATTTTTATTTTAATAATTATCTAAAAAGTAAAAAATTTGTTGATTTTTTGTGAAGGTAAAATTCTAATCAAATAAACATTTATATCTATTGGCAAATTAACTTCTAACTTATCAATTGGGATTTTTAGCGATTATAGATACAAAAACCTAAGACACACGTTAATGTTTGGACCAAGTTAACTTGAGTATGTAAATTTATTTATGCAACAAAAACACTATAACTTATTAATCGATTTTACAAATAATAAAGTAGATAAATATTAAAATTAAATAATAATATAGAAAAAATATAAAAATGAATAATCAACTTCAAATGAAAACTATTAGAATAAATAGCATAAAATATGTTATAAAAAAAGAAGAGCTTGTACTTTCTTGATTAGTTAAGGTTTCAGAACTATCTGTGCTATTAGTACTATTAGTATTATCATTACCAGTAGTACTATTTGTATTGTTTGAGTTTTTGCTTGTATTTGTTCCATTAGTATTATTTGATGGCTTTATTTAGGGATTACAAATTGCACATTTAGAAGTAGTCGGATTCCAAGTGTACCAATAATTTGACACTTTATAACAATCTTTTTAATTCAAAGTCATTGGATCAACATAATTACAATTTCCTGATTTTTCTTGACAAATGATTTAAGATTACCCATTCCAATTTTATAAATTAGTACAAGTTCCATGCTATTTGTAATAAGAATCACATTGGTGATCTTCACATGAACCAGATGACAACCAGTTACATTTCTAATTGGCTTATCTGCAGGCCTATTCATCATCGGTAGCAGATTTACAAGATGTCATTAACGAACAACTTCCACTTTTAGACCAAAAACAGATTCCATCCAAACCCATGGTATTGCAAGCAACCTTAGTCTAGTAATTAGAGCATAATTGCCATTAGATACACTTAGTACCATCGAATGTACAACTACCTAATTCTAGACTACAATTAGCAAGATTTTGGGCTGAGATATCTGAGCATTATTTAACTTTGCATTATGATTCAAGCTCCGACCAAATACAAGTGCCTTCTGTGGCTTATGCATTATTACAAACTAATTTTGATTTATAAGTGGTACAGCTAGATATGACTAAACATTATTCACCATCAGAAGTGCATTTATCTTTTACATTTATAACTACTAAGTTACATTATTAATGTGTATTAAAATTGTAATCTGAACAAATTGAATCCCTGCAGATTTATTAAATCTCATTCCAAAAACAAGAATATTTTTCGCTATTGATTTTGCATGACTCTTTAGTTTTATATGCACTGCAGTCAAATAATGAAATACATCCAGTTAGGCCATTAGTTGTGCAATTTTTATTTGCATTTTAACACTCCTCATGTTTTAAGTAGTATGCTGAAGAGCAGGTGTCAAATTTCTTGCAAACAGTTTAAGTGTTATTAAGTGCCATTACGGTTTATATGCATTATCCATCATTTCCATTCACACAACCTCCATTTGTATTAGTTTCTGAGCATTAAGTTATTGGAATACATTTGGTGCCATCAGTAGTGCAAAAAGGAGAAACCTACTTACATTATTAATCCGTATTCCATTAGATACTCTAACAAGAATTGTAACTATAACACTTTCCCTAAGGTTACTCATTCGAAAATTAATTAAAAATCCATAGACATGGACCATTTAGACCTTCCATGCAAGCGCCTTTTAAAGTTGTATCTTCACAGTTTTTTATTTTAGCGCATTTTGAATTGAGTCCTACTGTACAACCACTCTTTTGGGTCCAACAGCTAACATGTGAGCTTCCATAAAGATCTTCACATTCTTTATTTCTACAACCACCTCCCTCCTTAACAACGCATACATCTTTTATGAAGGAATCGCAATCTTAATTTGAAGTTATAGTAGTAGGAGCAAGACTGCAATTCTTATAAATGCATCCACCATTAGCAGTCCAAACGCAGTCAACTCCAAAAATATCTTTAGCACATGCTTCTAAAGTATTGGCAACCTAACAAGTTCCATTATTCATACATCCTCCTTCTTTCATGGTGATACAAAAACTTAAAAAATTTTAGCATATTTTATTAGTTTTGAAGTTTTTTGGTGCAATTGAACATACCTTATCTTTGCATGAATTTTCATTCCAATAACAAGGGCTTCCTTCTAAATTCTTTATACATTCAGATTCTAATGTGAAGTCTTTACACTGATTTAATGAAGGACTTGCATTATATGAGGTAGTGGTTGTTGTAGTTTAAGTGGTGGTGGTTGAGCTTGTGTTTGAGGTTGTAGATACTGAATAGATTATAGTTTAATCCTAACATCCTCCTTGTTAACTTGACTCACAATCAGATATCTAAGATTTACATTAAGAATCCTAATAGAATGTTTTTGGTAACTCTTCACACTTCTCTGGATATCTACATTTTGATGTATTCTTATCCCAAAAACACCACTTGTGATTCATATCTTATTGACAAGCTATTTCAGTTTTATAAGAATCACAAATCCCAATTTCTACACATTGAACTCCATCGGTTATGCATCTCTCAGATATTTATTAACATTTGGAGTTATCTTTTTCTACAAATGCTGTGCATCCAGTGAAGTGACTACAAGATCCGTAACGTAATTGACAAGGTCCATTAGAAACGCAGGATTCACAGGGTTTAAGCTTATTACAAGTATCATTCGAAAATTGATTACAATATTCCCTAATTATTGATTGCGGTTAATAAATTGTTGTTTCATATTTGCATTGCTGTTTAAATGAATTCCAACTGCATTACAATTAACTCATTAAACAATCTGCTTCTGTCAATAGTTAATTACAATAGCATTCTTATCCATTATTACCTGAATATCCTATGTAAAATAGAACTAAAAGGATAAAGATTTTCATATTTATTTTAATAATCAACTGTATTTATTAACCCATCGCCTTTAGATATAGAGAAATAGAATAAATTTTAATTAATTTACTTAAATTAAAATATTCTATTTCACAAAATTTCAACAATCGCATATGCTGCCTAATTAATAGTTTCTCACTCTGAAGTAATTTTATTGTCTTGAATTTTCTGGAACTTTAACAAGTTATTAATGAATTATCATAAATTCATAAAATTTATTATTAGACAATATTTAATACAAAATAAATTATATTCTGAAAAACAATAGTTTACAAGTTTTCATGTTAATTTCAATACATCCGATTTGAATGTATTATTTTATTAATAAATGAATCACTTTTTAAATGGACATAATGTTTGTAGCTTATAAATTATTCAATTTATAAAATAATTGCTCAAAGTAAAATTGAAGAATGAAAGTTTCTCAATTTCAATAAATTTGTTAATCAAAAAGTAAATCGGAAATTAATGGAACAAATTTTTTAAATATTATGAAATATTTCTCTTTAATAATAATTAATCAATAAACTGAAAAAAATTCAGTTAAAGTAATATTAAATTTGTAAATTTAAATTAAAAATTGAAATAATATTTGAATAATTTTTTCTTATTACAATTAAGATAAGAAAATACTAAGAATATAATTGCAAATAAATTGTATATTTAATAATATAAATATAATAAGTCAAAACAATTCATTTAATTTCATCTAATTAGTTTTTGCTCTTAAAATATTCAATATCCTTCTCTGACAATTAGATCAATCTGCCATAATTATCAACTAAATGATTGCCATCTTAATTCATAACATAACCATTTTCATCTACTTAGTAAATTATTTCATCTTCCTCATTTTCATTTTCATGTATTATTGACATTTTATCTAAAATTAAATATATGTATACATCTATCCATATCTTCTTTGGTGAGAATAATCTGCTAATCTTCTTAATTCAAAAATCGAACAGGTGATTCTTTATCCTTAATTAGATTACTATTATCTGATTCTATTGTATCATTGTATTAATTATCAGGCAATTTTCTATTTAGTAGATAATCATTGACTTATTTATTAAACTACTCGTATTTCTTGATATAAGTATCATAAGTGTCTAATGTAATTTACTGTTAAGGTTATTATTATTATTAAGTACTTTGTAATTTAAGTTAATTATCAAAATACTCTTTTATTTCTACAATGATTTCTTATTTTATTTCAGAATAACGGGCAAGCTCACTATTTTATTGTACTTATGTTTTCTACAATTCTTCAATTTCATGTTTTAGCTATTTTGTTTTTTCCTATTCTTGTACTAATTATTGATTTAATCCTTCAATTTAAGCTACAAATGTTTTATTTATTTTTTTTTATTCAACCAATTCCTGTTTAGATTGCTCCAACTCGGTTTTAACTAATTCAAAATCTTTTCGAGAAAATTCAAACATCTTCAGCATTTCTTCTCTCAATTGCTTTACCTGGGCTTCAGTTGAAGTTTGGGATGGAAAAGCGCCAACAGGGATTTATTACAGAGATCTTTGTGAATGTTATGGAGTATCATGTTGACTCAATAGCCTTCCTGATTGAAATGCTTTTGGATTTAAATTCTCTTTTTCTCTTTCCCTAGACTAATGATGTAATTGTTAAACAGGTCTCAATTCTTCAGTTTTAAGAACGATTGGTTATTAACAATATTGGGGTTGTTAAGGAACTACATATTAAGGCTGGAGAAACTGCATCCGATTAGATTACTATTCTATAAGCAAATAAATGGATGATTATACAAATTCTGGGACATGGACTGGATGGAGCTGGAGATAAACGTCGCTGTTAGTGCATTTTAAAAATAAAATTAAAATTAAAATGAAAACCTATTCAACCTATCTATCATTAGGAGAGATACCATTGCATTTATAATAAGTCAGAGAGGGAATGAATTAGTATTTCAAATAGAAATTCGTTGTTCTTACTTCCTTAGATAAACTAAAAAAACCTAGAAATATTTCTTAAGTTTCTGAATTAGATTAGATATAAATGGAATTAAATAGAAGAGTTAGAATGGATACAAATTTTGAAGACCAATTTTTGCCTATCTCTTTATTTTATTTATTTTTAATGATTATAAGTTAAAAATTAATTACAGATAAATTAGTTATTTTATTATTTTCTCATCTTGATAAGACAGCAAAAATGGGGAGAAAACTAAAAAATTTATTCTAAAATTGATAAAGAATGCATTGAATTTCGATATTTTATAGATTTATGCTTATTTTAATTCTATTTTGATTTCCACAAGAGTATAATGAAATTGTAAATTTAGAATAATCATATGTCTACTTTAATTCTCGAGGATTAAGTAGTTTTAAATAAGGAATTCGAGTTATTGACCATAGGAAATGATTCCTTTTTAATAGTGGACAATTTCAGTCGTCGATTGATATAGCTATTTATCATTTTATGTTCTAAAAAACTACAATAAGTAGATGTCTTTGATTTTCCTGGAGTAATTGGTTCGTACTTGATTGGTTCATTATCATAGATCTCAGTTCTTATTAATCTATGGTGTTTTCTTGGTATTACTTTGACCTTCTCGGCTTCACTTTAATAAAGTTTAGTAAAACAATAACTACACAATGAGATAGTCTAATTTATGAAGACTGTGTTATTTCTAAATTCTTAGTATTCTTCTAAACTCATTCTAGGATACATCAATTTGATCACTCTTGGTATTAACTAAGTCGGGTCTATTTTAATCAATTAAGCATGCAATCTATGAGATTTTGGAGATTGAATTTATGATCTATGATCAGATCCAGATTCCCAGTAATGGATTAATTCCTTTAGTTTAACTTTTGAAAATTCTATCTGATTCTTCTCTTCATCACACACTATACATTTAGAATTATCTGATAAAGTTATTGCTTTTGGATAATTCAAAAGTTCTTTTGTTACTTTTTTTGTAATTGAAAAATCGGCTTTGAATCAATTATATTTATTACGTAATGAAAATTTGGTTGGAACATTGGATGTTGATAAATTTGAACATATTATGAGATAGATTTATCCCTTTTTTGATAATTTAAATATCAATTCCATCAATGTGATTTCTTTTTAGTTTTAAGTAACATTTATAACATGAGACATGATTAATCCACATAACAATTCTAATCTTTGACAAAATTATGTTCCCTTTAGACTGAAAATCTAAGAAATTAAATTTATACGTTGATTATTCAACAGGCCCATTTTAAGTTTCAAAAGTCACGGCTCTTTAATAAATATCTGCTTTCTACATCATTATCGGATATTTATTCGTAAAGACTTCAAAGTAACACAAATTATTTCCCCATGTACATTTTATAACTTCGTTCTTCTCAGCTAGATGAATAAATATATATAAATCTACATTTTGGATATATGAATTTCTGTAAATAGCCCTCAGTTTCATAATTCATTTGAGATATTAAAGCACAAAGAAGATATTAAGACAGAAATTCGAATTCAGTTTAATTGTCTTTCTTCGTTATCCACACTGCACATATCTCATGATTATCATTTTTATCCTTCACAAAATCCTTTAAAATCGACTCTAAATTCAGTTTTGTTTTGCTCTTTCTCATTATTTGTGAATCCACACTGTAATACCAAAAATGAGGTTATCCTTAAAGAATTTGGATTGTGTCTGGAATGTCTAATCGAATGTTGTTTTTGAAAATTGGATCTTGGAGCCATAATAAATGAATAAGATTGAAGTTAAACCCACATCCTTCTAGCTAAAACTTATTAAAACTCATTATATTTAGTATTACAAAAATTAATTATCAATAATGTTATTATTCTCCACTTCAGCATCTTCATATTAACAATCAAGTATCTTATCTTCATTTGAAAGTTGTTCATCTTGCTCCTACTCACCTAAATTGGTTCCCACAATAATGTTTGAGTACTAAATAGTTCTATCATATTATCTATCATATATAAATAATATTTTACTCAATATTTGGAGAACTTGAGTTTTGGATTGGATAATTACAATACTAAGATTTGAAATTTAACTGTTAAACAGAAGTGAATGTTTTAATTATTGAGCTAGATTTGTAGATTTAATAAGGTTCTTCTGAAAAATTCCATTCCTCTAAGACGCTATTCATTAATAATTATTATTTTTATTAATGTGTATCGATTTCAAAACAACATAAGAAATATTATTAAATATCACTCTCAATCATCATCACTTGAACTTAGATCTTCATCATTCTTTCTTTTTTCATGCTCTGTCATTGTTGGTGGAATCTATATTAATGGAGACTTTTGTAAAGGAGATTTACTAAATTGATCTTTTAATTATAATTATTATCTTCTTTGTTCTTCTAATTATTTCACTAATAATTTAACAAACTTTCTTACATCCCTCTTTAACTGATCTCACTTCATTCTAAAATTCAATATTTGTATTGAATGTTCTTTGTTATGGTTATTAAGCCTGGGCTAATAATTGTTTACTACTTGGAACCCGATTAGGCGGTATGGAAACTTCGTTAACCTTAGGTAGACATTTCTCTAGAAACCTAAGAATTTATTTTATTTATTAATTACCTCTCTAAATCATAATTAAAGATTTTTGATTCCTAGATTCCCAAGTAATACTCATTAAAATCTAATTTGAAATGAAGAAACTTCAACCTATCTTCTTTCTTAAGTTTTTCTAATAATTCAAACATTTAATCTCTATATTGTTTCCTCAATTCTAATAAAGATTTTATGATGTCTTAATTTTTATTTTGAATTGATCTACCTTAATTTTGTTGTTTGTTCAGTAAATTTTTCAATTGTAGTTGTTAATTATCAGTTTATGAGATTTAATCCTTAGCATAGCTTAAGAGCAACTCTTGACAACTTTTAAATCTGAAGATATAATCAAATATTTTGAATAATAGCTTTTATGTGAATTCACCTTTGGCATTTAAGAATGATCTATCTAAGATATCAGATATGAATAATTCATGTGTTTTTATTAAACTATCCAAATCCTAAATTTTATCTTGCTCATCAATGAACTTTTTCCAAGAACTTTCTATTGCTTCTAACATTAGATAACTATAGAAATTTTTAATAAAATGTTGCATCTCATTCATCATTTAATAACTTAATTAAATTGCTTTTTTTATCATTTGGAATTAATTAGGAATTGCCATAAATTTTTAATGCATTTTCCAACATTAAGTCAAAGTAAATTCAACTCTTTTAATTCTCCATAAAAAATTGAAAATCCTATAATACGACAACATAATCTTCTAATTGAAAATTGTATTCAATGGTTCATCAATAGCATAATCCAAACAGAAAATCTCCCAACCTGTATCATTTTAAGAGGGCTCCAGGAGTTTCACATTGAGTCTGACCTCCTAAGAAATATTTTTGAATGCCGATTCCAAAATACTTAATAAAGTATGTCTATAACATTATTGAGCTGGTTTATTTAATTCTGTTTACAATAATTCCATCAATGTATGTATGAACTCTCCTTAACCCAACAATAAGAATCTCTTTATTGCATTTAGAGTAATTTTAAAATTTGGTTTAATCAATTAAATCAACTATTTGTTGTATTCCTTATTGACTTAGTCAACAAATAGAGAAAACTATTCTGTTCCGAGAAGATCGATAGTTATGAAATCATAATTTTAATTGAACTGTGTGAATTTACACTATTTTCTAAGCCAATTAATGACTCTACCTGTATCAAATATTTTATAGGAATCATCCAAAGAAATCATGTAAGGTATTTTATCTTAATTAACTTTGAATTCATTCTTCCACAACTCTCCGCTGTCTCTTATTTATATCTTATTAGAATCATTTCTTTCTATAAAGAACTCCTATGCTTAATCACTTAGAGACCCATCAAAAATCCATTAGTTTATAAATCTAACAATTGGTATTGTTGTTTGATGCAATATTCTAGAAAACAATTACGATGTTTAAGGACAACCATGCTTTGAATATCTGCAGAGAATAGAAATCACTAAAGAAGAAGTAGTTCCCAATTAGACATTCGTCAAAATTTATGATAACACTAAGTTGATTTAAACCAAATGATGCATTGGCTATTTCAACCACATATACATTTTCCTTAGAGTTAAGGTAGATTCTGCTAGAAGATTTTCAAAATATGCAATCAATCTGTAGTATTCATTTAATTCTTCTTTAATGGAATTCTATAATGCTTACAAAACCAAACTATTATAATTAGTCTAAGTGAATGTTTGTATTTTCATGAATAGCCAGCCACACTCACACATCACATTTAGTAATTTCCTACTTGCAAAACTAATGGCGATATCTTTTTTCACTTAAAATGAATCATTTACTATTGGATCATAGCAAATATATTAACTCTCTATACCTTAAATGCTAAATATTAGATCCTTAACTAAATCTTTTTCTGTGATAGATAGTGCCACATTTCCTTTATCGGTAATTTATTGGATAATAATCAATTAGTCATTATTTTTAGGACTCTCCTCTATGATTTTCTTAGGTATGGTTTGTGAATAATTTATTTAAGAGATCTCCTACGATTTAAACAGAGTATCTAAAGTCTAATTTGTGTAACTATTATTTTAACCAAGTTAACTAGTACGAAAAAGGAAATGAATTAATTCATTCTTTTTTCTTAATCTCGTTTTGCCCAATCGATTCAAACAATCTTGCAATCTATATGCTTACGATTTCTTTTGTTTAGATATGATATTACATTAGTCATTTTAGTCATCTCTGCTTGGAGTTCAGATTCATCCATCAATGTATTACCTGTTCTCACATTAAGAATTCTCAAAAAATAAGTTTTATAGTTATTTAAAGTGCACTCCTCAATCGAATCCGGAAATGCATATTTTACTAATTAATGTAAGAGTGTTTATGTTTCCATTAAATATTTGAATTGAAATTTGTGTAGAGTTTATAAAATTATTAACAATTTAAGCATTTAATTATTTTTATATTGTATTAAACAGATCTTATATATCAATCAATTACTCCATCTACACATATTTATTGTTAAGCTATTCCCTTTTAACTATGATCTTATTTTCTATCTATTTCGATTTCCTCTTTAATTGCTATATTTACGAATTACATTAAAAGTGTTCAATTTTATCCTTATGAATGGACCTTCTCCATTTTTCATATCATTTTCATAGAACTTTGAAATCTAACCTTGTTTACTATTCCATTAAGAAATGGTATTTTTCCTTTATCCATGCTCTTTCCCTAGAAACTATTATTGGATCTCAATAAATTTTGATAATTATTATATTTTATCTTTTTTTTGACATTTTACATTATTCTTTATGTACATTCTTTAAGATATCTATCATTCTTCTATCAAATAATACTTAAACTGAAATATCTATCCAAAAGTTCAAACATTAGATATAAATATATTATTAAGAAACAATAAAAATATGAATAACTAAAAAAGTATTTTATTTAATTATACTATTCTTATCAAAGGATTTCATGAGAAACTAATTATTTGAATCCTTTAAGATCCTATCCCAAGCAAATTAAGTAACAGATAATTGGCCAAGATAGCATATAGCATTAATGCTTTGATTTTTAATTATTAACTTCATGGGATGGTGATTTGAAATCTACTCTAATTATTAGAATTAAGAACAGATGGATTAGTAAGGGATGTGTTGTAAATGCATTGATGATGTAAGGTTTATATAAAAATTCAATACTATTTTCCTTTTTCATTTTCATCATCTGAGAATCCTAGATCGTTCATGAGTTCTGTCACACTTTTCTCAATGTCATCAATTCGCTTTCCTAAGAGAATAGATTAGATTTAGATTGATTACCCATATCATCAATTCTAGAAACTATAGTGCCTTGCATTTCATCAAATCGATCTTGCATTTGTTTGAGGAGTGTTTACACAAAGTTGTTTAACTCTTTCGTAGATGGATCCTCTGACATTTATTAGCCTCTCTCACTCATTTGAATTTATTAAAATATATATTATTAACTATTATTTAAAATGGGAACATAAATAGAGTGTTTTTTATGTGTTTAAGTGTGTATAATAATTAAAGTCATTGGTTTGAAGGAAAGAATGATAGCAATTTGCTCAAAAAATGTTGAGTGATAAAGTGATACAATTTATTCGACCAGTGTATATTTTGACTCTAATATCTTGGTATAAAACAAAAGAATTCTCTTAGTGAAAGTAGGTATGATTAGAGATTACATCTAATTTAATGATTGTGAGCATTTCACAGGATGAATATCGTGTTCTAAAGAAAATAATTGATAAAATAATCTATCATAAAAATGAAAACAAAGTTTTGGAATGCTTATAAAGAAGATGTTAAGATCGGAGAGCTTTTGATTAAGTCGGAATTTTAGAGAAAGGGGAAGCTTCGTTATTTAGGGGGGAGTGAGACAATGCTGATGATATACAAGGTTTCAATTAGAGTTTAAACTTAAGGACCCCCAATTCAAAAAGCCTAAAAAGTACACTATGATTGACTTTGATCTGAAATTTGAGATGGTGCGAACAGCTCCAAAGATGAAACCAGGGTGTCAAGTAATAAAGCTCTCCGGAAGTGCAAGAGCTGATTAAGTGAAGAGCGAAAATATTGAGAAACTTGGAGAGCCGACTGGGTTATGGATATTTCGAGATGAAGACCACAGATATGAGTTGGTTGCTCATTCCTTGATCTTAACATAATGGAGGTGGTTCTTGGGGAAACGAATCAATTAGTATGGATTTCATCACTTGTTCAAAGTTTTTAAGAGGATTGGAAAGGGAAACTTTGCTTCCGTCTATTTGGCTGAGAGAGTAGAGGATGGCCAATAGATGGCTATTAAGGCATTTTCTAAAAGTGTGGCATATGCAGAAGAGAATGGAAAAGAAGGATTAATGAATGAAATTAAGTTAATGCGTCAATTGGATCATCCAAATATCATCAAATTGCATGAAGTTCATGAGACAAGCAATTCATTGTATGTCTGTTTGGAATTATTGGAAGGTGGTCAATTATACGAATAATTGAAAAAGAAAGTCATATTCTCAAATAAAGAGATCTTAACTATAATTAAGGGATTACTAGAAGGTACTTCATAATATCGATATAAAATAGGTCTCAAACACATTCACTCAAAGGATATCATGCATAGAGATATCAAACTAGAAAATATCTTATTCAAAAAGCCTAATCAAATAGAGTCTGTATGTCTGGCAGATTTTGGATTGGCTACCTATGTTCATGAAGAAGTGTATTTGTATTGTAGATGTGGCACTCCAGGGTATATAGTGAACCATATATATATATTAGATTTGTGGCACCTGAGGTTATCAATATCAAAGATCTCACAACTAAATATGATAAGGTTTGTGACATTTATTCTTTGGGGTTAGTATTCCATTTACTACTCACTGGAAAGCCAGCCTTCACTGGTCGTAGTTATACTACAATAGTTAATCAGAACAAGGAGGCTAAGATACAATGGAAATCATCAGCATTTGACATAATTCCAAAGGCAGCTTTGAATCTTTTAAAAAGAATGCTGGAGGCTGATCCCAAGCTAAGGATCACAGCCGAAGAGGCATTGCAACACAATTATTTCAACCCTTATCATATACCTAACATTGCTTAATTTGAAGATGACAATATTGACATAGATGATAGTTGTTAATTGGATTAGAGACTACAAAAGATTAATGATCTTAATAACAAGTTTGATATGATGCGTATAAATCAGCTCACCAACTCTCCAATTAGATCTCCAAACATTAAAGCCACACAAACTCAGGCGATGAAGGAGCAAATGAAGGAAAGTGTCTAATTGCAAGAACAGATGATTATGCACACTCCAGTTATTACTGGAAGAGTAGAAAGCATCGATGGTATTATGTTATTATTGACTTATATATAGATTCCCCTGGGGAAGGGACCAAACAATAATAAAAAATCAAAGAAGGCTTGTCTAAACACAAGAGACAAGAATCTTTAAATTTCCTCTAAAAATACAAATAACAATAATAATAGTAACTAGTTAATGAAGAAGATTCATTGCATCAATAAGATGATTGTAGAGAACCTGCGATTTAATAAGTCAAATAGAGTTTAAGCAAAAATTTGTGATCTACGTTTAAAGCAGCTTATGATATATCTATTCTAATATTTAGATAGTATAATATATTCTGAAATCCTCCTTTGTGTATATATTATTTTTTAATTTAAAAATGGAAAATTAATTTGAACTTGAGTAAGTCAATAGGTATATCAACCCATGATCAATAGCAAATCCGATGTCATCCTTGAGAAATGTCTTACCATGATGCGTCCAGAAGGACTGGAACAGTTCCATTTCCGTATTGAAGAATAATTTTATAAAGTCAAAGTAAAATGTTAGTTTATCTTCATTGTAGCAAAATAAAGTACTTTTGATTCACGAAAAAGAGGGAGATGATTTATAGACAATGATTGCATATTGGATTCAAGAACATCAACAAAGAAATGTAAGTATTATTAAAGAATAAAGAGAGACCTAATTATTCCATATATTGTTGAGCATGAGAACTAAAACCATTATTATGCCATCTATTACATTTTAACCAAATTACGAGTATTTATATAGAATACATAGGCTGTCTTTAATATCACCTAAAAGGTTGAATTAGAGAGTGAGAAGTTAAAATAGTATTTTGAATATTGGTTGAACCTGTGTTCAAGAGAACTGGGAAATCAACTATACAGTGACTGTAAAGTAGCGTACAAGCGAGTATATCATATAGTATTATTGAGGGTCATTATCGTAATTCAAGGCATAGATAAGTTCTATAGTGGTGGCGAGGTTAGAGTGTCGTCTTGGTTGCCCAAAATACTGCCTGATAATATCAAGCTCATAGCTTCAGCCAGATTTGGCAGTAAAGCTTATGAATACTATTAATCTATTGGAAATCCCATAATTCCAATGTAAATCTTACTATATCATCCTAGTGAAAATGAGAGCATAGAAATTTGGGATCTAATAAGACAAAACTCTCAAATACATAATGCCCTAATGCTTGTTCCTGAATAATTGCGTTGTCAGTTGCACTTTCTCAAAGTCTTCCACACCATCCTAAGCAATCCTTTAGATGAGTATGCATAATTAATTTCAGAGGTGTTGTAATAGGCAGAAAGTATAATTTAATGTTTATCAATTAATATAGAATTTCAAACTGAAGTAGAGTTCTTTACTATCCTTGTTAATTAGTTTTGTCATCACAATGCCATTGCCTCATCCATCTTTTGTGTTCTTTCTTATGTTAATAAAGGTATCTCAATCGATGAAGTGATGGCCAGTTGTTCATGCACTCAAGAACAATTCATCAAAGTCTATGATTTTTTCAAGGTAACACTACATGAGTATCTCATAGATCTGTTTCCTAGAGAAGAATCTTGTCTATTCTATCTATATACTTACTATGAGATAGGCAATTTAATAAATCTAATTTAGCAAAAACCTTTACGATTAATATTTATTGATCATTGAACACTCAACCAACTCTACCAGAAAATTGGAAGAACTCATTTAACAATATAGTAAAAATAAAAAGTACTTTAAACTCAAAGAAATCATAATTAATATTGAACATTTCCTCATTCTTTGGAATCCCTACAATAAATTTGAATTATGTTAACTATGGGAAATGCTTGAACAAAATGGATATGATTTGGTTATGGAATACAATAAAGCTGTTGAGAACTTCCAGGCTATCTATAAACCTACAACGGAAGGACTGTTCTTCATCATGTTATAAATCTGCATATTTCTAAGAGAGTTTTCCAATTTTGAGAAGTACTATTTAATTCCCTATTCAATAGAGAAGGCACTCCTGCTTATAAGCATCCTTTACTTAGAGGTCAATCAATAGAATTCGAGGAAGTTGGGTTATATGGAGAATTAAGCCAATTAAAAATGCTGTCCAAGAAGAAACCAAAGTAACAGCTGAATGAAGATTATTTTCCAACTATTATGAGTACTGTCTAATTGGAGAATCTAAATTTGGACATTAAAAATAATCGGGACAGCTTCATTAATTATTATCAATCCTAATTTGATTCGAACATTTTACAAGAGTACTTACAAACCAAATAAGACTTCTTAAGAGAGAAATTGTTATCCACTTCCAAAGTTCCAAATCCCTATTATTATAAGAGATGGTTATGGGTTCAATTTCCATGGTTGGCTTTAACTTAGAAAAACAACTTCTCCAAACTTATGCAATTCTATGGGAAAGATTCTACTTAATATATGTCAATTCAGGAAGAAATATAAATTAATTAAAAGGCAATTCGATTGGTTATCAATGCTAAGAGTTCTAAGGATAAATCGATTCACAAATTGCCGGAAATAAAACAACGCTATTATAGTCCAACAGTGAATAAGGATGAACCTGTTCGAAGATTTAATCAGTCTTTAGAAAAAAGTATTGACAGGGCTCCATCAACAGGGAGAAGGGAATTGCCTGAGAACAAAAAGAAGGTGCTCTATATTAAGAAATACAATTAATTATAGTATTAGAAGTAAGAACATTAAAATTATGTTTTTAGCCAACAGTTGAAGAACAAGTTGAAGGAGTTGTAAACAGTTAAGTAGAATCTATACCCCCAAGAGGCTACAATCGAAGCTTATAGATTGAATGACTAAACCAAGACATAGGGAGATGAACTGAAGAAGTAGATGGACAATTTGTAGGGAGTTTAGAATGAGATGAAAAGAATGTAGACAGTGTTAAAGTTGTGTCAATTCAATTAAGATTAGAATGAAGAGAGGGTGTAACAATTATTTAGACATTGTAAGAATTTGGATAGGATGATAAATGAATATAAATAAATAATAAAGGAATTGAGTGAAAAGTTAGGTATATACAAGCAAAAGAATAAGGTAGAACCTATTAAATAATAATAACTAAAACAGCCTATTTCTAAATAGTTTATGACAATGAAAGATCTGAGTTAAGCTAGTCAAAAAAATATGACCACTATTGGAAATATCAATTTGAACATGAATACTGATTATAAGATTAAGGTTACATTTGACTTATAAGATCAGAATAATAAAAATTTGAGACATCAAAATTCAATTAATAATAATCTATAATAGTAGGATAAGCTGCGTGAGACCTAGACTAGACTGATGTTGGAATAAATGCCATCCAATAGAATGATCACTCCTGGATATAGATTATCACTCAAACCAAAAGGAGATGTTGGTGATCAAATAGATTCACACATTTTAGAATAGATTAGACATCTCAATACTTTAGGAATTGCCAATACTTACAACAACCCAACATTCGATGAATTTCTAGGTCATTTAACAAAACAGAATGAATTAAATTTGGAAGTCTAAGAATGCTCAATTAAATTGAATGAAGTAAGAATTAAGAAGTAGGAGAAGTAAACATTTTTGAAAGTATGATATTGATACAATTATAGATCTTACAAAAAAATGAGAAGCCTTAAGATTAGAAAGCTGAACAATTCATAACATCTGATGATGTAGACAAATTGAGAAGGGCGAATGATGCCAAGACTATTACACTAAAGAAATTGAAATAGTAGAAGGCAGTGTATAACTTTTTTCATAACAACCTATACAAAGATGTCAATGCTTTCATCCCCATCAAAGATAACCTAACAATAACCTAAATATTTAGTTTGATTTTAACTAATTAATTTTCATTATAATCATGATTCGAAAAGTAACATAAATGGTGCCAAGCACTCTAATGTATATTTCTAGAGTAATAACTCTTTGGCTCTTCTTTCCAAGAACCTCCCTAATATTATACGTTATGATGGTTAATGCAGTTTGTGCATTCTATAAAAGAGATCTCTCTCAGATGCATCATAATTATGACTCCTAATCAGCATCAACTTTAATTCTATTTCCCTCATCTTCCATAGATCATTCTCCTTAAAATATTAGGCATCATTTTTAGCTAAGTATTCTTCCAATCCCTACAGCAATTGAAATTCTTCACAAATCACAGCAAATCTTTAAAAGGACATGTATTGTATAGAAGATTATTCTATATCACATTCAGAATTAAACATGTTGATGTAATATTGTTCGTCTTTCTTGCTTTCAAGTTCAAGCATAAGCAACCTGAATTAGTTCTAAGTTAGTCTTTCGCCCTCATCTGCAAAAATTTGCAAGATCATAGAATACTTAAGGAGCAATTCTTGAATTTTGATATCTTACATTGGTCCTAGGTGATGGGAGATCTCCTGGTCATAATCAATATATTGAGGCAGTTTCTGTACACTCTTAATTTGATCAGCCAATTGGGATTATAGAATTGAAATACCAGTGTCTTAAAAGTTAACGTTCGAAATGTTGCTCAAGATCTATAAGTAAATCAGGAAACTTAACTAATAATTATATAGAAATGATTAAGTACATCTCCGATCAACATTGCATGAAATAGTCTGGCTGAGTCATTCTTCCTTTTATAATAGATTATTGATTTAACGACTCTAGCCACTTTGCCTAGCCAAACATTTTAGGGTTATGACTGATTCTCACTAGAAAAATACTCATATAATTAGACATGCATGGGGTAATTGAATTTATTGAACTTTAAACACCAAGACACAAAACTTGATAGTGTTTTCATCAATGTACTTTAAGTTACAATATTTTCTATTTTATCTCTTCTAAATTATTGAATTTCTTGTAAAAGAGTTTGAGTTGCAATCTAAGTATTTTTGCTTGGACATCTATTCACAAACAATTTCTTTTCGATTGACAATAGATTCTTTACAGGATTCAAACATTCAGATAAATCGACTTCTTCTTCTGAAGAACTTGATGACTCTTCGAATTTATTATCAGGAAAGACTTTGATAAAATATAAGAGATACAATTTAATGTTATTTGAGGTTTTTGAGGTGAAAGCTACTCAGGTGGTTCTGGCGAATCACAACTCAATTCAATTAAGGAATTGCGTTAAGGTATACTACTTTCTTAGTGTTCAAGGGGAGTCATTGGGGGAAAGAATCCAAATGAATTTTTAGGATTTCCAGTTATCAATAAATTTGGACTGGTACTTTAATGTTAAGGGGGTAACAACGTGGTTGAACTATTCATAAATGCTTATTGTGCTGGAGGATTCAGATTGTTTAAGTTATTTGTACTTGTAATCATAGCATTAGGAATAGGAGAAAATGCTTTTGGGAATTCCAAATGAATTTTATGTTTCTAGGCCTTACGACGTATTTAATCTTAATGGTACTGAGGAATGAATCTGGAGATTGATTTGAATTGCTTCTCAATAAAATTGTAATTCTTGACTTACTATTAGTATTTGTTACTCAAGATATCAAATCTCTTTTGATTTTAATTCTTTTATCGAACAGCCTATTTAAAATCAATTTGAGTTTCAAAGATCTAAATTTTACGTGCAACCAACTCATCTTTCAACTTTTAAATGATATCTTGAAAGTGATGAGTTAAGAACACAAACACAGAATAAGAATTCTAAAAATATTTGTCTACTTCATAGAAATCATCTGAAAAGAATTCTTCCTTCATTTTCATAATATTAAACAATTAAGATGACCTAAATTTGAGTTGGTCAAGAACACTTTCAAACACATTAGGAAATGTCTTCTTTTCAACTTCAACTTTCTCTATATACAATTGATAATAGTCATCAATGAAAGCCTTGATTGGATATCGTGACATTTCTAAATAAGTTTATTCGTCACTATTCCTTGGAATACACTCTCTTTTGATAATTGCATAATTGGCTTCACAAGCTTGATTACATTATTAAGGAGGCAAAGTCTAAGTCCCCTAATCATAGATTTTTTTCTTCTAATGAATAGTCTAAACGGAACAATCCTAAGTTTAGATTAAACTATATAAATATATATTATTATATACTCCGTGGTGTCTGCTTATGAATCTGTAAAGTCCACATGATTGCCTACACATTTATCCTTAAAGAGAATCTCCTCATATTCTTCCATCAAGTTCTCATCTTTTTAAGCTTTGTCGTCATGTCCTCTTTCTAATTCCAACATTTTATTGTGATATGCTTCTTCGAATTTTCGAGTCTATTCTTCAAACACTAACTTAAAATCATCGAATATCTCTTTCTTTGCTTTATATAATTCCTCTTCGTAATCGGCTGTCACGTTCTCAGTAGAATGTCTGACTTACTAAAATAATTTAAATGTCTCGTTTTCTTTGTTCAGATCCTATAATTGCAATTTCAACAATTCAATATCGTTATTGAGACTTGTAATTTGTGTTTGAAATGTGTTCGTCTTCTTGCGTAGATATTTGTTCTCCTTATTCAATTTCTCCACATATTCTGTATTACGCTTCAATTATTTTTCTGCTTCTTATAATCTTTATACCTTCTCCGTCATTGAGTTCTAGTACCTCTCATGAATCTTAATTGTACTAGCTAAACTCTCCTTTTCCAATTTCCGATTTGTTCTAGACTATTTATCGATAATCTCCTTAACAGTGCCTGTAAATTGAGTCCATATCTTATCAATCAATTAAGAATAGTCATTGCATTTCACGGATAACTATTGGCAAAGCTATCCTATTGAACCTGAATAAATCAACTCCATTTTATCGTAGAACTCGGTTATACTATAAAAATGCTGCTTTTGAATCTGCTGCACCATTGACTTAATAATTATCGAAATTACATACATCAGTCCATTATTATAATAACTGCAAATCCTTTCTTTCACTCTAATCATTTGTGATCTTTTATAACGTTCTAAAAGCCTTATTGCTCGTACCAATGTTTGCTCTGCTCATTAACTGATTCATAGCAAAAATCTATTATTTTACTAATACTCATACAGTTCCATCCTCCCCTTATATTGTCTTATTGATCTACTACACAGATGGTAGCTTTACAGGAGATAAATACTCATCAGTCAATGTCTGTACCCGCATTTATTTTTCTCTTCTCATATTGTTATATATTTTATGTAATTACCAATTAAATTAAACTAAAATTGAACAATCTATTTTTAAATTGTATCTTATCAATATCACTCTGATATGAGACCTTTTCAACTTCATAAAATGTTATATGTCACATTCATAGATAGATTTATCAATTTACTATCACCATATTTTTTTATATAGCCAAAAAATATGTTGCTTGTATATAGTTTGTATCAATTAGACGTCATCAATTTACATATATTATTCATTTTAATACAATTTAATATTTTTATAATAAATTATGCAAAAAATGATCAAACCTTAATCACTTGCTTCTTTAGGCACCTTTTCGATTTCAAAGTCTCCAGTTTATAAATTCATGAGTGTATTTTTTCATTTAAATTTTGAAGATTTTATGAATTAGTATTTAAATGAATAAGAATATCATCAGAAGAATAGCTGGTTGATATAATAAATTGATTTATTAATAAGCCCAAGAATATTTTGTCATTGATCTTTATTTTTTTTCTTCATTACTACTGGAATTTGTATTGAATAACAATGAATCTATAAACTCAGTTAGCTCTAAATCTATCACTCCCAATTCTAATTTTTAGCAATTAATAATATTTGTAATGGATATCTCCATATATTAAATTCATAATTAATGTTACTATAATGAGATTAATAACAAACCACAATTATGACAAATGATATAAATAAAAGAACTCTTGAAATGATATATAAACTTATATAGAATATATTTGTTCATCTGCTAATATTTCTAAGTGCTCTATCTATTTTTTATGACAATTAGAAAAGTTCATTCACGTAGCCTCTTGATAATTATTTAATCTCCTCTGGCTATGAACAATCCAATTGTCTTGAAATTTCCAATAGTTCAGATAATGGGACAGCTTGATCTATTCTTTTAGAAAATGAATGGGTTATAGTTTTGCTATTGTCTTTTGCAGTAGATTAAGTCGAAGGAGATTAAAATTACCAACTTCCCAAATTTCCAAGTGATTAGTTCTTTCTTCTAAATGCAGATAACATATCATCATTCTAAGTGTGAAATCTACTTGGGTTATTCCTTTTAAATAGTGCAATACATAGTACCCATCTTGAATTCCAAATATTTTGCTGGGCGATGCCAAATTGGGATTATGATCTTCCTTGCTTTTATTCAAAATTGTGTGATGAAATTTGTTATCTGATTTGTTATCTATTTATTCCACCCATTCTGTAGGATACCTAAATTATCGATCACTAGAACTTACCTTCTTAATTCTTTTTTATCACTACTGTCTTTAAATGCAGAACTCGTACGAGTAGCTGTTGTAAAAGCTTAAGATTGATTCAAAAAGGTGCTTCTTTTAATAATTGAAGATTTTTGAACACTTGATTGCATTGAAATAAAATTTATTTCTTAATAAAACCTACTATTAATTATTTCTGCCTCAAATAATATAATAATTTAAATAAAATTTTCATACAAACATAATACGACTTAAATATTTCATTAATCTTCATAATGAAGATTTATGTGAGATTTATAATTTATAAGAGATTTATTAATTATAGTGTATTATAAATAATGAACTTAAAATCGATATAGGACAGCTTAATCTAGGCAGTTATTGAAGAAGGAGTCAAACTCATGAAATAATTAATAGGTGAATACTTTAATGCTACTTGTTATTCTATTTCCCAACCTGGAGAAGGAAGTGTTTGGATCTCATATTTAGATGGCAATCATTTCTTAAACAATGGCCAAGTGCTAAGTATGTTCTATCACCCGACAAAAAAACACACTGCAACTACAGTTGGCAAATTAGGCTAGAAATAAAGTGTGGCTGGACCAGGATAATGGGCATATTCAATTTAAACTAAAGGGGCTTATGGAAATAAGGCACATTACAATACATTATGAAATATATATTATAAAGTATATTCTGAATAATTTATACATAATTCTATTAAAATAATAGTTATCATTATGAATTATTGATTTTAGATTTAATAGAAAAACTAAGAGAATAATGCTATTTAGAAAAGTCAAGATATGAGCTTTTGCATTAGATTTTATATCCTAATTATAACGAATAATTTTATAGAAGGCGTCATGAGGATGTTATAAAAATTTGAGAATCTATAATATTATTTGATAGAACAACCTCTTGTACAAGTCAACAGATCGAATATGGAGAAATAGTTGCAATAAAGGGGAGATTATAATTAATGAAGATTCTCTATTTTAATTTATATCAACACATAGATCATCATTATTATTTGCATTCTGGCTTTTCTGTTTTCTTACTTTCATTCTTATCACCCTTGCTGCTGCTTGACTTCTTTCTTTTCTAATAATTGATAATTTTAATAGAATACAGATTTTTTTTTGTCATCTTCATCATCATCATCATCCTCATCATCTTCATCATCATCATCTATTTCAGCCATTTCTGGTTGTAATCCTAAGAACAACTCCAATGAACATGGAACAATGGAATCAAGGAATTCTGTAGCAATGTCAAAATGTTCATTCATTAAATCTTCCTATTTTTCAACTTCTTCTTCATCAAGATCTTTCTTAGTTGTAAGATCAAAATCTTTGAAGAATCCAAAGAAACTTTGAGCATCAACAACTTTATCAACAGTTCTAGATGCTCCAGTTTTCTTGTTCTTTTATTTCTTTGAAACCTTCTTTTGAGTGACATTCTTGCCCTCTTTCCATTCAATATGAGTTGATTCACTTTTCACTGGAGTCTCTTCTGCCTTCTCAAAAATGAATTTCTTAGTTAGAACTAAATTAGTAAAGTAATCATTGGGGGCAAAGGTGAGTTTGATAGTGAAATTGTGGCTGTTTTCTTCAAGCTCTAATTCTACTTTAGTGAGTGACTTCAACACATCCCAATCCTTCTCATTGTCTTAACATACATCCGCTAAACACAATCAAAATGATATTTACCAATAACAACTGAATTTTTGAGTACCTTGTACCAATAATCATCAATGGGTTCTGCTGTATTGTTCTCATTAACAAGTGCTTTTTCTGCTTCACTTAAGAATTTGTCTGAATTGGACAGTTCAATATCAGTGGCAGCTCTTTATCCAAGAATCAATTCGTTTTACTTTAAGAAGAAATAGAATGTAAATTCTTACCTTCTAATAGAGAGGGAGATTCAAGTGATCATATTCAATAGTGAGTTTCTAAACTTGTTCTTCCAACTCCTCTTCGTATTGTTGTTTGCGTTTTAAGTGATAAAAGAGAGCGACTGCTTTGACTCTTTCAGCAACAGGTAGGCTTTTAATCTTAGTAATGACTTCTTCGATATTTGAGTTTTCGTGATCACTCATTAAAATTTATAATGAATTAACAAATACATTTCAAATTCATACTGCAATATCTGGAGTTTAGCACTAAATTTGATCAATAACAATACGAATTATCAATTATGTTAAAGAGAGGAACACTTGCTGCATAAACTATTATAAGCAAAATGCAAATAAGAAATCCTGAACGAACTTCCAATATGTGTAGATTGCCAATCGATCAAATTGCAGAGTTTCAGTAGAAGATGGTTAACAAAGACGGAGTCTATGTGGACTACAATGTACTTATTCAATCATTCCAATTTTTTAGATTAAATTCTTGTTTTATTTGGGAGGCAATCAACTTGGAGATTGCTTAATCAATTTGGCATACTTCCTAAATGGAGAAATTGACTAAGATTAAAAGGTCAAAAAGCCATTAACATCTACAACAGACAAACGAGCTGCCTTATTATTTCGAGTCATGAGAGCACCCTTTTAGTCCTAATTTGAAACTTAAGAATATCCTCAAGTCAATGTGCCAATGCCAGCACCTACACATACTCCTATTTCTCAGTAAGTCCCATAGACTGCTAGAAATTCTAGTAGTCGTAAAATGGAATTGCAAAACAGAGCAACCAGAGCAAGGAGTCAATCTCCTCCTAAAGAATTCAAGAGTGCAATTCAGGTTTCAAAAGCAGAAGAATAACCTTCGTAAATTAAATAGCCATCAGATAATCTCACTCAAAAATTCCTGTAGCTTGGTGAGAAGTTCTCATAAGAAAAACTACAGCAGGTTGTTCCTACTAATGAAGATAATGATAATTTCAGAGAAATCACTGAAATGCTTACTCAATAGGAAGAGGAGTTGTAAAAGCAGATTGAGCAATTAGATAATCATATTAAGGTTGATTCTAAATTTAGAAGAACAAATTTTGATAATAATAATAACACAGCCAATTTTGCAAACGCAAACAGCAATAATCAAGAACTCTAATTTTTAAAGCAAAAATACAATGAACTTGATGAAAAATACAACAAAGCATTAGAAGAAAACTCACACTTGAAGAGAATTATAAGATAAAGTGGCGAGTAATTGAAAAAACACAACCAACTTTCACAGTCAGGATACAAACAACTCACTGACAGTGGTCTAAATCAATCCACAGTCTCTAATTAGGAGTAATTTGAAAGAACCATTGAAAAAAAAAATCAGATCATCAAAGAGTTATCAAATTAATTATTAGAATTAGAAAAAAACTCTAATGTTGCTGTCATTGAACAATTACGCAACTAAATTTCTAGAATAGAATAACTAACAGTAGAAAAAGAGGAATAATGGCAACTCTAAGAAAAAATATATAAAGAAAAGATTTTTCAATTGTTCTAAAACACAGAATGAATTTATAAATAACTGTATTTATTTGTTAAGTATAATTTTGGATATCATTTAGAAATCGTGCAACTTGGGTGTTCTAAATTGTATTGTTCTAATATATATCTAAAATTTCCACATTTAAAGTTAGTATTAATGAGTTTGAAGAATATCTTTCATCATCAATGATTCATTCTCAAGAATACGTCATAGCCTTCATCATTGTTTCATTATCCAAAATATCAATAATAATATTATTACGAAATAAAGGATGTGTTAATTGAATCAGAAATAAAAATACATTAAAAATGTCACTAATTTTTTGATTTGAATAATTTTTATTTTACTTTAATATCTCCTTTAAATATAAACAATGTATTATTTAATTGTATTTAATGTAATGTATGATGTCATAAATTTGTTAAATATAAATGAGAATAAAATCAAAATTCGTTATTGTATGCACAACTTAGATAAGTATATGGATCTTAATAATAAGTAGGTGCATACTCATCAGTGGGAACTTCACAACTTGTATATTCTTCTTTTATGTACTCCTCTTTTACTTCGTCCTTTTTAGAGAGACTCAAAAATTTGTCATACGGTTATTCCTTCTACAGCTATTCTTTCAACTGTTCAATAGCTTGTATGTACATCTATTTAGTAGATTGATCTTTAATCTTGTTATTGATTAGCACACAAACTTCAGCTTAAGTTCCTAAGAATTCTATCCATTTGTGTTAGGTTTCCAATTGAATGATCTTTGTTCTAGGATTGATGGCTCCAAAGAGTTTTTTAAGGTCTCCTAATTCAAATTTTTATTGTTTTGAAGTCTTCTTCTTGTGAATAGATCTCAAGTAGCCATCCACTTGTTTATATCCCATTTCTTCAGCCCAATGCATGAATTGGTTCATGAAGAAGGGCACAATCCTCCGTTGAAAATTGTGTTGTTTCTTAATTGAGTATGGTACCTCAGATTATTATTCTTGAGGTTTAATGGTGAGATGGGCATTAATGATGTCTAAAAGGTGTTCATCAATCTGCATTATGACTTTGCCATTGCATTTTTTAAGAATCTAAATATTAAGAGATACAATACTTAGTATGTGTATGCGTCTTACATTTTATTTGTATTAATGATTTGCAAAATTTGATAATTACAATTCATATTGCATTAATAATACAAATTTCAACATTTGTTGTGGAATATTCATTATTAATATGTTTAATTATTTAATTAAACTTAATTAACATTGCTAAAATCTACATACAACAACTTCTACTAATCATGTTTAGTAACACACAAGATCAAATATTTTATTGAAAATGATCTAATGTATAAACATACAAGTCTATTTAATCCATTATTCTAAAGAGGTTATTTTCTCTCTATTCGAAATGATGTGCAATCTGAATCGAAGAATCTTTAAGAGTGGTGACTCTTAGGACTATAGATTTTATCATTTTATTTGATCAACGACACTTTTTTTTCTCTATAAACTGGTAAAATAAAATAAATAAATATTATAATGGTTCTAAATTAATCTTATACATATTTACATGGATTCATAAGCTTGAATGTAATGGTTAGAATGTTCTTTAATGTTTGTAACCTAGTGACGATTCACCCCCAAGACATTTCTAATTTTAAAATAAATAATAATAATTGATCGAAATGAATAAAACCTTCCAATAAAATTTCTTAGCTAATCAAGTTGCTATAGTAACAGGTGGTGCTACAGGAATTTGTTATGGCATTAGTCTGGCATATCTAAAATACGGATGCAAGGTTCTTATCACAAGTCGTAAAGAGGAAGTCTTAAAGCAATCATGCATTACATTAGCATAAGAATCAGGCAATGACAATATCGCATATTTTCCTTGTGATGTGAGAAAATTTGAATAAGTGGAAGCAATGGTTTAATTTGCATTGGACAAATGGGGAAGAATAGACATTTTAGTCAATGGGGCAGCTGGAAATTTTTTGGTTCCTTTCGAAATGATGAGTGTAAATGCCTTCAGATCTGTAATGGAAATAGATACTTTTGGAACATTTCATGTAATTCTTGTTTATATAAGTAGTGTTGTAAAGCAGTTGTTGCAAAATGGATGTCAAAAAATGGAGGTGTTATAATTAATATTAGTACCACTCTTCCACATTGTGGAGTAGCACTTCAATCCCATGCTGGAACAGCCAAAGCAGGAATAGATGCACTTACTAGACATCTCGCTGTTGAATTGGGACCAAAGAAAATTAGAGTTGTTGGAATAGCCCCAGGAGCTATTGAGAAATCTGAAGGATTCAAAAGATTGAGAATGGATGATAGTGTACTTAATGTCCAATATTATTATTTTAGTCTGGTTTTGGAGAGGATTTTGAAAAACTGTTGCCATTACAGAGGGCAGGAAACAATGATGATATTGCTCCTTGGGCTCTCTTTTTGGCTTCTGAATGTGCAAGTTACATCACTGGATAAACTATAATAGTTGATGGAGGAGCAGTTAATACATTTCCTAATTTTACTCTCCTAAGTAAAAAAGCAAGAGATATGTTAAAACCAAAATTGTGATAATGTGGATTTGGTTATAATATCTAATAATATTATTATTTAATATTTAAATATAAAATAGAGTGATTAAATTAAATAATAAGCCATTGATATAATATTTCATTTTTCTTGTTAAATCTATTCTAGTATTGCCTGCAATTCTATTAAATTCTCATGATAAAGAGTTTAAATAATAGCACTAAGTCCTATCAAAAGACTTATATCTATTTAAAAGTTTTAATTTGTAATTAATTAATAATTAATTTATTCAACAACACACACATCTTAGAAGTGATAGAACTTGAATTTAAATTATTAATCAGTATGGATTTTTAAAAATCATATATTTATATGCTCAACTAAGAATAAGGATTTAAATCATAGGTTATTGGATGTATTCCCAGACAGTAATTATCATTCATTTACAGGCAGGTGTTGAGAATACTTTCCATATAGATCTGAGGTTGGTCGTCTTCATTTGAATGGACTACTGCTGTACTTAGATACTAGATCCACTCAATATAAATAATTATCATGATTGTTATTGTAATATTTCAACATATGTGACAACCTGCTTTCGAGTAGCTTATTCAATTGTTGTGGTTGTTCACTTAAGCTTACACTTAATCTAAATCTTTAATTGTTTTATTTAAGACATTCTAAATTCTTATTAAATCTCCTTCTCTCTTGTACATACTCACTCTTCTCCTTGAACTCCTAAGTATAGATCTTTTATTTAAATTGCAGTGACTTGTTTTTCTATTACTTGTTGGTGAATTCCAAAGCAGAATTAGGCATAAACTTGGTTTTGTTCCTCAAGGGAGCCAATTCAATAGTATTGAGTTAAGTCTTTGGTTTCTTTATACTGACTACAGTGAACGGAGTTTCTTGAGTTGAAATAGAACGACGATGTGTATGGTCTATGGTGTTGTAATTTTATTTGTTGATTTCCCTCATTATGGATTTCTTTAATTGTTCTATTTTACTAACAGGATTATTGATGCCTACCACTAATTCCTTTATTAATTACATTTATTAATTAACGAATAAATATATGTTTGTTTCACAATCCAAGGTTTTAGAATGTAAGTCAATCATATTATCATCAGAATGCCTAGTAGACATCACAAAGCAAGTCTTGGGAGAGCAGATCGATCGAGAAAACAGAGGAGCAGTTCTCAATAGAATCAAGGAGATCACATTGGAGACATTCCAAAGACATTACTCCGAAGAGATACTCTTGTTGTAATAAGAATTACGTTAACAATCCCAAGCCATTGATCGAGTCAAAAGGGAGTATTAGGATAGAGAGCAACAATTGATTATTGATGTAGAACACAGATTGCATGAGCAGTAGATACTACAAGTATAGGAAATGAAGAGTCTTCAATAATTATGCGATGAATAGAGTGATTAAAACAATAAACATCTATTAACCATCGAGAAACTGAATAAGTAAATTAGGGAATCCAATCTCACTAATTAACAATTAAATATAGAACTGCAACAACTCAAGGACAATCAATAGTCTATTGATCTTCAAACAAGGTATTTTTCTTAGGAAGGACAAGAACATAAGTAGAAGGTAGAGCAAATACAGTAAGCCTATTCTGTCCTGGATTAATAGTTCAAGACTTTAAAATTAGAATCTGACAAGTAGTTGAAGGACTATTAAAGAAAATTGTAAACAATAACAGATTCACACATCTTATAAGAGAGTGAACTTACCAATTTGAAATTAGAAAATGAATAGCTAAAAATTAAAAAATAATAGGAAGCATAAAAGTAGAAAGAGGCTTTGGAGCAATTAAAGGAAAAAAGCTAAGCCAAAATAAAAGAATATAAATTGAAATTGAAAGATCTGCAGAATAAGGATTAGTACATAGTTGAACTTTAGGAACAAATGAAAGAACTTGAGCAGTAAATTGAATTCTAATCTAATTAACATAAATAAGCTGTCAAAATGTTGGAATAGCAATATAAGAAATAATATACTAGATTAGAAGAAAGTTTGGAACAAGAAAAGTCAGAATTGTAGTAATAATTGCATTAGAGTTTGAAATCAAGTGTTTCTGAAAAGGATAGAGAAATCGCAGGGTTGAATTAGGATATAAAACAATTAAAAATGTAATTTTAAAATGATTAAGAACTTAAATAAAAAAACAATTCTAAATTTGAAGAACTCATTCAAACATTCAAAAAATAACTAGATGAATCATAATAATAAAATGCAGAGTTGATTTAGAAGAATAAAATGTTGGAATAGGAAATCAGTAAGAAAGATTAAAATCTTAAATTGTTATTATGTGATGTTGATGATTTGAAATAATTTTCAGAGTAAACTTTGACCACTTTGAAAGAGAATTAAGATTATATGAATGAAATTGAGAGAGAAAAATAATAATAGCAAGAAATCATCCTTGCTATTCAACATCAATTAGAAATAGAGATTTAAGGATCATTCTCATATTAAAGATTAGGACAAGAATTGGAACAAAGATGCAAATTGTATAAGGAAGAACATTGTCAATTATTAGATGAATAATTGAAAAAGGAAGCATAATGCTAATAGGAAATACAATAGCTAGATTCTAGATTCAAACAAGAAATAGACAATCTAAATAAAGAGCATTAAATAATAGTGGAAAATTTTGAAAGCTAGATGAAGAAAGTCAAGTTGGAAAATAAATTACAAATTGAAGAGTAAATCAGAGCTTACAATTAAATACAAAAGGAATTATTCTAAAAAAGCTAATAGTATGAGAACCTGGAAAAGTAGAATATTAATTTGGTTAACGAATTAGAGTAATATATATCCCAATACACTCATAATTTATAATAATTGGAAGATTAAAAATTGAAGGAGAAGAATTTAATAGAATCCTCAAATAAAAACCTAAATTCTTGGAATACAGAAAAACATTAGTTAGTTATGTAAATTGATGAGTTGAAATTCAAATACAGATCTATGAAATAAAAGATTGTCAGATTATTTATTAGGTAGAAAGAGTAATTAAATTTATAACTACTTGAAGTGAAATCTGTCATCATGAATAAATTAAAGAACTATGATTCTGAAAATAGACAATTAATATAGAATTCAGTTAAAAAATTTAATCATGTATGTAATCATCATAATTTAGTTAATTGATCAAAGTGTCTAACAGGAAAAGAGGGAGAACGAATTTCTAGTTATTGAATTGTAAAAGGAAATGGATAAGAAGGTTGAATAATTAAAACGACAATTTAAATAAAATGAATAATTAATACAGGAAGAGGCTCAAATTAAATTTAAACAAAAATTATAATAGATCCAATAACACGATCATTCTATCGACGATCTCAAAAATTAGTTGAATTACTATATTTAAGAGAATGACCATTTATCACAGAAACTTTAAGTGTAAGATTAGCTTAACAGAGAATAATAGAAGAAGGCAGAATATGAGTCAAGGCAACTCAACCAGACAATTAAGGAATTAGAAAATGAATTGTATATAATATAGCCATCTATTTTAGAAGCTCAATTCAATAATCAGCTGATTACACTTTGAAAGAGAGACAATTCCTTGAATTAAGATACAACGAACTTAAAGATAAATCCGAAAAGAAAATGGATTAAATCTAAAGAGATTATCAATAGTAAATATAACAACTTGAAACTATAATCTAACCAGTTTAACAAAGAGCTCTATCTCCTCCTTTACATTAACATACCTAATCATCAAGTTCAGGTTTCCATCGCTCTCCTGCTGTGTAACCAAACTTATCATCTGCTAAACGTATTGTTTGTCTTTATCTCAGATCCATATTCAAAGCCACCATAATACAGCAGTCCCTCCATAAGAACACCACATAAATCTCCCTCAAATGATAGAACTGATAAAACAATTGAAGAATTGAGAGCTGAGATATAATAACAAAAAGAGAAACTTTCAAGAATGAAACTCAATTTTACAGAATCTCAAAAAAAATCTAAAACATTATCAAAGTTTTGATAAACTATATTATATATATTATTATATTATAATTTTATAATTTTATGACTTAGTAGAGTAGATTCATCTCTTAAATCAATACTATCACAACGCAAAATTTAAAATAATATTATTCAATATATAAGGTACGAGTATCTGGTTACCTGAATTTAATAGAATAAAATTATTGATTAATATTTCTTTTTAAGATAACACGATGTTTAATATGTAGATATAATCGACTATTACTAGAACTCCCAAAATCAAACATATTACAGAGTTAGGAAGTTAATTAACAATTAACATAATATTGCTTGTATATTATGTATCTCTTGATGAATCTCATAACCCAAACAGCACCAACTATAAGTATCTCTAAATTGCTGGCAATCTCTTTCAGATGATTGGACATCTACTTATAATTTCCTCACTTTTCAAATACCTTCCTTGTGTTATTTTAGGAATTGTAGCAATTGTGAATTTTGGAGTGCTTTCATTGTTAGTAGGTTTGGGCTTGGTGGCAGGATATTATGATTTGTAGAATGAATATTTTAAATGCGCAATTTGTTGCTGGTTTATTTAATTAGCAATCAGTATTTTAGGAATGCTAGTACTTTTAAAAATCTGTCAGGAGAATTCGAAAAAAGAAGATGTCAAAATGAAGTCACATCATGATTTTGATGTAAATGATGACTCTAAATCTTAAATTCATATATGAAAAATGCAAAATTCATTAAAATTGATATCAATCCAAATATATGATATTCTCATCAAAAGTATTATTAACCAAGTAAAAATAAATCACTGATATCTCTTTAAAACCCCTTTGATGATAAAACTATTTCTCCTTGGAGAATTCTTTTTTAGAGGAGTAAAAGATCTGTTGAGTTTCTTTTACTTTTGAGCTCCATTGTGTTATTTTGGATTTTCAATGGAGGGTAATCTAAATTAGGTTCGAGGTACAAACTAAGGTACTTCAAAGTATTCTTATTCGAATGAGATCTTCATCCATTCATGATTGAGAATATCATAGAGTTTGATTCTTTTTTGAGGATCAATAAAGAAAATCCTTGACAATAGATCAATTAAATAAGGAGAGACATTCTTTTTTGAAAATGTGTAGTTGCTGGTTATAATGTTTTGAATGATTTCAAAATTGGATTCTCCATCAAATGGATACTTACCGAAGATAAGATGAAAGAGTATAACTCCCATAGCCCAGACATCAATATGTGGTCCAATCTTTTGGTTGTTTCCTTGGAGAGTTTCTGGAGCCATGTATCTAATGGTACCGATGTTCAATTTATCCACATTGCTGTTGACGGCCATGCCAGCAATGCCAAAATCAACTATTTTGATTAAGGTATCATTCTTATTAGCAAACATGAGATTCTCAAGTTTGAGATCCCTATGAATGAGTTTGCGATTATGACAATACATCATAGCATCACAAATCTATCTGAAATACATTCGTGCCTCTTCTTCGCATAGTTAACCCTTAGCTTCATTAATTAAGTTAAAATACCTTGAGTGTACTTAGAGAGATCGCCTCCTTCCAAATACTCCATTACTACAATGACTTGCATGTTGGAGAGAGGGTAGCAGTTGTAAAATTTGACTATATTTTTATGATTAAGTGATTTCAGTAAGTAAGCTTCACGAAAAACCAACTCAATGTCATTTGCATCTCTGTTTCTAGTATTCACATATTTAATGGCAACAAAATTGAGTGTTTCCTTGTGTCTCCCCAACAACACTTTGCCAAATCCTCCCTTGCCCAACTATTCTATTATCTCATACTCTTGATGGATGATATTCGCATCAAAATCCTCCCCTCTTGTAATATACAATTTTGCATTGTCTTTCAAGTATATTAAATCCTCATTAAACAGTTCCACTCCATCCTAAGTGAATACTCGAAAGTGTCTAAGACTAATTTGATGTTTCTATTCACATAGTGATCTCAATTCTTTGAGTGAAGTGTCACCATAAATGGATACTTAAAACTTACGATCACTGCCTAGCAAAGTGATATTGAGAGTTTTAGTGTTAGAATGTTCATTATACTCATGAAACATTATAAGTGAAGTATGTTTGTAATTGATATTTTATGTATTAAAATTATAATATCATACATACACATACTAATTAGAATCAGATTTGTTCTTACTCAATTACAGAACAACAATTAACTTTTGGCTCTTCCTGATCTTTGCTTTAATACTATTTTAATAGGCTTGGCAGTCACATTTCCAATATTAGATTTTGATTCGTCCTTTTGAATCGAACTCTTTCTGCAACTCTATAGCATAATTTATTTTGGTTTCTTGGTAGTCACTGTTAGAGGAGTAGTGACTTATAGCATCTTCAATAAACTTAGTGCAGGAAGAGTGTGACTCTCACTCAACCATCGATGATTCAAAATTCCTTAGACTGTGATCCTGTTCCGATATTGGAATATCTGTTTGAATAAGTCTAATAGATTGTTGCTCACCTTCTGAGGTATAGTATACTTAAATATGCTGATTGCTTAAATGAGTTCTTCCTTTGTAGATCCTCTAAATGGTAATTTTCCAAAGACCATTGCATACAAGATCACCCCAATTGCCCAGACATCAGAAAGTTAATTAGCTGGGAATCCGGATATCAATTCAGGAGACATGTATGGTAAAGTACCCATTCGAATCCGATCCTTACCAACGCATGCAATTCCAAAATCTACAATTTTTATCTATCTATAATGCACAGTGTAATTACTTAATTACTATTTGGAGAAACAAGCAAGATATTCTCTAACTTTAAATCCCGATGGATCAAGTTTTTTTTATGACAGTAATCTATTCCCTCTAATATCTATTTCAAGTAAATCCTAGCCTCGATCTCCTCCAAAGTTCCTTTCCTTCTCACCAAATCTAAGAGAGAACCTCCTTATAGGTGTTCCATAACCAATATACATTCATGATTTAACATAATATTTTGAATCAAATGAACTATGTTCCTATGACTCAATTATTTGAGTATCTGTGATTCCCTAAACAACAGATCTATTTCATCCGCATTGAATCCATCTCCTTTTATGATCTTAATTGCCACGTACACTTTGGTCTCCTTATGCTGTCCTAGCATCACAATACCTTGTCCTCCTTATCCAATCTAATCTATAATCGTGTATTCTTGGAAGATAATGTTCTAATCAAGTTCCTATCCATTCAACGTTGCCCATAATTTTGATTGCTTAGGTTAAAATCTCAGATCCTCTTAGAAGATTTCAATTCCACTAGCATTAAATAATCGCAACTCTTTTGGACTTATTCTCCAGGTTGAACGAATCTGTCTTGAAATATCCTTTGTAGTCGAGTATTCATTGATTATAACCTAAAACGGAGGATAGTTAGGATGACAGATAGTAATTGTTTTATATTATTTCGAGATGTGATCAACCATATTATAATAATAATAATAAATGGATTAATCTCAAGCTCAACATATTTGGAAGATGCTTGATGATATGGCTGCCTCTGATCCACAAGCCTATAAATAATTTGTTGAGAAAAACATTCAGGCAGGTATGGAAGAGATGAAAACTGAGAAACAGTAAAAAATAGAAGAATTGTCTATTGTACCTCAATTTGCTTATTCAATGAAAATTTGGGGCAATCTACTTAAACAATCCATAAATGAATTAGAAAGCAAGCTATTATTGAAATAAAATGAACTCAAATAAGAGAATTTCCAATTTGATAAATTAGAAAAAAGAACCAAATTTTACATCAATCTCCTACATCATGACCGAGTAATGGGAGCATTCGATAAGAATGATAATCCAACAGACATTCCATCATAATACAATTTGATTCCTCTTTCTATATCTGATGTCTAGATCGGAAAGTCAGCATCCTTCAATACCTAAGTTTACTATTATGATATAGTTATCAATACAGATGTGTTTAAGAAAGTATGACCATTTTTATTCATTGATTAGATAAATCGCCAAATCCTGCAGTCAATCATTATTGATACATTATAGAAAAGAATCGAAGGAGATAAAAACCCTGCTAAATTTACATTCTTTAAGGCACACTATAAATTTGAAATTCCCTCTCTTAAAATCATTAATAAATAATACAAATATTGCGGACCAAAGAAGCAGCTAAAACTACTCTTAGAACCCTAAGCTGATAAAGAAGGGAGACGATTCCCAAAAACCTAGAATCCAGTAGAAAATAAAATTGAACAGAATCTCAGCTTCACTAGATAGTAGGGACCTTTGGATAATTTAATTCTAAATGCTTAAAACTAGACACAACAAGGGCCACAAAAAAAAGTCTTGATTGAAGAAATTGATACTAAAAATGAAGTTGAGAAATATTAGGTTGTTCATGAGAAGGATAAAATTATCATAACTATAAATGTGAATGTTGAAAACTTTTAGGATATCGATCTCAATATCTCAAGTAAAGGATTGAAATTGACAACTGTGATGAATGAAAAGATAGAATTAGATTTTGGTTGTCTAGTAGATGATGAGCATCCATCAGCTAAATGGAACAAAAAATAGAAACAATTGAAAATAGTTGTAAATAAAATATTATGAATTCTATTATCATCATCCTGCAATTACTTATGAACACAATTATAAATGAACCTCTTGCTTTTAAGTAGTACATTTGATATCTCCTATGACATCTAGTGGATTAGGAACCATTGATTCACACATCAAAATCTAACATAGTTTAAAATGTGATATTACTATTTTTTGATTGCAATATTTTTCCAAATCTGACTTGATATTAGCTATAGTTGTGGTGCCAGGTAATCGCAGTTGTAAAATACGAGTTTATTCATCAATTTTAGTATTTTTCTCATTTGCCAATTCCTATAATGCCTTGATGAATTGCTATCTATCCTATTGAGCAGTGGAATTGTATATTTAGAGATTGACTGTGATCTCCTCTCCTCTCACTAATTAAAAGATAGACGAGTACATGTATTTTTAAGTAAAGCCTCCTGATATTAATGCATTAATTTAATTAGAATATAGTTCATATACTTATTGGGATTCTCAATTCAAACCTGTCTTTGATTCCATGGATTGGTTATTCGTTATGCTTGGAATGGATTGATCCTCTCTCTATATTCTCATTCTTTTGTCTATCAAAGTTGCACAGTCTCATTCTCTAAAGAGATTGAATCGGAATCTGTAAGTATGTCTATAATATATAAAATTCAGATAATAATTTAAATAGTTTAAAAAATAATGGACGAAAAAAATACAGCAGATGGGTACAAATTAGTTATAAATCTAGTTCTGAGTAGGTAGTGATCTTTGAAGAAAAAATCACGAAAGTTAATGGGGAAGTGGCGATAAAAAGATACCAGAGAGGCAAGTTCTTGGGAAAGGGTGGTTTTGCCAAGTGTTATGAAGCAACAAATTTGGAGACAAAGAAAGTGTTGGCTGCCAAGATAATAGCTAAAAGCAGTTTAACCAAGAACAGAGCTCGTTAAAAGGTTATATATGTGATGTAATCAATTAGCTTATTTCAGAAATAAAAATACACAAGAGTTTGCAAAATACAAACATTGTGCAATTCGAGCATGTCTTTGAGGATCACGAAAATGTATACATTTTATTAGAGTTATGTTCCAATCAAGTAACTATCATCCATTTAAATTAGACTCTAAATGAATTAATAAAACGACGCAAAAGACTAACAGAAATAGAAGTGCAATGCTATGTTGCATAGATAATTAACGCACTCAAATACTTACACGCCAGCAATGTGATTCATAGAGAGTAACTTAATATATATTGCAAGTCTCAAATTAGGAAATCTGTTCCTCAATAAGTCGATGGAACTGAAGTTGGGAGATTTTGGTTTGGCAACCAAGTTGGAATTCGACGGAGAGAAGAAAAGAACTATTTGTGGAACACCCAATTACATAGCCCCAGAAGTTTTGGATGGAAAAGTAGGTCACTCCTTTGAAGTTGACGTATGGTCATTGGGAGTTATGATTTATGCTATGTTAATTGGAAAACCCCCCTTTGAAACCCCAGATGTCAAAACTACATACAGGAAAATCAGATTGAATTCATACACTTTTCCAGAACACGTCCTCATATCTGATGCAGCCAAGAATCTGATCACAAGAATTCTGAACTTGGATCCAGTTAAAAGACCCACTTTGGATGAGATTATGGCTCATCCATTCATGAATACAGGTGGATCTATACCAAAGACACTCCCACTGTCTACTCTTGCTTGTCCTCCCTCCGCATCCTATAATAAACAATTCTAACCATCCACAAATTCAAGCAGTCTGAAAATGTCAGTAAATGCTATGCCTCAGAGATTGACTGAAACCACTCCAAACAATTAGAAAAATCAACAAAGACCAGGCAATGGCTCATCTGATCGTTTCCCATGTATTCATTAATAATTATTCTATTAGTGTAGAAACCAACTTCAAGTGGAAATATTTTAGAAGACAACTTCGGATCCAGTGGATTGAATAATGCACAAAATGCTGGTTATGGTGGCTCCCAAAGACCTCAATCCCAAAAACCCAATGACATCAGAAGTAGTCAAAGTCAAAAGGCACTCAATCCTCCTTTTGGTGGCACTGGAATGTAAGGCACTCATTCAGTCAATAATCTTGGCTAAAGAACACCTCAACAAAAATAAGAAATCTATGTGAAAAAGTGGGTTGACTATTCCAGCAAATACGGATTGGGATATCTATTGAGTAATGGGGCCACAGGAGTCTTCTTTAATGATTCTACCAAAATTATTTTGGATACAAAAACACTGCTATTTGACTACATGGAAAGAAGAGGAAGTGACAGATAGGATGTTTGTGAATCCCATAATCTTAATGAATATCCTAGAGAACTCAAAAAGAAAGTTACCTTACTACAACATTTTAGAAACTATCTTGAAGGAGAATAAATTAAGGATATGGCATTTGAAGAATACGAAGGTAAACAATTAGTCTATATTAAAAAATGGATGAAAACAAAACATGCTATTATGTTTAGATTATCCAACAAAATTGTCTAAGTATTCAATTATCCACATATTTAGGTTAATTTTATTGACAAAACCGAGATTATCTTGTCATCAGAACATAAGATGGTTACATATGTAAACAAAGCTGGTGAAAGAAGTTATTATCCTTTAGCTACTGCTCTTGATAGTTAAAATACTGAAATGGCAAAAAGACTAAAGGTAATCATTTTCTAAATACCCCCTTTAAGTATACTAAAGAAATCTTGACTCACATGCTCAATGGTGGTCATACTGGAGATCAACAACCTAACTAAATGACTGAAACCAATTGGCAAAATTCTGGACCTTGAAAAGATTATTTAACATAAAAAAATAAGTGCATTTAAAAAAATTTACTTTTATTAATATATTTTGTTCAAGTTTATATATTCAATAAATATTCAAAAATTAATATATAAATAATTAATCAATTTTTCTAGTAATTCAGATCAGAAAATTATCTGATATGTTTTTAATTATTAATCCCAAATAACCAAATATAATTCGTTTTTCTCTGGGAAGTATAGTGAGTTACCATAGATAGAAGAACTTGAAAATTGCATAATCTTCTAAGATGTTTCATATAATCCATCTAATTGACGCCTCATTGTATAGATATAATTTCTATTCTTTATAAATATAAGATTTTTATTGATTAGTTAAATAACGGCAAATCCAGGTTAATCAAGATTCAATTTAACATCCTGGGACTTGTACTTTTATTATAGCTATTCTTAATCCTAAAATGTATCGTCACTTTCAGTTTTTTAATAGAATCTAATTCTATTTTTATTATCTTCTTTATTATCTGTAACCAAAATAAATAAATCATTTTTAATAAAAGATATTGTATTACTATATTCCTATGGATCTGTTTAAATGGTCGACTTTATCTTCCATTTTCTTTCAACTTTAACCCAAATAATTATCTTTTGATCTTCCCCATATGATATCAAGTACGTTTCAGAGTCATTTAAGCTTAAGCTCAACACTTTTCCTTTATGCTCTGATAATGAATACTCATACTTTATGAAATATCTTTCAAAATTGAGATTATAAACTTGTATCTCTTGTCCTCCACTAAATAATTAAGTCTCATCTTTATTGACTACTAAACAATTAACATAACCATTTTATTAATCAATATCTTGTTATTGACACACCTCTACCTTATCACAATACTTCCATATCACAAGCCTCTCATCCGCAGTAACAAAAGCATTGTATTATTTACTGTGAATCATACAAGTTACAGATAACTCATTATTCTGTTTACGAACTTATAATTTTCTTTCCCAAGATAGAGTTTTCAGTTGATTTTCCGAATTTGGATTTTTTAATTGAAATATATTTATTTTGTTGCCTTAATTAGTAACCATCAGTTATTTAGAAGAATTAAACACGATTGCAGTACAACTCTCGTTTTCGCATTAAGATAATAGCCTCCATTAAATAGGTCTATATAAAGCCAGATCAAAATCCTGATCGTCGGTATTAGATTTCTGATTCAAAAATAGTGAATTTTTTTTAATTTACTCTTTCAAAATTTTATCTATTTGAATTATGGGATTAGAATTAGTAATATTTTCATTTTCATTTTTGTTTTAATCAATATGTGGATTAGTTTAATTATTATATTCTAAAATACTAGAGGCCATGATTTCAATCTTCAAATTTAATTCCAATTTTTTTAACTCTTCTATTTCATCACATTGTTTTTACAATTCAATTTCTCCTGTTTAAACTAAATTACTAATTCCTATGTCGTAAAACCCATTTATTTTAGCTTAATTTTCTGTTTGAATCTAAATTGTATGTTTAATTTTCTCTTTCAAATATTAGTTTAATTTTTCCAATCTTCCTTCCTTATTCTTCAGAAATGTGGACCAATTTTTACTAAAAGTTTCCAAAGACTCCCCATATTTATTTTCACAACGGTTACATAATATACTTATTGGATCTTTCTAAGTTTGATATTAAACTCTATTTATTGGTTCTTAATGTAAAGGGCACATTGTATTTTTTAATGCTTTTCCTAAATCAGAAGGATTTGTATCAATCTTTTGTTCAATTGAAAATAAAGCATCTACTAGGATTTAGTAGATTTCTTGTACATTAGAGGCATTTGCAAAACTTTGAATCGCAAGTATTAATTAATTGCAAAACTAACGATTTTAAGATTTGATTCGACGTTTATAAATCAGAACTTCCATTTGATCCTTTCTATAATTAGGGAATAAAAGAGAATAAATTTCATCATATAAATTCCCTTTTTTATTATCATTTTTTATTTTCTCAATTGTTCTTATCCAATAACTTACCCACCATACTAAATTATCTATTTTATCTATGAGATCATCTTTCATCGAATTTAGTAACTATAATAATATTTTAATGGGTTTAATCTGTTAATCAGCAATAGTTTTTCTTTAATTTTCTTTTTGCTAGTTTTTTTTCTCCACCTCTTCTAATACATTAGAATAACTTTTTGAATTTTCACCTCCTTTATAGTTGTGATAACAATCGGCACAAAATAATCTTTAGTTATTCAGTATTCTTTTATTTACTAAAACATGAGTAACTTTTTTTTCTCCTTTGCACATATAGCATTTTATCTCATCCTCATTTTCTTTCGGATCTCTCATTTAATATAATAATTAATAAATCTTAATAATAAACTTATATCTATTAATAGCATTCCTAATGAAATTGAACTAAGTCAATTCATTTAGATCAAGAATTAAAATTGTAGTTTCATTTAGATTAGGTAATTTAAAAAATGGTTCTGGAAAATATAATTAAGAATGATCTCAAATTAATTGTAATCATTATACTTTATAAAATGAAGAAATCAATAATAAGACCAATTAATCAATTAAATTCTCCCTCTATTTCTCATTATAGATCACAGACTAGTGGATCTGGAGTAATTGATCAATCTAGGATTCTGGAGGAAACTAGTGAGCGATTTTAGCGAACTTGGAACATTTTGGAGAGCGTCGAAGAATTAAAGAGTGTGCGCGAGATAGTGAAGTAAGTCAATACAGAGCCAAGTGTACAATGTGAATGTCAATTGGGAGGGACGATAATATCTGGGAAGGTTTACAAAGTAGCTCCTATGGAGTTTTATTATTGCAATATTGGAACTCGAGGTTAGAAATCTCCTTTGAATTGTACGATGTTTTGTGATGGTGAGTTTTAGATAATGATATCATTTAATTCACCTTTTCCAACCAAATTCAATTGTGATCAAGTCATTCGAAATAGATAATGGGCTGTGAAGCATAATGGAGAAGATAAATTAAATTTGGCAGTGGTTGCAAGAAAATAAACAGATATAAAATTTATGGTTCATTTCGGATAGGCAGATTCCTTTCGCAAATTGGTTCGTATGACTAGTAATCATGATAGAATTCCAATGAGTGAGATACCAAGGACTCCTTAATTCATAGTGAATCAGAATAAGGTTTTGGCAGTCAAAAAAGTGAACAAATTCGAGATGGAAGTTAGTCGATCAGATCGTTTTTTGTAGGTATTGAAAACAAGAAATCTGCAAAAGAAGTCTGTGTTGGAAGCAAACTAAATGAAGAATCTTGAATTTAAGGCCAAGGAATGGGCACATAATGAATACAAATTGATAACGTCGGCCTTACGAAACAGGGATAGGAGAAGGGAATAAAAATACCTTTGGTTTGAATTACTTTATTATATCAAGCTTGTAGACACATTGTAGACTTTGTTATAATAGAGAAGGAAATAATTGATGAAGAATAAGATGATGGTGATAGGTTTGCAGTTGAGAATCAAGGCATTCAGAGAGAATCAGTAGAAGGAGAGAGGAGACATTCTGCATAGAGTAGTTGGAGACACTGTGTTGTCTTTGATGATGTACTGTAAGTAGGCTAAGAGACGATTGATTCACAATTCTTTGGGTTCTGTCATGCCTTTGTTGAAGTGGAGAGCATCGTTGTACATGTTCAAGAAGAAAGCTATGATAACAAGTGGGAAGCTGTAGTTAATCAAGGTGAATCTTAATCAATTTGTAAGGAATGTGAGAGATTACAAGGCTAAGATGATTCAAAAATGGGATTAATACACTTTGAAGATACACTCCATTCCGTCTCTATAAAAAATGGATAAGAGATTCATCACTTGGATCAAGTATCTTTATGAGAAGGGATATCAAGCATATTTTTAGAATTAGTTTATCACTTTGTTGATGAGGGATCGTTATCGGTCTCATATTAGAGAGTAGAGGGAAATCAAGTAATTTAGATTGGAATTGAAGGCTGCCAAATTGTAATTGAGGTTTTCTAGAGACACTGTAGATATTGTGAGTTTGAGACAGAGAATTTTCAAGTTGAACAATGATATATTTGCTATGTAAGTGAAAAACTAATTCTTCATTCATTCAGATGTGGAACGATTTGTAAGTTCAATTCTAGAGTAGAGCTCCTTTATCTTTTTGGATGAGGATACAAATCAATTAAATTAAGAGAAGTAATCTCGCATTAGAGTGAGTTTGAAAAGATAGAAAACAATGAGAATCTCAAAGAATCTCTGAATTGTTTATGTTAATTTTTGTTATTATTTATAAATGTCTCAAACATTATTTTTAAAATATGAGAATGACTTTCAAAAGTTACTCGGTGAATTTAACACTAACCTTCAGCAATATCCTTATACCTAATCTAAGAATGAAACTTTGTAGACATTAAAATCCACACTCCAAAAAGCAGAAAAATAAGTACGCATGGATATATCTATGATTTTAAGTTTTAATGTATGCAAATTGAATTGAAAGCATCATCAACTCTGGAAGCTGAATTAAAACCAAAATTAAAATAGCATGGATAGAATTTATAAACAGCCAAAGACAATTTGACATCCATTGAAAAATCAAAATCCTTTGAATAGTCTCAGCCAAATGTTAATTTTGACAATAAAAGGAGATTAGAAAATAATACAAATAAAATAGAATCGCAAACCAATCAATTAGAGAATTGCCATAAAGAATTATTCCATACTGTTGACTTGCAATAAACCATAATGACTGACCTCGACACTTAAAAGAAGTAACTGTTGGAAACCATCGATAATGTATTATAATTAGTTGATTTATTAAGACAAATGACATTAGAAAAATCGTCTAGTAGACTGGGAGAGATGTGAGAGTTATGTAAAACAGAGAGCTCTTTAGTAAAGCTTTGAAATTGGGATTGATTGGAGTGTTGACACTAGGGAATATAATGTTGATATACTATAAAATATGATTAATTAAATTAATGGCTTCAAACAAGTTTCGATGGAATGATATTTTCATTCACTAAAAATTTTGATGAATTCAACAAACTCTATAAACAATACTCAATGACTCAGCGCAAACTACACACTTTTGAGGAGATGAAACATTATTCATTTTTAGGTTAAATAGCAAGTAATTGATATGATCAATAACTTTCATAGTTCAAATTTATGGGAATAAAATAAGGTTCATTCATTTATTGAGTAGAATAAACAGGAATTTACATTAAATTTGAGATAAATATGATGCTAAACACACAATCCCAAAGATGTTGAGTGATGTTCAATTAGATATCGATAAGCTACCGAAGACCCACATTGAAAAATTGTCAAGACAACATAACCAGTGGGTTGAATTTGATTTGAATTCACTATTAATCCATCTTGATTCACTATTACTTCAAGCAGAACACACTTAAATCAGCATCCTGGATAGTCTTCAGAGTTTGAAGGAGAAACAACTAAGAGGGATTGAAGATATAAGAGACTTACTAATTTTAGACCAAAGAGATCAAAAGTGGATTGAAGATGACTTAGCGACATGCAACTATGATTAAGAATAGGGAATCAAAAAGGAAAGGGATATTGATGACTTTGGTTTGCATATCAACAATTGGAATATAGTTATTATATACTATAAATTTGTTCATTGAAAGTACATGAATTAAATATTATATTTATGATATTAAGCACAATTTTCATTTTATTTTATATCAATCAAGCTGTTGCGAGTTGTGCAGGTATACTAAAAAAATGAAATAAGTAGATGAAACCCCCCATTTAGCAACCAGAAACCTCAAAGCAACCTAATCCGTATGTGACAACACAATGCAGTTCAATCTATCCTTTGCCGATTACCCACTCACCATTGAAATTGCCAAACAACTATAGACTATCTACACAATTGCTTCCATTTCAACACTCTCTGCATCTGATATGCAAGGAAATCTGAATGGTATTAGTTCTAAAAATAACCTTTAAAGCCTATACTGCAACTAGTTTTGAGTTTCGATCCCCATCTGAACATCAAATAGAAGGAATTCAATATGATTTGGAGATGTTAATTCATCATCAATTGCAAGAAGGCTTAATTTCTAATTCACAAATGGCCATAGTATCTATCCTTTTCAAAATTGATAAACTCTAATCACAACCATTTTTTGATGATTACTATTTCAGGATCTTAAAACATCAGAATACTACCACTTTGACCATCAATTTTCACAATTCTCTTGGTTCATAGATTCCCTTGGACCCAACATTCTATACTTATATGGGTACTTTCAATTCTCATTTGTTGGATTGCAAACAGCTGGTACAGTGGTACGTACTAGATATTCCACTTCCTATTTCTTCATAACAAGTTGCTCACTTCAATTATTTCTTCCGTAGCAATGAAACCATAAACACTCAGGATTAAATAACTGAAGTGATCGACTTATTAAAATTGAAAGGGGCATACTGTGAAAGCCATTTGGCCAGAGATTTTGGTTTGTTCTTGGCGTATTGTGCTATGATTTTCATAATTTATAAATCAATTTGACATTTATATTTTTTAATTGAAATTAAATCAGTACTTTAAGAGATGCATGGTATTTGAAATTCCGTATATGTTCATTATTGATTTTTTGAATTTCCTTGGACTTGCATAATTGGATGCCGGTTAAGTTGTTGTCTTTTAAGGTGACAGCATCTCCAACTGACTCCAATTTCTATGCATCTTCTTTGGAAAGAGAGGTTGATCAATTGTAATCGATTTATTGAATTGGAATAATTTGGTATGCACTTTAGCCTTGGGAGATGGTAAAGGTGGCATATTAATTTTCTTCGGCTGATTGACCAAATCAACTTATTAAACAGTTACTTTTGGTTTAAATGTTGATAATATGCGTAGCAAATTTACTTAGTCTTTGAAGCCTAATCATAAGATATCTATTGGTACACTATTTTAAAGAAAGAACGCGCTTTGACTGACTTTGTGAATTCCCACGCTTGAGTCTCAAAAATACAATCCTGGCCAGATTCTAATTGCGATGTTGAGGATGATCAATTTTGACCAACTGCATCCACTCCTTACTCGATTTAAAGTATCCAAAGACCTCTCCCTCGCATGACTTTCGACGGGAAATAGTTTTTGGAGTTTCAAAAGGTCCGAATGCACATGCCTTGATGGCATTTCTTCTGATGTATCGTCCTCGAGTGCTAATGAACTTATGAACTAGCAAAGGAATCGTTCTTGGAAGTGACTTAGACCTGAAACCACATCTCTTCAGTTATTTCAGCATGGACAGTAAAATCAATAAGAGATTTATATAAATTATTATACATCCAAAATGATCTGGTGGAGTAGTTATATTGAAGTGGTAAATGTTATATATTTGAAATTCATGAAATAATCCTTTTTAATTCTTACTTTTTTTGTTGAAAACTGTTTTGGGTTCAAATTCACTATTCTTTAATAATGTATAAATATTTTAAGAAAATAGAATATCTCTTTTAGTCCATGAATAAGTAGCATCCTCCCTGGGGTTCCTAGATCGGTGTGGCACACGGTGGTGTCATCGGGTATTCGAATTGCGAGCCCAATTATGATAGAACGAAATTTTACCTCTATGAGATTCATTACAAAAAGGAAGAGTCTGGATTGAGATGTGACATTTTTATGGGCTACAAGTAAGATAGATATTCGAAAATAGATATTAATGTGTCGAATTTGCTCGAAGGTTTTTTGTGTTGAATTATAAAACCATGTTTACAGATATTTAAAAAGCACCTGATATTTGGAACTTGGAAACTGTGGAAGATTTGACAAAAGAATCTGGAACATATCCATTTGTTGGATTCAAACAAGGTGGAAATGAGTAAATATAGAATTCAAATGTTAGACCACCCAAATTTGGTGATTTACTACTAGCTCCATAAAGTGAACATTAACCTTGGGGTCATGTTGCTGTAGTTGTAGGAGTGGGAGATGGATACATTGATTTAGCTGAACAGAATTATGAGGATGCCGGTTGGATTGCAGAATCGTATTCCAGGAGAGTCAAGGTGGAATGCAAAGATGGCAATTACTTTGTCACCTATATTAGAGTTGGGTATATAGTACAATTTTACTATTGTTAAGATTTGAAGATCAATTTAACTAGTCTTGGGACAAGGACGAGGTAATTATTGGTTGGAAAAGAATAATATTTAACTGAGCGTGTTATCATACGTATTATTTATTATTAATATCTAATATGGACTCATCAGCTACAACAAGACGTCTTCAACATCTCTCAAGACATTTCAAAGCTTCCAATATCACCACTCCTCCAGTTCGAGTCACTGTTACAGGTGCTGCTGGAAATATTGGATATGCACTTGTCCATATGATTGGATAAGGTAGACTTCTTGGACCAAATTAATAAATCATTTTAACTCTTCTTGAATTGCCAATGGCCAAAGATCAATTGGAAGGCACTATGATGGAACTCAGAGACTGCGCTTTCCCCATCCTGAAGGAAATCAGAGGAACAACCCAATATGATTAAGGCTTCATGGGTTGTGACATTGCTATCTTGGTTGGTGCAAAACCAAGAGGACCAGGCATGGAAAGAAAGGACTTGTTGGCTGCTAATGCTCGTATCTTCAAGGAGTAAGGAGAAGCATTAGAAAAATATGCTAGCAGAAATGTAAAGGTTTTGGTTGTAGGAAATCCAGCCAATACCAATGCCTTAATCACAGCTCAATTTGCACCCAGCATACCTAAATCCAATTTCACAGCACTCACTCGTCTGGATCAAAACAGAGCCTCATCGATCATTGCCTAAAGGGTCAGTGCCAATGTTGAGGATGTTAGAAATATTGTCATCTGGGGTAATCATAGCACTACTCAATTTGCCGATGTTAGTCAAGCAACTGTTTAATAGAGTGGAATCTCATATACGTATTTATCTACTCTACTATCGTAGTGTTCGAGGACTTGTGGCTGATGATGCTTGGCTCTAAAAGGCATTCGTTGAATAGGTGGCCAAGAGAGGTGGAGCTATCATTGAAAAGAGAAAGGCCTCTTCTGCTGCCTCTGCTGCAAGTGCTGTTTGTGATCATATCCATGATTGGCTTATTGGAACTGATAACGGGTAATTCATCTATTTATATTTTTCCAGCACATTTGTATCTATGGGAGTTATTACTGATGGAAAGTTATATGGAATCAAAGAATAAGTTTGCTTTTCATTCCCATGCATTTGCAAAGATGGAAACATCAAAGTTGTTGAAGGTTTGAAATGGGATCAATTCCAATAGTCCATGATCGACAAAACCTTGAAAGAATTATTAGAAGAAAAAGATATGGCGTTTTCTGTTGTAGTCACAAAATGAATTACGAAAAACAATATTAAATCTATATCTTTTATTTAATATCCAAAAAGGGCCTATATAATTTCTAGACTATAGTTTAATATTTTCAATAATATTTTTAATGGACTTTTAAAAGGAAGCCGATAATATTTAAGAGGAATAAGAATCAGATAATCTGAGAATTGAAGATCAAAATCAAAGTAATAAAGATGCTCAAACTCAGGATGGAAATCAAATAATAAAACTGGATGTATGACTATATGATAATTTTAGATCAATAAAAGGAATATTGAATAGGAATTAGAAGCCGCTAATAAAAAAAGAGATCAAATGTATTAATTTGAGTTGAGCGCTGTTCCTATTATGAATTCAGATAAAATTCAAGGTAATTTTGAAAAATGTGGACTTTATGAGGATAATGACTAATAGTAATTTTATCAAGTAGTTTTGTTTTACCTTAAGCTTTGTGAATATGTTTTTGAGGAATAACAATATCAGTCATATTTTTAAGTTTTTAAATAGTGTTTTGAAATCCTAATTTTACAAATCGAAGAAATCGAAGAAATCTATATTAATTTATTAAATTTGGCAATTGTTATGAAATTGAATTTTGAAAAGCTTCCAAAAACTATAAACTAAAATCTGATATACTAGTTGTATAATAAATATAAAGATCGAATAAAGGAAGTATTAAACTGTAACTACGAAGAGAGAGAAACAATAAGAGATATGAACAATTGTTAGAAGTTTGAGTTTATAAATAGATTCAAGTAGAACTAGGAAAAACCATCAAAAATAAGAAACAAAAAATTGTTGGGAATTGATGATAGCATTAATGTCCTATAGCTATTCAATATTTTTTGTAATGTCGAAAAACTAAACTAAAACTTCTATTTTATACTTGATAAATGTAATGAAGTATAAAATAAATTGAAACAAATAATTTAAAAAGAAAAAGAAGATAAAACGTATAAAAAGAAACTAAAGAAATTTTTTAATAAAAAATTGGTTGAAGGATTTATGAAAAAATAATATCAGAATCCAATATACAACATAGTATATAAGTATTTAGTAAAAAGTAAGAGTTAAAATTCCGTTCTAATTTTATGGAACCTTTTTGTAGAAAAAAAATATAATTGGATCAATCTACTTGATTTCAAAAATAAAGATTATGAGACATTATTTACATAAATTACAAAATTCATCGATTATGAAAACATACAAAGCATTCTTCCAGATGACTGCAAATAATATTTTAAAAAACAGACGTATAGGAAATTTGATTTTCTAGAATTATTGATACAACTTTTATCTATTTTTCAAATTATAAAAATATACCCTCATAGATAAGAAGAATTATACAATATTATAGAAGAGATATGTTTTATGAAAAGAAAACGATATTTATAAAAGAAACAAATTGTTTTTTCTGGCAAGGACTTTAAAATATTGATCTCATCATCTGTTGCAAAAGTTGAGGTAGAGAATGCAATCGATGAAATTCTTCGTGACCCTCAAAAATTCATTGAAGAAGCAGAGTTCAAAAATAATTCATTTAAAATTAAAAAATTTTTGAAAAAATTGAAAAAAAAAACAACCAATGCTTAAAATTGATATTTTTATTTATATTTTATTTAGTTGCAATTAAACTATATCAATTAAGATCATTATCATCCTCAATAAAATCTGCAACCTCCTCATTGTTTTCTTAGTCATCAAGTATTTATTCTTCCTTGTGTTCTTACTCTTTTTATATATTTTGCTATTCTTCAAATCCCATTTATTAATCATAATTGTCCTACTAAGATTGAGGTTTATTCTATTATTGTTGGCTTTCATCAAGTTCTTAAATTTCATTGAGTAGTTTATTAGACTATTTTGCATGAACATTGTCTTAAGACCCTGAATGAGCAGCTTTTTTTTATCCACTTACTAGGATGGCTCTTTTAAAGGATACATCTCCAGTCTTACCAACCTTGTTAGGAGTTGTGTTATTGGATTTTTGACTTGATGATCTATTTTCTTATGAATGTGTTGAAGTGTTTTCTTGCATATAATTCTTTCGTTAGGAGAGTAAACTCATTTAATATTTAGTAGGATTATTCGATAATGCAGATAAATTCTTGACATTTGATTTTTATTTTGTTTGATCGAGTATCTCTTAGAAGAGAGTTTCTAAACTATTCTTTGATTTTAATAGTTCAGTGTTTTCCATTTCTAATTGTTTATTTCTTTACTTAAATCTATTCGCATAGCCTTAACTAGTTTTTAATTGAGTAGCCAAAGACCTCTATTACTATTTGAGTAATTCGATTTCTTAATCTTTTTCAAGGATTTGATTTTTGAGATTCTACAATTCATTTGATTTGCTTTTGGAGTTCATTTGCAAGAGAGACTCCAATTTAGCTTTTAAATCAGAATTATCTTGAAGAATACGCAATTAAAGTTATTTTGATTTTTAGACCTCTTCCTCTTTGAATATGATTTATTCCTAATACTTTTACGAAGTCTAAATAGCTTTTTTGAGCTATATAAATAGTGGATAAACTTATACTTCGATGTCTAATTATTTAGAATGTTCAAGTGATTTGATGTATTGTCTATTACTTTCTTGCAATTTGGATTCCAATTCTCTAATTTTGAACTCAAGATCAGAGATTTTCTTAGCCTATTCCTAGAGAGTCTTGTTTGCTTATGATAGTTATGTAGTAAGAGAAGCATTTTCCCTTTGATATTAAATACAATGAGTAAATACTTTTCAAATTATTTAGTAGTCTATTCAAATTATTTTTTGGCTTCATTCAAAATATCATCCTTTTCAAGCAATCTGTTTTTAAATAGTTCCTACTCCTAAGTAGACTTAATTAATAGTTAGATGAAACAATTACTTTTTCTTTGGTCTTTTCAAGGATTTGCATAATTTTAGTCATTTCTTCTTTGTATTACCTTTAAGAGTCCTTCAATTCATTCTAAAGCTCCAAGATTTGCTTTTAATTGGTTGCATTTTGATCTTCTGTGAGTTTGAGTTTATTGGATAAGTCAGCATTAGAAGTATTGAGTTGTTAGAGTTAGGAATGCAGTGTTTAATTATCATTCAGCAAATTGTCCTTAAGTAGTTTTAAATTATTGAGTTCAGTCGTAAGAGTATTAAGATTCCCATTCTGTTGACTCAATAGAGTTAATTGCTATGATTGGCTTTCTAATTGTTCATTCAATGATTTGATTTATTAATCTCTTTGATCTAAGTCCCTCTGCAATTGAGGGATAATTTATTCCTGATGGAGGATCGTGGTTTCTCTTTCCTTGAGCTAAGCATCTTTTTCACTGAGAAGATGTTCATAATGTGAAGTGATTTATTGTAACTGCGATTCAGAATTGCTGTTTTCCCCAGATTTAGCAATCAGTTGTTAATTGAGATCCTTAGCCTCAGTGAGTTGGGCTTCAACTTCGTTCAATTTACGTTGAAGTGATTGAATTTGATTCTAGAATAAGATTCAGATGTACATTGAAATCTCTTTCTTTTGATCGCCATTCCACAACATCGCTTTGATTCTTTTCTATGAGTTTGAGGTTTTACGACTCAAGCATTCTCACTTTCTCTCCAAGTTCAACCACCTAAGCAATTATGATTTGATGTCTACTTCTGAATTGTTTTAGATGGATCGTTGCAATTCTTCCACTTTGTCAGTAAGTTATACTATTTGTCGATGTCTATTTTGGATGTCCTCCTCTAGACTTTTGATTTTGGTTTGCAATTCTTATTCTTTAGACATATTGATAATTATTAATTATGTCTGAACAATCGGAAGAAGAATCGTAAGAGTTACAACAGAAGGAGGAAAAACAACAACAGAGTGAAATCATACAATAAGAGCATAAGACTGAGGAATAATTATAGCAGATCCCATATGTGCATATGCTAAATAATAAATACAACGTGAGGGAGGCTGTACATGCAGGATCATGGTATTCAAGCAAGAGCAATGAATTAAAAATACAGATCAATTGTTGGTTGGAGTAAGCGAAAGCAGAAGTGACTACAGTAGCATAATTGAAAGCATTGGTTGTTCCGTAATGAATTTCTCATTAGATTAAGCCATGCAGGTTATGCTTATTCGGGTCCAACTGCGGCATTTAGTTACAAATACTTGAAGAAGTACCCTCCATCTGAGAAATTGAAGGTGTTCATCCTGGGTCCCTGTCATTATGTTTATATAACTCAATGTTGTTTAACTAGATAAGAAATATACGAAACTCCTCTCGGGAATATCAAAGTGGATCTGGAAAGTAAGCAATTGATGATCGCATTTAGCTGTAAAACAATTGCATGAATAAGGATTATTCGAATAGTCGGACAAGGATGCAGAGGAGGAAGAACACTCAATTGAAATGCAACTGCCTTTCTTAGCTCATATTTTGGGGACTGACAACTTTACAATCATTCCAATAATGGTTGGATCTATTGATGCTAAATCTGAAGAGTACTATGGAAGATTGCTAAGCGAGTATTTTGATATGGACGATACTCTGTTTATTATATCGACAGACTTCTGCCATTGGGGAACCAAGTTCGCTTACACTTATTACAATAGTGCAGATGGAGAGATATTTGAATCAATCGAAAAATTAGATTAGAAAGCAATGGAACACATAGAGTTGCACGACTTGGATAAATTCAATGATTATTTGAGAGAATATGAGAACAATATTTGTGGAAAGCATTGCATTGCCATATTATTACATGTATTTGTTAATAATGTATGTCGAAAGTGCATAGCGATGAGTTAGAACACACATATGATGGAGACTAAGTTCATTAGATATGCGCAATCCTGTTTAGTGAGAGACAAGAAGGATTCATCAGTGAGTTATGCAGCAGCCATCACATTCTTAGAAGATTGAGTGGACATTAATTTGATTAAAATAAAAAACATATATATACTCATTCTATAATAATGGCTGAGTCATGATTTTGTCCAATCTTTGATTTATTTGATAATAGTTTTTGTTGGTCTTCCATTCTTGCTTATTATTGTATCTTCATTTAATTTATGTAATAATTATTGGCATAGAAGTTCGCATAACTATTGCTCCTTAGATGCTGATTGGATGACAACATCATATTATTAATTACGTGTTATAAGGTGTTTTAATAAGGCGAAGGGTTGACAGCCTCCTTGGTTTTGACGATCTACAACTTATAGTAGATATTGTTGGTATCATTGGACAATATCTCTAAATTTATCATACGATTGTTATTCTTAATAGCATAGTTGGGCAGACCTTCTAGATTCAACAATTTCTGAATGTTTTCATTGGCTATTTGTCCATTGTTGTCAAAAGTGATTTCATTCACTTATAAATCACACTTCTTGATTGTGTTTAAGATTGCATACTGATATGCATCTATCTAAATGGTGAAGAGTTTCTTTCTACAGATGGGACACCTCCACTTTCTGGGTTGCATGGAGTACATGGCCGTAATGTAGTTTTCCAATCCAAAACATTAGACATGTTAACATAAAGACCCTCTTATTGGTGTATTCATCAAATTAAAGGTGATTGCACAGGTCAATTATACAGTGAGGCTATCTACCTTAATGTCATCAGCTTAATGTTTGTTCAGATAAAGAGAGATGAAATCCTGGCATTATTCGATGTTCATCCAATTTTCACTATTATTGAAGATGTTGTCAAGTAGCTACTTTGAATTGAATTACTCTATCGAATATACACCCAGGAAGTACAAGTGACCCAAGGATATTCGATATTGACTTCGCTGATCTGGAGTTGGGATGCATTCTTTGATTTACAAACAATTCTATGGGAGCACTTCAGTAGTAAGAATGTGATCGTCTTTACGTTTTTTGAGACTGTGATTATTAATGAGTGGTTTGAAATCCTGGATTTTCTTTTGGTTTAGGAATAGTTCTCCAATATCAGGCCAAGTGATTTCTTCGCAGTTGATTTTATTCTCTTGTCTCACACACCTGATGTTGATGATGGTTTAATCGCATGTGAAGTTGAATGCTTTGTGATTGATTTAACCCATTTGTTGGAAGGGGGAGGGTGGTACTAAGGAACTCTATATTTTGTTGAAATGATCCATATACTTGAGTACACAAGGAGGACACACAAATTCTTGGTCTTTGTAACATTTGTCAAAGGATTCTTTGGATTTGGCAATACAGTTGAAATGTAAGTAATTTAGGCATAAAAGGCATTGTATTAAATTTTCTGATTCTGATGGTGGTTTACCTTGACATACGCAATACTCACATTTGGCTTCCTTCTCAGATGGTCCGGTATTTATTCTTCTGTACTTTAATTTGACAGAATTGGGAATGCAAATTTCATCTTCTATAGTTTATGATGGCTAAGTGGTTTATTGCGTATAAGCTGGTTATTATTATGAGGAACAGGGTACATTGGTTTATTGCGATGGTTGTAGTTATTGAGGATCGTCTTGTTATTGTTATTGTTAGATTAGATCTTCTTGATTATTCATGTTACTTAGTTCTTCATCATCTTCTATTTACATGGGTTCTGGCTCAGGTTAGGGTTTCCTTTCTAAGGCAAGGATCTTTTGGATTACAGGGGTCTGAGTCTAGAAGAAGGCATGAATCTGATCATTGATTTCATCTACAATTTAGAGGTATTTGACACAATCACATCGCAACAAGCTTATGGAGTACAATTCTTGAAATGAGTTGATGGAAGGCGACTGTTTGTAGTACTGGGAAATCTATTGAGTCTATAATTCCGATAGATGATGTTTGGATGAAGTCTTGTGAATGAGATCTAGGATGTGTGCGTGAGTACTGAGTTGGAGTTGTTTGAGCAGAGTGCAATTTTTCATTTTAATAAATGTCCATTCTGGAATGATGCGGGCTATGTTTTGGTCGATTAAAAAAAGAATGAATTAATTGGCAAAGTGGGACATCTATACTCCCCACCAAAAGATTAGTTAAATCCTACAACCCCCACTAAGTGGAATTAAATTTAGAATCTTTTTTGCATCTGCAATTTTATTATTTTAAAATACTTGAGAGAGCGCCTTGTCTCATGTTGGATGACATCTATCCGTTGTTTGGTTGGAACGAACCAGTTCCCACAGAATTCAAAGAGATATTTTCAAAGTGTGTCAAGAAAGAAACTGAAATAGGTCATGATTCCAATTCCAGGAAGTGCAGCAGCACATTAGAAGAATCCTTAAGTATTCTGCATAACATTCTTAGTCGTTGACGAGGATTATGAAATAATAGGCAAGAGTCAAAACGAGAATTCCATATGTCCAATCTGCTATCAGAATGTGTAACTGGGCAACACATAATTGTACTCAAATCATCTCTCCCTCTACTTCGATGTCCATACCCAATGCGCCCTAATGTGCAAACAAAAACCAGCCTCTCTGGCTTTATTGCATGAACACATCCAATCGGCCAAATTTATCAAGCGCGTACCCATAGACTACGACCTCCTCGACCTCAACATCAAAGCCTTCGTAGAGTTCCGAGTCTTTCACACCATAGCCCAAAAACCATTCTTGCATCTAACTCATTCCACAACACTTAAATAAAAAAAAACCACCTCCATCCTAATCGATTATGCGAACCTCAGAGAGTACTTCGGCAAGCGTCCCAAATACCTTATCCCCTTCCTTCAGGGACGCATTCAAATAGAACTCTACATCATAGATGCCAATCTCATGCAGGAGGGTAAGAGTGCACGCACATTCGAATTCTATTACAATGCAGAATAAGCAGCTGTTGGTGATTACATCTCATTAGAATCTGATGGAGTGTGCATCTCCATGTAACTAGAAGAAGAATCTATCCAACTATCCATTAAATCACTTCAAATCATACTCCCCTCTGAATTAACTACCAGCCTAATTAAACAGTCCCCCAAGTCATCCCCCATTATCGATAGCTTCTTGTTCTCCCCCAAATTGAACAATTTCACACCCCAAGTAGGTCCAATGCAATCAAGAGTTCGCTTGTAAAGTTTTCAACTTGAAGAAACCATACAGACTCCCATCGATGAGTGGACTGAAGATTTGTAGAATCTAGAGTAAATTAGAGGCAATGTTGTTAATTTTGTGAAGACTCAACACGGCAGCAGATTGATTTAGAAATACTTCACTACTTGCACTCAAATGGAATTAGATCAAATGTTGTAAGAAATAGGACCACATCTACCAGATTTGATGATTGACCCCTATGCCAATTACATGTTTGGTAGTCTCAGTCAGAGTTGTGCTCCCCATTAGAGATTGTATATCCTCCAAACAGTACCTATGTATGTATACATATTTAGATTGGCAATCGTCTTGTCGATATTGCTTGTGATAAAAAGGGAACCCATGCCATTTAGTCCTTGGTTTCGTTGATCTCTTGCAAACAAGAAGAAGAAATGGTCGAGAATAGCATCAAGAATAACATCATCCCACTTACTCTGGATAGTTAGGGAACCCACCTTATCAAAAAGATAATTGCACGCTTTTCTGAAGACCGACTCAATTACATTTTCCACAAATTGATGGACAGATTCATTCAGGTTGTTAACCATCAATTTGGATTATGTGTATTGAAGGATCTCATCACAAAATTCAAAAACAATTTAGAGAAATCAGGCATCATCATTAATAGGATGAAGGATCATTTAGATGAGATTATTTAAGACCCTTTTGGGAATTACGGAGTATAACACGTTATTGATGTAATGAATATCGTCATTGTATTAGGTCTACGGAGATCTCAGATGCAATTGCATCATTGACAAAATACTTCTGAAATTAATACAGCTGTCCATACATAAGTACTCATCCAATGTTGTTGAGAAATGCATACTTGAAACATCCCCCAAAACTCAAAAAAGATTCATCAAATAACTTTCTTAAGACATCATCTGTTTGGAATTAATGAAAAATAAATTCGGAACCTTTGTACTATAAAAGGCTTTGTAAGAAGCTGATAAATTATCTGAAACGGATTCATTGCAATAAGCACTTAATCGCAACCTACCTTCCATTTATGCTCAAAATATTAGACAAAAATGGATCGAATACTTATCTAAGAAGTGATTATTATAATTAATTGTATATTAATGAAAATTATCATTCGCTATCATTCTCAATGGGGTAATATGAGTACTAAATCTTGCATCGTCAATCCCAACATCAAAGTTGCTCAACTCAAAAAACAAATTGCCCAACTCACCGATATAGATGAAAAAGACTTAACTCTCTATCTAAATGACTACACTCTTGAAGATGAAAACCCACTATCTACTTATAATCCAGACGATTGCCAATTTATTTATGTTAACAGAGACAATTTTCAACTGGATGAAGATGTTCTTGAAACTGAAATCCTGGAAATACAAAATCGAGGAATCTACAATCGCATGAAAGGCTATGAGAAACTAGGCATCATTCACGAAGATTCTGAAGAAGTTACGCGTAAAAAGTCTAATTAATAACTTACAGTTGATTTCATTAAGGTAACTTGCATGTGTCCATTAATCAGCTAGTAAAAAATAATGATATCCCCGCTATCAAAGCCTTGTTCCCAACCCAGTATCCCATAGACATCATCAACGATAGACAATACTCTGGATTTTCCGCCTTCCATTACGCAACTCAATCTGGCCATTCCGAACTAGTTACACTCCTTATTGAATTAGGTGCCAACATCAATTTGTCGACCAAGGATAACCAATCATCATTATAATTAGCCCTCAAAAACAATCAAATCTCATGCGCTAAGATTCTACTCTCATAACCCCATTGCGATGTCAATTTTGTTTCCCAAGGCAAGAGTGCACTTCAATTGGCAGTCTTGGCAGGCAATTTAGAAATTGTTGAACTCATCCTCAAACATCCTACCTTCGACTCCCAATCTATTGATCTCAATGAATTGAAGGGAGATCCTCAAGCCATACAACTGGTTGTTAACCTCTAGAAATTAAACCAAACCAATCAAGCCAACAAGCCCAAAGCTCAAAAAGGATACATCAAAAAGGTCAATGTGCTTAGGTTTTTTCATTACAAAAGATACCTAACTCTCGACCCAGAGGCTGGAACCTTAACAAGATACAAAACCGAAGCTGATTACCCACTTCAACCTATCGAAATTGTTGCTCTTTCCAATATCATTGGTGTGTGGCAACCTAAAAGAGAATGGTACATGAAGAGTGACCATGAATATTTGAGTGTATTCAATCAGTATTGATTTAAGGTATCCTATAAGAAGGGAGGAATTGAAATCTTAACCTTCTGTTCCAAAAGCAAAAATACTATATTGAGTTGGAGGAGAAGTCTAGAAGATTCCATTAAATATTATACAGAAATTGAAAAGAAAATCGCCCAATTATCTGAATTAAGAGATGTATATGGGTTAAGTTAATACATAAATGAGAATAGTGAATAATTTAGCATAATTGAAGACTCTAGTTTCCAAAATAATTAGCATGTAATTAAATAGAGATAATAATAATTACTTTAATAATAAGAAGAGGATAAATCATAAAGATAGGATAGTTATTAATAATAAGATAGTAATATATAATAATAATAATAATAATAATAATAATAATAATAATAATAAGATGGTAATTAATTTTAATAAATATTGAACCTATAATAATAATTAAATGATCAATAAGAATCTCTAAATTTATCGCCCGTTGAAATACCCTAATCGATAAAGTAATGCTTTTAATATCTTGAATAATATTCTGTTATTAAACAAATTGGTCAAGGTGCGTTTGGCAAAGTATTTCTTGTTAAACACAATCCTACTCAAAACATTTATGCTATGAAACAATTGAATAAGAAAAGATTAATGCAAAAAAAATAAATAAAATTTGCCATTACTGAATGCGATATTTTAAAGTAAGTTGATTCTCCATAAATTGTAAATCTATTTTAATCCTTTTAAACAGTTAACAATCTCTATCTAGTAATGGATTATTGCGGAGGTGGAGATCTCTCTTATCATCTATGCAAATACAAAACTTTCGATGAAAATACTTGTAAAATAATTGCTCGATAAATCATGAAGGCTATAGAGTATTTGCATAGCAAGGATATTATTTACAGAGATCTCAAACCAGAAAATATTATTCTTGATAGTGAAGGGAGGATCAAACTTGTGGACTTTGGCCTATCCAAATAAACAGATGACGGTAAAACACGCACCTTCTGTGGTTCGCCTGCTTATCTGGCTCCTGAAGTGTTAGCAAAGAAAGGAGCAGTACAAGCCACAGATGTTTATGGGATTGGAACAGTGTTATATGAACTATTGCTGGGAGATCCCCCTTATTTTAGTGAAGACATTGACACTTTATACAACAGCATTCGTAATGACAATCTGCACATTCCTAATAAACTAAGCAAGCCTTGTCAATCAATTCTCTTTGGATTGCTGTAAAAGGAAGCCAATAAAAGGATCGGCTGCAAATAGCCATCATAAGTAAATTGGAACTTGATAAAATTACATGAGTGGTTGGAATGGGACAATCCTGAAGAGAAGGTAACATTTGGGATAAGTTAGGAAAATCTAGACAGTATAATTCGGAAATATACTCATGTATAATGTGTTATTAACATAATAGAATCTTGGAGACGCGGATTACAACGAAGAAAATTCAAACTTAAACAGAATAAATGGATGGACCTTTGTAAGAAAGAGTTGATATATTTAATTAATTTAAATTTAGTATTAATTTACGTTAATCTATCCTACAAATAATTCAGAATTTTTGAGCCACCCTTTAGTTTGTATATGTACTAATAGAGGAGTACGAATTTTTAAATTACGATTCAGTAAAATGTATTGATGAAAAATATATATATCACTAAACTCTAGAAATTGGCCTACTAATTGTGTATTATCCAGGCCCAGGAGATTACGCAATTCTCACACTAGCAATTCTTGATCTAGTGAATGATATTCCCCTACTTTGTAAAGTGGAACCTAATTCGTATGTACCCGGTCCTGGATTGCTATGTTAAACAGACTTGGGTCTTGAATTCATATAATCTAAAAATTCCTTGTTCACTTTATAAGGTTTTTCAAGTTGGCCCCTAATTACTTTCACGTCGCAGATATTATAGTTTCCAGGTCCTGGAGTTTGTTAGTTCCGATGGAAGGCAATTCGTTAACCTTTTGGGAAGCTAGGGCCTGGAAATCTTTTTATTTGACTAGGCTCACTGATGACAAAGTTTTCGCAGAAGAACTGCTATTTTGGAAAGCGATCAGCCTTTCCAAATGTTTAATGTAAATTTTTTCGTTTAGACTCTTTCATTTAATTTAATAAAATGCAACTATATACATTTTTAGATTGGTTCTTTACGATAGCATCTGCTCTTATGGCAATTCTTTTAGGATATTACGTCAGTGGATCTGCTTGTCTTTTAGGATTACTTTTCTATTTAATATACCCTTTCATAATTGAATGCTCCTACAATATCTTAAGTGAGCAAGAAGAGATAATCATAAGGAAGATGCCTGAGATACCTATTGTGTATCATGAAAATTACAATATTACTGCATGTGGTATTGAAAAATGGCATCCCTTTGATTCCTGCAAATATAGGAATGTCTATAAATAAATTAGGTCAAGAATAAAGGCTTAACATTTCACTCCCTCAATGCTATCTAGAGGAACCTTACTTTATCTAGGCTTGAGCAGATGGTATTTGCTCAAAATGTGTTATAGTGCATATATCTCCACCTTAATAGAATTACCTGTATTTTTTTTACCTGGAGCCTTCTTGAGATCCTCTCTCCTAGATCCAATGCTTCTAGCAACCAGTGGGAGCATATATGCAGCCAAGTTGGCTCTTGAAAAGGGATGGGCAATCAACCTAAGTGGTGGATATCACCATGCCTCATTAAATGGAGGTGGGGGGTATTTATATCTTTGCATTCAATTAGATTTTGTATTTATCCTGACATCACTTTGGTAGTAAACTACCTGAAGAAATGCCAAAATTTAAACAAAATAGTAATAGTAGACTTGGATGCTCATCAAGGGAATGGTTACGAAAGAGATTTCCTTCAAGATTCATCAGTTTACATCATAGATTTTTATAACTCCTATATATATCCCGGGGATCATGAAGCTGAATAAGCTATTAATTGTTTCGAGCATGTAGACAGAAATACAACCGATGAATAATATATAACGAGAATTTAAAGAAATCTAGAGAAGCATCTCCAAGATGATATGGAATTCATCATTTATAATGCTGGTTCTGATATTATGGCAGGAGATCCACTTGGGAATTGTTGCATATCTCCTGCTGGGCTATAAAAAAGAGATGAAGTAGTATTTAAATGGGCAAACCATAAGAAAATTCCAATTCTCATGTTGTTATCAGGTGGTTACTAAAAAGAAAATACTTATGCTATTGGAGAATCGATATTGTAATTAATTCCTTGATAAAATAATTATAAATAGATCAGATTATGTATTATATATTTTATTGTGGCAAAACCAATCTGATATCGTGGCCTTTGGTCTTTTTTGATATGCAATTTAGGAATATCTTCCCAACTTCATTACCCCCATCACTCACATTCAGAGTCAAAGTGTCCAATCTTATTGCCTTTTCACGGAATGACTGAAAGATTTGTATTTCCCTTTAACTCACATTCAAATGGGCATAACCATTACAAGATAGAGTGAGCTTCTACAAACTCTAACAGATGGAATCATGTCTATAAATATGAATGGAAATATACTCTAAAATTTGATCTATCAGAAATATTATATTCTGAACATTTATTTTAAGACACAAGACTTAAACATTTGGTACCAGTTATAGAAAATCGCAAACTACTTTTATAGAAAAACTTTGAGCAGTAAAGTTAATAGATGCAGACTACATGTTCAACATACAGACATTTCTAAATTGTTTATACAACTAATAAATACCTATCTTTTGCTTGTTTAAACACATCATTTGTCAATCCTTAATTATTCATCAACTCGCCTATATTTATGTGTTTTAAGTTTCCACAATTTTTGTAAAGGAGATCAACCAATACTGAATTGTTTATTTTATTATCCTAGTTATTAAATATTTATACTGATATAGATAATTATTAAAGAGCATTGTTCTTTGTTAATAATCTAAATGCCTTCTTACTAAATCCAAGCACTCCTCTTAAATCCACCTGAGTTAAGTGCTTCTACTTTTCTAAGAATGGCAACAGAGATTAATTAGTCAATTTTCGACATCCGCGTATCTTTAACTATGTATACTGTGTTGAGCAACCTAAAATGATAATAAATGAATCAAACCTAATATATTAAGACATTCATCATCAATTGATGTGAAATCTAGATTCAGCATCTTTAAATTTGGAAGCAAAGAAAACAATGATGCAAAATGAGATTGATGATACTTCAAACTTGCCAAACCAAGAGATATTAAATTAAGTTATGCCAATTCATCCAATTCAAAATTCAATATTTCAAATGAAATATTATATCTATTAAACAATTATTTAATATCACTTACATATTAAGTGAAAATACGTTTAAATTATTAAAATGTTTTAGAAATGCCGTCATCTTATCACCTTCAATAATTGTGTGTGTATTTAGATGTTGGCATAACTTGATTGATTATACCTGATCTCCAATCAAATGCATAAGCTTTTATAAGTGAAGCAACAAATTCATTTGTTGTGCTTAATCAAATTGCTTCAAAGATATTTTTTTTATTTTCGTGTTTATTTAGAAGTTACTCTGCAACAAATACCCTCTCTCCAATTGATTCGTATCCGCCAATTAATCAAAAGAAATTTTTTCAATGGATGGTTGTCTTGCAAACTATTCATCCTTATAAAATAAGGCAAAAAAGAGATAATTTTATATTGACTCATTGGTAATCTTACTCAAATTTGTTGTATCTAAGTGAAGGGTCTTAAGATTCTTCATCTTATCATAAAAGTGATTGTGTAAAAACTTTGCGTCTAAACTATGATTATTTTTTAATTAAATTTACTTCTACTTAGTTTAAATGATATTTGGCCCTGTGGCAATCAGTTTCAAGGCTGTTAATTGTGCCATATATTTGGAAATGTAGGAATAGAACCTTTCTTGAATTATCAAGTCATAGTTTAACTAGAGCTTCAATTTTTTCACTGATTGGGGGATCTGTTTCAAAATCTGCTTCAATTCTTAGAGACTTGTTGTAGAAATAATTAAACTCAATTTTTATAATTTTAACCACTTGTCCAACCCCAAACTTTTATTTGAATCAAAAATAGATATGCTAATTTAATTTTTAGTCCTTAGAATTATGCTTGGAATGTAGGTGGCAAAAAACGAATCTATCCATTATATTCTTTTTAATTCTTGAAATGTTAAACTACTCAAAATCAAATCTAATATATGAAGTGGGATGTACAATAACATCACTAAATGCAATAATTATTTATTAATTTATATCAATTGATAGAAAGAACTCTTCTTAACTACAAAACAACCAAGAACTCAGACAATTTGATTGCAAGTCTTGCATAATAATGTGTATTTTATTAATTATATCGACCTTTCTTAGAGAGTACTGGGAATAATTACTTTTTATTTTCTAACAAATTTTAAGATGAGTTTATATCACTATAATGATCATGGTATCTTTTTCATAGCATATTTTGGTAAGGATCCAAATTCATTTCCTTAATCATAACCACCTGGTCCTGGAGTCTCATTCTTTGGATTCAATGGTGGTCGTTTACTAGTACCGAAACCCCAACAAGGTCCTCCTAATTTATCTTTAGGTTTGTATTGTCCAGGTCCTGGAACTTCCAAAGTGGAATTAAGTTCCTGTCTTCTAGAAGTACCAATTCTGAAATTATATTTTTGAAAATAATACTTTGCTGATTACGGCCTTTACATAATGGGACGCTCATATTAACCTGGTCCTGGTATCTAATCCTTTTGAGCTTAGACAGGATCATATTTGTGACCCAGTATTTTAACTTATGGACCTTCAACCATCTTAGAAGGTAAGTCATAAGTTCCAGGTCCTGGCACTCCTTTCACGTCATTTAATGGTCTTCTAGTGGCTGATCCCACTCTGACCATGGCAGACTAAGGACGAATAGTATCAATTTGAGGCTCGTATTCTCCGGGTCCTGGATTTGGATTAGCAAATTGCAATCCTCTCATGGATTTACCAATTTTACAAGAAGGAGGTCTTTTAACTGGTTATGGATCATAAGCTCCAGGTCCAGGGACAACAAGTTATTGTGTCATTTGTTCCTTCCTGGAAACCAAAGTAAAGCCCTTTGGTTAAACAGACTCAAATTAAGATTAATAGTTGTATTATCCAGCTAATATAATATATAATGAATTAATATACGTCCTGGTACTTTTCCAAGCTCATTGTCATATAATCCTCTTCTTTACGAATTGCCAAAACGATACTTGGGGGCTGATTCAGGTCTTTCCTATTTGTAGGCTTGAAAATATAAAAATTGTTATGATACCTCCTGGTCCAGGAACTTTTTCAAAATGAGGATCGTCTCTCTTGGATCGTGGAAACCTAGCAATAAATTGATAGAGTTACTTCATGGATGGAGCATCCAATTCTTTACTTAATTAGTATTCTCCTGGGCCTGGCTATGAATCATCCGGATGGCTTCCATATTTACCGCCAAAACTATATTAGGGAGCCTGTTTGGTTGGTTTTACATTATAGGCTCCTGGTCCTGGTTAAAAGGATGTAACAGATTATTGTTTTTTGCTAGCAAAAGTAAACTTGGGTCCTTTGAGTAGGTTCTAAGTTTGAGATAGAGTATACATCTGAGGAAGCATATGCTCCTGGTCCTGGGGTGAAACTTGGCTGGAAAGTTTATCTTTGTGCTTGTGGGATCCTACTGTGATGATGTTTGGTACTTGAAACTGGGAGGAGTGTATTTTTGTTTCTTGTCTCCAGAGTATTGTCCAGGTCCTGGGGTGTCAGGTCCTTGTTGAACTTCATTGGATCTTTTACCATTCCCAACTGAATATGCTGAAACCATTATATATAATTAAATATAATTCAAATATGCTGAAACTATTGTATTGCAGTGATTCTGAGTGATGATATATATTACAGATAGTAATACTGAAGATGTTTAATGGTCTGCTTGTCAACATCATACTTCGATGGCACTTTGAATTGACTCAATTATTCAAAATTGTATTTGATTCTAGGATCAATATAATAGATATACACCTTTATTGAAAGATCAATTATTCTTGGTAATCTCTCAAATTTCTTTTGCCTTGAGATGCTTCTCTGATGGCATAATCCAAAATGCTCCACTTCACTAGATCATTCATCTGATCTAATAGAGTGCGCAAATAGGTTGGAAAATTGTTGAGTGGATTACCATTTCTATATTTGAATTTTCTAGCCATTTCATTTACTTATTGGAATTACACATTATAAATTTCAACTACCAAATCTCCCAACTCTACAAGTTCATATTCCTATTGTTCAATTGAAAACTTTTTGTTATCATTTTTGACCTCTTCATAGAGATTCGATTGAATGTACTGAGCATAAATAGAGTTGTTCGTGTAATCTGAATAAGATTGAGGTTCAAAATGATCAGCACGTTAATAGATCAAACAATATGCATTAGTTTTTGATTTCCCATCTCCATAAGCATCACGCAATACTTTCTCCTCACTCACCTAAGTGACATTGATATCATTGAATTTAAACCAATGCTTCAACAATGGATTGTAAATATAGGTATAATAATGGCCAGACTCTGCTGCCCCTTCATGTATTAGAATGCTTTAAAGAAAGTACTTATATTTTTTCATTATAGCATACAAGTCTTCAATCTTCTAATTAATTTGATCCAATTATAACTGAAATTTCTATAAAATCAGCTGAATACTTAGTCTACATTACTCTATTCTCTATTGCATTATTTCATCATCTGGTTTCACCTCTTTCACATACTTAGTAGCTGTGCTCAACACTGTTAACATTGAAATGCCACTATAATTTTAGTACTTATCCATTTGAGACAATAATTCAGCTTATTAAATTTTGAGTTCATTTAATTGCTATTGTGTTTCGATAACCTTTTATCTGTTCTCCAAAAGGAATCTATCAGCATAGATCTCCTTCTCAAATCTAAATTCATCATTCAATTTGATCAATCCTCTCTCTGGATCATATCCCACTCGTTATATTTGGAATAACAGGGAATCAGGAATCTAAGTGATCCAAATGGCCTTCTCAGCCAACTCAATCACTTCGCTTCCATTCCGATATCCCTCTATTGAGAAGGAATTATTTGCTTCCCAAGCTTAATATAAACTCTTGTTCTTCACATTCAATATAATCTACAAGAATATTTACTCCTGCTCTTCACTCTAGTTTCTCTGATTTGGATGTGTGATGTACTCTTTGGTTTTCCCAAAGAATAATCTATTGATTATTGTCTAATTCTAAGGTTATGATTGCAATGGCTATTATTCTATCAATTTGGCCTTGTTCTCATCCAAAAGTATCATTGATCTTGTTTAAGTAATTCCAGATTTATTTCTATCATTCTAATACTAATCTGACTCATGCAGGTCACCATTCTCATCTTTGTTCTACATTTCGGCATCCAATATTTTATTCTCATGATATTTCAATCCCTCGTCGATGCATGTTATAAATTATAAATTGAATTCCGCCCAATCCTTCTAATCCCCCAATTAAAACCTATTACCAAATTCATCTACTACGTTCAAGAACACTCTGTATGGATCCACGTACTTCCTATCTGTGTGAACTAAGTAAGCAAACAGTCTAAAAATATTTATTTTTTGAAACCTCTACAAATGCACAACTAAATCGATTGATGACTTTATTCTCTTTGCTTTCGCCTCATTCTTGTTTAGGAGATCCTCGAAATTCAATTGCACGGGGTATTTAAAGCTCAATATCTCCTTCACAAAGATTGGGTTATGAAAATATGTCTAAACCAGAGAATTCAAATAGCAAACTAACATAAATATCACTAAAACCATTAGCCAAATTTTTCAATCCTACAGGTATCCCCTTTTATCGCAATCGTTGATCAGGAGTTAAAACATCAAATGACAATTCTCTCAAAATCTGGGATTGGGATTGTTGTTGAGATTAATCTTTAATTGGAGACTAAACATTTTTCAAAAGCACATCCAAAATCTCTAAGTTTCTATATTACTTGCAAATTTGTTAAGCCTTGACAATCTATTACTAAGTGAATCCCATATTCAAGAATTATTGCAACATCTTATAAACAATATTAAATTATTACAAACAAAATTTAAAAAATATAGAAAACCCTGTCATCCGCAATTTCATAATCATTTTATTCAACTCTTATATATATATTTTAGATAATTTCAAACAGCCAAAGTTTCATGTGTTAAAATCTTAGATGTTACCCATTTTTAATCCATGATGTCCGATTGCACATAATATTCTTTTACTAATTCGAAACTCAACGCATCTTAATCCTAATTACCCTCTTCCTACAACCGATCATAATAAATGAATTTATTCGAATAAAAGAAATCAATTTCCTTTATGAATTTCACAAGCAACAATGCATTCTTCCTTTAATTCAAAACACTAAATGATGAGATTACTCTTTACAACCCCTACATATTAGTGAAATTTCTAAATTTTTTAAATTGTTTCTCATTCTAAACATTTATTTTATCTTCTTACATTTAAAGTCCCGCATAACACAGATACATTTAAAAGTTTTCAACTAACTATTTTGTCACCTAAAACTGAATGACTATGTTTTACTTATTCATTATTTATGATTTCGTTTCGCTCTTATAGAGTTAGTCTTTTACTATTCTGGTTATATTTACTTTTATAAAAGTTGGGAAACAAGTAGGTCAGGAATTCGTAATTATGATCCATATCGTCGTAAAATTTTGCAATATCCACAGTATTCTAATGGTAAGTTCTCCAATTCAAAAGATGATATTTTATACTATCCTAGATGTAATCAAAATTTCCGAGCAGGAACCATTTGTTTGGGAAATTTTGAATTACAAATGTTTGATTCAGCTTAAATTCCTCCTATTCTAGAAGTAAGTGTTGTAATTCAGATTGATCAACACTTAAATCAATTAGTTATTAACATTTCTTAAATTCCTCTAAATCAAAGAAGCACTTTAATTTGAGGCTTAACTTTTGATTGAACGAACTATTGAAATTTAATAGCTTTTGCTCAATTCTGATATGCTCTTTTAATTTATACTCTTCTGAATTTAGATGAAATGATTTCATTTCTAATTCGAAATTGATATTCTTTTCTTCCAAGTAAGATATCTCTAATTATTGCCTCCACAATTTAATATCCTATTTTGATTAATCTATCTATTGCATAATGAATGTTTTGAAACTATCGATTTCAATTGCTAATTGTTCTATCAATTATACTTTCTTCTAAATTAATATTTTTGTTATTTCTAGCTATTATTATTTCTGTTATAGTATCTTTTCTTTCGCCTTATCAAATGATTTAGCATTATTGGGTAGAGTCTAAATAGTTAAGCATTTTTGACAAAAGAATTTAGCTTTTACATCTTGAGAAATATCCAAAACAAAAAATAGAATAGGAGATTTGTGATTGAATTGGCATTAAATTTAATCGAAATCCTATTAGATATTGATCTAAGACATTATTAGAAGATTAAAAACTTTATAAATTTATAGAAATTATACAATAACATTGTTATTTATAATTAAATTAGAATAAGATTAGTAATTGATTAAATTTATAGCAACAAGTTCATAATAATTCTACCTTTGCTCTATTATAGATATAAAAGTTATCTGATTAAATTTTTTTAAAATGAGAAGGTGACTGATGAAATCTGTTTAAATTACCCTATAAATGTATATATATATAGAAGTCTATTTTATTCTAGATATAAAAATTAATATTGAGATTTTTTAAAACTGAATTACATAATACAATTAAATATAGATTCAACCAAAAATAAAGTGATTGTTCATTATTATTTCGAGCAATTTTCTTTAATAATAAATATTCATTATCGATTCTCAATATTAGGATAGTAAATATTATCATCAAAATAATTGATCATTAAATATGTTGGTATTTTTTATACTTTAAATTTTACTTTATTCATCAGTATTATCCTTATTTACTTATATAATTATTGACTAAGATAATAATTATAGATCATTACCTGATATATTGAGAATGATATCAAAAAGCATTAGGTAAGTCACATTATAGTGAATGAGACCTTACAAACTAGCGATCATTTATATCTGGAAGTAATCAAACGAAGTGAATAGAAAATTAAGAAAATCTGCTTTGATTTTTTAAATTCAACCTTTTTAACAATAGTTTTAGAATTTTCTAGTTAAATTACTTTTATGTGAAACATATTAATCATTTCTAGCAAAGAACTTTTTGGTATTTGAATTAAAATTTAAATATTGTGTTTAATTTTGAATAAATTGAAATTAGATTGAAAACAATACTGAGTTTAACAGGTTCATAAAATAGTTTTTCTGAATATAATTTATAATATATTTAATAATTTTTATGAATTATTTGTTTTTAAGTTAGGATATTTTTGTTAATGTCTTACTAGTTTAATGAATTTATTTTTCACAAAATAATAAATGAGAATTTTTGTAATAGAATATTTTAATTGATAAAAATTCATTATTAATAGTAAAATTAACTATATAAAATTTATTCTATTGCTAAAGTTCTCAAGGTAATTCTTTAATTAGTACAGATAATTATTAAAAATAAATATGAAAATCTTATTCTTTCTGATGCTCCTTCTATTAGGCCGTTCATTAAATGAGAAATATGAATGCTCATGTGATTAGATATTAACAGAAGCTGATTGTTTAATGAGTCATAAATACTGCAATTGGAACTCTTTTAAGTAGAAATGCCAATAAGATGCTTTAATTGTTCCATCACAATTGATGATAAGGGAATATTGTGAGCAATTCTCTTAGAGTGCTTGTAATAAACTTAAACCTTGCGAAACTTGTGTTTCTAACGGACCTTGCTAATGGTATTAAGGAATTTGTTCTCACTTCACTGGGTGCACAGCATTTGCTGAAACAGATAGCTTCAAATGTCAATAAATATCTAATAGATGTATAACAGATGGAGTTTATTGTGTGGAAATAGGTGTTTGTGATTCTTACAAAACAGAAACAGCTTGTAAATAAGATATGAATTACAAGTGGTGCTTTTGGGACAATAATTTAAATAAATGTAGATATCCATAGATATGTTAAGAATTACCAAAAACATTTACATTCGATTCATAATGTAGGTCTTAGATATCTACTTGTACAACAAATCATTAAGGAGGTTGTATGAATGAACCTATAATTGTAGAATTAGAACCAGGGACTGTTCAAGTCACTAGTTAAATTTATAAAAGTCAGTGTAAAGACTTTACTCTACAGTCTGAATGTGTTAAGAATTCAGACTAAAATCTATGTTATTGGAATGAAATATAATGTGTGGATAAAATATGCTCTAATGCACCAAAAATATTAATAACTAATAGTTCATGTTAATCATTTTTAAGTTATTGTATCACAATGAATGGAGGAGGATGTATGAACAATGGAAAATGCTAGGTTGCCAATACTTTAGCGGCATGTGATAAAGATATTTTTGGAATCGATTGTTTTTGGACTGATGAAAGTGGATGCATTTATAAAAGTTGTGATCTTGCTCCCACTACATTAATTTCAAACTACGATTGTGATTTGTTTCTAAAAGATAAATGTGTTATAAAGGAGGGAGGTGGTTGTAGAAATAAAGAATGCGAAGATCTTTTTGGAAGCTCACACATTAGCTGTTGGACCCAAAAAAGTGGTTGTACGGTAGGACTCAATTCAAGATGTGGCAAACCTAAGAACTGTGAAGATACAACATTAAAAGAAGCTTGCATTGAAGGTCTAAACGGTCCATGTTTATGGATTATTAATTAATTCTCTAATGAATAACCTTAGGGAAAGTGTTATAGTTACAATTCTTGTTAGAGTATCTAATGGAATACAGATTAATAATGTAAGTAGATTTCTCCTTTTTGCACTACTGATGGTATCAAATGCATTCCAATCACTTTATGCTCAGAAACTAATACAAATGGAGGTTGCGTGACTGGAAATGATGGATATTGTATATAAACGGTAACCGCAATTAATGATAATAAATTGATTTGTAAGCGTTTTGACTCTTGCTCTTCAGCAAATTACTTAATACATGAGTGGTGTTAACATGCTAATTAGATGTGCACATCTAATGGTGTTACAGGATGCATTCCATTAGCAGACTGCGCTGCATATCAAACTAAAGAGTCATGCAAAGTGAATAGTTATAAAAACCCTTGTTTTTGGATTGAAGCTGAATAAATTTGTAGGGATAAGAGTTGTTCAGATTTTAGTTATAAAACTCGGTTTTAATGTAACGAAATTGGCAGTGATTTAAAGAAAAGATGTACCTTTGATGGTGTGTAATGTATAGATATATCTACCTGCGGCAATTACAAATCAAAATCAGTATGTAATAACGCAAAATCAGAAGAAGGTAGTTGCATATGGTCAGAGCTTGAACAGGCTTGCAATGTTAGATTCTGTTAAGATATTTCAGCTCCAAGTCTTTATAATTGCAGTTTTGAACTAGCAAATTGTACATTTGATGGTACTAAATGTATCGAGTGGGAAGTATGCACTAATTACTATACAAAGACTGCTTGCAATACAATGGGTTTGGATGGAATCTGTTATTGGTCTAAGAGTGGAAGTTGTTAGCTGATGACATCATGTAAATCTGCTAGTGATGATGAATAAGCTTGTGCATTAGCGAATTAAAATTGTTTTTGGAATTCAATGGGCGTATGTTAAGATCACTACTGTGAATCTTTTTAAAAATCCCATGGAACATGTATCAATTTCAACAGTTGGGACAATTAATCCTAAATCTTTTGTTAAGAATAATAAGGAGCCTGTAGAAAAGTTGATCCAAACACTTTGAATTAAAATGATTGTTATAAAGTTACAAATTATTTGTACACTTGGAATCCAAATTCTTCTAAATGCACAATTTGCAATCCCCAAATTAAGCCAAATATTAATAATAATAATAATACAAATACTAGCTCGAACAATAATAGTAATAATACTAATAGTACCAATAATAATAATAATACTCATAGTTCTAATAATAATAATACTAATAACAACAACTGCACAGATAACTCAGATACAGATACGAATCAAAAAAGTACAAAATCCTCCTTTTTTCTAACATATTTTGTGCTATTTATTCTAACAGTTTAAATATGAGACCATTAAATATTCATTTATACTATGGATATTTTATATTATTAATATTTCTCTAATTTCCTATAACTAAATTATAATTGCAATAGGTGTATTTAATATTTCAAATTTATAATATTCAAATTTACATACTCAATTTAACTTCTTCCAAACATTTAAGTGTGTCTTAATTGTTTGTATCGATGACCAATGATTAGACAAATCCTTAACTTATTTTCTTGCATTGTTCCCTAATTTACTTAGCAGGAGACCTCATTAAATTTCCCAAAGCAGTAACTAATTTGGCAACTGTTTCAACATCTCTTTGTTGATATTGCAGGAAGGTTACTACAGACTCAGATAGCATCTCACTGGCTAAGTCATTTAATCCATTTCTCTAATAAATTCCAATTGATAAGTTGAGAATCAGATTACCTAGCAATTGAACAGTCTAGATGATATCAATATTTTACCTTTTCATCTGTGTCTAGAAGACTCAATATAATGTCTTTAACTATTCTTAAATGATATAGGATTGCACAAGAATTAGTATTATGTTTCAAGCAATTGCATAATGTTTACAAGGCCAATCGTACAAGAACAATATTAATAGGTTGCGTATTGACAATTGTGAAAATATTCAGGAATAGATTCATTCCTTTTTCCAGACCTGCGAATAACTGTTCACTGCTATGATGAAGACTGAATATTCTAAAGAAATCATAAACTGGCAATAAGTATTGGGCATCCCATTTTAATAATTTCTAAATGAAGATGATACTAACAGAATTTTCAATATTGACAGCTTTTTGAACTGACACTTGTCCTAGACATTCAATGCCTTTATTAAATATCAGACATTCCTTCTCTGTTAATCTAACCTCTTCAGGCACTTGGGTATTGAACTCAAATAGCTTCTTACTCAAGCCTTGCAAATTCATGTTTTCATAATAGGTGCATTAAGTGTAAGGAATATATTGAAAATCAATTTATTTTTTAGCCTATTGTTACTGCAATAATTATTGCTAAGCATATTATTCTTTCATAGTTTCTAACTCTGATTTCTTTTATCTTTATGATTACCCAAAAGATGTATTCTTTTTCAAGAAGTTAACTATTTACTAAAGGTAATGCTTGGAGTATCCATCCCTTAAACAAAACTTCTCAGCTGTGTCATAAAAACTTTCCCCTTCATTATATGGTAAGAGTCTGGTAATTCCATTGTCATCTTCCACATCAAAGACATGATCATACTCTCCAGCCTCAAAGTACTTATCTCCTTAAAAGAACTTCCTTGAGCTTGCCCCTTTTCCACCAATCACATCTCCAATCAATTACCAATTCTTAGTAGCAGCACTCCACATGTATGCTTCAGGTTTATTTCCATTTCTAAATAATCTTATTTCCCCCTCTTTCTTTCCTACCATAATAGCCAGTTTATCTATGCCTGGCAATTTCTATATTTCTTCTTCAGACATCCCTCCCTCTTATTTGGCATTCGACAAAGAAGCTTCCTACTCTAACCCTTCTATTTCAGCCTAAGTAGCAAATCTAGTTGGATCAGTTGTAAACACTCTGACCTTCCCATCACTTGTTCCAACCAAAATATCGTTGTAATTATTTAGAGCTACAGTCCACACAGTATCTGGCAATTAAATAGTTTATTTTGGAGTGCCATCTAAATTCCAGATTATTACCATTCTATCATCACCTCCACTAATCACTTGGTCCAAGAGAACTTTCATTGTAAAAACAAAGCTTTTGTGTCCCAAAAAGGTCTGAATCAATTCAAGATCTTTGGACCAGAGCTTAATTGATTCATCATTGGAGCAAGTTAAAAAACCACCCAAGGGAGATGGTAATATTTCTCTAATGATATCCTTATGAGCCTATACACTCTTGATTTTGGTTTCCTTAGACCAGGAATGTAGAATTCCATCTTAGGATCCAGTTATAAAATTTAAATTTTCATCTCCGTATACTGCCACGCCATGTTTATGTCCACTTAATCTAAAGAGTTGTTTCATTTAACTAAGATCCCATACAATGGCAGTTGCATCCCATGATCCTGAGATCAGTAACTACGTTTTATGATAATTGAATATACATTTTCTGTGATGCTCTTTAAAGAACACACTTATTAATCATGTCCTTCCAAAATACCTAATGGGTTGCCTTCGTTGTCTAACAAATAGATTTGGTTATCGTGTCCAACTGCATATCCTCCATTTACTCTAGCGCATGTGGCATAAATGTATTTTTCAAAGAACGATATCAAAGTCACTTATTGATAGGAATTATCCTTCATTTCGTACAACTTTGCAGTCTTGTCACTTGAGCCTATGGAAGTTATTGAGAATGCCATTACATGTTATTAATACATTGCCTTAGGTTGAGATGGATCTCACTATGCCATTGTGTGCTGCGATTGTTTGACTCAATTTATATTGCAATGCTTCCATAATTAATGATTTTATATTTATTATTTTAACTAATTAGTGCCTATGTGAAGATCGATTTGCATAAACCTGTGCCTCACCATTATAATAGACACCTGAGAAATGATCTATTGATCAATAATTTCAAGAACACCCAATACACTGGGATTATTAAAATAGGCGAATAGGATCTCGAATTGCTCTTTGATACAGGTTCGTCCATTTTTTGGGTAACATCTAATCAATATTAAGGTATTTTCAAATACGTGCCCGTCATAATCAAAGAAAGCTTCCTTTGATTGCCAATCAAGTCCCAATTGTCTGATGACCAAAGAACAATATAATGTTTAATATGGGTAGGGGGAAATACGAGGAAACAAAGCCTTTGATCAGTTACAGATATCTAATTTGACTGTCTCTAATTTCCAATTCTTGATAGTGAATTCACAATCTAATTTAGATAACTTGAGGGCCGATGGCATTTTGGGCTTAGGTTTGCAAGAGTAATTTGGATTCAACTCCTTAATCAACATGCTGTATGATCAACATTTGATCAATAAGAGGATGTTTACATTCTACTTGAATTCAATACCTGAATAAATCAATAATTCATCTGCTTTGTTCTTGGGGGGTTATGATACTCATTTCATGAGTTCGGAGGTTTAATATGTTAAATTGGATAAGACCGATTCGTGGTCGATAAAACTAAACACTATACAAATGAATAATAAAGTTCTAATTAATGATGTGTCAGCATTGATTGACACTGGAACTTCTTTGATTGTTGTACCAACTCACCAATTTGCATAATTATTATCCATTTTAAGAGATGAATACAAATAGTTTTGTCAATATTCTTAATACCAAATAAAATGTTCATGTCCAGATGGGGATTTTTCTCATTTCCCTGATTTTGAGTTCAGTTTGGAGGGTGAGTTGAACTTGGTATTGAGTCCTCATGATTACATTTACATGGATGTGTCAGTTTGTGTGTTATCGTTTACTAAGAGTTCTAATAATTACTGGATTTTGGGGGATACATTCATAAGAAAGCATATAACTGTGTTCGACATTGACAATAAGCAAATTGGGTTTGCTAAGTTGGCTACATTTGAGAAATAGAGTAAATAAATTTAGATAAATGATTATTTGTACATATTCAAGGTGGTTTGCGTGTGCATTTGTGTGGCAATAGCATCGATATGGATAATTAGATAGGTGAGTTGTTTGGGTGAGGCAAGTCATGAAATGAATAAATGATAAGTAAAGATAATAATTATATTAAATCATTATTTTTTACTAAAGAGAGCGTCTGTTAGATTGTCAATAGCCTCTTTCAATTTTGAAATTTCAAAACTAGTAGTTTCTTTGAAAATGAATTTATTTTTGAATTTCTTGGAGTCCAATCCTAGTACTTTGATAAGATCGTCTTTGTTGAATCTATTCTTCTTGTCATTCTTATTGAAGAGGAATAGAATGGGAATGGCACTTTTTTTGATTAAATCGTCATTCAGCACTTCTTCAATCAGATGTCTTTATAAATGGAATCTAATGGTATGAGTTCGTATGCTACCTGTATTCTGAGTCACTGGTGTCGATGACATAGATCATAGCTTGGACATCCTGATAGAGAATCCTCCAACTTGATCTATGACGCCCATTTCCAGACATATCGTAGACTAGACAATACTTTCCTATTTTGGGACAAATAACATAGTGGATCTCCATGGTGGGAGTTGGGAATATCTCCATTCTTTAACTATTGGAGAGTGTGCGCAATAGACTGGTTTTGCCTGCATTGTCTAATCCAACACAAATGGCACTAAATGCAACTTACATTTATTAAATTAATGAGTAATCGCAAGACATACGGTAATAAGTAAACGAGAATCTCTCTGGGAGAGATAGACGAAATGTTCAATGATGCTGAATTCAGTCAGGCTGTGAAGGACACGTTCAAGAAGTAATCGAGCACGGTGAGACATGATGGTCCAACCCAAACAACAAATATGTTTTATTAGAAGCCAACGATTTCCCAGATTATGAGATTGAGAGCCAAGGGATCTCACACAGGAACCCGATGTCCTTCACTAAAGAAGGAGGAACGCAAAACCAGATGGGCTAGTTTAATCAGTGAGGGTAGAACAGAACATCACAAAAGGATACCATCTGAAATAGAGAATATCCCAATTTGTGCCTAATATGAGCAGTATAGTTTCCTTTGTAGAGAGCACGAACAATTGATTCAAAATTTGAGTGAATTGCCTCAATCAATTAAAATGATGCTCTACTCCAATATGTACGAAGTTCAAAGAGCCAAGATGTGCGAAAACAAAACTATCTTGGATGAAAAATTCATCTTCACTCTATTCAACACTCTCTAACAATTGGACAAACAGATAATTGAACCCTTGCATTAGTAGACCAGACCTGTGTTGAATTTCAAAATGCACTTTGTTTAAAATGCTGTGAACATCATCTCAGAGACCATTGTGTAGAGTGTTCGAGAAGCCTTGAGACATGACACGAGGTTGGGTATCTTTTTGGAAGGCTTCTGCAAATTCTGGATAGTGTTGATTGACATCC